CGAACGGTCGAAGTATTTTGATGTCAAGGACTTGTTCTCGGCGGACGGCTATGCTTTCGACACTGGAAAAATCGTGGAGGAGCACCCGCTGGCCACATTCCAGGGCGCAGGCCAGTTGAATGGGCTGCAACAGACTGACTCCAAAAATATCCCACATGGGATCGTGAACTATTTTATGGACGAAAGGCAAGGGGCCGCCCTGGCCATCACAGGCTTCGCTGGTACGCTGTGGCGTAACCACTTTTTATGGCGAGGCTTTTGGCGTTCGTGTTTCCGTAGGTTTTGTCTAAGGGACGAGAATGGCATGGCCACTAGTAATTGTGTAGGCTTGTTGCTAAAAACACCAAACAAGAAAAACCCACGACCCGCTCTACCTCTAATCCCTGTCGAGTTCGCAGACCCTGCAGGACTTACAACGAATACGAACCGCGGCCAGACCGACACTCCGCACCAATTGAACTTCTTTGCGGATGTTTGGAAGGGGTTCACTTCGTCTACCTCTACACCTGGAAAGCCTGTTCCCATGCCAGTTCTGAATGGCTATCTTCTCCCTCGAAAAGCGTCTGATACCGTGGCAGATGATCAGTGGGAGTCAGATTCAGAAAGGCTGGACCTGGAGGAACTCTTTTACTTAAGGCTCCCGTTAAATAAGACGCGCATTTTCAGCACTAATTACATCGCCCCTCAGTCTCAGAGGGTCTTTATTTTCCACTTGAAGAAGAAGCCATGGCGGAGGGGGATTCTCCTTCTCGCGGACGTTGGATGCGAGTGCGGTGCTCGTTGCTCTAATTTACACGCGTATGCAAGTTGGTCTACAACAAGACACCGAGTTCACGGGGCGCCGCGATCCGGACCCGCTCAAAAAGAATCACGCATATGCAGCCACGCAGCCAGGACTGGCAGCAGGTTTCGAAAATGGTGTTACCGCAGATGCGCCGGTTTTGCCTGTGATCACGCACGTTTACTCCGCTGGCATTTACTACCCCAACGAGGTCGATCTGGTTTCAGATCCAGGGATGGGGCGCGGACGCTTTTACTACAATTTTCTTTCCGCTCAATACCTTGGAGCGTTTGCAGCCGCACTGAACACTGCAATCCGATGGAACTATCAAGAGGATAGCAACAAGCTGTTCCTGACGGCTCTTAAGGCTGCCTCTTTTAATTCGTCTCTACCGGGATCCCTCAACCGTATACAGGGGCTAATCTCGTTGAGGGGTCCAAACGGGTGGGAATTGCCGCAAGGCCTCTAAGTGTCTGGGTGCGGATGCCCGGGTCATACCGGAGGGCAGTGACGAGGATTTACGGCTGCGCGAGATGCTGGCCAACATTGTCGGTGAGCACTTAGCTGTGTACCGCAACTGCGGACTCGAGATCGTTTTGGTTGCTGGCTTCTCGAAGGAGGAAAAGCACGATCCTCTCCACACACCTGAGGGCTTCAAAGAGGCTGTGCTGGCGCGTTTTGATAACGTAGTAAAAGGGGGCAACCGTGCCAACAAGTTTACCAAGAAGAAAGCTGACCCCGCGAGCATCTGTGACGCAAATGGGCGAGGTTCTTACTTAAATTATGTAGTAAAAATGCTCGTTTGATGTTGTGTAGAAGTTACACATACCTAACAGTATTACTCTTTCGATTTGATCGAGCTTCCTCGAGTTTCAGCGACTTGCCGAAGCAGGGAGCTCCAAGTGTGGAACGGGTTGCCACGAGTTACCAGGCGAAGTAGCTAGCCGCATCGAAATGGTAGCGAAGCAGGGAGGTGCGGGCACGAAAGTGGTCGCCCTCGAGGCTTTCTCCGCAAAAGGAGACTGCGCCGGCGTTCTTTCCTTCTGTTGGGGATCGATGGTGACGCGCCCTTTCCCACTCCTTGGCGGGGGCTGGGCAAGTGTCTCGCCCCCTCTCTGGTTTGGTTGGGGGGGTGTCGGCGTGCGTCTGGGTTTGCGTCCCGCTGTTGTTTCCTAGTTTGACTGCCTCCCCCTGTGTTGTCCTCGCTTGGAAGGGTCCAGGGGACCGCTGTCTGCTGGCCTTGTACTAAACTGGGCTTGGCTCTTCTAGGAAGCGAAGCCCGCTTTATTGGGCTTGGCTCGTGGCTCTTGTGTTGCGTCAGAGTATCAAGAGCATGGCGCCTCGGCCTAGCGTGTGTTGCTCGCTTCCGCCGTTCTCGCCCGGTGTTTCACTAGGAAAGCATCGCAGGGAGGCGCCCGCGCGAGGCACCATGGAAAAACAACGGGTGAATGCCCCTCCTGCCGGCCCGTTGTGCTCTTGTGTAGCGTGTTCCCTCAGCGCCTCGCCAAGGCTGCGCCCGCAGGGCGCAGCGAAAGACATAGCGCGGAAAACTCGAGCAGCCCGAGAAACTAGACCTGATTGATACCGGGCCAATTTTGCCTAATTCTGAGATTATATCCTGATCGTCGTCGTCTAGTCTTTTCATCATCATCATCATCATTATCATCATCGTGACCATTTGAATGCCACATTTCTGACGAAGGTTCAAGCTTAGCGACGCTTAAACACTTAATAAAGAAAAGGAGTAGGGCTAGCTTGTCTTCATGATCATGATCTCGATCTACTCGATCTCCATTTGGTTAGTAGAGTGATCACGTTTCTGCCGCTTCTTTCGATGATTCATCTTGTTGTCCGGAATATAGGAGTTTCAGTCAAAATTCCTTACGAATGCAAAGATATAGCGTCTTCGCCTAAAAATGAACAAAACAAAAATAGACGCTGCACCCGTCGCTGCAGCGAACCCGGATCCGCTTTCTGCCGAAGTGGCGCCACCTCAGATCGGAAAAGCGCCTGGCGAAGGAGGGGACCCTGTTGAGCTGGCTTCTGGTGCAAATGCTCCGGCTCTGGTGGAAGAAAGAAAATTTTGCTGCTAGACTAACTTCGTTAAAAGTTGGTAGATCAGTTAAAAGTTGGTAGATCAGTTAAAAGTTGGTAGATCATGCTTCATTACTTTGTAGGTATGCGTACTAGAAGGAAAATATATTTATACATGGAAAAATAAAGTAGTAGATATTTACTTAATTACTTGTAGATAGTAGATGACGAAGGTGATGCTCATGATATTGATGAATTGATAGGAATGCCTGCTGCTCTCGATAGGCACATCATTGATGGTTCGTTTTTCGTTCACCACTCATTTTGCCTCTAGGATAGTTGTACACATGGAGGTGTACGTTGCTGCACTCAAGTGCCCTCATACTCATAGATAGAATACTTACGAAAAACGTCCTCGATGTCAAAACAATTACGCAAGACGAATGAGAATAACATCAAGCCAGATCGCATAGCCAGGGAGGAGGCCTGTAGTCCGACCGAAAAGAAGAAAGTTACTCGCCAGGGGGCATGTCAATCAATCACCGAGACAATAAGCATTACGACAGCAGCATACAGTTGGTCGCTTTGCTTGAAATTATAGATAGTAAAAATAGTTAGTTGCTATTGCATGCGCATTGAGTAGAGTCTTATCGTTTGTCGTTATCCCTTGGAATTCATGTTTTTTGTACCGTCTTCGTAATCCATTTTTAACATCAGATCATAGCCGACCATAATAGTGCGCCCGATAGTTCGTGTTGTTTGCCCACAAGGAATCGCATTTCCTTCATAGGAAGCCTCTTGTGATTCATATAAATTTATCTTTTGTCAGTATCTATCTAGATCTGAAAGCGTTGCCTTCATCATGTTCCTCAGAGTCTGACACGTAATCTACAACTACTATCTATATCTAGCTTTGTATGCGCTCACTACATGGTGATAAACTAGAAATATGGTGTAGGAATTGTACTAGGCGTGCAAAAATAAAGGTAGGGGACGTGAGGCGGTGTAACAAAAACAATGTAGTGAAGGGGAAGATCCTCAAGAATGACAGATGCTGACATTTGTTGATATTGTGAATCAAAAACAAGTATGGGATTGTCAGAAAATCTGCTGTGCTTCTGCGTAGTCAGCGATGTCTAGATCTATGAAAGAATGTTGCTTGTTGGTGTGCCTTAAGAAGAGATTTGTATTAAGTTATAAAAAGGTAGTTAATTACTATTTTTACAAGAAGTAGAAGAAGGTTGCACAAAGTTCCAGTTTCTCGTGGCTAACTCCTACAAAAGTGGCAGGCTCACGATTAGACTAGAACAAGTTCTTCATCGTGGAAGTGTGACAGCACGTGCATGAGGAAGGCGGAGGAAAGAGACATATATTATAATGTTAAACAAGTAGAGCTACCCTGATTGTCAGCGTTGCACTAAGGTTTACCGGTGGGTGACTTGACAAGAAGATGCGCAATGCGCTCCAATCATTGAACAAGAGATCGCCATACTTTCTGTAAGAGAAGAGGAACATAGTTGTAGATAGTGCTGGTAACATAAGCTAGTAGACATAGAGGCTTGCAAGAGAGTGGGCCTGAACTTGCAAAAACTGACCTCGACTAGATAAATGACGAGACTGGTGCGTAGTTGTCCTTACTACATTCAAGCTAAGATAGCGAAAGCCATCTCGTAATCCCATAGTCGTGAATGCTCACCTCCTCGAGGCGAGCCAGCTCCTCTCCTATCCTATCTTATCCTATCCTCGGTATACTTCTGTCGGCAAGAAGTTTCGGGCGGAAGCTGCTGTCTAGGTCAATACTAATAGCCGCAGAAAGAGTAGACTAGACTAAAAGTAAGGCTCTTCCAAGATCTCCAAGGATGGTAGCTTCTAGGTGGGAAAAAAGGAAGAGCTTAGGAGTAGAGTAGTGCATAATTGGGTAGAGGAAAAGTGCAGAGCAACACATGAAAGAGTTAAGAACATGGGAGAACAAGGAAGAACGCACGGTAGGGGGAGAAAGTGCGGGATTCTCTAAGATTTTTCTTCTTCGAAAAAACAAAAAATGCTTAAAATGAAAGTCTCTGAAGAGAGCAGTAACAGGAAGATGAGGAGCTCTATGGAAAGCGCGTGTGTTATCACTTATCAAGGTTTTCCACTCTGAGTCCGACTCTCCTCCTTGGTAGATGCGTTGTTGCTAGAGAGAGATCTTCAGTCAGTGGCCCCGAAGAAGTTGCTACTCGAACTCGAACGTGTTTGAAAGTGCAATGATTGAATCTGCAAGAGTAAGGAGCACATGAGACGGTCTCCTGAGGAAGAGTTTCGTGGAGACGACTAGAGGCTGGATGAATGAGAAAAGAGACATGTTGACTCCATCAAAAAGGTGTAATTCCTCTCTTATGGGAGGGATAGAAAAACCAAGTTCAGCTCCTTCCTTCGACGAGTCGTATCTTGGCGATTTGATCGAGTTTCAGGCTGTTCTTGAGTCTTCGCCCCCTCTGCGGAATCCGAAAGGAGAAAAGAGAAGCATCTCAAGCGCAAAATGAGGAAGTCGCGGCTCGCAAAAAGACCAGAAGCAGACGGTCTTAGCCGAAAGCGACGCCACGAAGCTGGTTAGGATGACGCTGGCGGAGCGTCGAGCTAGAGGACTTCGGGTACCGCCAACGAAACCAAAAGATGAAGCCTACCGAATCTCGAAAGAGAGACTAGTGGAATGGAACAAGTAGGCCAAAGAGGAGAAAAGGGTTTAGGGTTTGGCCTCACGCTCACATTTGACATTGACATCAGTGTCGATGTCGATGGATCCACCTCATCTACAACTGTCAGGAAGAGGTCGTGGAGGTACCGTTGCAGGAGTGAATGCTGTCGCTCCAGCGTCTTCCCACAACACAGTGACTAGTAAAACAAGTTCCTTAGAAAGTTTCGTCCTTGAAGAGAGTGGTTCAACATCAGGCGGCTCATCACATCCGTCTTCGCATCCAATGGCATCGGATGAAACGAGAAGGAGTTTGATGTCGGCTGGTGCTTCATCTTTATCCTCAGCTTTTACAGGTATTCATCGTGCTTCCTCTTCAGGGTATCCAGTACTGCCTGAATCACATGCAGCGGCCCTTCTAGAGGACCAAGTCCCGGCAGAACGGTTTCTCCAAAACGACCCTTTCATCAGCGCTGCTGGAGGTGTTTCTACGGCCTTACCACCTCCATTAGGTGGATCTTCTTCTGGCTTCAGTGGGGATGAAGAAGCAGCCACGCCATTGTTCATCTTCGTTTTCCTAGCGTTTCTTTGTGGCTTCGGACTGGTCACTGGGCCAACGGTGAAGGGCCTCTTGCTGAACGTCAACGTGAGTCACATGCGAGGCACTGTTTCTGGCCTAGTGACCCTCACAGACGACCTTGGCAAAGCCTTCGCTCCGATCGTAGTCGCGCACTACATGCAAGTGATTGGGAAAAGCAATGCGATTGGGCGTGCACTGGATTGCTTTCTCTTATCGGCTGTGCTGAATCTGCTCACTTACTTCACGAAAGCGGACGATTTCATCCACAGTGAAGACTACATTCTCTACAGCAACAATGGAGCAGATGACGAGCTTGGTGGAGGAGACATCCGAGTCTCAGGTGGATCCGCAGACTTAGTTGATGTTCCGGGAAGAGGAGAATTCTTTGGGAGGAAAAGGGATGCTGTTTTGGACTAAGGTGGAGTTTACAGATGATTGCTTCTTCGTGTGTTGAACACATGAAGAAGATGGTTGATGTAGATGCATTTTTTGAATTAGCGCGCAATCGAATGTGGAGTCAAAGTGATCCACCTACTGCTGCCCTCTCTACTCCGTGCAGTGTCAGTATGAATTAATTGCTGTACCTGTAGCAAGAAGAGCCACTTGCTACACGACCCATCCCCGTTTCTTCGTAGTTTGAACATCCAGCATGAATCCCACTTGAGCTTGCTGTGAAATGTTTGCTTTCTCTGCGCCCACCGCTGCCGGTGCGTCGAACTAAATCGAAAAATTTGCGATTGCGATTGCGACTACAGTTCTTGAGTTTTCTGACATATGATCACGAACACCACATAATTTCCCATACTGCATTTTTGAATGGTTCTCTCCCATCTGGCTTCTCTGAAGGTCGATGGATCTCACTTGTACCTCCCGTAGATACCCTTACTCGTCCCACGAGTTGTTGAACGTAGAAGAATCCTCAGACTTGAAACTGATGCTGCGAGTGGTCGTGACCACCACTTTGATGATTACGTCGTAGGTTTCAGATAACAGAGATGAAATAATTCCTTTTCCTCACAACTCAAGCCCAAGCTCCTTTCAAGTGTTCGGTCGTTAGTCGGAGGCAGTGGTTTTGCTTTCAGATCTTGTTCTTATTGTAAATCCTACTAGTTTGTTCAAAACAGGATCGACGTAGTGTAAGTACTAGCGTCAGTAGAGGGCTGTGTGGCAACGTAGTGCTTCATATCGTATTGTCTTCATGAAATCTTGTTCTGAATATCCAACGTCGATGCACAACGAACTCTCGAGATGAAAATGATTACTCATCGGAAAATGTTGTGTGTGGTGTGTAATACCTGTGCTGCTGGATGGAAATAACCCTTGATGCCACGAGTTGCGCTTTTCATGGTCCCCCCGTCATGTCCGAAAAATATACGCAGTCAGCGTCTGCGTAAGAATTCTACGAGTCAGTGGTTCTGTTCTTGCTCTCCAATAAATTCATCATAGGTCTTTCTATCGAATAAGATAGATCGTGAATAAAGTTAGATTTAGAACGAGCACGAGTGGATGTTGAGAACGAGAGAGAAGATCCTCTGCTTCGTCACCATAGATCTCAGGCATCGCTGAGAGGCCTTCAGTTCTTTCTGTCTAAGTAAGAGTTATTCGGTTTCGGTTTTCCATGACGATGACTGGTGATAGAAAAGGAAAACCCCTTGTGCTGGTGTCGTCGGTCGGTAAACAAACTTCCTCGGTGCTGGTCGTTTTGGAAGCTAAAGCACTTATACCTCGAAAAGAAGTTGTATGGATCCCAACGCCTGTTTCTAGAGTACTCGACATTTTATTCATCATCATAACTTTAGCTCCATTATCTTCATGTTCTTGTTTGTATTCATCATGGTTACAACTTTATTATACAGCAACTACCATCCTCGCAGTCGATTCTTCTATCACAGTCGTCGATTCTCTTTCATTGTTCATTGCGATTTTACAGCATCTACGTTATTTTTCAACTTCACGATCGAAGGAAATTTCGTCACAGCATAATTCTGCCTTATGAATCAACCGACTTCATGTCCATGAATCAATAATTTCCATGAACCTCGCCTCCAACTGACTCCATGAATCAATCAATTCCATGAACCAACCCACATTAGTCACGAATTCCAGGAGAAGGGCAGAGCTCGTGATATCCTCCTACCCTTGTCGTGCTGATACTATCTAACCCTTGTCGTGGTCTAGTTTAGTACTCTATAAAGAGATTTATACATAGCGTCCTCTTTCACTTTGTTTCTCAGTCATTCACAAAATTGACACTCATTAGGAAAAACAGTTTTCATTTATACGGAATTTATTATTCAAATGCATCAACACCAGGTCTAGAGGTAGTCCCACAACAGTTGCACACATCATAATCATCATCATCATCATCACACGGAAGCTCAAGTTGCTTCTCATACATATAATTCACTGTATCCTAACCCTCAACGTAGAAGAACATAGAACTAGAAGCTGTGCGTACTAGTAATATTTCGTATTCAATGATCGGCCCATATCCATAGATATCGCATTTGTTCGCTTTTGAGTAGTAGGATCATACGATAGAAGAAGTAGTTTACATAAGAGTTCTTTCATGAGCACAAAGACCACACGAGAACCGAAGGATTAAAGAAAATAGGTCGCTTATTTTGCTACAGAGGTATCTTCATCACACGCAGGTAGTTTTACAGAAGAACATCGATGGATCAAAGATCAGCATTGCGTCGCACGTAGCACGAAATATTTTGTCGAAGGTGTTGCAGCGAGAGTCCAAGAAGCATCGAAAGCAAACACATCAAGACGAAGTCGGAGTCGCGTCGGAAATATATAGAAAAGCCAGACGACGGCAAAGCTGTAACCAGGTACAGTTTCACTCCTTATTTTCTTCGACGTGCTGACGACTGAAAATCATGTCTCCAAAATGCAAAATGCATGGCAAGAATGAGCTCGCTATTATGATAGTTCAATTCTGACAGAAGTTTTAAGTTGTAGATGAAAACTTCATCAAAAAAAGTAGATATTGTAAGATGTTTTCACGGACCACGAGGATTCGTCTCGAGCACTGTAGATCTCGTCTCCCCTGTCCTTGGATTCCTCTCCAGCACTGTAGACCTCGTCTCCCCTGTCTTTGGATGCCTCTCCAGCACTGCAGATCCCATCTCCCCTGTCTTGTTTCTTTTTTGCTGGTTCTTTTTACTCTCTTTTCATTCACATAGTGTAACCATGGTTGAACTGCGCCGGCGCATCGGTTATCAAGTGGGAATGGTGTTTTTGGGCACAAGCTATTCCCCTGGTGGTGCTCCCCTCCTGAAGAAAGTAGTATTATATATGGGACAGTGGTGAGCAGGTAGCTCATGATTCCACCTGATTCGCGCGGGACCCCCTGAACCGCCTAAACAACATGAATCGCCGCTGACTCCATATTATAACTCATTGCGTCCTACGTGTGAAGACCCAGAATTTTGAATATGGCCCGGCCGTCGTCAGACTACGTTTTCCCACTTGTTGTGCTATTAGATACTAGGCCCAACCACAGGGGAGGCCGGAGTGACAGCGAGTCTGTCATATGTGGGTGATAGTTTAGGGCGCCCTTCTTTTTGTAAGCTGAGAGAGGGTGATGCAGCTCACTAAAATTGGTCGTCATTCAACAATCGCAGGGTTGGGCTTCGGGGTAGCGTAAGTAAAAACCTGCTAAGTGATTTATGAGTATCCATTCTAAGTAGTCTCCGCAGAATTGTGAAGGAAATCATGATTATGGCTATTTTTGTCAGAAGAAGCTGGGTGATTTCGGTCAGCATGCTGACGGGCGCCATCGCCGTGGGTAGTGCTTATGTTTCGTATTTACCCCTTTGGTGGTGTCGATGGTTGACTGAGGCCACAAGTACAAGTAGCGTAGTTTGGTATTGGTTTCTTTGCTAGTTCTGTGCGCAGGTGCGTGTTTTGCACAACTAAGCTGCGCTGTGGTATTCTAATGCTGGGCCACATCGAGCTCTTTTGCGATTGCGTTGTTACGTGTTTCTCACCCTCTTCACCACTACTAGTCGTTTTTCGGAATTTATTTATTGTTGACCAGACCTTGCGGAGTTGCGTATTTAGAAACTCAAACTTTTTCCATTATTCTCTCCTGGTTTCTAATTCTATCTGATGCATGGGCCTGTTCTAGGCCTGTACTTATAATATGTGAATCTGTGTTCCCACGATTAATATCTGCACCCAACATGATCGATTTCACAACCCTCCAGATAACGACAGAGGAAACTGACCAAAAAGGCGAGCATCTATCGTCCATCATCTGACAAAGATGGAGACCTGGAGTCGAGATATGCTGGAAAACGCCGAGTATGACTGGGAGGAAGCCATGATGAAGAGGCTGCAGGAGGAGGGGAACTCCGACCCCAAGGCGCTCCGTCGACGTGGGGGCTGGGGCTGGCAAACCTATGCCTATTTCTCGTTGGTTTTCTTCATCTTCTTCTGGGTGGCGGACCTCTCCACGGGTGGCGTTGTCTTTATGATGTCATTGGAATAAGAGATACAATAAAACAAGTACTCGTCAGAGGACATCAGAGCACTGCCGAAAAAATCGAAACTATCTCTACTAGATCATGAAAGTAGAAAGGCATATCTACTGTGCACTTGGGAGTACTTAGTTAAAGACTTTCAATGACTAAGTCTAAGGGTGCAAATTGCCTGATGATATAATTGCTGCTTGAGCTTCTTGAGGAGTTCTTATATTTCTTTGATCGTTGATATATGTGCTCTATCAATACGCATATAAGTAGTTGCATTTAAGTACCACTATACAGTAGCGAGTAGTAAATAGTGGGTGGTAAGTAGGAGTGTGCAGCAGTTGCGTGAGTAGTAAATAGTGAGTACAACGTCTTAAATACAACTTTACAACGCAAGTTGTGTTAGTAGTATATATATAGTGTACTCAAGTGCACCTATTGTGCACTATATGCCACCACAGATCTGCACCAGTATGTGAGTGAACTAGAAGAGTTACACTATTAATTTGATTGAGTATTAACATGCGCCACCAACTGGTGACGCAATCAATCTACAATTGTGGCCGTGTGCGCGGCGAGGTCTCATTTGTGGTCTCTGGTAGCCTTCTTCTAATATGCGCAATGCGATCTCCAGCCTTGTTGCTCCTCCAAGTCCCAGGCTCAAGAATCAAGTGGCCCCTCACGTTAAGGCTCAACAACTTATATTAATTAATTCAAAAAGTCATTCTTGTTTTTCTAGATCTAGTTTTTCAGTGAAGACAAACATAGCTCTAGAAGTCATTTCCTACTATGGCGTGGGGTAATATTTATATGGAGTTGGAGACGAGAGTGAAACTATCTTCTAAGTAGAAGTGAAGATTTATATTTTGAGCTGCTCTAATCATGGTTCTTCCGTCGTCTTGGTTGCGCCACCAGATTCCAGTCAGACTGGAGGCAATCACCTTGGCCCACAGATGAAGCAGGCCCCCTCGGTCTTACTTCGTGGATCTTTGGCATTTCACAACATTTCCTCCCCAGCGTCAACATCTTTCCTGGCGACGAACACGCTTCAGAAAACGGTCGTTTTTAGAAGTCGTGCAGAACATATCAGTCCTGAGCAGTATTACAAGGAGCTCTTCGGTTTTTCTGAGTCTGATATTCTTGGCGGTGAAGGCAAGGCGGAAGCCACAGAAGAGAGGAACACAAGAATTCGTGAAATGTTCGTGCAGTCCAAGCGCACGGTGAAGGTTAAAGACGTTCCTCATGAGCTTAGGGCTTCCCCTAGTAATCGATCTTAATTTGATTTCAAAAGAGTCATGCTTCTAAGTTCTCGGCACTTCTCTCAAAGTCAAACTTACTAGTTAATTATAAAAGAAACGAGTGAGCAGGAACATGTAATATATCATACATGATATAATTAAGACTACGCACTTCATCGAGGAAACTCGCGACCTCTTAATCATGAGAGCCATCTTGAAAACCCATGATTGAATCTTGGTGGACGAAAGCCGTCTTGTGCTACTTTGTCAGAGCCAAGCCTCTTGTAGAGCGTTTCGGCTTCACTATACACGAGAAATCAGGCGAATCTAAATGGCACACAAAGAAAGTAATCGGCTAGCTTCCTTCGTCTTACTGCTTTCATTCAATCTAAGCGCACGGCTCTACTTAACTGAGTAAGTAGGTGAAAGCAATAAATGGCTCTTCCTAGGCCGTGAAATCACCTCAGAAAGATGGGTCCCTTTCATGTAAAGACGAACCTTCATCATTCATCCTGTCACCTTTTCAGGGGTTCTAGTCAAGATAAGTTGAAAGTGGATCTGTTTCTTCCGTCAAGTCAGTTCTTCTAACCAATGTATACGTAAGTTGAGTAGCCACCTGGGTCTCTTTCTTCTTTAAGTTCCTCTCTAATCAATGTGAGTTCAAGTTGGACGTGCTGACTCCAAAGGAGGGCGCTAGGAGGGAGCCGCTGATTGTAGGACACTTTTCGACACCTACTCCAGCCAAATTAGAGGAGCAAGCAAAGAAGAATATGAAAAGTAGTAACATGCTGAAAAACGTGATGTCCTCTAGTACTGTCGAAAGGACTAAGTTATTTGATGTCAAGCACTTCTCGGCGAATGACTATGCTTTCGACACTGGAAAAATCGTGGAGGAGCACCCGCTGGCCACGTTCCAGGGCGCAAGCCAGTTGAATGGGCTGGAACAGATGAGCCACGGAAAAAACCCATATGGGATCGCTGTGTATTTTCGTGATACCACGCAAGGACCCGCCCTGGCCATCACAGGCTTCGCTGGTACGCTGTGGCGCAATCACTTTTTATGGCTAGGCTTTTGGCGTTCGTGTTTCCGTAGGTTTTGTCTAAGGGACGAGACTGGCACGGCCACTAGTAATTAAATTGTGTAGGCTTGTTGCTATTAACAACACCAAACAAGAAAAACCCCTGACCCGCTCTACCTCTAATCTTTGTCGAAGTCGCAGACCCTGCAAAACCTACACAGAATACGATCCGCGGCCAGACCGACACTGCGCACCAATTGAATTTCTTTGCGGATGTTTGGAAGAAGTTCACTGCTACAGCTACTGCCTCTACCTCTCCCGAGCCAGTGGTTCAGAATGGCTATCTTCTCCCGAGGCTGGCGGAACCTCTCGTGGACGAGATGCTGCAAAGCACAGATGCAGATGCTAAGTGGACACGAGAAAACCTGGAGGAACTTTTTTACTTAAGGCTGCCGCTAAATAATAAGCACGCGCATCCTCAGCACTAACTACATTGATCCGCAGTGGGTCTTTATTTTGTTCCATTTGAAGAAGAAGCCATGGCGAAGGAGGTTTCTCTTTGTCACGGACGTTGGATGCGAGTGCGGTCCTCGTTGCTCTAATTTACACACATATGCAAGTTGGTCTACAACAAGACACGGAGTTCACGGGACGTCGCCATCAGGACAGAAACAATTGGGATCACGCATATGCAGCCACGCAGCGAGGACTGGATTCTATGGACGCAGATGCGCCGGCTTTGCCTTTGCCTGTGATCACGCACGTTTACTCTGCTGGGATTTTCTATCCTACCGTGGAAGATCTGACTCCAAATAAGCGCGGACGCTTTTACTACAACTTACTCTCCGCTCAGTACCGTGGAGCGTTTGCAGCCGCACTGAATACTGCAATCCGATGGAACTATCAAGAGAGCAGCAACAAGCTGTTCCTGACGGCTCTTAAGGCTGCCTCTTTTAATTTATTTCTATCGGGATCGCTCAACCGTATACAGGGGCATCCCTCAACCGTATGCAGGGGCTAGTCCACACGTTGAGGGATCCACACGGAGAGGAATTCCCGCAAGCCCTCTAAGAGTCTGGGTGCGGGTGCCTGGGTCGAGGAGGGTAGTGACAAGGATGATCTGCTGCGCAGGATGCTGGCCAGCATCATCGGGGAGCACTTAGCTGTGTACCGCGACTGCAGACTTGAGGTCGTTTTGGTTGCTGGCTTCAAGCCAGTGTTCGGTCCCCTCCACACACCTGAGGGCTTCAAAAAGGCTGTGCTGGCGCGTTTTAAAGACGTAGTGAAGGGGAGCAACAGTGACAACGAGTTTACCAAGAAGACAGCTGACCCCGCGAGCATCTGTGACGCAAATGGGCAAGGTTCTTACTTGTTATGTAGTAAAAGTGCTTGTTTGTTGTGTAGATGCTTACTTATACCCTATACATAATATCGCTCTTCCGACGGTTTTCGAATTCGATTTGATCGAGCTTCCTCGAGTTGCAGCGACTTGCCCAAGCGCAAGCAGGGGGCTGCAAGTGTGGAACGAGTTGGGACGAGTTACGAGAAGAAGTAGCTAGCCGCATCGAAATGTTAGCGAGCTTTTTTCGCAAAAGAAGACTGTGCCGGCGTTCCTTCCTTCTGTTTGGGATGGATGGTGACGCGCGCTCTCTCCCGCTCCTTGGCCTGGGCGGGGGCTGAGCAAGTGCCTAGCCCCCTCTGTGGTTTGGTTAGGGGGTGTCGGCGTGCGTCTGGGTTTCTTTGCGTCCCGCTGTTGGTGTAGTAGTTTGACCGCTTCCCCCTTGGTTGTCCTCGCTTGGAAGGGTCCAGGGGGCCGCTGTCTGCTGGCCTTGTAAGGTGGGCTTTTTTCTTCTTGAAAACGGCGGCCACTTTATTGAGCTTGGCTCGTTTGTTTCGTCAGAGTATTAAGAGCATGGCCCCTCGGCCTAGCGCGTGTTGCTCGCTTCCGCCGTCCTCGCCCGGTCTTTCACTAGGACGAAGGCATCGCAGGGAGGCGCCCGCGCGAGGAATCATGAAAAAACAAGGGGTGAAGGCGCCTCTTGCCGGCCCGCTGTGCTCTTGTATAGCGTGTTCAACGTCTCGCCAAGGCTGCGCCCGCAGGGCGCAGCGAAGGAAATAGCGTGGGCAACTCGAGCAGCACGGTAAAACTAGACCTGAATGGGACCGGGCCAATTTTGCCTAGTTCTGAAATAGTATCCTGATCGCCGTCGCTTAGTCCTTTCATCATCATCATCATCGCCACCATTATAATGCCAATCCTCTGACGAACGTTCAAGCTTAGACCCAGCGACGCTTAAACACTTAATAAAGAAAAGGAGTAGGGCTAGCTTGTCTTCATGATCTCGGTCTACTCGATCTCCATTTGGTTAGTAGAGTGATCACGTTTCTGGCACTTCTTTCGATGATTCATCTTGTTGTCCGGAATATATGATTTTCAGTCAAAATTCCTTACGAATGCAGAGATTTAGCGTCTTCGCCTAAAAATGAACAAAACAAAAATAGACGCTGAACTCGTCGCTGCAGCGAACCCGGAAGTGGTGTCAGCTCAGACCGGAAACGCGCCTGGCGAAGGAGGGGACCCTGTTCAGCTGGCTTCTGATGCAGCTGCAACGCAGGCTCCGGCTCTGGTGGCAGGAAGACTAATGTGCTGCTAGACTAGTAACTTCGTTAAAAGTTGGTAGATCATGCTTCATTACTTTGTACTTGTAGGCATGCGTACTAGAAAGAAAATATATAGAAAAATAAAGTAGTAGATATTTCATTACTTAGATAGTAGACGAAGATGATGGTCAACATGATATTGATGAATTGACAGGAATGCCTGCTGCTCTCGATAGGCACATCACTGATGGTGCGTTTTTCGTTCACCGCTCATTTTGCCTCTAGGATAGTTGTACACATGGAGGTGTAAGTAGCTGCACTCAAGTGCCCTCATACTCATAGAAGATAGAATACTTACGAAGAACGTCCTCGATGTCAAAACCATTAAGCAAGACGAACGAGAATAACATCAAGCCAGATCGCATAGCCAGGGAGGAGGCCTGTAGTCCGACCGATGAAAAGAAGAAAGTTACCCGCCAGGGGGCATGTCAATCAATCACCGAGACAATAAGCATTACGACAGCAGCATACAGTTGGTCGCTTTGCTTGAAATAGAAATTATAGATAGTAAAAATAGTTACTTAGTTGATATTGCATGCGCATTGAGTAGAGCCTTATCGTTTGTCGTTATCCCTTGGAATTCATGTTTTTTGTGCCGTCTTCGTAATCCATTTTCAACATCAGATCATAGCACACCATAATAGTGCGTTCGATAGTTCCTGCTGTTAGCCTACAAGGAATCGCATTTCCTTCATAGGAAGCCGCTTGTGAGCATTTCCTAAGATGGATGATGGCTTGCATGGATTGCAATGCATTGCATGGATGGCATGGCCAGGCGGAGCGAAGGCGTGACCTTTTTAAAGGGGAAGCGCGCACTTCTCTGCTTGAACGCAGCGCCCCGCCTGACAAGGCCACAGGAGGGCCGCTGCCTTGCTTATCTTGTTGCGCTCTGCCCGCCCGCGGATAGGGGGGGCCGTTTCTCGTAGGGGTGAGGCCGCGCGTGGAATCCCTTTCGGCCCGAGCTGGCTGCAGGGAGGACGCAGAGCCCCCTGACGCCTGGCCGCGTTGGAGATGCCAGGCAGCAAACTGGCCTAGACGTTCGCAGCTAGATAGAAGCCGGGCCCTTAAGTAAGTGAGTAATGGCCGATAGGCGTAAGTACTTAAGGCGTTAGATTATGAAGTCCCCCATTGCCCCCCGGGATGGTATTGCCATGCTTGCGACCAGGGTGCTTACAGTATATTGATACTTAACCTTTTTCGCTATGGGTTCGCGTTAGAAGTAACAGGAATTCGGTGGCTTTTGGCTTTCGGTCTAGCCTTGGTTTCCGGCTGGGTTTAAGTAGGCACACAGCAAGTGCGCTAGTTTTCCTGCGTGCACAGGCTACGGCGCGTCTCTATGGTCCTCTGCGTTGCCGGCGTTGGGGGGGTGGTCTCTGGGGGGGGGGTGTTCTAACTGTTACCTGCGTATGCTGCGCCCGGATGCGAATGCTTCGAAGTTGCTTGCGCCCAAGCTGTTGGAAGGTGAAACGCGACTACAGTAAGTGCGGACGATGGCGCCCGAAGGGCGCCCTGAAAAAAATCTTAGTTCTAAGGAGCGCCATCCATTGCCATGCATGCAATCCATGCCATGCATTTTAGAAATCCGGAAACAGCGAAATTCTCTAATATATTATAAATTTATCTTTTGTCAGTATCTATCTAGAAGATCTGAAAGTGCTGCCTTCACCATGCTCAGAGTCTAACACGTACTTAATCTACAACTATTATCTATATCTACCTTTCTATGCGCTCACTACATGGTGATAAACTAGAAATATGGTGTAGGAATTGTACTAGGCGTGCGCGTGGAAAATAAATAAAGTTAGGGGACGTGAGGTGTAACAAAAACAATATAGTGAAGGTCGTGAAGATCCTCAAGAATGACAAATGCTGACATTTGTTGATATTGTGAAGCAAAAATAAGTATGGGATTGTGATTGTGAGGAAATTCGCTGTGCTTCTGCGTAGTCAGCGATGTCTAGATCTATGAAAGACTGTTGCTTGGTGATGTGCCTTAAGAAGAGATTTGTAAGTTATACAAAGGTAGTTAATATTAAGTAGAAGTAGAAGGCACAAAGTTTTTCGTGGCTAACTCCTACAGGAGTGGCTCACGATTGGACTAGAACAAGTTCGAAAAAGTGTCAGCGTTCCACTAAGGTTTACAGGTGGGTGACTTGACAAGAAGATGCGCAATGCTCTCCAATCATTGAACAAGAGATCGCCATGCTTTCTGTAAGAGAAGAGGAACATAATTGTACATAGAGGTAACATAAGCTAGTAGACATAGAGGCTTGCAAGAGAGTGGGCCTGAACTTGCGAAAACTGACCTCGACTAGATAAATGACGAGACTGGTGCGTAGTTGTCCCTACTACATCTAAGCTAAGATAGCGAATGCCATCTCTGAATCCCATAGTCGTGAATGCTCACCTCCTCGAGGCAAGCCAGCTCCTATCCTATCCTATAGTCGGTATACTTCTGTCGGCAAGAAGTGTCGCGCGGAAGCTGCTGTCTGGGTCAATACTAATAGCCGCAGAAAGAGTAGACTAGACTAAAAGTAAGGTTCTTCCAAGATCTCCAAGGATGGTAGCTTCTAGGTGGGAAAAAAGGAAGAGCTTAGGAGTAGAGTAGTGCATAATTGGGTAGAGAAAAAGTGCAGAGTAACACATGAAAGAGTTAAGAAAATGGGAGAAGGGAAAACACGGAAGAACGCACGGTAGGGGGAGAAAGTGCGGGATTGTCTAAGATTTTTCTTCTACGAAAAAACAAAAAAAGCTTAAAATGAAAGTCTCTGAAGAGAGCAGTAGCAGGAAGGGGAGCTCTATGGAAAACGCATGTGTTATCAAGGTTCTCCACTCTGAGTCTGACTCTCCTCCTTGGTAGATGCGTTGTTGCTAGAGAGAGATCTTCAGTCAGTGGTTCCGAAGAAGTTGCTACTCGAACTCGAACGTGTTTGAAAGTGCAATGGTTGAATCTGAAACAGTAAGTGGCAGATGAGACGGTCTCCTGACGAGGAAGACTTTTGTAGAGACGACTAGAGTCTGGATGAATGAGAAGAGAGACATGACTCCATCAAAAAGGTCTAATTCCTCTCTTATGGGGGGGGGATAGAAAAGTCAAGTTCAGCTCCTTCCTTCGACGAGTCGTATCTTGGCGATTTGATCGAGTTTCAGGCTGTTCTTGAGTCTACTTCGCCCCTGCTGCCGAATCCGAAAGGAGAAAAGGGAAGCATCTGCATCTCAAGCGCAAAAGGAGGAAGTCGCGGTTCGCAAAAAGACCGGAAGCAGACGGTCTTAGCCGAAAGCGACGCCACGAAGCTGGTTAGGATGACGCTGGCGGAGCGTCGAGCTAGAGGACTTTGGGCACCGCCAACGAAACCAGAAGATGAAGCCTACCAAATCTCGAAAGAGAAACTAGTGGAATGGAACAAGAAGGCCATACGGATGGGGCCTCTACGTGGCGGCTGGCCTAGACAAGGAGATGACCTAGGCAGAAATACGAGCTGGGAAAGTCCGATGGTTGAGGCAAAAACGAGCGAAGACACGTGGGAATTGTGCAGGACGTTGCTCTGCGCAGCTGGTGGAGGCTTCGATACTTGGCCAGGAGAAAGTAAGGAGAACATGTCTGAAAAACAAAACTTTCCACCAGCTGCCTCTTCTCTGGCAAATAATACGGAGGTGGCAAGGAAAGTGATCAACAACTTCGACAAGCTCAGAGACGTGGATCGGAAGAAGAAGGAAGAAGAAGTAAAGAAGGCTTATAGAAAAAACTCTACAAGCGTGATCTTGAATAGAAAGAAGCGCTAAAGACCTTCTGAAAGTAAGTAGGCAAAAGACGAGGGCGGTGCCTTGAAAGCTCCTTCCTCCTCCAAGTTGAAGAGTCCTCGAACAGCTTAGCGACTGTTGGAGAACAAAGATGCTACATCGAAGGGCAGTCGCATGGTGCTGCAGTAGAAGCAAAGTCGGTGAGGACAATAGGCTTAGAGCCAGAAATTTCAAAGAGTAAGAAACTTCAATCTAAAAGCAGGGCTCTGCGCTGTTAGAAGAAGGAAGTACTTAAGTGAGTAGAGGCTCTCTTTAGAGAAAGGCAGCCGTCGCCTAGAAGGAAATAGAAAATACGGATAAAATGATATGACTAGCCGCCGGTGACGGTGAGAGCATCGAACTGGGGTAGTTGATTTCTCAACGTGTCTTGCAGTGCCGACTAGGTGTCCGTGGAGTCCACCTAACTGGAGGGCGCTACTTTTTTCGAGTTATTTCAAGTCTGCAGCTTCGCAGCCGCGTGCGGAACAGCCTCATCGATCGTCAACCAACTCAGGCTGCTTGAGAGAAGGGACGATATCAAAAGCACCAGAACAAAATCTTCTGCATCATGTAGAGGGAGCCGCCGGTCAGGGGACTCGCGGAGGATCTGCCGATCCGGTGCTTGAGGCTTAGTGCACCCATGGCGCGAGGAGGTTAATATACTCCACCTGCACCTGCTGCCAGTTTGCGATTGCGAACTGGATGACACTGAGGCCACTCTTTCAGCAGCCCCAGACTAGAAAAAATAAAAAAAAAGAGGCAGGAGCCCACCTGAGTCTGAATCTGAAAAGTGCTAAACGAAGAGCTCGGCAAAACCACTCTGAGCAGCTGCATAAGGCAGAGCTCCTGTTCTGAATTGTGGAAATTTGGAGCCCGCCTCTGCTGGAGTATAATCTACTATATTTTGGAATGTTGACTATTGCAGGCCACGACGCTGTGAAACGTCAGTGGATGACGACTTGCGTGTGAACGGATTTGGTGATTATATTGTCAACACAACTATTGTCAACACATCAGATTCAATTCCCCTATGTACAGGTGATCAATTCTTCGTCTACCACATCAGGAGTCACTGCGTAAGAAAAAGATGTGGTGTCATCAAGAACTGATGAAAATAGATTGGTATAAGCGTTGAAGGTCAAGACTTCGACGAAGTGACACCAGAGTGAGTATTCTCTCGATCATAATGTTTGTTAGTATAGATACAACAAGCATTTTCATCTCTCAAGAACGTGACACCCAATCGCATCCAACTTGCAGGCGGTTAGGTAGACCGAGACATCAGACTGTATTTTCACTACGTTCACGTAAGTAGAAAATAGTTGTCCTCTTTTTTCTGACTACGGTTTTCGTATTTATTCATCGTTAGTTTGATCTAGTCGTATTTATCCGATGTAAATATAATTCTAAGGAACTACATTGTTCATTCATTGTTGTCAAATCTATCAAGAAGCAAGTGTCAGTAACTCTCGCTTAATTATAGATAGATAGATAGCTTGTTAGTTCGTTTAGTCATAAACCTAAAGCTAAACATACGAGATGAAGTCAACTGCTACAGCTACTAGAGGAGAAAAACGCACCTCGCCACCCTACTTGTTGAGGTTTCTGGTTTTTTTCGGAACCATCTTCCCTTCTTCTGTCTTTGCTTCCTTCCGCAATGACTTTCGGAAGGCTCTGCGACGTCAACGGCCGGTCATTCGTTGTGGCGTATTTGCTCTGGGTGGTACAGGAACCAGCTACTGTCAACAAGTCAAGATGGATGTTGAGAAGAACAATGTCGAAGTCGAAAACAGCAAGAAGATACCTAATCTAACCAAGAAGAGTAATGAAGTGAGGAACAGCATCAGCAAGAAGACGAACGAGAAGTTTGACAAGAAGATGAAGTTTGGCGTTGAACAACATCCCGAGGGGATAGATATGGATAGCCCAGAAGTGGAGGCTCTTCGAACTAAAATCGCAAACTTCTTTTGGCCGACTAATTCTACAACTACGGGCAGTGCGGGTGCTATGTCAACAACCTCGACGATAACAACTACTGAATCGTCGTCGACGTCTGGGTCTGTTGTTAAGGCTTGTTCAGGTAATCCATCCCCAGCTCCAGCAGGAGCATCTTCTTTGGGCCTTCCTCTAAGGGAAATGGAAGCCCGGACTGACTTTCAAGATGGATTGGAGCGGGGAGGTGGCTCTAATGTTGGAAGCACTGGCAATGCTAGTTGTGCAAAAGATCATATGTGCAGTGAAAAGGTGGATACCTGCCACACACAGAACAAAGGTGATTCTACTCCTTCGGTACATGGAGCTAGAATTCAAAACAACAGCGCCGCGTTCTTGAAAAACTCTAATCAGCATCGAGAGCAAGCCCCTTTTGTTCGTCGCACCTCGCTTCGTGCTCAGAGTCTTCTTAGACGTCCCTCATGGCGAATTACCTGTCATTGCGATGAGGTAGATGCTTTCAAAGCTAATGGCTGTGGAGCCGAACTTGGATATTGTCGGGGTGACAAGAAGGAGGACAATGACAGTGATCACGCCAAGATCAAAGAGAGTGAGCATTTTTCTTATCACCACCACGCTGAGGAAGAGGAAATGGGTCGTACTGAACAAAGAGAAAAGAAAGAGCTCCAATCTGTTTTACGAGTCCTGTCTAGTCCAGTAGGCTACGGCAGTTCTAAAACCGCTTTTCGCCTTTCAGATGAGGAGACTCGCCTATTCAAGGTCAAAATACCTGACGTTCAACAACAACGAAATGCTGTGGAACTGCTACCTCCAACATATTCTGCTTCTGCTCTACCTAGTCCTCCCACAACGTCTTCCACAACCGATTTCGACAGCGACACAAAAGCAAGTAGACAAGACAAGACTCAAGAAGCTACGGATAAAATCCACGCATTAATCCAAAAAGCACAAGAAGACCATGATCATGGTCTTCAAGAAGAAACTACTTCCTCCTGCTCGTCTAGATCTCCCAGTCCACCTCCGAAAAAACCATACTCGATTCGTCCTGCACCATATTACACACACCCGCTAGAGTGCTCGCGCTCGGCGCTTACCGTGTTAGGATCCTTTTTCCGGAACAAGCATGTCCGAAACTACAACATGACCAACTCTTGGGACGAGTTGACACGGCAACTGCAGTCTAAGATACTGGCACTGCTGGGAAGAAGCAGCAAGCAACAAGTTGGATCTTGTTTGTGTATCCAGGAAGGTGGAAAAGCAAATAACGAACCCTGCGGCTCAGGTCAAGTCCATCAAGGAGGAGACCAGCTTCAGCATCATCAGCCATCTTGTGCTCCTGCTGATGGTAGGTCTTCGTGGCAAGACCTTTCGAACGTACTGGACGCTCTCTCGCGTGAAGAGCATCCCTTTCAAGACGAGAAGACCTGGATCGTCAAGTTCTGCCATCACAATGACTTGTCTCGCGAAAGCAAAAGCAGTGTGATCTATCATGCTTATCTGCAGCAGCAAGCGGGGATGTTTCTGGCGAAGGAGTTTAATCGATTCGTGCAAGAAGCGGAACAAGGAACAGAGAAGGAACGAATGAACATGAATCTCAGCACGATGTTGAGTAAGCGTATGGGAACTTCTCCTGCTGGAGATGGAACTCCAACTGCTGCTGCTGCTGCTGCTGCTGGAGTTGTAAACAAAATTGCGTACCTCCCAACGTTTGTGGTGCGACACGAAACCTCAGGTGAGCTAGGGCTCTTGGAGCCTGAGCTGCCGGTCTTTTCTCAGCCCCTCTTCGTTCGTTCGGGAACAGCATGCGTTGATAAACCAATCCTGGTCAAAAATTAAGGCATGTTGCATGAAGCGCGTCGAGTAGGTGCAGTTACAATTTGTGCTGGTCTTCATACCAATATCTGCGAGAATATCAATGGGTTGCGCTGGTCTTGTGGAATCGTGTCTCATGGATGCTCAAACTTATGCTCAAACTTCAACTCCAATCATCCTACTTTCTAACGAACCAGCCGCCGACCAGGATTAGCCACTGGTCTACAGGCGGCCGTGCAGCACACGCAGATGATGACGACGAAGGGTGCTGATTATGGGACCGAGAGAGTAGGGAAGATTGAAATGGAGCTTTTCACGGCTTTCCGCGATTGGTGCATGGCGACGCACGGCCTCCAGCCTTACGACCCGCAGGGTTTTTTTTGGCATGAGGGGACGCTGTATCTCACCGATGCCTCGTTCAGCACGACGTCGTGGAAAGCTAAAAGTGCTGTTTAAAGAGTGTATCTAAGGTCGTCTAAGTCATTTCTATGATCCATCACGAAGGAAGTCCCCACTCGGAGTGCGAAAATTATTCGAAAGATCTCATTCTCATGCTCAGTAAGTTCTCTTCAGATTTTCAAAGAATAGTACGCATCTATGAGGATAACTTACTGTCTATCGAATTGGTGACGTCTAGAAAGTACTTGTAACCATGCGCCTACGTCAAGCATTTGTTGAGCATTTTGTTTAATCTTGAAGGAGGTCGTATGACGAGAGTCAGCCGAGAAACCTTGTAGTTGTATGAAATGAAACTTAAAGGTAGACACTTGTACTATTTAACGGCGACCTGCTAAATAGATGAAGATCATATGAAGATTTCTAGCACGACCCAGAACATTGAAAAATATTTGCGGCAGTCGCAGGGGCAGATCTAATGATCTTATTAGGACTTCTGTTTTTTGATAAGCCTCCCCTGTGTATCGTCCCTTTGTTTCACACGAATACTTTTTTTTCGAAGGAAGATAGATGCCCCACTGGATTTTCTACGTTCTTTAGCCTACGGCATTTACATTTCATGTGACACAACCCGATGCAGTGCTAAGCTTTTGTTCAAATTATGAGGTATCTAAGACAGGAGAGAGATCCTTTTTTGCTTTCTTTGTTGTCAGCAAGAGCTCTTGGTCTTGTGAACAAAACATTACTAGCCATGAATGAGCGTAGTCGTGACAGTCACACGTCGGAATGACAGTATTGTGCCAAAAAACAGATTGAACAGGTGTAGTAAAGGACACAGCAGGGCGACATTTGAGACTTCAGTTCAAGAAGAAATTGAAAAAGAATATGGAAGTACTCCCTAATCCTCAAGTTGCTAAGTAGTAGGATCGCATTAGATCACGTGAACCACATTTAATCAGGTCACACTGTGGACGCCGGCGAACCACCTCCTATCCTCTCCTCTTCTATCCTATCCTCAAGTAGAACAAAAAGGATGGCAGAGTATCGTCGTGGCGTTTTGATACACAATTTCAATGAGGATGAGTTCGGTCGAGAACTCGTAAAGAGAGGCAGAATCTTGCCTCCCACGCCTCCGAGCATAACGCATTCCGCCTTTCAGGACCCGAGGAGCTACTACAGCGACTATTCGTCAACAGGGGGATCAATTGAGGCTCATGGAGGTGTTGGTGATCATTATCATGTCTATCTTTGACAAAGGTTTTTTGGGTTACCTCGTCCAGCACTTGTTTATTTCCTGGCGGGCTGGCTGCTTGTAGGATAATTCTGAGACTAATATCATGCTTATTTGGATGCACGTAGAAGATCGACTACGACTTCCTTGACCTCTAAGTCACGCCTTTCAACGGGCTCGTGGTCAACTGGGTCTCCGAACTCAACTGCGGCTTCAGTAGAGAGCATCCGCTCAAGTGGCGAGCGCATCCAAACTACTGGTCTGCAAGCCCCATTGCTCTTCGGACACTGTGGGAATATTAGCAATGTTATGGTTTGATAGAGTTAGAGATACATGCACATGCACAAACAAGAGGACAGAAACAAACTCTAAATTTTTCAATTCGGCATCCATGATTGATCTCCATTTCAGTACTAGAAGTTGGCCTTCTACCTAGTACATGCTCATGCACCTCCCAACATTCTGACGGAGATCACTTGTCCTTCGACTTCTTCTAACCCAAGCACCAGAGGTCTACGCCAGAAAGCCTTCGTGACAAGTACGCAGTATTTTCACCAACGTCCAGAGGCTGCTTTAGCCTTGATCGCTAGTGGCGCTACAGGAAATGGGAAACCTTGCAATCCTTGGCATTGCGAGAAGTTCTATGAAGGGAGTCATGCTTTGGAGGTATTTGACTGTTTTTTAGGATGATTGCATGTACTAGTACTTAGTTACTATGATGTTCTTCGAGTGCTGTTTCTCCTGAAGAACATCATTCTTTTCCTATAATTTGTTCAACAACAAGCTAAGTATCCAGTACTGAGAATGTACTTACAACCAATTAAAAATTTAGCAGAGATACAGCGTTTATTTCAAAATCCCCTTCATCCTACGCTTGCACACTAGGTCGCCCGAAACTTCGGCCCGTCGGTGTTGGCTGAAACTGCCAGACGGAATTGGGAGAATTTGAAGGATCCGTACGCTAGTATCTACACGAAGACTATGGGGAATAAGGAGGATCCGACCATGGGTCTCGAGACGAACCGCATTCCTCGTGTCTGTGGAGAATTCACGAAGAAACTAGATGCCGTGTATATCAAGAGGACGGTTTTCTAGAAGGGGTGTGTTATTTTGAACAAATTGAGTAGCTTTGATTCGAAAGTGATCTGCAGAAAGACGTACACGTACTAGAAAATCACGTAACTAGCATGGACCATTTTGATTCGCATAAATCACGCTTGTCATTATGAAGTTTCAGTAAAGGTAAACATTTTAGCTAAATGGCGGGAGACGTGATCCACGAAGATAGAGTATCAACAGTAATATAAATTTAAGTTTCGATAGTTGACCACCGTTGTCTTGCCTCAACATTAAAATCTTCATCATTCTTTCCAGCAGTTGAATATTCCATATTTTGAATGGTAATCCTCGTTCACGCATGCTAACCAATGTCTGTGCATCTTTTTTGATCGTGTAAGCTTGAAAGTAAGTCAATGTGGAGCTTCTGTGCATGTTAGTCGTAAATAAGTAAATCCTAATCCATTTGATGATGAATCATAATTTCGAGTTGATTAACAAGTCTTTTTCTACTTCTCTTCAGATAGAAGTATTGCTTCTGCCGCTCGTCGAGCTACATCAATACAAGAACGCATGTCATGAAAATACATCATTCAAATGTTGCGTGAACCATAATTTTGATTCCTCATGGTTGACGAAAAAATCACAAGCTGATCCAGATATTCCCATATTTTTGTAACCGTAAAAATGGTACCGACCACGACCACCAGCACATTGAACAGGAAAAATGCAAATGACGGTACCCCCATCCACACCTGGCTTTTGACACACAAGAATGGAAATGGAGAATTGAACTCGTGTTAAATGAAACCGTTAGACCATCCCTTTTGCCATCCTGGTTTTCCAGAGCATCAGGGCACACTAGCTTAACCTGTGAGTGGTTTTCTGATTCTTGATTGTGTCGTCGTTTTATATATTTATAACCATAGGCTTAGGCACGACTAGACAACTGCAACATCTTCATCACTTATAGCATCAATGAACAACATCAAACAAGAACAAGAAATGTCCTCGTCGGCTGCCGCATCATCCTCGCGTGGGCCATCCGCTCATGGGCCAGTGCGGGGCAAGGCGAAAGCCAAGGCTTCACTGGAGCAACGACTGAAGCGAAACACCAAAAACGTGCGGAAAAACGTAGAGGTGCGCAACGATGGAGGCAAATTACCACCGGGTTGGATCGATAAAATCGAACAGTGTTTCCTCGGCAAGAAGGACCAGCACAACATAGACGGCACAAGCAGTAGACCACGGCCAGATGAAGCTCCTTTAGTAGTGTCTTTGGATGGAGTCATTCAAAATGAAGATGCTCCTGATCTTCAAGCTGGGGAAGAACTACAAGCGGGTCCTGTTGACAGAAAAATACGCACAATTGTCGAAGCGATAACTAGGGAAATTGAAGAACGGTTTAAGCTCCCGACGAGCCGAAAGCAAGCCGTGATGCGAGTGGTGAAACGACTATCGGCGTCTAGCGACCTCCAGAAAAAACTCCTATCCTCGGAAGTCCCAGTATCGTCCGTTTTGCTGGAGGAAAGCAGCCAAGAGGACTCGTCTAGAATAGATGGAGAAGAAGGTGCAGGACTAGGTGGAGGTATTGGTGCCAGCACTGGAACAAGGAATTCTAAACTCAGTGCTGCTAGTAGTGGGTTAGATAGCACAGAGAAAACAATAATGGATGAAAAAACGAGATTAAAAGATACAGTGCCGTGTCCTGCTTGTGAGAACGGTAGGGCACTTAGAACCTACGGAAAAGTCCCTGCAGGAAAAATGGCCAGGGAATACATCCGTTATGAATGTCTAGACTGTGGTAGGGTGACACAAGTTAATGAATGACTCCAAGAAGTGGAACGTGGTCTTGGTCACTGTATACAAGAGGTACGACTTCATAGTTTCTTCCGAGAAGACAATCAATATCATCCCCTCATCAATTACACCTGGTAGTATAGCGATAAGCTTGTGCAAACTGACTGATAATTGTTCAATCAAACCAGTGTTCTACATTTAAGCTTTATCTTTGGAGCTTTTGCAGATGAGACGAGCACGAGTTGTACTACTAGATGATCTGGAAAGAGTGCTGCATAACTCATCTTGAATTAGGCATTCACAGAGACTTTCATTAGCGAATAATCGTAACTGTGCTCTTTGTTCTCTAACTACACCCGTTCAGTATCTCAAATTCGCAACATAGAAGTTTCCTCTGCTACCTTTCCTCATGTAAACCCGTGTTTTTTCGTCTTCACATGTGACGTATTGATTTTTTCAGTAGGTATAATACTCCTACTCATTTCATCTTATTCTTTGTTTTTTTGGTTGTATAGAGCAAGCTCCTATTCGTGGCTCGCAAAAATGTCTTGGTCCGCGCACGCCACAGAGGACGACAAGAAGGAGTTCTTCGATTCTCCAGACGTGCTCCAGTCGAAGGCCAGAAAAGTAGCAAATCTGTTCCGAAACTCGAAACATGCGATCGTCTTCACTGGTGCAGGGATCTCAACGAGTGTAGGGGTGGCGGATTTTCGATCCGGCTTGAATACAAAATCTCCAGGTGGTCCAGGTCTCTGGGAACGGCAAGCTGATTATGAGAGGAAGACGAATGGAGCTAGGAATGCGTTTACGAAAAATGATCCAACGAGACCTAAGGTGGATTTAGACGCCATGATAGGAAAGGAACCGAGTTTCACGCATCGGGCTATTGCAAAACTCGTGGAACTGGGAATGGTCAAAGCGGTGTTGAGCCAGAATGTGGATAATTTGCATCGGAAGAGCGGGTTGCGGGATAGGTTATGGCTCTGTTTCTTATAAACTTCCTTCAAGTTATTTCGATAGACTACAAGATCCAGTTGTTAGTACGTAGAATGAAATTGAAAGTCATTGGACCATGGCCACCTCTAATGCCAACCCAACTCGCCGAATTACACGGCAACTTGATGGTGGAGACCTGTCCAAACTGCGGCGCCGTCTACGAGAGACCTTTTCGCGTAGGACCTAATATGGGGAAAAATCACATGACTGGCAGAAACTGCGACAAGTGCGGCCATGTTCTTCGAGACAACTTGGTCCCCTTTGGCGAAGGCTTACCCAAAGAAGAAACCGATAAGGCGTGGAAACACTCAGATGGGGCAGATTTTTGTCTAGCAATAGGAACGAGCCTGACTGTGACCCCAGCGTGTGATTACGCAGCATGGGTCGGGCAGAAGTCAAAACCGCAGTATGTGGAATGGTTATGGCAAGGAGGGAAAGTGTGAAAACTCAATTTTTTGTTCGAGTTGTAAAAATTACCCTTATAGTAGTTCTAGCTAATTCTATAGATTATAGTGACCAAACCAAATCTACTGCATCTTCTCACCAGCATATCTAATCTACACAAAAAATCATACTCCGGAAAAAGGCGATCTAGTAATCGTCAACCTGCAGAGGACACCGCATGATGGACTAGCTTCGGAAATCATGCATGGGTTTTGCGATGACGCAATGAAGCGAGTGATGGAGGAATTGGGTGTGGAGTGTCATTGATTTGACATGCAGAATTACCTTCTGAATAGGGACTTCTTACATCATGTGTAAAGTTTTTTGTGTGCAGTGAACATTATTGTAGTAGTCAAAGAAAAATATACTTGTAGATGGAATTCTGCTAGCATAATTACCGGTAATTCACATAGACTGACGTTGAAAATATCTAGAACGAAATCTGGTGACTCAGATTGACACACTATTCTTGGAGGTTACAATCCCATTCCCAGAGCACGGACGTCAACGATTCTAATACGCACATGGTTGATCTTGTTTCGCATCACGGTACCTTCATTCTGATGATGATGAGCAACTGCTACAATTAAGGAGCACTTCCTTCATTCGACCAGGCCATAAAAGAAGTGAAGTATGAGAATGAGCGGAGCGCGTGTGAAGGAGCATAGAATGTTGAGACAAGCCGAGAGGAGACGAGCGACGTGCATTACCTGTCTGTTCACTCATTTGACGAGGCTAAACACGAACCTTTTCTATTAACAGCTTTTTTATTCCTCCGACTGATTCATACCTCTAGTTGTAGCACCCCGAGACCGACGAGGAAATACGTTTCTTGCACTAGAATCTTAGGTACTCAGTTGTACTTGTAGTACGAAGAATGATAAATAAGAATGTCCTCTTCAAACTCATGCTATACTCGTATGCACTTCGCTGCCTTCTTGGCGTAACCTGTTCTGAGTTCTAGGCTCTGAAAGATGTTAATTTTGTGAAAAAGACAATCTGGCCTTTGGTCTTCCACGGTCCATCTTATCATTACTATGCTCCTGAACGCACACGAAAGGTCAATGCTAATTGCATGATGCCGACCTCCCACCTACCCAAAAGATCCATAATAAATGTAGGTAGTGTCACTCTCACCTCCATGATAATTCTCGCTCCTTCCTTAAAGTGAAGATTTGCAAGAAAATTGGAAATGAGAAGTTTCATCTAGTTGTAGTAAGTTGTTATTGTAGTTGTTTCCAATACTATAGTAGTGTCGACGCCGGGTTTACGTATCCCTTCGCAGGAAAGACTGTTGCTGCTAGATACCTGGCCGTTGTGCTTCAGGATTCTCGCAGGGTATTTAAATGTTCTTATTGCGAGGAATATAGACCCAGGTCCCAAAAAAAAAAAAAAACACTGGTGGCAGCGTGAATGAATGAATGAATGAACTATAGTTGGAGTAGTACGAGTTCTTTTGTTCCTGAAACCTTTTTGTGCTCGTCGTTGGCTCTGAACAACAACCCAATTTATTATCTCTAAAAAAATGTACATCTAGTTCTAGTAGAAGTTCTTGTTGAATATCATATAGTTTTACAATTACAGTGTGTAGAATTTGATTGCCATCATTCATACATTTCCTGTCAACTACGCCTAAGTAAAGATGGCAGCCTCTTCCAACTTGTTCTTAGATCAGGTGAGAACCTTGTTGTACAAGGATATCCTCCTCTCCTCGCGAAGTCTCCCGACCTTCGTCTGCAGTCTAATATGTCCGGCGTTTATGCTTTTCTTCAGCACCTTTTTTGTGCTGTTCATCGATGAAGAGATAAGGGTGCAACCTTATCAGACGGTACGACCTATTCTTGTGTTGTCTCGTGTGTGTTACAACGAACACATCATTCAATCTACTACTTGTTGATAGATTAGACCCTATCTGCGTCAGTATCTACAACCTGTAATAATCTTGCTATGTAGTGATAAATTGCGGAAATGACGACCAACCAGCACGACACGCACGACATTGCCACCTCTCGTCTACCTCCAGTCAACCTCCTTCTCTTCCCATACAACAGGTAAACCTCCGCACCCGAGACATCCAATCTGAATACGGTTTTGACCCTTTTCCTGCACAATGTGGCGAGTTGGCCAGTTCAGAGTACCAGGAGAGCTTCGAGTCCTGGCGAGTGGAACAGCAAGTTTCACTGGCACCGGGTTACAATTAAGGCAGCTCAACATAAGTAATGTTAATTCATTTCTACATCAAATAGCACTCATGACTTGCCTTTAGTTTTTCCGGCACTTATCTCACGCGTAACACGTCACTTCTACACGTTTTATTTATTTTTCTGCTCGCTGTCTCCTTTCTAGGAGGGTGAGAAAATGGAAGCAAGAAGTGGAAAAATATTTTGAGCTCTAATACAATATGAACTTCGATTGCTTTCTCGACAGTATGGCGGACTTCGTACCGTTTTGGCGGGAGATGCTTCTACAGGTTCGGCAAAAGCCCGCATGGACCCCGAGGGTTCAGACCTTTGGCATATCCCCAGGTGTGCAGGATGATGAGGCGACTTTGGGTGGCAGGTTTCAGAAATACTTAGAGAAACGCTACGACAAGCAAATGTTCTTGGCGGAGGAGTTGTACAAACTGTTTAACAACGATTGTTTCAATCATACGGGACTAGCGAGTGCAACGACTGCCGCATTGGCGAGGGGAGCGTCAGCGACGGGGCAGACGTTTACGGAGGCGATGACATACGATTATGGCCATTGGGTTTTTCACTAAGTACAAATACAACCTTCTCCTTCGTCATGTGTTGTAAATAAAAAGCACTTTCTTCTTGATTTTTTAGAAGATTTTTGCACGCTCAACTACGTAATTATCCACGTCCAGCACCACCTTAATACAGCACCATGATTCTCCTTCCCCTTTGTTCATATCACCATCTGCTTATCGAGTGCGACGATGACTCCCGTTTCCTGTCTCAGCACCTGTCAAGATGGAGCAACCATAGCTGGTCGAACAGTTCCTCCCGGAGCGGCTAATGTGACCATAGTCGTGAATGCAAGCTACAACTACCCCGCACTAGTCGGTTATTGGACGCATCCCAACAGCAGCCTTGTTGCCACAGATCCTGGCTTCGTAGCACCAGTGCCGCCAGCGGCTGTTGCCGGCAGTTTTGCAGCGAAGTTGAACCAGATCGTTGCTCAACGATTGGCAGGCAACTCGACAGCACTGAGACTGTTGAGAGAACTCTCAGCTGCTTCTGAAGAGGAGCAGGGGATGTACTTGATGAATGCAGAAGGTTCTTCAGTTGGTGCTTCTCTGGCTCCTCTTGGCGACAATGTTGGAAAAGAGCAATTAGAAGAAGTAACTACGAAGAGCAACCACTATGTAGTTGAACAAGAGGACAAGAGGCTGATGAACAACGATAATGACATTACCTCTACTCTTGCCGCTTTTCCGACTTCCGGCAGCGCACTGATTTCTCAGTTAACCCGCAAATTCAACGAGGTACGAAAAAAACGCATGCTGGAGCAAGAGCAGAACAACAAGGGTTTGCGGAACATCAAGAAGAGGAAGAAAGACAGAACTACAGACTCTTTCACAGCTTCAGCGATGACGATGGCAGAACAACGCTCAGAGACAACCCATCGAAATTTGCGTTGGTTAGGAGGGCCGTTATTCGAAAAACTGCTGACAGGTGGAAGCCGAGTGATGAAGAAGATCAATTCAGTAATGTCGGACAGAGAAAACCAGGATCATCTTGCTGAAGTGTTAGAAGAAGAAAGTACAACTGCAGCGACCGTTTTGACGAGTGGTCCTTCTGCGTCAGGACAAGCAACTTCTAGCTCAAGCGCTTTTACTAGGAGGAGTAGTGCTGCTGGTCTCACTGCAGGTCAGCGCTTTCGACAGGCTTTCGGGATTAGCAGCAAGAAGAACGAACAAGATGATGCTGATTCAACATCTCCCTCTTCCCCTCGTCGACGGTTAAAGGTGAACTGCGATACTGCTACTTCAGCTTGCGAATGTGCTAAGATGCGGCCATTCTGTGGTTGGTTCGCACGAAATTCGGACGACATTAGTGAAGGGAATTGTCGAGAAGCCATCAACTCCCGTGGTGGTGCCGAAGGGAACGTTGCCGTGGAAACGAGCTGCTTTGAGTGCCCTACTCAGGAGACGACTATGGAAAACGTTTGTTATCTTCAAATAAGGTAGTGGGTGATTCATTTTTTCCAAGTCCAAGAAGAAGAAAGATTTAACTTTTACCTTATCCTTTTCCTTATGTTTGTAATTCTAATTCCTTGCCCGGCTCCGGCGACCAGCCTTGTTCTCGCACAGCACTCTGGTCTCGCATTGGCACTGCTCTCCCGATGCTCAAACCTCACGTAGCGGTTTTCACCAAAGAGGAGACGATGTTAGACAGGATTAACCATCCGGAATATCCTGAAAACACGCAAATTGGAGGTCGTGCGGTCAGCGAAATGCTCTGTGGCAGTGTTAATTTCTTGACTGGAGACGACAAGGACGGAGCCGTGAAAGATCTGGAAGACGCAGCAGTAAATTTGAATGCTGCAAGAGCGGGGGGAAGGATGCTTATGAGAGCCAAGAAAAGTTTATAAATATTCTACTCTGGTGTTGTAATCCAAATCCTTCATTGTTCTTCCATGATTCATCGACTCAAGTGGCCCGTAATAACACAAGATGAATTGCCTCGCTCTCGTCTCTCTACAACTGTTTATTGTTCTTCTAATTGCCAATTCGATATCAGAACCAACCAATCCGACGTGAGTGGTCAACCCTTCGGATATTTGCCGCAATACCGTGTCGCCCCCAGAGCGAGCGAGACGTATATGGGTACTTATTCGCGTTCGGGTTTCTTAGGCGTGCAGAATGTGGTGAACGAGTTCTTGTCGTGCGATTCTGAAGCTGATAGTTGTTTTGGAGCTGCCGCTGCTGCTGGTAACGGCAACGTTGATTCACGGAGTGCGGCGTTCACGATCATTACGGCTACTTACTTTTTGTTTTTTTATCCCACTTTTGCTTTTGCAAATGCTGTATAACAGAGTAGTTTATGGCACGCGTGGTGCATGGAGTAGCATGGAGTGCATGGAGCGCAGAGCTTTAAGGGGCGCAAGAAGCTCCCCCTTCAGCTCCATGCTACTCCATGTGATCCATGCACTCCATGCCATGCGAGCTGTGAAACCTTACAAATTGCTCTGGTATAAATCTATGTATATTAGCTTCGCTCTTCTCGTCCTCGACGTCATAAGACCATAGGAAAACTGTTCACTTAGTACAACCTTCGCTTACAATAGCAACAAGAACTTGAACTTACTTCCGCAGCTTCTCAACGGCGTTCTTATAGACTCTAATCCACCAGACGCCACCAAAAGACCCGACCTTCAAAAGATATCCATGAACAACTTCGGAATACCGCAATACTGGGATAACGTTAGGCTACGAGCAGTAATGGGAGATAACGACGATGCTAGTGAAGGCCTCTTTTTTGGCCTTTGTATTCCGATTTTACCTTTGGTCGGCAGAGTCTTGTTGGAGAAGGAAAAGAAGATTAGGGAAGGTACTTACTACTACTAGGGCGAGAGAGAAGTTTTTAACTCCAGTTGTACTGATTGTACTTGTACTAGACAAGGAGAGCTACAGCTAGTAGAGCTACAACTTTTAGTTTTTTACTTTTTTGTGTCGAGGATCCTGAGGATGAAGAACACTTGCGTATCAGATAGGCGCTTTTTTCACACTTTACTTGCTCATAATAAGTAGATAATCTAAATGTAAGCAAGTAAAGTCGTCCCCACCTCCATAATAGTAGATAATCTAAATCTAAGCATGCAAGTAAAGTCGTCCCCACCTCCATAATAGTAGATAATCTATCTAAGCATGCAAGTAAAGTCGTCCCCACCTCCACGTCCTCCTCCACGTTTACCACCACATCAGGTATGCGAGCGATGGGCATGAAGGATAGCGCTTACTACCTGGCTGTGACGCTCTTTCACACGATTTTTGCTTTTGCAGCCTCTTTGGTCATCCTCTTCCTGTGGAATGTGCTACCCGATTGGCAGGGTTTCAGCGGCAACGGTTGGATCTTTTGGTGGCTCTGGATGAACACTCTGCATTGTCTACAGCTGGCACTGTTTCTGTTAAGGCTTTCTGTAGTCCATCTTGTCGAGATGAAGCATTTTACTAGCATTGCTAAAGTCGTGGGCAACCTAGCTAGAGATGTAGCATTTTACTAGCACCATTTAAAGTGGGCAATAAAAAACTAATGGTTGATGTTCCTTTATAGTGGGCAAGACCAACATGTCTTTCAAATGAGAAACAGAAGCAGAACGAACCAGAATGCTTCTCATCTTCATCAAAATGGATGGATATACTGAGTGAGGAGGTCTAACTGTCAGTGTCTTCTTCAACAACATGACCTTCGGAAAGATCGCTTGTATGGGCATCGTCAGTATCACGAATTTGTTCGGCAGATTGATGCCTCAGATCGACGTGGCGTGGAGTGTCGCTTCGAGGCTGAGTTTGCGGCGCTTTGTGTGTATGTGGATGCCTGGAACAACGGTTACATACGCGATGCGTGTCTGGTACGAACTCGAGATGCGTACTGATGGTGTGACTATCGATACTGTTGGTGAGCGTGTGTCTGTTAAGGCTTACCTCCGTAATTCATCTTGAAGAGCATCTTAGTTTCAAGTGTTTTCAAAGGGAAAATAATTGTCATAAGCTTGACCAAAGATGCTTTTCGAGATGAATATTTTTATCGGCACTAGAAGAGTCTAATTCTTCTTTGACGACTGACTTCAGTTTCCTGGACTGCATCATGATCAGCCTTTTGGGTGTTTTGTGGATGACTCTGCTCTTCTGCTACGCAGATCAAGTGACGCCGAGTGAGTTCGGGATTCCACGCAAATGGTATTTTCCGTTCACCAAAGAATTCTGGGTCAATGAGGTGTTCGCCTCTTGTGCCAAGCGTAGTGCTGGTGGAGAAGGAGGGGACAATGGAAACAATGCAGAACCTGCTAGCGCAGTGTTGGACCGTCAGCAATCGAAAGAGTCTGAAATTTCGGGTCATCTCGAACAGTCCGGCAAATACTTCGAGTCTCTCACTTTGCAACAAAAATCCCTTCAGCAGAATAACGAGTGCGTGAAAGTGAGAGGCTTGCGGAAGGAGTTCGACAGCGATGGCAGGACTCTAGTCGCGGTGAACGACGTCAGCATGACGATGTACCGAGATGAGATCTTTGTGCTTCTTGGTCACAACGGCGCAGGCAAAACCACTACGTTTTCCATGTTGTATGGTTTGATCCCCATGACCAAAGGGTCTTGCAACTTCTTTGGCCGCAGCATGACTGAGCAGTTTACGAGCGCGCATCGGGGTCGTGTGGGGATTTGTCCGCAGCACAGCGTTTTATGGGATCAACTGACAGTTCTAGAACATCTACTGCTCTTTGCTTACTTCAAAGGTGTCCCGCGTAATGAGGCGTTGCTGCAAGCGGAGGAACTATTGAGGGAGCAAATGATGGAAGACAAGAGGAATGCTATGGCTAGCACTCTGTCTGGTGGTATGCAACGGAAATTGTCCTTGGCGATTGCTTTCATGGGCAATCCTAACATCGTTTTTCTAGACGAACCCTCTAGTGGTATGGACACAACTGCGCGACGCGAGATTTGGGATCTCTTGCGCACGAGAAAGGATGGCCGGGTCATCGTCCTCACCACACACTACATGGACGAAGCCGACGTTTTGGCTGATCGTGTAGCCATCATGAGCCATGGCGTAGTGAAATGCAACGGGACACCGCAGTTCTTGAAGCAAGCCTACGGCTGCGGTTATAACCTGAGCTTCAACTGCGTAGGTTCGGCTTTAGGCGTCGCGGAGAAATTTAGCGCATTCTTGAGTCGGGAGGCCTTTTCTGAGGCTGGCAGTTGCAAGTTGATGACCACCAGCGGATCCGAGATGTTGTTCCTCGTGCCATTTGAAGCCTCACCACAGTTTGAGCGTGCGTTTAACGTGATCGAACAGAGGAAAGCAGACTTTGGAATTGTTTCTTGGAATCTGCATGTCTGCAATCTAGAAGAGGTCTTCTTGAAGGTTGCCTCAGATCAGGCGGATGATGAGGAGAAACTGGCGCAATCAGTTTTGGAACGGGAGCGCACTGTTAGTCGTGAGGTGAGCAAAAACGTTGCTGGTGGTGTGAACAATAAAGGAAACAATGTTGAGAACCTCGACGAGGCTGCTGTTGGGGTGCCATTGCCTCCGAATCCAATGGCTGATGGCAATCAAGGGGTTCCGTCTGAATTTATGGCGAGTGGCTGTAGTTCATAGACTAGTATATAATGCACTCTACTTACTCTCTGCTTCTTGTTTTGTAGTGTCGAATGGATCTTCTGGAAGGTTGCTTATTTCTTCTTCTTCCCCCTCCTCTAAAATCCTCATCAAGCTACAACCACGGCCTGCGCGACAGCTGCTGACTTTAGTTGAGAAGCGTTTTATCAATGGAAAGCGGTCTTGGGGGACGACACTGTGCCAGATCACGTGTCCAATCATCTACCTTTTGATCACCATCGTGATCACCAAGATCAGTCTGATGGACTGGCCGAGGTTGAAACTGACGGCGACAAATCACTACAATATCGCCGTGGAGTCCGAGTCGGATCGGAAATCGATCGCAGGAACTACGATCATCTTGTCGGATCACGATTCTACAGAGTACACTACTTTAAGCACTTCTTCTTTGATGACGCATCTGCGATCGTCGCATGGCGCTCCTTTTGTAGCCAACGCGACGTTGCTCGAGCAGACATGTCCGATGAGCTCGTGCGAGGCAATGTCTTTTGGGAGTGTTACGGCTATAAGCATGCTGAACTCATCATCATCATCATCATCTTCGAGATGCTCTTTTTCAACTTTTCTCTACTTATATATAACTTGTTGAAAATGGCTGTAGATGCTCTTCTACTAGATTGACTTAATACGTGGATGAACATCGCATTCTTGATTCGCTCACTCTAATCCTAGTAGCGGCAAAGGAGCTGTGATGTGGGGTTCTGAGTCGGCTTATGGTGGATGTACGTCCACTGACGTGACGTCCAACATGATTCAACTCAGTGGTGCAATGGGCAAGAACTACGATACCACGACCCAGACTTCTTTTTCAGCAAGTCCATCTATTGCTTCTTCGCTGTTGACTGCCGGTTTCAGTGCCGCAGCCAGGAACCCGCTTGCCCCGTTGAATCAATTGAAGAAGCCAGCGCGCTATTGGTGGCCTACCTCTTGGACTACGGCAGGAGGCATCGGGACTGTTTTCAACGCCATGCGACAGATGGATTACTGGTTGGAAAGGCAGGTTCCTAATGCAGCTCCTGACGAAGCGAAATACGGCGCTTTCATGCTCGGCAAAGACAAGACTGGCCTGATCAAGGTCAACGGCACAGGTATTCACGCTAGCCCAATCTTTCTGCAAGAGTTTCACAATGCGGCGGCGAGGTCTGATGGTCGAGGTGGCGAACGTGTTCCTTATCTTCATCCGCTGCCTACGACGCCAGCAGAGCGGCTAGCAGAACTAAACAATAGTGCTTTCGTTCTGGGCATGGGCATCATCCTCTCTTTTGGCTTCGTCTCGTGCTTCGGGATGGTCTTCATCGTGGAAGAGAAAGAATCAGAAGTCAAGGTTCAGCAATACGTGAACGGCGTGGGCATCAAGCTCTACTGGCTGAGCAATTTATTGTGGGATTTTGCGCTCTACTTGATCCCGATCTTCATGATTCTAGCTCTTTTCGCAGGATTTGACTTGACGATCTTCACGAACGAGAACACCATTAGCGCGACTTTGGCAGTTTTGCTGCTTTTCGCACTAGCCATGCCCTTGTGGAACTACATCTTGGGCCACCAATTCCGCTCTAGCGACACTGCCATGTCGGTTGCGATTGTCCTCAACGTCATTTTCGGCTTTGTCCTCTTCTTATGACACCAAAATACGTTATCATTATCATACTTTTCTACTTAAGAAACTTGATAATGATAACAGATTTTCCTTTCATACTTCTTAGTGGGTTTGTTGTTGGAAATAATTCGGTTTGACACCACGAGAGCTTTGCTGAAAAATTGGGGATGGATCTTGCGTTTCTGGCCGATCTACACTTTGGGCGAAGGCGTAAGGCGTATTCTTTTCGTGGGATACTATTGGGAACGGACACCACCGGAAATTATTCCAGACGCTTTTTGGCCCAAGTGTGAAGAACAATACGAAAATCACGAAGTGCCGCCATGGGAATGCTGTCAGAATATCTTCGACCGATTTGGTGCTGGGCCTGCGGTGACATATTTACGTCCTCTCGCCAATCCCTCCCCACAAACACACAAAATTCACCTCGTTTTCTTTTAATTTACTTTCATTTAATTCTAGTGCAGGGGTTAGTATTCTAAACGACCTACAGTCTAGTCCTCTCATCATTATTTACGCACGAACCTACGTTTGACGGTTTTACTTTTACTTTTGTTGCAAGAAGTACCCCCCCTCTTCCTTCTCTCTAATCCCTCTCGCCATCGAAGTTTTCCTTTACTACGGTATTGCAGTTTTGATCGACTACAGTCAGCAGGACGTGCGCATCAGGCAGTATCTAGAGCCGATCGCGCCTCTGTCCAGAAACGCACCGGTGAATCTGAGACAATTCCGCGACGCCAGCGTTTTGGCTGAAGAGATGAAGGTCGAAAACCTAGCACAAGCAGGCAGCGAGGTGATCAGTCAGAAAACAGGAGTTTTTTGCCGTGCAGTAAACAAGGTCTTCGAAGTCAGTGGTGCCATAGGTGAAGAAGGCGAACGGATCGATCGAAAGAAGAGCTTCTGCGAACTCTGCTGCCTTAACGCTACGCCTTGTGGCTATTGCTGTCCAGGATGTGTCAACTCCTGCTTCGATGTTGGCAGCAAAAAGACGACCATCAACGCAGTCCGAGATGCATCCTTTGCTCTGGATCGTGGTGAAGTCCTCGGATTACTCGGAGCTAACGGTGCAGGAAAAACTACGACATTCCGTATGATGTGTGGTATCGCAGTGCCAGCCAATCATCCTCAAACTGACATGGTTGTCGGAGGAAGAAGCATCATCACAGAGAGAGATCGATGTCGGAAAGTATTCTTACTAGGATTTCATTTGCTGGGCACTCACAGTCACACTCTACACTTGTTTAATATTATAATATTTGCCTGCTGCTTGTCGTCGTCCCTGTACATTGCAACATAACTCTTTTATTTGCAGTGTTAAACAGAGTCAGAGAAGAACAATGAGATAAACAACAAACATCAAAACGTAGGTCCTCGGCTACACCGCTCAAGCGAACCCTATTTGGCCATCGATGACGGTGGAAGAGCATCTCTTTTTCTATGCTTCAGTTAAGGGCGTTCCTTCTGAGCGTTTGCCAGACGTAATGGAAACGACGATCCGTGACATGGATCTCAGTTTACATCGATACAAAAGGGCAGGACAGTTGTCGGGAGGTACTCTGGGAAGTTCTACCGTTTGCAGGCCTTGGCGTATTTTTGCTAATATGGCAGTGAAAATTCAAGTACACATCGACCTGCACGTCGTCAATGCCCTCTTTTCCTATCAAACTCATCTGGATTCTCAACGATCTACGACTTCCTCAATAAGGTAACAAACGGAAACTCGTCATTGCTATGTCGTTGATCGGCTTTCCGCCTGTCCTGTTCCTCGACGAACCCTCTGCCGGAATGGATCCAGAGGCGAGACGGAACATGTGGGCCATTATCCAAAGAATAGCAACTAAGCAAAAACACTCGACTGTGGTGCTGACGACACTTATGACTGGATGTTGAACAAGAATTCTTGTATAGTAAAAATGTTAAAGCTTGAGTTTCTTTGAGGAATCCTTGTATAGTGAAAATTTAAATTGTAATATATTCTCACTGTGTTTTCAACGACTACTTCGGTTTTGTCAGATTCGACTTTTGAGATCCAAAAATTTGATTTTTGAGATTGTTCCTCTCTAACCAGAACTCAATGGACGAGTGTGAAGCCCTTTGTAGTCGTGTGACGATCATGACTCAAGGCGTAATGCGAACGATCGGCACCATTCCAGAGATCAAAGCGCAGTATGGTAGTGGTTTCGACTTGTTCCTGAAACTACGGACCCCGACCCACGCCGAACTGATGTCCATGTGGCAACAACTTGGGCAGCCAGCAGCCCTGGACCCAACGAATTGGCCTGGAAGTGGTGCTGTGAGCGCCGGAGCAAGTACGATGCCAGCATCTGCTATTCCGTCTGTAAACTGCATGCAAGTTTCTCAGTTGTTGGATATGCTGGCGCAAACGTGGCCTTGGCAAAAACGGGTTGCTTGGTTATTGCGCTCGTCGAGAAGCAGCCCTTTTCCAGCTGTGAGCCGCTTAGCAAGTAAACCACAGGATAGGTTATGGCTAATGAATAAATATGAATACTTCTATCAGATATTATACGTGAGCACACGGATCTCTTTCATCTGCTCTAATGGGGATGCACATGTCGACTTCTACATCCTGACAAGGATGAGGATAGTACTTAGTATCCAAATAATCGAAAACTGAAAATACCCGAGTTGTTACTGACTGAAATAAGAGACGTACTAGTCTCGGCAGGGGGCTACTCTTCCTTGTAGTTCAGTCTGTTACTCCTCGGTTATTTCAGTTTCTGTTACAACTCGGAGGTTATTTCAGTTTATTTTCGAGTAAGTTGTACATCTACATAGAAGCAGTACTAGTAGCACTTTCTCTTTCGTCTGCTCTAATTCGCATCACAAATCAAGAGCTGCTGGAGATGCACATGTCGTCATGCAAGGGGAACGTTTTGCTACACTGGTTTGTCCAGAGTATCTACCGATTGGAGCTGACAGACTGGGTCTCTGAGACCTTCCCAGGCAGCTTCATGGTCGACACACAATGCGGTAGCGAACAAGTGACCTTCCGCATTTTTAATGCTGTTATGATATAGAAGATACATGATGTTTTATAAGAACTCAAAGATAATGCGTTACGATTAGTCTCTGTTAAAAAAGCAGGGTTAGTGAGAGTGGTTAAACAACCTAGACAATCTCTACAAATCATCATCATAATTCACAGAATGAAAGAGATGAGAACTATCCTTCTTATAGTTCTAGTATCAACTTCTTGTTCTTCGCGTAAGTCGAGTAATGAGTTCTTAAGAACTTAAGTTATTCTCAGCTAAGTTGAGTTCTTATGTTCTCACGAGCTTAAGTTATGAAGAATGTAACTGTAGTGCTGAACTTGATCTTCATTCTTAGTGCTGAACAACTTGCTCTTCACTGGTGGTAATGAGGTTGATTTTCTACACAAGTTAGAAGAAGTAGATGAGGACTCTAAGGCAAGTAGCGAAAGCACCAGTGGAGGAGCTCCGCCAGCCAAAGCTGCTGCCGCGAGTTCAGCCTCGCTTGGCAGCCTGTTTGGCACTATCGAAAGAGTGAAAGAGGAATACAAAATCCAAGAGTATTCCATAAGCCCAACATCTTTGGAGCAGATTTTCAATACCTTTACACGCAGCGCGATGACCATCCACCAGGCAGAACAACAAGCACAGCAGCCACGGATCAGCCAAGATGCGGTTGGAGTACCGGTTATCGCGATGAATACGCAGGCTAGTCCGGCCAACGTGAGCCAAGTCGCCCCAGTGGTGGATGCTACTTCTGCAGCCGCAGACGCGTAATGATGTGGACTCGTTCGGCGTGGGGTCTCGTTTGATACTATCCAAATATCATGGCCTCAAAATGGTAATAAATCTGAACATGGACGACGATCTTTGCTCATTACTTAGTGCATTAGTCTTCTTGTTCTTTGGTGGTTTATGACTATGAGACTGAATTGATTGCGTTTGCGCAATCTATTACTAATTCGAGTGTGCGCGGTGAAGATGTCCCTAATAATTTGAATTTACTTCTCTTGTCGAATACTTACATTTTTTTCGAGTATGCCCTCATCGAAAACTATTTTTCGACTTCGTGCTTGTCTAATTATGTGATATCTTGAGTGGTGGGAAATGCGCGATCTAATACTGATTCGAGTATGCGCGGTGAAGATGTACCTAATTGGATGTTACTTCTCTTGTCGAATATATTTTTTTCGAGTATGCCCTCATCGAAAACTATTTTTCGACTTCGTGCTTGTCTAATTATGTGATATCTTGAGTGGTGGCAAATGCGCGATCTAATACTAATTCGAGTATGCGCGGTGAAGATGTGCCTAATTGGATTTTGCTTCTCTTGTCGAATATATTTTTTTCGAGTAGGCCCTCATCGAAAACTATTTTTCGACTTCATGCTTGTCTAATTATGTGATATTTTGAGTGGTGGTAAAGAAAATATATGTCAAATAAATGAATACAGAAAGACGGAACAGAAATGACAGTCTCTCTCGGGTTTTTCTGTGGGTTATCTGTCTCTTTGATAGATTCAGGGGAATGTCGTGTATCCAAAGCTTTTTCTCCTCGCTATTTTAATTTTCATGCCAGAATAAAGCTCGGGACTCCTGCTGCATGCCCTTATCAAGTCAGTGTTTGTAGTGGTTGTTGCAAAAAACGAAAACTTTTTTTTTAGTCACCAAGAACATATCCTGCGTCATTGAGATTCGTGATCAGGTGTCAAGTTATGACAGACTCATCATCAAGCAATTGCAGAAGTTCTACTTAATCGTTTTCGCGGTAGTTTTGAGTCAGATTATCATCTGAAAGCACAGCGATATTCGAAGTTAAAGAAGTTGAAAATGATTTTCTGAAAATTCCTTCACAAAAATTATATGATTTTTTTCTTTTACTAGATAGATCTAGAAGGCAATATCACAGGTAGAATCAAAAATCAAGTTCTTGAATGTGTGATCTTAAATAAAATAAGGTGGTATCAAGTTGTTTTGCTCTGCTGTTGAGGACTGTTGTAAAGGGAAGGTGAGTGTGTAAAGAGAATCGAATAAATAGAATAAGAGCAAGTGGAGATTGCTTTCAGTATCTGAACAAGTAGATGACTGAGGATCGATCATGACCGTTCATCACTTCCATTCGTTTGTCTGAGTTTCAATGGACCCCGTCTTGTTTGGTATAATGTGGTCTTGGTCAATACATAGAACTAGAAAAATTTCAATGCATGAACAACTCAATTCTTGTCTGAATTGGGCGGTAGAATTCAAGTTTCAACTACATTCTTGTGGCAGCTTCATCTTAGCCGAGAAACACGCAAAAGATATACTTACTCTTCACATCATCAAAGTACTTAAGTGCCAATTCGCAGCTCATGAACGCACGTTCTTGCTGCTAGTGATACTTCGTCTTCCTATGGATCTACAGCGGATTTTTGAGATCATAAGGTCGCGATCGCATGTTGTGCGCAAATACATGAGGACCAGTGAAGATCTAGTACTTGGTGGACGAGAATACAACATGATCCCTCTCACAGATCTTCAATGCTGATCAATATCGGGATCTACCAGCAACTATGTCGAACAAAGCACTCCATTATTTACAGCAGGAGGTTCGTTTTAAGGGGATCCCAACATCAAGGAAAACTACAACCTGAACCTTTTTCAATTACATCTCAGTAGTAATATGCCCGATGACTCAGACTCTACCTTTACGTTCTTTTAGCGACAAGAAAAGATGAAGTACGAAGTAGTGGAGAATTTCTTGCTGCGATGCGGCGAGAAGTCCGCAGGCGAGGAGTTCCTGGACACGGTGGTCCAACCAACATGGGGCAAGCACTGTCTACTTCCGGTCTATTACCGGATAGAATGCTTATTGCAGAGTGGGTTGGAAGAAAAACTGGTAGTTCTTGTACAGCACTCTGAGTTGTCTTCTACTGCCAATGCCACGGGAACAGCAACGAGGACATCAACAACACACCAACCCCTGTTAGCCCGAAACTTCCAATTGGCACTCTGGTATCTGCGTTTCCTACGTGGATGCTCGGAGGAAACGGGAAATTTCCGGAGTCTAGATACGGCTCAAAGGTTAGAATTGGAGAAGCTTTTCTTGCGAAGCTTGGAGAGACTGTGGGACCAAGACCAACAAGACCGCCAACAAGACCAACAACCTCTACTAGAAGAAGTCCTCTCAACATTCCCAGTGAAGGAAATGTTCTCCCTCCTAGCCTGGGCGTTTCATGTCGAGATGCGTGGGTCCAGATTTGCTGGCTTCTTCAAGAACGCGTTCCCGAAGATGCAGAGGGTTCCGGATATCTTGCATCTGAAAGAAGCGATGGAAGGGCTATGGGATCACTATCAAGGCCAAAGGGAACAACCTCAAGAACAAGACCAAGACCTCCTCGACGCTTCAGATTCCTCAACTGCAGGTGAACACTATCACAACAAGCTCGCAGACCAGTTGAAAGCGAAGTATCAGACACCTTCACAGCACGTAGATGGTGGTGGTCGATATTCTTACTGTGAGTCGACGAAGACAGCAGCTGCTGGCGCGCATTATACCGGTGTCGGCGGAACAACGAGTAGCCTAGAGTCCTTCGACGACTTGCTGCGCCTACTGGTTCCACCAGAAGAATTAGTCTGCCTGTGCCTCCATTCGGATGCTGCACGTGAGGACCCTGCTTTTCGTTTGCGGTTGGCCAAAGAATTCTTCCCTATCTTTAGTACATCAACGTCTTCGTCCAGTGCCTCGTCTGGCACCGCCAACACGAAGAATCCTTGTTCGACCTTAGCCAAGATTGTGTCCGCACTCGAACAAGCAGGATCATGGGAAGACGCGTTGTCGATCTGCTTGATTTATCCGGAGTACACTGTCGATATTTTGGGGTACTCGGAGTTCGCTAATTACGATAGGGAAGGAAAATTGTGGGACGACGAGGAACTTTTAGTGGTACGAGAAGGTGAAGACTCAACAAAAGGAGCTGAAGTCGAAGAACAAAAAGAAGCGACAACAACAAGCTCAACCACCTCGTCCAACTCCAAACTGATCAATGGCGTTCTCTATAATTCAGATCCAGCGCATCATTCCAGAGTTTCCAGTTTTCCAGATGCTGCTCGCAGACAGAAGGAAGCCGACACCACCCATGTCCTCCTAGCTTTAGAATCCGTGCAACTCTTGCCGACTTCGTGGATTCTCCTAAAACGTGGCTTAAGCGACCCGAAGACACGGAAGAGAGCGAAGTTTCTAGTCGAAAGAATCGTAGATCCGAAGGAATTTCAATGGTTTTGGGCAGTGTTTGATTCTCTAGAAGAATTTGCTTCGCATTGGGTCAAGCAAAATTGGCAGAAATTCGAACAGTTGCTCCTTAAAAGTGCTTCTAGTAGTGGGGCTGCTGCAGCAACGAGGACGGATTCATCCGGTGCGAAAAATAGAGCCTCCAAAAACAAGTCTTCATTATCTTCACAACATTCTACAAACAACCAGGAGAACCAAAAGAAGCTACTACCTCTTTCTCTCCCCTGGGTCGAGTTCCTTTTCACACTCGCAATCGGCCATGAAAACGACACGGTTGGGCGATTTGTACTAGAGAAACTTATCGCCACTCAAATTGAAGAGAACAAGTTTTCTGACGCCTTCATTTTCGCAGTCTTGTTCCCCAAAGTAGCCGAACATGGATGGTATTTGAACAACACAACCGAGGAGAACGAAAGCAAAGTGAAAGAGTACTTCCGTAGGATCTCGAGTCACCCACGCAAGATCGTCCGAGCATTGCGGGATTGCAATGTCGAATACTTCGTGCCTTTGCGAATTTTACTAGAGGCGTTGGAGTTGAATTGTGAGCAATGGTTTAAAAATGCGAAAACGGATTATACGGAAGCAAACTCAACACAGTCGCAAGAGATCCAACTAATCAACAAAGTGAATAAGCGAATCCGGAATTTCTGGACAGCAGAGGACTTCGAATATGCAGTCTACGCGGCCGAAAAAGTCGTCAGATCGATGCCGCGTGCCGCTAGGCATAGGATTTTAGGACTGTTGGTTAGGATATTCGTGAACAACTTTGATCCTAACAGCAGTTCACCAACATCTTCAGACAAGAAGAAGACCAAGATTCTATCCGCCTACCATGGAATCCATAAGCACAATGAAGAAGCAGCTGAGCTGTTGCATCGGCATACGCTTTTGGTGCGGTTTTTTGCCGCGATACCCGGAGACTTGATGATGATGACGGGGTCGGCAAAGCCGACAACTACAACTTCTATTGCTAGACGAGGACAACAAGGAACAACAAGCACATCGAGTAGTGGAGGCGGTCTTTTCATCGATGTCCTGGAGAACGATTGCTTCGTGGAATTCGATGAAGTCTGCCGCTCCTTGTGGTTCTCCTTACTCCAAGAGGACGATCAGGCGCCATTCAGCGATGATCATGAGTTTTTGGCTCTAAGTAGTTTCGAGGAGGTGGGAAAACCAAAACAACAGCTGGAAGTAGACAAAATCGACCCACTGAGTCCAACGCAGCGTTTCCTCTCGCAAAAGCGACTCGAAACCGTGAATCGGCTGCTAGCACGGCAAAAGCCTGTCAATCTCGCTTGCGGCAGCCGCGTACTCTGTGTTGGTTTGTCACGAATGCTCTACATTGCAAGTCGGCGACAAGAAATGCTCCTGACTCACGTGAACGAGCTAACCGCGAATGTACATGCGCGTCTCGCCAAGAAGGCAGCTGAAAAGGCAAAAACCGACAGGAAAATACGAGATCGGGAAGATTTGCAAGCAGCATCCTCAATCTACGCAGATATTCGTGGAGGTTATCGAAATCCGTTCAACACCAATGCGATACGGGAGATTATAAGGACTAGAACCGGTAGTTCTGGTACTGCTTCTGGTATTCAACCAGGTGGTTCAGGACATGTGAGCTCGAGCAGTGCAGATGGGACTGATTTCGAACAACTTGATGCTCCTGCAAGAGCTTTAACTTCATCTTCTTCAGCTGAAGAATCACAACATAACCTCCTCCTAGACGATGAAGAACAGGAGCGTCGATTGAACTCCACAGGAACCGAGACGCGACAACAAGTCGAGATGATGCGAGCTTGTCTAGTTCATTTGGCTGAGATCCTCGAGTGTCTCTACGCGAAAGCTTACCTTCCACGCGCCTCAGTGCAACACGCGATTCTGTTGTTCAACTTGTTGCAGTCGCGTGGTTTGCTGGCTGTGCATTCTAGAAGCCGTGGACACGGTGGTTCCAACTCACAGGGTACTATTGCAACATCAACATCTAAGGCACAAGCGCATATGTCCAGTACCAGTGGCCCAGTATCATCTTCTGATGCTGAGCAGTCTGTGGGTACCAATTTTGAGCACGTGAGTATGGATGAAGTCACGCCCATGACGACAATGCCGAAAGTCTCCTCTTACTCAACGATCATGACGACAGAGTCGAAACCCCCTACTGTTCTCAACTATGCTCCCGACTCTAGATGGACTGCAGACCCGACGAGATCGAGAAGTGCAAGACCGACAGCTACAACCACCGCTTCTGCTCGAACATCTCCTTTCCTTGCGGTACAGCTCGACACAGATCCTCTGTGTTTCTACATCCATACGGCCTTGGACAAGGATCTGCGGTCTAAAGCTCACCTACGCACTTGGGATGACGCTAGTTTGCTCGCCACTGCACTATACCAAGTTGTTGATACTTGTCCTCTGCCTGCGGATGTGGTGCCAGCGTTTGCGGAATTAGTACTGAGAAGTTTGTCTGGTAAAGCAGAAGGCGACGCGGATGACGAAAGTTCGAGTCCTCTAGTACTTGGTAGTAGTTCCAAATCTTCAGGAACAAATGCTAGAAGTTCTAGCAAGGAAAGCACATCAGAATCACTTAGGGACGAGATTGGCGAGGACGGTGGATTGCGCAAAAAATTTCATCCAGCTGATGACCCGACCAACATTTTCATTGGATGTGCTTTAGCAGGGCCCGTCTATCGAGCACTTTGTCAACAGGAGCGACAATCAACCACAACTATTACTTCTTCTGCACGTCAGAACAAGAAGAGCCTGGAGCAATTGTTGAATCTGATGCTCCCATTGATGTTGAAGCGTCTGAGTTTTCAGGGGTTTCAAGTCCCGCAACAAAGGAAGAAGGAGCTTGAGGAGAAGATGAAAGACGCACATAAAAAATCTTCTAGACAACTCATGCCAAAGTCCTCCGAGACACAACAGCGGTCGTCCCAATATTCAGACTTTGCTGCTCAATACTATGCAAAATACGCGGTGCAACCGACCGGGCCCGACCTAGCGTCAAAAGTTCTGCTGAAAGATGAGCAGGGTGAGCAACAAGACACTGAAGACAAACCACATCCTTCCACAGAACAATTTGAGCATGTAGGTTTCGAGCATTACCTCCAACGCGCGTTGAAAAGTATGGCAAAGACCGACAAACTTTCAGCCGACGCCGTAAGATTGTTACAGGAAGGCTTGCCAGCCGACGCAGAAAATATCTCAAAGAGTACTGCCCGGCTAGGGCTTGAATGGCATAAGTGGCGCAGTTTACATAGCATCTTTTCGAGTACGAAGCAAGTGCAAAGAAATACAGCTAATTTTCCGCTTTCCACACTGCTGGAGGCCTTTGAAATCAGTTCGCCGCCTGAAGCCGGCTTCATCGCGCAAATGATCGCGGAAACTAGAGAAGGCTGGGATCTAGAGAATCTACAATTCTGCGCTCGTGTGGTCGGCGGCTTGCTGAATAATCCAGCAAACACGGGCTACGACTACGCCATTCTCTCCGAGGCTTGTCTCGCGGCTTTCAACGTGCACACACTGAGTGCTGAACTGCGGCTGACGCATGCGTCTGCGGCTTTGTTTGGTGAACAAGAAGGTAAAGGTCCCGTAACGTCTTCTACGGCACTACAGATAAACAAAAACACCAAAGCTATCCAGCAACAAGCAGCCTTAGCCAGGAAGTATCGTGAAGAGCTCACACGTGTCAGACATGTGAAAGACGCGGATGAAAAGTCCTACCTCGCAACGTCTTCCGAAGGATCCTCCGACAGTGTGGGTGGCTCTCCCTCTCCTTCTCCTTCTCGTCCTCAGGGTGATCCTCAGAAAAGCCTAGAAGTAGAACCTCTTGACAGGAGTGATGAAGACCGTGATAGGAAAAGCCTAGAAGTAGAACCTCTTGACGGTGACCACGAAGACCAGCATTTCCTAACCCACGATGAAAAGGACCAACTGTTAGAAGTAGCGTGGATGGAGGAGCATGCTCCTTTAGGGCAATTACAAGAGATAGATGGCGGTTCTGAAGAAGGAGAAGTTGTGATGAACGGAGCAGCTGACTTTTCGAAGAGGAAACTAGAGCAGTTTCTTCAATCTGGCGGAAAAGAAGAGGATGACGAAGAGGAACTCGCACGCTTGCCCCTTCTACGTCTGTTGTCGCAGCTTTTAACGGCAGGAGAGACGCAGGTCAACGTGACGCGTGCAGCAACGTTGCCGCTTCTTGGAGCTTTGGCATCTATTCTGGAAAATCGGAATTTTTCCACTTTGCCAGCTTGTTATTCTAGACTGCTTGCAAGGCTTCTCGTTTACAATGAAGCAGTGCTGAGGGATGCTTCGCATACAATTGCAGAACAAGATTTGGAACCGTATGTGAATATTGCGAAACAAGCGTCGAGTGCTTCCCTGAATCTTCATGGTCAGCAGCAGAGTAATTCTTCTAGGACTTCAGCTTCAACCAACACCCGTCGTCTTGACCCTGACGTCGTAGCTGCCATTTCCTCTAGCAGCCATAGTGAAGGGGAAGCTAGAGTGCCAAAAGGGTTTCCCTCGACGTCTACAGCCACTAGGTCCGTTCAGACGGCTTCGTTTGGCCGCGCTGCTCCGACTTCTTCCCCCACTGCTACACCAGGGGCAAGCCTTTCCCGTGCGGAGGAATTGTCTCAGTCCAGTGCATTTGTTCGTTTGACAACCTTGTGCTTCCTGGAACGACATCCAGCCCTCGCTTCCAGTGTCGCCTTTGCGCTTGTGTCCTTCCTCGACAAACAGGCCAGGCAGACTGGTGCGCGTGTTGCCAAGAAAACCAAGAACAAAGACGCTAAGAAGAACGGAAATACGGGAGCTAATGCAGCTGCAGCTGCTTCTCCTACAACGTTTCAAGATGGCTCTTCTACCAATAATAATGCCAACCAGCAAGAAGGTTTCAAACCTCTCGTGCCTAACAATCTAAGCGACTACCACCGAGCTCAATTGCGTGCTTGGCAAGCCATTGTAGTTTTGCTGAACGTCATGGAGCCCCATTGGCTAGCTGCGATTGTGCCTCGTATCATGTGGCACTTCGGTCTACCACAACTGCCTGACGTCCGATCGTATATGGAATACGCCTTATGCGTGCTGGCCGAGCGGGAGCAAAGAAGACGAGAAGATATTGGCACGAAAATGAAAACTCGCTACAACGGGGGGAGTAAGGCTGCAAGTGGAGGTCGTGTATCGGAGTATTTCACTCGGGAGTTGACTCGCATCTTGGATGAAGTTGGCACGGGGACTCCACAAGTCTTGGCTTCTGCGATTTTAGTAGCAGGTTACTGGGCAGAACGAACACAGCTGCTGCCGCGAGAACTTCTGCTCAATACGCTGTTGGTTCCCTACTTGACCAGCAACGTTGCTTTGGTACGTGGAACCGCGCAACTAGTCTACTACAGACTGTGCACCATGTCGGGTATAACTGCTGCTTCATCCAGCGCTACGAACCCGGCTCCTGCAGGCGAACGACGACTTGTGAATGCCTCTCGACGCATCACCGCAAGTAGGCAACAAGCAGATGGTGTTTCGTCTGGGGAAGTCGTAACTTGTTTCTCACCTGAAGAAGAAGACGAGAGCACCAGCATTTCCTTTGCTGAGGACCAAAAGAGAGATGATCGAAGTGGTAGTGCCTCAAGAACAAATAAGACTTCTACACGCTTGTTCAAAAACAATGAGACTCCTGCACCAGCATCTGGTGCGTCTAGAGCAAACCCTAATCATGCTGCTGCAAGAAGAGGATCTTCACCACGGGCACGGCCTACTTCGCGTAGTCCTTCTCCTGCATCCAGAACAGCACTTGGGACACGCGAACAAGATCAGCAAAGGTCCCTCCAGTTCCACCACGCCCAACAGCTCCTCAGAATGCTCACCGAGCACAAAGACAGCGTCAAGATGCGCCAACGCCTCGAGCAAAACCTAGACTCCTGGGCTCCATGGGAAAGGAGTCAGATCAGCACACTGTTTAACAATAGAGACGCTGTCTACGACTATCGGCCGAACTGGATGTTCTTGCAAGAGATGAAGCAAGCTATAGACGTGGAAATGCAGGGGTTGTGGCACAAGCATACGGAAGCGGATGAGGCGTTAAAAGTGGGACCTGCCGGGTACATCTGGCTGGACGAATCTGAAGGGTTGTTGGAGGACTTGAGAAGGAAGGTAGCTGTAGCTGAGAGTGGCTCTAGTGCTGTTCCACAAGAAAGTGTCCAAGGACAACTTCTCGCTGAAGATCAAAAGACGATGGGCGAACAAACGAGTGCAACTGGCGAACAAGTAGAAGTCCAACTGCAGCGAAAATTTGACCCTTTTGCTGGCAGTGCGGGACAGCTGGACGAACTGTTTTTGTCTCTAGGTGCTGCTGATCAAGCTTCCGACCAAAAATCTGGTAGAGAACGAAGCAATTTGATAGTTTGCGCTTCTTTGATCGACAAGATTCCGAACCTGGCAGGTTTGTGTCGTACCTGCGAGATCTTCAGTGCTGAGGCGCTGGTCGTGAACAACAAGGACTGCGTGAAAGACCCTTCTTTCACGTCGGTTTCAGTCACTGCAGAACGGTGGCAACCTTTACTCGAAGTGCCAATCTTGGATGACCTCCTCACCGCTCAGAGAGATGGCAGAAGTACTAGCAAGAAGTATGCCAAATTAGCAGAATTCCTATCCCTCCAGCAGCAGCTAGGCTACAAAATCGTAGCAGTGGAGCAAACGCATAGTAGCGAATGCCTCAGCAAATTCCGCTTCCCTCAAAAGAGCATCCTACTTTTAGGCGCTGAGAAGGAGGGTCTACCTGCGGAATTGTTGCATTTGTGTGACAGCTGTGTCGAAATCCCACAGACGGGAATCATCCGGTCTTTGAATGTGCATGTTTCAGCTGCCATGTGCGTGTGGGAATACACGAAACAGCACTGTGTTGCTTGAAGTGATTTGCCATACGGGCTGATAATATGAGTGTCGCACTCAATTGAACAAGTAGAGCAACTCACAAATGTCAACCCGACTTCTACTTCTATTTGCATATTTCTGCATCATTTTCGAATTCAAGCTGCCCCTCAGCACCAACTGAACACGAATCTCTGTGCAGCATAGAGATACTGCATCGCAAGTACTACAGTTTTTCAGTGTCCTGAACAGATCTCTTTCTTTCCGGTCAAGTTCAAGATAAATTGGATTTCCAACGATCATCATACATAAGTACATTGTTATTGTTTCGAGTGAATGAGGGAAACAAGGAGTTGCAGACTAAAAAAGCGAAAGAACGTCAAGGTTGTATGTTCCAAAATCGGTATGTTGATGTTGCGAGAGAATGTCTCCTTCTAGTAACTAAGCACATCTGAGAATGAGAGAGACAGCCATAGGCAATGAGAGAGACAGCTACCCTGCTTGTCACTACCGACGCAAATATCAAAAAACTTAATCAAGGGAACAATTACAATTGATGATCGTAGTTCCACTTCCAGTGTCCTTTTTTTGGACGTGGTTAAATAACTAGTCCACTTGTTGACTTGAGAATAGAAATTCTACGTAGTGGAATATATAGACACGTGGGCTAAGTACCAAGGAGCGTTCTTGTTCTTTCTTGTCCTGCTGTTTTGCAGGAGCAGGACAAAGGCCACATAAACGGAGGTTGTACAACTTTGCGCTGGTCTACCTTGTCTATTCTTCAGAGACATGAACATCAGAAAAATATCGACAAAATTCATACGTACAGTTTGCGTGTTGTCAAAAGTGTTGAAAGCCTGTTCCTTCGAGAGAGGACTCATGCTTGCTGATGAGCCAAACTTCTTACAAAAAGTCAAAGAAGATTCACCAAGTCGTCCAAGCCTATTGCAAAATCTGTGGCCGATTTTCTTCTCTTTTTGTCTGTTCAGCGCAAGCATGCAAATGTGTTTTTTCTGTCCTCCGGCACGCACAAGTGTCTAACTAGTACCCACAATCACCCAATCCTCAGCCTCACCTGTGCATATTTCAGTTTTTGTTGTATTGTTTGAAATCTCCTTTACAGTTTTTTCGTCATGTTGTAGATCCCTCCGCATTGATTTTGAGGAGCAGTACGATAAGATGTTGATCACAAAGACGGGGGCGGTTGCTTCTAGGACATCAAGCCTGCATCTTTGCACTTGTACAATGTCACATGTGAGGACTCATGACTCCTTCGCCTACTCCTACTTCTAGGTACAATTACCCAGGTAAAAAGTGAAGCCCAAAACCAACCTGCTCTCCCTCTCTTCGATTTCAAACAAGCAAGCATCACCCACGACCCTAGCCTCAACGTCAATTACTACGCTCGATGAAGTAGAACTTTTCACCCTACAACTTCACGAAAACCACGGCATCTACATAATGGGTTGCGGTGGCAGCAAGCAGCGACAAGCACCTCCCGCTGAGGCTGCTACACCTACGAAAGATGAGCAAAACAAGAAAACCTTGTTGACTTCAGCGACGCCTGAACAAGGAGGAAAAACAGCTACAGAGACGTCTGGGAATGCAGCTCCTACTGGAATCACTTCTGGCGATACAGAAGTGAAGGCTACGACTACAGCTGGAACAACTGCAACTGCTGCCGCAGTCACAGCTGCAGGTAAAGACGCTACAACAACTGGTGTTGAACTACATCAACAAGATGTACTCGGACTAGGAGAGAAGAAAGCCACTAGTACGCCACCATCAAGAAGGAAGCCCAGTACGGGAGATGAAGGACTAGAGGCTACCAAGCCTGTATCCGCAGAAGGCCAGCTTGTAGTCAACTCCGCAGACCTTGGAGAAATCACCATAAACGAAGGGGTAGAGGGAGAAGCTATAGATTTATGGCAAGTGGTTGTGAACTAGCAGTAGAAGGAAGTTCCTTCTACACAAGCAGATGACAATGTCACGCGGGCTTCGCATGATTTTCTTCTGAGAGAAGCTCACTCGTCGTGCTATACCACGGGAGTATCCTCAGGACATGAATAACAAGTAAGTACAACTATCTCATGTAACTCATTCATGATCACTGAAGACTTCTTCTCTCACACCCCGACGCCTACCTATACCCCACTCTCGTCTCTCCCTCTCTCCTCGTCTAACCAAAGTCGCCAAGCACTATTCCATCTCTTTCCCAACCTCACGCTTCGATCCGCTGGAGACTGACTTCTATACTGCATCCTTCGACGATTCAGCGGCTGCGCGCTTGCAAAGAAGTTGCGGCATTTTCGACGACGTGAACACGACTAGCCCCAACCATGCGGCTAATACCGCGAACCTGGTGCCGCTGTTCAAAACAGAAGTTATGGACGGGGACAGGACCCCTATAATAGAATGATTTATAGAACGGATGTAGGATGGACTTGGATGGATCGGATGGACCCCCCTAAATCTTCCGGTCCTACTTGGAATGGTGGGAAGTCCATCCGTTCCATCCGATCCATCCCATCCCGGATCTGGCGCCCGTATGTATAAACTATTCTAGTATTTGCACACAGGAGCATGCAGAATATGAATAAGTAGCTAGAACTAGGTCGGTTTGAATTGCTTTCGGAATTACTTAGGCTAAGAACTTGTGCCAATAAATCCACCGAGTCAACACATAGTACCACTAAACCACAAAAAATTGCTGGCAAGCCCGTTTCAAGCTCTCCCGTTCTCGGTCTCGGTACCACAGTTGCCCCTGCAGAGCAATTTACAATCAAAACACCAGCTGATGAGGAGGTAGCTTGGGGAACGCACATTTGGAATTTCGATTTTCTTAAGTTATGGCAATCTTCGATTCTCTTTCTATTCCTCCACCTCCAGGATCATAGTGTTAGAGCGCCATAAAGTAGACGGAGACTCATACATAGCATAGATAAGTACTTGATGATACATCAAGAGCAAGACCAACTAGGACTAGTACATACGACTAGTACACTGTAGTTACCTCCGCCTACTATTCAATAAACCAACTTCTTGTTACAACTACCCCAATAATTACAGTAACAACTACACTGTTTGATGTGTAGTTACTCTACCACCACCACCCTGTAGTTACCTTCGCCTACCTGTACCACCACCCACCGCCTACCTCTACCTCCGCATACGACTAGTACACTGTAGTAGTTACCTCTGCCAACTTCTTGTTAATACAACTACCCCAATAATTACAGTAACAACTACACTGTTACTAGTAACACTGTTAGTAACTACACTTACTACCCCAATTAGTAACACAACAGTTTTTAGTGTAAAAAGTAGTTACGCCACCACCACAGACCGCCCTCTTCTAATCGGAGACGCCGTGTCCAATGTTCAGTTTCCATGGGACGATGCCAAGTTCGGCAATGAGGTTAGTGATGAAGACCGTTTTCATGTTTCGATGCCCAATGCTTTTGGGAACTTCATGGATGTTGCTACGCCAATATCGGACCAGGTAGAAGTTTACTTTTGTGATGAATTTTTAGCAACTTCTGGGTAGAAGTTGGATCGTCGTGTGACGCTCAGATTTGGCGGCGTGTCATACCCATGCAGATGTGCTGACTTGCTCACGTGGCCCCGCTGCGTCGGGTTGCGCCTTAGTTGTTCTACAGGGGTCGAATGTACGGCTTCTCGGATAGGTGTAGATTTGTGGCCGAGTGTGCGGTCTTATTCGCCCCCAGTATGTAACTCGGATGACAATTTAGTTGAGCATGTTAATTGATTGTTTGAAAGGGCGGTGGCATATAGTCCTAACGCAAAAAAAAAACTCTACGGGTCCTAGGAACAGAGCACCATCAGAGGCACACACATGATATGACATGACACATAGTTGGATCGTGAAGTAAGGCTGCTGACGAGCTCTAGTTGATGTAGAGCGGTCTCATACATTCTCATTGGTGCTGAAGTAAGATCTTCTTGATCATCTTCGTTCGTCAACTACATGTTGATGTCTGTAGTTCCCTCAAATCCACTTGCCCTTAAGCAGGTCTTCGCCGGCCGAAAGCGTATTGGAGATGTGAAACCACTTCCACAATTCGTCGAGACCTCCAACTTTAACACGACTCTCGTTGGAACCCCACGAGTTCCATTCACGAGTAGCAAAGAGTCAAAGGCTCTCTCCACGGAGAGTGGGGGTTTTACCACTAGCCCTTCGGTTATGACTTCATGTTGTAGTTCAACCATGTTGACCATGAGCTGCAGACAGACCGTAGTACTAGTATGTGTAATCGTACTAGATCATGTAGTAGAATTAGAAGTGAAACTATACGCGTTCGTTGTCGTAGAGGTTGTTCCACTTGGATAAGTACAATCACAACTAACTGTGCTGCATACAACTCGTCTAATCCCCCCTCCGGCGCCGCTTACAACATGAACCTCTTCCCGACTATGCATAACACGCTAGTCCCACCGTCATCGATTCTAGCGCCGATCCGTGGCCTCTCAGAAGCAGGTAGTGGAGAAGCGAAATTTCTTGTTCCGCCAGTCGGTCTGATAGATGCCGTACCTGCCAGTGTAGAACGAATGAACAACACAGCGCGCAATATCACAGAGAAAAGCTTGGCGGCAGCGAGTTTGAGTGTTATGGATCCGACGATATTTCTGTGTCGAGTCATGTACTACTTCAACTGAGTTTGAAAATGCACTCACGGCAGTTGCTGTAGTGCACTGCGATCAACTTGGTTCCATGTCCATCATGCTGTTAGAGATCACCCTCATTTTGCTTGATTACCATTAGTAGAACCAAACATGATGAACCTTGACCCCTCTAACCAAAAGGATGAGCAGCAATTGTTGCGCAGCACGGCCTCTGGTGTGGTGCCTTTGCAGTTAGGTGGAATTTCTTTTGGCGGTGCAGCTGACGGAACTCAGAGTCCGCGGTTGCAAACCTCGCCATTACGTGCTGATTTACTGTCGTCGTCACGAGTATGATTGGTTGTTCAAGGAAGATGTGATGTAAAAAAGGGTGAGAAGCAAGTACGACGACGACCACCTAGAAAAGGAGAAAAAGGACAAAAGCATAGTCTTATAAAAAACGGTTCGCAAATGCCAGGTAAACACAACAGCGCTCGATGCCATCTTCCGAGTTGATGAAAAATTCTGAAAGCTAATGCATGATGATAAAGTTAATACAGTGAGAGGTTTTATTTCACATCCACACCACATCATTGATTGTTCCTCGATTTTCCATCGCACAGAATAGTGAAATTTCATGTCATAGAACAGTTGCAGAATCAGCCGAATCTGATGGATCAAGCTTTGCCTTTGCTACAATATTAAATCACTTCGATCTACTTCCATTAGTGACTAAAAACAAGGGAAATAGATAATTTGTTTTAAGGTCGTGACGTTTTTTTGCAGCGCAATCCAACGCAAGTAATATTTGTACTTCGAAGATCAACATTATATTCTCCTAGCATGATGATGTTGTTTTTCATAACATTCAAATTTAACTTCAAGAATAGATGAATAGACGGCCAGCATGGTACTAACTACAAGGAACAATGTAGAAGTCGAATGAAGAACACAAGAAGAAGAACTTCGACTTGATACCTTGATACCCCAAAACATCACACGAAGTTGCATTTTGAAGACCATCGTCCATTGCACATTCATCATCACAGCACACAGCATGACCTTCATCAGCTACAACAACATCGTTTAGAATTAGTACCAATCCGAAAGACAATTAAGAACAATGCAGTTGTACAGTAAAATATGGTAAACCATCAAAAACAAAATTACATTCATCAAGTAGAAAAGGAATAGCAATTTTACACGAATTATATCGGAGGTTTCGCATTTATTTTCACGAACATTATCCTCCTGCCGTTTTTATCAAAAGCTAGTGAACGACTAGAAACAGAATACGACATTTGCTACTCAATCATGTTGATGTCCTCGTCATAATTTTTGCTACAACATGAATAACAAACCAATCTGGTCCAACCACCCGAGCCATGATCCCGCACCGTCTTCGACTGAGAAGTAAAAAGCAGTAGCCAGGTGGTAGCACCAGCAAGTGTTCTCATAATATTTTCTGATTGATCTGAGTGAAATGCACTGATGTTTTCTAAGCCCAGACTTCTGGACGAGCCCTGGCCGCTGCCTGTCGCAAGCCAGAAATCTCTTAATCTTAATCTTGATATCCGCTGGAGTATGCAGGTAAGACAACTGTGGATGGCGGATCAAATCCTATCCTATGATTTTGAACCGCAATCGGCGTTGGTTCGTCAAAGAAAACGCCTTTTTGAGTGTAGGTAACAAGGAAGGGCAACGAAGTACCAAAACCGAGAAGGAGAGAAGTTAGAGAAAGGACTTCCACGCACGATAGCAAAACAACAACCCTCAAGTTGTAGAGAAAATGAAGGGTCTCCTACTCTTGCTGCCAGGTGTTTCCGCTGTTGTCCCAACTCATCCATTGCAACAAGCGGCACTGAAGATTAGCCAGCGTGCGAAAACTAACCAAAAGGGGAAACAAGATGGGAAGGTAACTCCATGTGACAACGACTGAATTCGAGTGTCATGATACTAGATACGTTTAAGCAATTCCAATTAAGCCACTTGAAATTCCAATTTGACGAAATCGAAATTCTTCGTCATAGACTTTTATTCGTCAACACACGACCAGGTGCAGAAAACAACGGAGCAGGCATCTAACCAGAAAGTCGATGTCGACTCCACGGCAGTGACAATGGCAGCCGCACGAAAAATGCAAAAGCCCCTGCAACAGCACGTCGCAGCCCCTGTAGTAGACAAAGAGGTGAAGAAACTCCTACCTGTTCTCGAAAAAACAACTGCAGCTAGTGAGAAAGGAGTTACTACAAGAACAGAAGCAGTGACTACGACCTTGCAAGACCAGCAATCTCCCTCGTCTGGATCTTCAACCCCAACGTCCTCCACTGGTTACGTTGCCAGTCGCACTACCGATTTTTTACGAGTCTTCTCCAGCAAGAAACGCTCTAAGAAGGAAGCTCCTGGAACAACAGACTGTGCCGAATTCACCTACCACAACGTCGCGACTGACGCGGGATGTCTGGCCTTGTGCGAGACCATCAGCAACATTGACGTCCGACGCAACTGTAAGTGGTATTCGACGGAGGTAGACCTTTGCTCTACATCCGAATACGAGTATGCAACTTTGAGCTATAAGTTAAGAAACCAGTCATGACCATACAACAATGTTGCAAATCACCGTGATCGCAAATCACCGTGATCATGTTCTAGTTGTACTACTACTCCTAAATTAACAACCGTCTACTTGTTGTACAAGAACGAAATATTATATGTATAACAAGATTTGTAAGAACCTCTAATTTCCGGAGTAGGCGTCCCGCTGAACCTGAAGTCGCAGTGCGACAAGGGCAACGCCGTGCCACGATGCAAGATTTGCGACAGAGCCATCAACTTCGATGAGCAAGACTTCGTGCATGATGGTACTGCTATTTTGCGTAGTACATGATCGATGCAAGAAAAGATGTTACTCGAAAACTCAAAATAAGCGAGTTACTGACTGAAATAAGGGAGGTACTAGCTTATAGCATCAAGGCTACTCATCTTCCTTCTCATCAGTATCTCCCTTATTTTCAGTAGTTACTTGCTTATTTCAGTTTTTCGGGATTTTCTGACTCGTGATTTCATTTTCTAACAACACACGCACCAACAAAGAAATGACCAGGTGCTGGCGACTTCCCCTGGACCGTGCTGCAGTCGGATACGATGCGATACGCGGTTGGCTGGTTCTCTTACCTGCTGTGGTGGGCAGTCTTCTTTAGCATCTTCGGGGCTTTGATCTTCTACGTGAGGAAGTAAGTCCGTAGCCAGGTTGCCGCAAACATAGTGAAGCTTGCGGTTCGGGTTGGTTAGTTGTAACGTTAGATAGACAGCTTCATTGTATAGTCAACATCGACATTGTTCATGATCATGTCGAGCAATGCTTGCATAGCCAGTTGAAGAACATTCACTACATGTGTACTAGTCATATTCGATTTCAAACAGAAACAGTGATCATGATCCTATTTTTCCATCATCCAAGAACGAAGTTTTTCCACCATTTATGTATCATGTCTACTTAATAAGTACTTTTTTTTCCAACTCTCCTGATGTAAAGATTGCAGCTGTACTATGCGAGATAGCACTAGAATGATATGCTTGGTCTAGTACGACCTAACAGATTTTCGTGTTGAAGCGATTTTTTTTTTTCAGAACGCTAAAGCGCGATATAATTGCTGCGATGGAAGAGACGGATCACCGGGAGTTCCAGACAGACAGGAGAAGTCCTGCAACCAGATAACACGATCATGATCTTTTTTTCTTCTGTTCAGTTCATACATTCACTTTGTTTGAGAACAAACAGGATGTGGAGGTGATCTGAGGATCCCAGTACTACTGCCTGTATTAAGCAGCTGGCGATACTTGTTGGATGTGGATCAGTTTTCTGACAATCGCTGTGGCAGAAAGCGTGAATGATCTCTGTGTCGTAGATCTAACACAAGATCTAGTGCGCATATAGTTTGTAACCTTGTTGACCTCCTACTTAGCTTGGCCATTACTATAATTCTGTACTTATATACCTTTTACCTACTATCCTTACTTTTTCTTCCTAGTTAGCTTGGCTCCACCCATAATATGGGAGGGGACGACAACGACCGGGTTGTGCCGCTCGATTTCAAGGATCGGAAGGAGGCACATGGAACGGTTTTCGAGAAGATGCAGTTAGACTGGATCACCTCTCGAGTCGAGACAATCAACCCCATCGCGGAGTTCGAAGACTATCCCACTACCCTGATTCCATACGTCCGTGGAGAAACAGAGAGTCTAGATTTCGCCAGTATAGAAATTAAGGCTTCGTTCTGGGAATCCATCTTTAGAGGCATCAATCATCTTACTTTCTTGGGACGGACACGCTTGCTTCATCGTCCAAGGGAAAAGGAAACACTCGTCCCAAGATAGATGACTTCCTTCAAGCGAAGATTGATTCCGGGGAGATCTAAAGCGAGCCCCTTTTGGAGAGCCGTGTTGCATTTGTCAGGAGTTGGAGGTAGGATTAATACTGGAGATGATGAAGAACTGCCTGAAGACGAAGAGGAGCTCTATTTTGAACATGGAGTTGCTGGAAGGAGGATCAAGGCCAAATCTGCCAGAGAGTCCGCCACATCTACAACTACCCAACTTAAGGCTTCTAGTACCGCTTAACCATATCCTCAAAGCGCCATCCTTGGTCCTCCCTTTTGGCTTAGGTCTAGCGACGCTTAAAGCAGCACGAAGAGTAAAACAGCTCTCATGAATTTATTTATAGAGATCTTCCTAGGTGGTCGTTACGTACGTTAGTCCCTTCATCCAAGAACGGTAGCTAGCTCACTTCAGCAGGGATGCCAACGCGGAGGTAGCTCTAACCCTCCCATCACCAAGAAAAAGGACGCTCGTACTGTTGGTACAAATCTCTTCGCTGCCGTTGCTGAACTGAAACGTTGCGTAGCTGGTGACAAGATCGAGTATTTGGAACAAGTGAATGCGGACTGCTTTTTTCTCATTGGAGCTTTGGAGCAGCATGGGTATTTGCAAGGACGTGTACTATCGAGTTCTGTTAGTCGTTCTGTTAGTCCTCCTGGTGGCCCAGACAGGCTTCCAAAACCCGACTTGTGGGAGCATTCAGCCTATGCAGCAGCCGCGAGTCTTGGTTCACGTTTGGGCATAATGGCACTGGCTACCTTGGAGACTAGACCGAGTTATTCCAAGTTCTGGAATCGGTTGATGGATTCGTCCGTTGTCCTAGACCACGATGCTACAGGACCGTCAACGAGGAAGAAGAAGAATAGAAGAAAGACGTCTCCGTTCGAAAACATTTCTACACCTCTTGTTTCCAAGTCCAAGAAGAACATCAGGAGAAGTACTAAAAACATTAAGGCTTGTTCATCTCCTTCTCCTTCAGCATCCATCGATCCTGGAAGGCGTTATATACCTAATCGATCCATCTTCAGCAGCATCCTGGAAGGCCTTACAGTTATATAAAAGTATCAAGGGAAATTTAGGGGTCTTCTAGAATGGATCTTGACGTGGATCACTTGCGCGACCTTTAATAAAACAAATAACAAACAGAAACAAGTAGCCGACGTCTCAGAGTTCCGCGATGAGACTAAGCTGTCTCTCGAAAAGGATGGACAACGATTCGGGAATTGCGAACGTGGGATTGACCTGTTGTATTTGGTGGGGAAAGAAGCAGTCGAACGATTTGAACATAATTCCGTTCCGCAACCAACGACTCTGGACTTTCAAGCGATGCAGAAAGAAACGGAGCAACCAGAAATCGATTTAGCGTGGGATAGAGCAAACAGAGGTGACGGCGATGCTTTGAGGGCAAAAGCGGAAGCTTTGTATCTTACGGCTCACTTGCGAGTGCTCCTGCTTCTACCTTTGGAGGTTTTGAGTCGTAAGTAAGTAGGCTTCTACCTTTGGAGGTTTTGAGTCGTAAGTAGGTACGGAGGTAGCTAGTTGGTTTGTGTACTTCCAAGATGAGGCGTCCGATGTACTACATACTAGATCATGAAGATTTAGTACCTTTGTCGAAAAATCCAAATCCTTGATGTAGTTGATCTAATTCCTACGGCGATCGTAAAGTTTCAAAGCTTGCGTTTGATTCCGAATTCCTTGTTGACGGCACTTTGGCGATTCAAGCCGGGTTGTTGTTCCTATGGGTCACAAGCAAGTTGTACTCGTGCTGCTGTAGTTGTAGGAAACGAATTCTGAAGAACAAGCGAAATAATGTTGTTAGTACAACTGGTGGCAGTGGTCGTAGTTCAGGAGATGTTGCTAGTGCCAGTAATCCTACTGCTAGCTCTGCTTCTACTGGTAGCACTGGCGCAGATAATCTGGTTCTGGACTCCACCAACTCAGGAGCAGCGAGTGGTGGTGGTAACGGAAATGCAGTGGACAAGAAAGAAAAGGAAGCGGGTGGACCTGCAAATGCTACAGCACAAGGAGAGACGAATGATAAGAAGGACAATTATGTGTCGCCAACACTTCTTGCAGCTGCAGGAGCAGAAGAGGTAAATACAGGTAAAGAACAAGTTGTAGAACCAGAAGTAGAACAACGACCAGATGCAAGGCGCCACCCTCCTTCCCAGCAGCTGAAAAATCTTGAGGATCAAGAAGAAGACAATGACAATGGCAGCTCGAGATCGAGATGTCGTAGTTGTCCATGTACCTGGTTTCGAGTGGTCGTGTTTGCGCTGATACTTTGGCTTTGGGTGCTCTATAAGTGCGTGGAAGTCAAGCGTTTCACACTAGAGAAAGACGAGGAAGCTGCACTCAATGCCCTCGAGAAAGCGGCTGAAAGCGGTAAGTGGGATGCTTCGTATTCTATGGGCCTTATCTGCGAACAAAAACTTGCCGGTTTAGAGCAAGAGCTCAAGCAACTTCAAGACGAGATCTATGGTGAAGATCGTAAGCCGGATAAGGTTAAGGCTATCCTCGCTGAAGCATCCTCAGTTCCATCCTTCCTTGGCCTCCTCTTCAAGAGGAAAAGGGGCGCAAGATTTGGCTCAGGGATGCGACGCGGTAGCTCCAACGAAGATGATGAAGAAGGAGGAGATAATTCAGAAAATCGTACACAACTTGATGTAGTAGATGATGAATTTATCGAAGAAATAGGGGGAAAACCACTTCTACCAGGCTCTAGAAACTATGAGAAAGCGAAAGGCAAAGCCTCCAGTACAAGTGCAATCCAGAAGCAACAGAAGAAGCGGGAAGAAGAATTAGAGAAGGAAATCAAGGAGACCCAGCTCAAAGCAGCCAAGGCTTTCTGGAGGACCGTGCTTGTCTTAGAAAAGTACTGGAAATTATGGTGAAGACACACTGTTTTTGTTAAATTTTGAGAATGAGCATAAACTCAAGAAGTGGATTAATGACTTACTAATGAAAGCGGCGACAATCTAAACAATTCATCGCTCTTCTTATTTTGAGAATGCGCATGATACTCCTGACGAGACGAGGGCGGGAATGTCGTTCCGAAGATAGTAAGTTGTAAGTGTAAAAAGAAGGATAAGTATTAAGGCTCAGCTTTCAATGGTCATTGGGGTTGGTCACTGAGGTCCCTCTTGAGGAAAGATGGGGGGAAAATGAAGGAAAAGCAAAGGGAGAGGCATGGGGCCCATTTCTTTCAGAGTCAGTGACCATTGAATGCTGAGCTTTAAAAGTAGGTTCTCGGACCGAGAATCGACTACCATAATCTGAATCATCATCAAGAAGGATAGGTAACAAGAAGGGACAAAGGGGGAACGACAACGACATTCCAAACCCAATTACCATTACATCGAAACAAACTCTTACTGCTCCTTCCCAATTATCACTCGTGGAAACATTCATGAAAAGCAATTCCGGAAGAGGAAATGGAGATAAAGCGAATTGTGAAGGTCAGTACGAATTATACTGTGTCGCCAAGTGTCAGGGACATGCTTATTATGGAGAACATATCGGTTAAAAGTACTTAGAACAGTAGAACTAGTGAACAAGTGGAAGTCCTGTAAAGTGATTTTGGTTACATCTTGTTCACAACCAACTTGCTTACTTTCGTAGCAGAACATGGTGAACTACTCTTGCTTCTTCACCTAGTATCTTGCTTTAGTATCTTGCTTTACCCAGTATCTTGCTTCACGACCTCTGTTGCTTCACCTCGTATCTTTTCGATATCCATATCTTCGATCCATAAACAAAGTAGCTTCTCGAGAGCCTCATCCCCTGTCTTCATTTGTCTAATGTTCCCAGAGTTGCTGAACCGGGCAAAGACTATGTTTTTTGGCTAAGCCGTTCGTTCGAGAATGACCCGCTGGAGGCTTTGGGGAAAATGGTCGAGAAATACGAAAGTGGCCAGGAGCGAGATTGGGATGAAGAAATGAAACTCATTGAAGCGATACTGCAACAGATATTATGGAGGCCGGTTACTAACCTTGTTGTTCACTAGACACCTGCACGAGTGTATAGCACACTGGAGGCGGTAGGCTTGTTGATGCTTGTTGATGGTCTCAAAGTAGTTGATCATTCATCATGATCATCACTAACGTGGTGGAAGAGCAGGAAGTGATAGGCTTCTAAGGGTTTTTAGTGCTTCATCTCCTGTACCTCCCCTACTTCCCCTAATCTTCGTTCTCTCTAACCACAGTCTCCGATCAACAGCGTTCCAATTTGGTTGCGATGATTTCAGGTCCTGGATACGCGAAGGAGAACAAAGACGCCTACGGCGAACTAACACCTCTGTTCCCTGACAAAGCAAGACGACGGATAGTAGAAGGGCACGATTTCCAAATGATAGTCACTTAAGGGTAGGTCAAAGGTGCTTTTGTTACGGTTTGTTAATATGGCTCTCCTAAGGGAGACATGCATAACAAACGGGATAAACGAGCACCAAGAGCCTACCTCTAAAGCATGTACGCCATGGCGAAGTACTACATACACATTATGGCTTCTTGGGGTCAGCCCCTAATCCATCACCATCTGCATCTTCGCTCTGGTCCAGGAACGCTTTACTCATGGCAACATTCTTTTCACACAACATCTCGCTCCTGAGCATTCTAAGTGTGGAATCCAAAGATGGTTTTGAGAGTTGTTGAACTAAACCTCTTAACTAAGCCTCTACTTCCTCTTCCCCTGCTTCTAAAAACAGGAGCGGTTATCTCCATTTTTTGCCAGAAAGTTATGTGATAACGAAGAGGGCAGAAAAGCCAGGTGAAGAAGACGAGGTAGTGTACGGTAGCAAAGGGGATACAAACACCACACGGCGGGCTCCTTTTCTTATGCTAGTTTTCAGATTTGAGGAATGATCGTAGCATGATATTCCTTCAAAAGTGGTCTTCCAAGAACTTCTAGGAGATGAAGTAGCTTCCTCGCGTCGCTCACATATCATTTACGTCAGCCCGCCAAGGGGATCAAATCCAAAAAGACTTCCAGCACTAACACACTTCTTCCAACACTTCTAGCACGACCAAATACTACTCTCTAATTTGCAGCTCGGTGCCGAGCCCGTGCTTGTCCAAGTACCTCTCTCTGGCTCTTACCTGAAGGTAGCAGCTGACTTGCACGATGGCAACGCTGTCCTTCTTGCTGCCAATTCATTTGAGGCTGAGAATTGATATAAGTTCGTAATTCAATCAAATGTTCTGGATGTTCCTTTGTCTGTAACTGTACTATAGTACCTGAAAAGGATATTACATACTGGTCAATCATGTTTCCCTCCGAGTCCGATACTTTTGATATTCAGGCATCTTCTTCCAGGTGAAGAAGGACGAATGACGGATAGCTCTAATTCCTTTCTCAAAGGCACGAATGGTTTTCCTGAGAATCCAATAAAATCGGCACCCTACCTTGAGGAGGCTGTCCAAATCCATGGTCGCATCGGAGCAAGGATGCAGCTGTTCCATATTTTGTTACGGCAACACTACAGACTGTGGTGCATATGCGGATTAAAGATCTAGTATCCTGTCTCTGATGTTGTACTTTACACCGTAGTACTTCTGCACTTGCACTCCGTACTTCTGCACTTGCTTCTACTCTCCATCTTCCACCTAACAAACTCTAATCCATACCGCAGTAGGTCAGCAAAATAGTGTCGATGTCTCCTGCGAAATGGTGAAGCATTTAGCGGCTGTCTCCTTCGACATGGAACCCGTGTCGCGTTTGATGTTTGCTTTAGCCTCACGAGTAGCAAATTTAAGGGTACACCTTTAAGGTGCTTCTCTTACCGCTTTTCATGCCTCTCTCCCTTAGGATGAGAAAGGCATATTAACAAGCGGGGTAAGCAAGCACCAAAAACCTACCTCTAACAAATGTTGGGTCCCAAGGGGATGACAAGGCGGTTGCTGAAGGAATGCCTGGCCACATGAAGATTGTTATGGCTTCACTAGACTAGACATGATAGACTAGAAGAAGATCATACTGAATACTGATGTCAAATCGGATGTCGGTACCCTTATCATATTTAGTCAATTTCTCATTTGAAGTACTCGAAAACTGAAAATAACCGAGTAAGTGACTGAAATAAGGGAGGTAAGTAGGTTTGACAGGGCTACTCTTCCTTATTCAAGCTCAACTGAGCTTATTTCAAGTAGTTAGTCGGTTATTTCAGTTTTTCGAATATATTAATTCGGTACCCGCCTTAATATTGCATTCATTGGTTATACTTTTCCTTGATGTAGTGATCTTCTTCCAGTGGCTCGTTCACGAATTCTACTTACTCAAAAAAAATCATAATGTACATAAATCTTGTTCACGACTCGTTCTAATGTAAGAGCTGCGCTGCTTTTCTCCCTGTTATCGGAAACAGGGCATACAATTGCGACCGAAAACGCGATTCATTTGATGACCGAGATGCCTATCGGAGTAACATTCTTACCCGCCTCTTATGGAAAAGGAGGAGGGACGAGAGGAAGACAATCTACTTCTAGATCCAGTTATGAAAATGGAAAATCAAGTACTCATACGCATACTCAACAAGAACAAAGTACAACACTCATACGCATACTCAACGAGAACAAAAGAGGCAGTCGACATGACATACTCATACGCATACTCAACAAGAAATCTGCAAGTTCTCTTTCTTGGTTACTTGCGGGGACGACCTCCTTCAGACCAAAACGGGTCATCACGTCGACATGTCCTATTTGAAGCCTGCCTGTATTATTTTAAGAAGTATCAGTATGCCTGATGTATTGGTTTAAAAAGTATGAGTGGGTATGAGTAATTTTTTTCCTGTCATTGTCATACCAATTATACCTCCAGCACGACCGCAGGTAGTTCAGCCGCTGCACGAATGGAAGATCCACAAGAGCAAGATGATGACATCGTTGTACTTCCACTACCCGTGTGGCGTGGCACGTATTGCTGTCCTAGTGGCGACTGCACTCCTGAGCGCACAGGTTGGCTAATGAACGAAGGAGGCCATACATTTCATACTTGCATGAAACTGTGCGAGAGTGATCTAAAGTTAAGGTCAGCTTTTCCTTTTACTCATCTTTCTCAGCATCTCGCTACCCTTGCTTGGTGGATTTCATGGGAATTTAGGGGTCGAGATAAGGGGAAGGGGATCGAGAAGATGAACAATATAAGCCGACTCTAAGAGAGTGTAGCTTTGTCACCTTTTACGACAGTGGCTATTGCCAGCTCTCTGCATCGTGTGCGAAACGGGAAGTAGCAGGCGACCCTTCCGCGAAGACGTTCAGGATGCTAGAGCTGAATACCCCTGGAACACCTCGAAGTCGTAGTAGCGCATCTACACCAATTTATGAAGAGTAACATCATCAAGATCAACCTGCAAGGGTAAGTATCTTCCATCACATGAGCATCAAATTATCGGAAACATCTGCTACCGAAATAAACACTCCCATTAGTTCCTCCTTTATCCCGTCCTGCTCTGGTGTGTGCGTTTTGATCAAATGAACCAATGCCGGGGTAGCTCAAGCTCTAGAATTAAACTAGTAATAAACTCCGTCTAGTAGTCCCTTCAGCAGCACTATTTGATAGCCGTTTCGTAGGTTCTTCGACTTGTGAAGAACGTGATGAGCCGAAAGATGTCGTTCCAGAGGATGGGTTGATAACTACATCCTTCTTCTAAAGGGTGGAAAGGGCGCTCTGTGCTAGCCTGCGCTACTCGCCTTGTCTGCGCTGTTTTCCGAAGCCTAGCGACTAGCGTCTCGTGCCTTGCTCGCGCGCGCGTCAATACTGATATATAGGCACGAAGTAGCTAGTTAAGTAGCTGCTACTTAAATAAAAGTTTTTGGTTTTCGGCGCACCCGGTAGAAGACGCGTGCCCGGTAGAAGACGCGTGCTGGTAGGAAAATTGCGTTCCATATAACATCCTTCTTCTAACGATGATCAGCAGGGACGATCTTTATGCTTCAGGGATGTGGACAAAAAAGTTGTTTCCTTCAGCCACGATTCTGCGCTGGGCAATTAGCGAGTCGTATCGGGTCCAGAGAGCTAGCCTCAACAGCTTACGATCGTGGTGGCTTTTTACAACTAGCTACGAACTGGTACTGCCTAAATCAAGATCTTCCTCCCGGGCTTAACCTTAAGCAAGAAGAAGACGCTGATAGTGACGATAGCGACGAAGGGGAGGACGAGCAAAAGAAGATATTGCTGTTAAGGCTTGCCGTAATTATTCATTGTGTAGCACAACGTGTTCATAAATGATAATTGCTAACCTAAGACTGCGACTGCCTGTATTTCTCGGCTCTTATGATCTCTTGCTTACCAGTCATTGAAGGCGCATTTTTATCTCTGACCACACGTTTTCAAGAAGGGGGAAACACGTCAAAGATGACTTCCAAGATGAGTTTAATAGGTAAGAGCTCTAATGTTGACACAATTACAGACATTGACTATACCTAACAGTCAAGTGGCCTTGAAGGAGAAGCTTCTTTGCGCATACGGTCGTGCAGAAGAAGGCACGCACCTTTTCCACGCAGTGAAAACGACCTTGGGGACTTTTAAGGCTTTTTTGGTGTGTGTATAATCCGTTGAGAAACCTCCTTCTCAGTAAGTATGTACGAGGACTCCATGAACAGGACACAGTTTATTTGAACAATGAATTGATGATCTTGGAGTGGCTGTGGAATGATGGTTCTGCAGTTGTTTCTCTAATCTCCTAGATTGGATGACAGACCGGAGCAAGCCAATGCCAGACGACTGGAGCGAGCTGTCGATAACTACTTTGTCTCTATCTCGCATCGTAATCACGCTCGTCCGTCATTTTCTGCGCCATTGCCGATCTCGCGTCGATGAAGACAGCGTCACAAATTTTTTCGGGTCTCTTCTTAAGGCTGACGATTAAATACTAATATAATAAATGTTTAAGATAGATTTTATCCAGTTGGTCATCTTTTAGTTTTTCTATTATCCGCTCCTTGAGGATGGGATAGCGATAGATGTTCGAAGAAAAAGATGAAGATCTTCAACATGAGGGGTCCTGGTATTTGGTAGCCTGATTTTGATCATAAGGAAAATAAGAAGAGAATCCCTGTGATCGAATTCAGGTTACCAAATACCAGAGCCATACACAACAAGGAGTTGACAACTAGTCGCTTGAGCTCTAATCTTCTCGGCCTCGGCGACGACATCTATTTCCGTACTAGCATGTTGGGCCTGCGTTCTGTCTGGCGACGGCATTTGAGTCCGTTGCTCGTTTACGGTCTGCCAGCAGGGGCTTTTCCGCCAATTGAATGCAACATTGCCAGTTTTATCCAAGCGACGGATCTGAAGCATTATCCAAAAGTTGCCCAGAAATTCCGGAAGAACAAAAGCAAGGTGGAAATGGCAATCAATGTTTTTCTGATATTATGGCTACCGCTAATAAAGCATCCTCAGTACCATCTGCCCCGTGCTTTTTTTCTATCTGAAAAAGAAGCCAACAAGGATGGACGCTCTACTCAGGGATGCGAACGCGCTAGCTCTAATGAGAGGCGCATTGTTGATGTACTGCGTCGTAGTACCACTTGTTTGTTTGCATTGCGCGCGTCGACTGGGGAGGAAGAGTCGAGGTGTGGGACGCATTGTGGGAAGACGAATGCAAGCGGTTTGGACCCGTCTGACGGGACGAGACGGAGGACATCAAGGTCAGTAAATGTTTGGTATAAGAAGTACATAAAGTGGACATGAATTTGAATACTTAAATAATATTTGTTGAAAATATAACGACAAGAATCAGCACCGTACTGGCTTTTCAATCTGAGATTGTTGATAACATCAAAGTGCAAGACAAAAATTTTCGAAATCATGAGGTACTAATATTACAACATGTAAAAAGATGTTTCAATTCCTCCGAAAGTAGACGCAAAACTTTTATGTGCATCCTTGAAAAAACCAACGCCAACAACTTGTCGTGTCTCGGAGTTTCTCCATGAAATCCAGTTTCTTGTCTGAATATAGGAGCGCGCTAAATGTATCACAACAAGAGACTGAAGCGCAAGCCATCGTTTGAAGCGTTTACCTTGTGTGATGTTTGTGCCCTCCTGTACACGAGCAGTCATATGGTGTGTGTTGTTTTGTCGTTCATGGTGTCTGGGAAGAGTTCTGATGATGTAGCAGTGCTGATGTAAAGCTGCGATCAACGGTTCTGAAAATTGAAAGATCATCAGTATCGGTGAAGACCTTCCAGTCCTTGGTGAATGATAGCGTTGATGTCCTTGTTTTCCTTCGCAGGAGTGGTCATTTTTCTATAATACTGATTGGTTCTTATTTTTTTCGTGGCTGGAAAGTAGAGTAGTTAGCAACCATGGCGGACATGAATTTGTCAGGGGAGCAGCAGCAGCAACTTGCTGTGATGCAGGTATAACTTCTACAATGATAATATTCACAATACCTCATCCTGCTTTGAGATCTGTCAACATTACCACTAGTACCTCTTCTACTGATTCACTTTCAACAAAGTTTCCATCCACTGCTGAGTGCTTCCTTCAAATACCGCATGTTTCATACCTTACCCACCTAATGATCAACTTCTACAATCCCACAACACGAACACGCCAGATAGCAGAGCTTATGAAGAATCAGAAGGAAATGTTGAAGCTGACTTCAAAATGCTATCAGAAATGTCAGCCAGGAGCACCAGGCAAAAGTCTAGGGAGTAGCGAAAAGTCATGTTTATGGCGCTGCTCGCAGAGATGGACGGAATCAAAATACTCTATGATGTTTGGTTCTTCATAAAACTTCTAGTACTAAAGTACTCATTCTCATCGTATTAAGTCTAAATATACTTGATAGATATTTTGTAACGAGTACTAAGCAGATCGAGATCATCTGCGTGGTGGTACATTTCAACTCTAAGAGCTTTCTGAACCAGTACCTGATGTCACAAGCACAAGCGCAGAAGGAGGACGTGGTGGATGGGACAGTACCCCTGAAAAGCGTCAAGGATCCGACAGAAGGCTACTTTGCTTAGCCGTACAATTAACGTTGACCCTTGTTGTCAGTGCTGACGTTGCTTAAGGGTACTAGGTTACAGGTGCTTTTGTTACCGTTTGTCAATATGGCTCTCCTAAGGGGCGGGACAGCCATAACAAGCGGGATAAACGAACACCAAAAACCTCCCTCTAAGTTGCTGCTGGCATGAAGCGGCACTTTTCGCGATTTTGGGCCATTTGTTTTGAATCAGAGTCAGAGGTGTATCAAATTTAAATGAACTTGAAACTTCATCTGATTGTTGATCTTCATTCGCTCTTTTTTCAAGGTGTGGTCACCTCCCACTACAAGACTTGTAACGATGAAAGCTGATGAGTGTTCTTCAGCAGGGGGAAGGGCTTAGCCATTTGCTCTTTGTCGTCGTTCGTGTTCCGGAATTGTTGTCATCTTCATTCTCTAGGCAAAACGGATGTGGTTCGTCATCATGGAAAGGAAAGGGGAAGGATCATGATGTCAAATTAAGCTGACGAATGATTATGTTGCAACAAATGGCGAACGATAACGAAATGATCGTTGCAACAAATGGCGAACGACTTTTGCTCGTTGAATACTATGTCTATCTAGGGTGTGATCCTGATAATGAATTCTAAGGGAACTAAGATGATGATCGTGATTGTCCTCTCCGCTTATCGCAGATGGAGATGATCCGAGCTACTCTCTGCGGGGATGGCTCTCGCTGGATGATCTCTCACCACGTCGGTCTACATAATTTCGAAATAAAACTTGCTTGACCACCGCAACATTCTAAAACAACAGATCAAACTACATAAACTTTTCATATCCATGGAGTCAACCTAACGACCTAACCTAACCTGACCTTTACTAGTACATAGAAGTCATTTTATTTGTACCAACCTTTGAGAGAACAAGCACTTATACATAGTATACTTCTCTCCATCTATAATATCGACATCTTCAAATTATTCATCGAAGACGAGAAAAGATGAACGTGGTAAAACTTCGTGGGCTGCCTTTTGATGCGAATGCATTGAAAATCGTGGAGTTTTTTGAAGACAACGTGGTGGAAGAAAACATTCATTTTGTGTCGGATCGACCTGGTGGGACGAAGCCACATGCTGGCGAGGCCTATGTGGACTGTCCGAATGGGGCACCGCAATACGACGCACTGTTGAACTACCACAAAAAGCACATGGGCTCAAGATACATCGAAGTTTTGCCTAGCAGTGAAGAGGTACTAAAAACTAGAAGACCTGATCAGTGACTTACGACTCGTCATCGTCGCATCTTTACAGATGAGTCGTACAACTTGTTCATCAGATTATTTTTATAGCAGAGTAGTTTATAGCACGCATGGTGCATGGAGTAGCATGGAGTGCATGGAGCGCAGAGCTTTAAGGGGCGCAAGAAGCTCCCCCTTTAGCTCCATGCTACTCCATGTGATCCATGCACTCCATGCCATGCGAGCCGTGAAACCTTATAAACTGCTCTGTTATAGGATGAATCAAAAATTTCCTTATTTTCCGACTCTCGATGATACCGTATTTTACGAAAAACCAAAAATCTCGTCTACTACATCCTGCTCCACAAATCTTCTGAAAAAGCAACAATCTGAAAATCCACCTCAACATCAGGACAAGCGACGCCTGGCGCATCGATTGATTTCAGCCAATGGCGGTCCCGGAACGTCAGGCTCAGAGGACGTCGAGAGTTCTCAAGTGGGAGGTGGTGATGATCAGGGAACGACGGTGTACAATGTGGAAAATTCAGATTTGGTTTTGAAAGTTCGTGGTCTTCCGTTCGAGTGCGGGGAGCGCGATGTCATTGAGAAATTCTCAGACTTTGGAATCACAAGATCCAGGCTGCTCATTGACAAACACTTCGGTGGACCGCGAGCGGGGCAAAACTCAGGCAGCTGTTTTTTTTAAGGCTACCCCTAATAAATCCGTTTTCAGATGAACTAACTATTCATTCTACTGCAAGCAAAGTATATAGAAGATCCATGTGCAGAAGAACCTATTCATCATGCATGATTCTGGAGAGGCTTTTAGAGGGGAATAAAAGGCACCATCCAGGATGCCTCATGATCTCAAGATGGTTTGGGGTGACCTCTAATTTTGAGTCTTTGATGATGTGCACTCCAGACAAACCTGCATGGACACTATGCAAAACGCTCACGTGGGATCACGATATTTGGAACTCTTTCCGGTATTATTTGAGGCACTCACAACAACTTCTTTGTTTCATTAGTCCTAATCAATAGTAATTTCTGTGATCTATCTACTAAATCGAAACTTCAAATTCAAATAGAGCTAAAAAATTTGAATTTCCTTTCACCGCCTGTTTGAAGTTAGAACAAATAAAAGCTTGTAACAACTACTTGCAAATACTAACAACAACCTCCGCCTCCACACTATCAATATAGGGTACCGACAACGACATCGCTATCATGCAAAGATTGAATGACCGTTTTGGAAGTCATGGTGGTGGCCACAAGGGAGGTGGTGGTTACAGAGGTGGAGGAGCCGGGATGACCATGACGTACCAACAGCAACAGCCCATGCCACTAGATCATGGTGGCCCAAGCGGCGCATTCTCCGGCAGTGGTGTGGACACATTGGGGAATACCTTGTTAAGGCTACTTACTGACTGCATGTTTTACTAGTGCTCTATTTACTTACAGTAATACTACTACAGCCGGCTTCTTGCTTTCCTATTTCCACTTTTAGGCTATCCCTTCATGCAAAACAAAACAAGTAATACTAGTACATAATTGTGCAACAACATGATGTTCTTCTTGGTCTAATCTTGCCCAACGAAGACGACCGAGAAGTGGTGAAGCTGCGAGGTTTGCCGTTTCGTGCTACGCCCAACGATGTGGTGCGCTTTTTCGAGCCAGAATTTGCCATTGAGAGTAGTCAGTGTCACATCGTCGTCGGAAGAGACGGTCGTCCAACTGGAACGGGGCTCGTCAAAATGCTCAGTACTACTTTGCTTAACTAACTATGATGTTTAGGTAGATTGATACTTCAACAGGAACAACAGGAAAACATAAGTGCTTGTGGTGTTGAAGAGTAGAAGTAGGCTCATCATGTTTGCTGGAGTTGAAGAACATTTTCTTGTCTACTCCATCTACTGACATCTTTTGTTGTCGTCTCACTCTCTCCCCCATCTTTTTTTACCGCCTAAACCAACCCAAGCCCTAAGTCCAAGCTCGAGGATTCTGATTCAACCTCCAATCACTACAGGTGAAGCCGATGCGAAGGACGCTGTGGAGTGCTTGGACCGGAAGCATATGGAAAATCGGTATATAGAGGTGATTCAGGGCGGTGGAAGCATGGGTGGTGGAGGTGGAGGCAAGGGCGGGAGGGGCGGCCCGCCAAGACGTGGTACAAGATTCTCGTGGATGGTCGTGGGAATAGGTTGTAGGATTCTCTGGGAATAGGTTTTAGGATAGTCTTGGTTCCTGGGAATAGGTTGTAGGTGTAGGATAGGGAGGTAGGCTGGTGTAGGTGTAGGATAGGGACCCCACTTCTGGCGCGTTAGGGATCCACCAAAAAATGGGATGTGGATGATATTTTGGATAATTTCAATTGGGCAGCTTATTGATGAATAAATGTGATCGTGATGGGCATGGGAGGGAGGTGCTCTATCTCGTCATCTTCTGAGGACCCGACTCCTGAGCCTGTATATCTAGAACTAAGAAATTTGTGATGATCATGATCTGATTCACCTTCAATATGTAACCCGACTTATGCTTATGTATTAATTCATTTTCCCGAACAACCTACCTCTTATACCTCTAATTTCTACTACTTTTGGATTTCGTTCTTTCTCTTCTTCTAACCTAGGTCTTCTATCCCCTTACGCTAACTACTTTCACTCACCCTCACCCTCAGGTCCTCCCTCTCACGGTGGCGGAGCACCAGGACCCTATTCCAAAGGCGGAGGCGGTGGCCGCTCCAAAGGCGCTTCCGGAGGTGGAGACTATGTTATGACACATACACATGACATAGAATCTATGGAGATCACCATACCTACTATCGTGATTGTTCAAGGGAAGGCACCACCATCAGTTGATAGGAAAATTTTTATTTTGTTCAGATATATTATTAATATTTAATGAATCTATCATCTACTAGAACAACTGCATCTTGTTCAGTTCTATCATCAGGAAACCTAAAGATCATAGTTACGACTTGCATTCATCAGTGACTTCAACGTGTCCTTTTCATCACGGTAAGCTGACGTTGACCTCCTGCTCATCTCTTGTTTTGCTAAGAGCTGTTAGTTTTTTAGTCAAAACCTGCGTGAGTCAAAACCTGCGTGGCGAAACACTTATGACGCCGCGCGGCAGTCTGCACTGTGAATATTGTGCGAGATTGTCTTGCCTTTTCTAATCCACCTGCCTTTTCTAATCCAAGTGGGCACATCAAGTCCTCCGATTGGGGTAACAAGGAGCAAAATAAAGGCGGAAAATCGTTTGGTAGCTGGATTCGGCTTAGAGGCCTGCCATTCGAGGCACGACCGATGGACGTGGCGCAATTCTTCAACTTCCGATATGGAATCAACGCCGACCGCGATGTCATTATTGAGAAGGTAGTTGTGCTTGTACTTCTATGTATACTTATGAAGGTAGTAGTTGTACTTGTACTTCTACTGTGTACTTATACTCATGATTATGCATAGAAGTGATGTTTGAGATTGAGATTCTTGTGAGAGATTTATTTGGTCTGCGGAGGTTTTCTCTCATGAAGTAGATATCGATATCATGTTGTGGTTCTTGATATATTTGATTTTAGTTCGATGTGGCGCAGACTCCACAACCTAACCTAACCTTTGAGTTCCACTAGTACAGCAAAAAAACCACTGCTTACTGACATCAGATAAGCATAAAAAGAAGTATTATCAAACTTCTCCTCCACAACCTTGAAACACCAGATGAGCGGGCGACCCACCGGACAGGCTTTCGTCAAGATGGGTTCCTCCTCTGATGTCTTTGACGCGGTGGAGAAGTTCAATAAAATGATGATGGGACCGAGGTACATCGAGGTGTACGAATCCAGTACGGAAGAGGTAGGTCGACGCGTTGGGGGAAGTGCGCAGTAGAGGACAAGAACCTGTCTAGTAAGGACGAGATGAACAAGAACTACAACTAAAATATCTTCACTGATCATCAGATGGGGAGGAGAAGTTGAAGTAGCACAGTTAGTACATCACCAAGTGGCAGTGGGTCTATTTCGTTGATGACGCACAGCACGCAAAAAGTTAAATCGTCGAATGTGAACGAACTCAAAACAATAGCTGCAGGATCAAAAAACAGGACGATTTTTTAGCAAATCCATCGCAGCATTGTGTTTTTTTTCCGGTTCTACCCACGACCATTGGCGGCAGCTGCAACCTTTTTTTACATCGCGGCTACACAAGATTTGACTTGTGATTGTGTTGATGTTGAAGATAAGCGTAAAACAAGGATCATAAAAGGAACACGAAAAGCATACTTACCCATAATCATAGGGAAGAACAACATCTATTTTGTTACATCATAAAAAATATTTCTAAGAAACCCTCCCTACTGTCGCCCGCTTGTCTCTAACTAAGAAATGTAGTGTATCTTCACAGCAAAAAACAAAAATGATGTCATGAAGAATTACCACGCTCGGTGTCGATCGCACATGATTTTCGCAAACCTCATTCTAATAAACGATTACTACACGACGGAGACAACAACGTTACGCGAAATAGACATTATTGATGATTACTTATGGAGGATGAGGAACAAGATGAAAATATTAGATATACCTACCAGTGCTATACCACAACCTGCGCATTCCCCACACCTCGACGAGAACAAGCTTTAGTACTAGTGCAAAAATCAAGAATCTCCAACTTCTAGCTCTGCGTGAATGGTAATCATGGATGAACATGAACCTCCAACCGAAGCCAGTTAATATTTCATGAATTGCCTGTCGTGTTCGATGCTGAACACTCCTCCTGGATCTAAGTTCGGAAAAAAAAGAACACAATAAGAAAAATTCCAAAAATACGATTTTTGGACCACTGGTGATGTCCGAACTTGCACTGATGACAATTCCAAACAAATCTGATATGCGTATCATCTTGAATGGAAGCCCCTTACAATTGGTCTATTAGTATCAATACTCACAGGTTGAAGATGTGCTGCAGCGTGGGCTGCATGCTGTGCTGTATTCTATAATAGAGAACTCATCATGATCATTTTTTCCGCGGCGACTAGTACTTACAACATTGTTTACTACAAGTACATTTTGACGAATAACGCGTCTCAAAGAAAAGTAGAAGACAGAAGAACTATCCTCATGTTTTTTCCTTTTATCATGCATCAGGGACGAATCGGGAGGTGTGAAGGACGAAGTTTAAAAATAACCGGATAGATTTCTTAATAAGCAGATTAGACCGTCTGGGTCTGACTAGACGACGAAAGATTTTTCTCAAGCTTTAGAAGGAGGCCCAAAATTCAGAACAGTTGAAAGTTCCACCTAGGTATAGTCTTCACTACGTGGTCTGAACAAGAGTACTACCTCGGTGCGCAACTAAAACTATCATCCGCAGCCGTGATTGAACCACTTTTGTATCTCTAGCTGCAGCTATGTATTGAGAGAAACGCTCTAGATCAAAACGCGAGACAACTCCAACCAGACACTTTACTTTCCAGTGTAGATTCAAGAACAGATTCTTAGCAGTTACTAACAGGAAACTACATCACGACATTCGTGTATCAGTTTTATGATAACGATTGCCCTTTCCAGTTGAAGCGCTGATCATACCTTTCTCTATTACTTAGTAGAGGTAGTAAAAGTCTCTATGGACCACGGCGCGAAGGAACCAGAAGTTCTTTGATTCTTCAGACTACATCAACCTTCTAACAACAAGAAGTTAATAAAAGAAACGCTTTAATATTTTCCAAATTTTCTTCAAATCTCACAATCAAAAACAAAATCCTGAAGTAGTAGGTTGCTGGTCGTAGCATTCAAGATCAAAAAGGCGGAATATCTTGCCTACAACTAGTTGTGTGGTCGGTTCTTCGTTCAAGTTGTTGCGTCTTTGAAATTGTAATAGTGTCGTTTCGTGGGGGGATCATTATCATGAGCTAGGAGATACCAAAACATTTGAAATTGTTGTTATCCAAGTAGAATGGTCACCCAGGGCTCTCCTTGTGCTTCTTCATCGCAGAAAACGATTTCAATACCGGCAAACTCCAACTTGTTCAGCAGCTTCGATTTGTCCAGTAAAAGTTCTTTCCATGAACTACAACATCAAGCCAAAGCAAAAACCACGCAGCACAAGAATTTCGACACGGCGTTTAAGCAAGCAAAAAACGACGAGCTGATAACAACGTTGACTCCGTTTGTTCAAGAAGACATCCTCTTTAGGTGGACACATGCCCTACAGGAGCATTCGGAACATCTTGATTTGTAACGTGTCGTGAGCAAAGACAACTCCCACGAAGGCATCTCCTGAATGAGCAGCATCGTAGTTGTAAAAGACTACCACTAGACGATCATCGGAAATAAAGCCAGGACTACGACTGAAAACGAAAATCAAGGTCCAAATCGATAAAGAGTTCGTCGAGAAGAAACGCCGCACAAATTGAAACCAGGCGAAGGGCCCGTGAAGGAAAGCGAGCTAGACGGGAGAAACTACAAAAACAGTTGCAGCTGTGGTGTAGCTGCTGTAGGGAACAGGTGATTTCTTCAATTTTTAGTCGTGACTCGTTACGTAAAAATTACTTGTTCTACAACTTTTGTGCGCTCTACTGTCGTGGAGGTTGTAGATGAAATGCATGGTAGAACAAACAGGACCACTTTTATTGCTGCGTCAATATGGAGGTGCCTCACAATTATAGTTCTTCCTTCGACCTGCATTCCTACTGCATTCATCCCATACAAAGATGAATCTTCGACCACAGGTAAAAAAAAACAAGAACTTCTTATTCCAAGATGGCGTCTCAAGATGTAGTGATGGAGAAGGCGGACCCCCCTCTGCCCGAAAACTACCATAAAGAGGATACTTTGTTCATATTCGACTGGTACTATACATGTTTTCATTTTACGTGGATAGTCAAAAGAAATATTTTACGTGGAAAGTAGACGTGGATGGAGTGATACTCGCCTGGCTCTGAAACTGAGATCACATTTTTCTTCACCTTTCGTAAATCAATCACGACAACGACTCAATCACTCAATCAACCAAATGAGAATGAATTTTTTGGTTGATAATTGCGTGATTGAGTCGTTTATTACGCAACGAATCTCCTACAATCTCTTGTTCACTTTCATCTTTCTCGACTCTGTAGTACTACGTAAAAACTTCAACTTTTTCAGGGATGACACCATCCTGCCGACAACATGGTTGGCGTTGAACGACCTGCGAGTTGATATGCAAGGAGAGATACCGGTGAACCTGAAGAATCAGTTGGATGATTACGCACCATGGGCTATGCGGACGTACCTACTTTTCTCACCTGGTGTAGTTTTGATTTTTCAGTGAAGAATGTATGGTCTTATTTCTTAGAAGTGTCCAAATGATCATGTTCTTATAACAGGTGCTTCTTTCATCCGATTTTTGCAAAGACTCGGAATTGATATTCATCTCTTCATATTATCAGTCACTCAATTGCAATTCGCACCAAGCAGGTTTTCAGTTTTCTTTTCTATCTTGGTTGTTCTCCTCACCTACAACAGACTCGAAGAGGCGAAGAAGTACGGAAAGGTGTTAATCGTTACCAATGCGGAAGACGGATGGATCGAACTGACAATAAAAAAGTTTTTTCCTTCTTGGGAGAAGCTTATCGATACAATCCCCTATCATTATGAAGTAGACGAGTTTGGCGTAATACTAAAACTTTGATTTTACTATTTCAATGCTACGATCTCGATAGCAAGAACATCTAGAAGAACAAGATCCATTTCGCGAACTCCGTTCTTTAGATAATATCTACTAGAAAATGAAAACTACTAGAGAATAATGAAATATCAATAGAGTCCACGGACGAGCCCTCATGCTAGTACTTGTTGTTCTGTAGTCCCTTATCGATTCTACTTTGTTTAGTCATCGAAGTTCTTTTCCTCGTCTCGCTCCTCGTCCCCTACAACCTAATCATGGAAGAGTCACAAGTACAAGCAGTACCAGTCTAAAATTTTTCGGCCCGATCGACATGGGAACCTACAGGTTGCAGTCTTCCAGTGGAGTGGAAAGTGCGTTCCTTCGATCATGAGATAAGGACTTACTACGAACAGAGAGGAGGTCTTAATATCATACAACAGACACTAGTACATCATGAACAATGGCAACAGGGACAACAGCATGCATACACAGTTTACGTCGATCAATGATTCTAGTACTAGTGGTTGCATTTGCTTAATCTCAAATACGAAAGTACTATAAATATATAAGGATCATTTATTCCACTACAAATAGAAATACACCCACGTTGGTTTCAGTGCAACGCAGTAACATCAAAAACAACAATTTACAACTACCAATGAATTCCACAGATGGCGGTCGACGAAATATCATTGGTCTAGGAGACAGCACTTCAGATCGAGAGGCAATGTTACACGTCACCGGATCGAAAATCAATACGGTTGGCAAGAGCCTCAAATTCATGGAGAGACCTAATCTGGAGCATTTGCAGAATTATGAAGACAATCTGTCATGCTGATCCCTTATAGCCTTACCTTTCGAGAATTCCGTAGTCTTATATATCGAATCTGTAGAATCTAAGCTGTTAGATTAACAGTGTTTCTGTAACCACCAGAACTAGATTTTATTTTAAATCGTCAGCATCCACAACTTACAATCCAGGAGCATAAGTTGTCCCTTATCTTCCCGTCAAATGTGATAGTGTTGATCTTTTTCTTCTAATGCCCGCAACATCACCTGATCGCCAGTAGCATCCGACAGATTGCGTTACACGAGAAGAGTTTGGATCTGTGCATTCAGCACCAGATGTCTTCCGACAGCGGTCAGAGTGCTACGACAGCCGCAGGTGGAGGCACAGCCGCGACTGGTGGTATGCCGCAAGGGCCTCCAGTCCATGCAGGTGCGGGAGCAGGAGGATCGGGAAATAACCCGGGAGGTGCTCAAGGAATGAGTCTTATGATTTTTTGAAAACTATAAGGTTGATGTTCTTCTTGTTGATGCTTTTACCAAAAATAATGAAGAAGGATGAGTAATGTTAAATGAGATCGATGTTGGTGGAGAAGAAGATGGAAGTGAGAGGATAAGACAAGTCGTGAGTCGATTGCCAGCTAGAAATTTTTAGAAAAACCTTGTTACTAGATCATGACCAACACTCATCATCAAATAAACCTCTGAACACTACCTTGTCACTAGATCAATACTCGAAACCACATGGGTCTTGGTTTAGCCACTGAATAACACCTCTAAGAAGCAGAACATGGGACCCGGAGCAGCTACTGGTGTGCCGAATAGTGCTGTCCCAGCGGCCGCTGGTCCTGGGATGATGTCCTCGACTGAGTCCTCGAATTCACCTACGAAGAACGCTGGTGGAGCAGGGTCGGGAGGACAGTAGTCAGCTGAAGGACAGTAGTCAGCTGATGACGTAGGCTATCATGATGTTGTAGGTGTTGTAGTCGTGGCCTCGGCCTACAGACGAGTTGTAATTCTGCTAATATTCTCGTATGCTATTCTTCTTGGATCATGAAAAGAACAAACAAGTTCTGTTTGCTCCTTACAGAGATCCAGATTCGTGAAACTGTACTTCTCAAATTAGAACTCCATGAGCGAGGGCGGGGTTACGATTAGGGGCGATTTCTAGTTGAGCTTCTACCTTGTCGTCCATATTCAACACGTTGGTAGAGAAGATTCCTTCTTCTACAACCATTCAATTAGCGATTTCTTCATAGCCGTTCAGATGCTTAATGACGTCTGTTCTTGTTCTTGATTTTGATTCTGAAATATCGATGAAGACACATTTTTATTTACAATGTCTTCACTAGTACACCAATTATTACACGACTGTTCTTTGTAGTAGTAGTTACACTAGGTTTAGGTTATAATATCTCTTTTCTTTTCATCACCTCCCAATTATAAGTCTTGCGTTTCTTTTCTCTCCCTCCCGAGTACGTAGATCATTTCGATCATCATAGAAGAATAATTTCACCTCCTTGCGTTCACGTAGAGAGTATTGAGATGTTCTATCGTTACCTCAAGTTGAGCATGCAGCTCTATTGATGATGAGTTCTTGCGTTGTGTCCTTGTTGCGTAATTGTACATACTTAACCTCTTGGTCTTATTATCGACAAATTCATGAACAAAAGCCAAAGCGTAGTTATGGTTTGATCGTAAGTAGCTTGGTATAAGCAGGTTCAAGCGAGTTAGATTTAGAAATATTGGTAGGTAGGTGGACCCGCAAGCGTGAAGATAAAAACCTAGTACTAGAGTCTGAACGTGGTCGTGAAAAAATCCCAAATGATGGCCCAACTTATATATTACTGGATAGACATAAACACAGATGATGCCTCCTGCTCCTGAAATGTTGTTAATATATGCTGTTGTAGATATGAATATCCACCACGCGGGATTACTTGATACGGATAGGGATACCATAGAAATTTGTAGAAAAATAGTAGTGCTGTCGTCAACTTCGAATCTCGATGACGATTCATCAAGTCGTCGTCCGACAAGGTTGCGTGAAGAACATGCTCATATTACGTTGAGAAGTAGAAGATATGGAGATGGACACGGTCGGTGATTCTTCAATCAACGACTCTATTTTTACTTGTTTTTGATATGAAGAAAGAAGCAATTGTTGCTTCTTGTCGTTGTCGTTCTGACGACCTCAGCTTTGTAGTCCTATTCATCAGGAGTCCAACAGTGAATTCCCCCTTAGGATCATGGTTGCAATGATCATGTTCAAGATGCAATCTTCCTGTTTTTTGTCTTCGTATTCTACTACAAGATCAAAATTGCAGGGCCTAGTTTAGTGAAACCGGCGCAGGCAACATTGAGGAAGACGATAACTAACGGGCAAGAACAATCAAGAAGCAGGAGCAGGGGCTGAGGCATTTTAGAAGAGGCGTTTCGGGCACTACTTCCTGATAAGGACGCTGCTAGTACCAAGCGCATGCAGCCGGCCCCCGGGGGCGCCGCCTCTCGCTGACTCAAATGATGTCTCGTCCTGAATGCGACGATGCTAGTGGCACTAGAAGAACTAGAAGTTCAAATCTTCGAATGGTTCGTGTTACAGTTTAACAACTGTAGTTTTGCTGTGGTTGGAGTAAGGACAGGAGCAAGAGATGATGCCCCCTCTCGTCTCTTACTAGCGTTGTCAGCATGTCCCTGTGCAGCTCATACGTAGTAACGACCACGAAGAAGAGCAAGCATACTCTCATTCTTCACACATGGTAGAAGAAATTTGAACCTGATCTGTAACTAAGTATCTTCAGTATAATTGTCTCTTCCGACACCTTTATTGACATGGCTTTTCTGAATCCGCATGCTTTGATATCCCTTTATAATTACTAGATTGAAGATCGTACATTCGACGATGTGATACCGGGCCAAGTAGTAGAATTAGGTGTCTCCAAGGCGTATCCCTATGAAGAAGATGCTTGATAGTGTCGGACTAGCACCGTCTACTGGCACCGCAAAACTGACATTCACATAACTTGAATCTATCCTTAATGTGTTGATGAAGAAGCAGTCCAGTGTCTATTATTTGTTCTTTGATGATAAGTAACCATATTTTTAACTTCTTTCATAGCTAGTGTTTGTTAGAAGATATGATAATATGAGAATTGAAATTGTTGATGATTGATGAACATGAACATGAATACTTGTGGAGTTGTGTAGTTGCTGGTGCGTGTATAAGATGAAAGTGTTGATCCAACTATAGAGTTGATGTAGTTAGTGCTGTATTTTTGTCGCATTCCATATTATCGCATCCCGATGATGTTGAAGGAGTATCTTGAGCGACTGGGTCTTCCCACACGACCTAATGGTCGCTCATCTCCCTCCTCCTCATACAAGAAAAAGCTGAACGTCTCGACGGACTAGATTTCCGTTGATGTTGAAAAATTGGTACCGATATAATGAGTCCTGCAGCTTTTCTCACAGACCACCATGTTGGTTCTTACTCAGTGTTGTCCTAACCTAGCGGGGGGAAGTTACTAGAAAGTACTTGCTGCATTGGGCGAATGAATTACTTTTACTAGAAAGTACTCGCTGCATTTGCAAATTCAAAATCATGCAACGATAAGAAGATGAAAACAAAGAGAGAACACCAGAGAGACGAGCTGCTCCACTAGGAGTAGAGAAAAACTGCCAAAAGTGAGAGGAATATGTAAAGGAAAGAAAGCATTATCTTCCACCAATGAAAAACAAAATAATGAAGCTTGGTTCAAAGAGAAGACGAACGACGCTTAAGACACCTAAGGATAGGACCGCTTGCTATAATATAATCGAACAATTTTTAATTAGTCTGATCTTGGTCCTCCTCCAAAAAATGCATTCCTCGGGGTCCTCGACCGCATCATCTATGATGCGGGGAAGCTCTCGTTCTTTCGTATGTAGAACGAGGCACTTCTCATCCGCCGGAGGAGCTTCGTACCAGTCTCCGCAGAAGGTCGGATTCATAGGCCTCGGCAACATGGGACTACCCATGTGCACAAACCTAGCGAAAGGGCTTGGAGCGACGGAGGTTTTGGTACACGACAAGTTTCCGGAAAGAATAGCATTGGCAACAGGAGAGGGAACTTCTTTTATGATACCTAGACCTTGACGTTCTGAAGAAGATGAAGATGAAGACTATTCAGAAAAGACAAAAAATTGATGGAAGAGCATCTTCATCTTCTTGTAGTTCGGTTATTGTAGTTTGTTCTAGACCTGTTGTAAGAACAAGTATACTACTAGGTTCCACTTTAATAGCTCTTTACGCGGGAACGTGAAAGCTGCAGCAAGTATAGCTCAGATGGCTGCTGAATGCGATGTGGTTTTCACGATGCTCTTTAACACAGAAACAACGGAGGAAGTTTACCGTGGAAAACAAGGACTCTTTCAAAATGCGCGGTAGCTAGTACTAGTTGCGTTTCTAATTCTACTTACTCCTACTTCCTTTAGGAGCTCTCTACTCTTCATTTGTTCTATTCTATGTCGTTCTACATCTTGTTCTACTAGATCTTGCTTGTTTTCTATATCTTGTTTGCTCCATTTCTATTTCTTGTGGTTGTTCTATAGTACTTGTAGCTTGACAGGTCCTCAACGATGTTTATCGACTCAACAACGATAGCTCCGCCATTTGCGAAAGCACTTGGCCAGGAGGGTGGGAAACTCGGGTTTCACATGCTGGACGCGCCTGTTTCAGGCGGAGTTGCGGGCGCAGCGGCAGGAACTCTAGCGTTCATGTGTGGCGCAAGCAGCCAGGAGGCGTTCGAGTCAGCAGGCAAACCGTTCCTGGAAAAAATGGGTAAGAACATCTTTTACTGTGGGGCGAGTGGAACAGGATCAATCGCAAAAGTGTGCAACAATATGGCGCTCAGTGTCCAGATGATTTCCATCGCGGAAGCCATCTCGATGGGGGTGAAATTAGGTACCTTAATATTTTATTTATACCAGCATGTTGGAGCACCACTTATTAATAATATTTCTCATTCATGTTGGAGCATCAATCCACCAAGATTGATTAATCCACTATCGTCTAGAAAAACTGCATTACCATGGAGCATCATGTCTCTGCAGGTGCTAACCTTAACTAAGTAGCTGAACTAACTAGCTGAGCGTCAACAAGCATAATTCTCAAAGGTCGCGCAGAAGTCTAGATACGTTGTTTGCCATCTCTACAAGTAAATATACCCAGGTATGGACCCAACGCTTTTATCCAACGTGATGAACAAGAGCAGTGCACGGTGTTGGGCAGGCGACGTCGGGAACCCGTGCCCTGGTGTACTCCCAGATGCACCAAGTTTTAAGGCTCCTACTCGCTACAAGAACTAGAAATAGAGAGTTGTAAAATAATGATCAAACTACGAGTACTATACCTAGATACCGTTCGTTGAAGTTGAAGTTGAACAGCTGCGCCCTCTTCTAATCCTTCTCGCGACTATGAACGTGGCTTCAAGATGTCCTTGATGTTAAAAGATTTGAAGCTGGCGATAGAAAACGCAGACAAAGTGAACGCAGACGTGGAGTTGGCGAAACACGGGTTACAGTATTACAAGGAACTAGCAGAGAACGGCTTCTCCGAGAAGGACTTCGGATTCGTGTATCAATACGTACATAAGAATAAGAAAATGTAGTTGTAACACCAGGAGTACTCGTTGTACTTGATGAAGTTCTGGAGCAAATACTGAGAAAAAATACTAGTGAGCCTGTGGTTCTGGTTCTGAATTCCAACCGTGAGGTGTGATTAGACGACCGCGAGCTTGATGTGCCTCTATTTGCGCTCCTCGCAACGTTGGAGACGACTATCCGGTACTTTTCAATGATAACAGAATTTTCCTTGTGCTGTATCAGAGTTCCAAAAAAATATTTTAAAAATATATCCCGAAATATGCATTTCATTTTGAATCTTGAACCTCTGAACTGCACGCGTCATAGAAGTGTTCTTCACTACCTTTGGGAGACAGCAGCAGCGACTGTTGTTGTATAACGCGAGTGGAGTGTTGATGAGGTGGGTCTTCATTTATTTATTTCCGTTCTTGAGGACAATCATTATCTTCTTGCATATCACATCATTTTCATATGGCAGAGGAACTGCAATGTTCGTTCTGACAGGTGTAATGCTTCTTGATCGGTGAGTTACATCAAGGTGATCTCCATCAAGAACTTCTCATTGAAGATCTTCTCGTTCTCAAATCCCCCGTGCGCTTTCCGCGATGATCGAAGCACAGATGAAATGATTACCCAACGCCCCCTTCCCACACTTTCAACTGCTTTTTGCAGTGTTTATCATGTTCGATGTACTGGGTATAGAATGTTATTTCTCAGTATCACATACACATCACCACGACCAGTAACACATTAGTTTCAGTATTAGTCGTTTTTGATTGTGTGTGGTTTCAATTTTGAAAATTTTCCACCTTCGTCTTCCATTCTATGAAGTACAGTTGAAGAAGTTTATATTTTTTTCATTGCTCAGGCGTAGAAGTAATTTTCATCCTACCATATGAGTTCATGCACTTTTTACACTTTTTACATCTAGTCTTGTTCCTCCTATAATCAATATAAGCAAAAAATCAAAAAAATGACAACTCGAGGAGTTCCTCCTAAGACTGCGGCTCCTCCACCTCCTCCTCCGCCACGACCAAACGCATTGCACCCCCTCCTGCGCGAACTAGGTGTGACCAAAGAACAGGCTTATGCACTTGGAGCCACTGCACTTTTGCTAGGCTCAGTATACCAAGCCCGATCACTAGGGGGAGTCGCAGTTTTGGCTGTGACCGCCAGTTTGGTTTTGGTTCCAGCACCAACGCAAGAAAGCTTCCAGCCATTCTTCAAATCCTGGTTCCTAAACAAGTACATGGCTGCTGCAGGAAAATGCTACAGGGACTACTTGAAGAGGAAAAGTAATCTTATGTGAAGAGACTCCAGAATCATGTACATGTTGTTGGACAACTTCCTAGATTCCGAACAAGAAAGTCTATAAATAAAATAATGTCTCCTGCTACTTCTACTTCTTCATGTTCATGCTAATCTCGCAAAGAACAAAACCTTCGAATTCGTACTCAAACTACATTTGCTTTCCACAATGTTGAAATCATGATCACCCAGGTAAAAACGAGGATGCCACAAAAGCGATAGATCCTCATGTAAATAACTCCAAAACCAGGTAAAAAGGAGGATGCCATATCAGCAATAGGCACAACAGTAACAAGATGGTTCCAGAAGGCGACTGAGGACCTGAATAATACCCTTTTTTACGAACTTTCGGTCAAACACGCACTACCATCTGCGAATCGGATAAATATATTGAACGTACAGCTTTTTACCAGTATAATTGATTGCTTGACGTTGGTCTTCACCCTACTTATCGTCCTATCTACTAGATGCTTGCAGTTGATGAAGAACAAGAATGTTTTGTAATATCCCCGCTCTTAGAGCCAGTTGACCAACGTATCCCTCACACACTACACAACTACTGGCTTTCCGTCTAGTCCAAATGTGCCACCTTGTACTTATTTTCTCACACAATGTTGATTGACAACTATTCCAGGCTCTCCGTATAGTCCAAGTGAACCGCTTGGATCTCTCTACTCACAAAATTTTTACAACAGGCTTTCCGTCTAGTGCAAGTGAACCTCGGAAGTCCGCAGAGGCCCACATGGTTCACGTTTATAGGGGCTTACAACATGTGGATCTGGGTGCCTCTGATCTGGACTCAACAAGGCATAGCAATGGATCTGACAATGGCATGCCAAGATGGAGGTCTATTGAATTACGCGGATCAAGCACAAGGCAGGAGATGAGGTTGATCCACTTGATGATTCCCGTGTAAGTTGAATAAATTGTCGCATAAACAAACCCCGAGGAGATTGTATCATAGAAGATGCTCATACTTATTCCGTTCCGAAGAGGGATTTCGCTTTTCCAACACCAAGTGCAATATGCGAATGTCATGCCCATCTTCAAGTGAGCAGTAGAGTAGAAAGCAACGTGTTCATTTTGAGAAGGAGTGCCTTCTCTGCGTCTAGACGTCGAAGATTTCAATTTTTACTCTCCACGACCGGCGGTTGTATCGGTGTAGTGGATCGTACACATCTGAGTGTTCAGAAGACTCAATTATGCTCAATGAATTTAGAATCTTCTACTCTTGGTCTTGAATGTTGTTCACGATCGGTCTGGTTTTTAATCGGTCAACATGTGTCGGTCCTTGTACTTAGTGTTGGTCTAAGCATCGGTCATATTCATCGGTCTTTCTCAGTCATCTTCACACTGAACTGAAGGGTATCAAGATCGACTAACTTCCAAATACTCAATATGACCCCCATGGACTACATGCAGACTCTCCTTGCCATTATATATAGGTCATTTAGATTTTATGCCCAAGCCCACTTGTCTCCTATTTCAAGAAGTATCGAACAACACATTGACCCAAAGTCTTTTTGACATCAATTGTTCAATAATGAAGATGAACATCAACAACCGCACGAACAGGATGTCACCAGAGACCCCCGAGTCTGCTTCTTCTCCAAGGGAGACTTATGGAGGCAGCGAGCCGTCTCGACCACGCGCTCTCAAACGTCGTCGCCGCGTGGACCAAGGTCGTGTAGCCATGGAGGTATCAGACCACAAGGTCGCTCTGCTGGGTGGCAGACTTCAATTCGATGAAGATCAACAACTACAACATCCTCAACAAGTACATCAAACCACAACGACGGCAATAAACGCAAATTATGCACCAGGAGAACCAGGACTACTAGGTGGAGACGAGGAAAACACCAACAACGTGGTGAAGTTTTTCGAAGGATCTCATGAGGCTGTTCGCAATGAGGTGCTGACACAAGAGGAATTGGACCTGTTGAAACCGTGGATGGACCCGACCCGGCCAAAAGATGAACTCTTTTGCAAGACGGAAAACATCGTCATGCTTGAGAACGAAATTGTAAGCACACAGGACCGAATTGACGGTTGTAAAGACGCGGAAGAGACAAAAAGAAGGGAATTCCAAGTCCACAGACAGCATTGGGAGGTATTTTTGCTCTACTGGTCGTCCTAAGTGTACTAGTACTATGGTAGTAGTAGTAGTACTCAAGATCCTGTCCACGAAGTGCTGGTGCGAGCATCATGAACAGCATTTTTTGTTTCATCCAATAAATTTATGTCTTTTGTTTTTTGATTTAACGATCATCGGCCGTTAAATTGTAAGGCTCTCGAGATTATTCTCTCCAAACTTTTCCCTTTCCAACGCGGTTAAATAACAGGAGCTAAAAAAGTACATCGACCGCCGTCGTGACGAGTTGGTTGACCCGAAAAAACATGTGCAGTCTCTGGTTATGAATGCTATCCCACAGACAGATGTGGAAACGAGATTGATTGCGAAAAGGCGCCACAAAGTTCTACGTCGCGTGACCCACTTGTATCGAACCGCACACCAATACGAAGACGCAAGGTCTTTGCTGTTTCAATTGCGTGGGAACCGAGAAGTCCAGGTCATGGTCAAGTACATGGAACAGACTATGGCACCACGCTGAAACTAGATCTGAAGCTGCTAGAAATGTCGATCTTGGTCTTTGTCCTATAAGGAGCAGACTTTTCATCTTCTTTTCTTGGATCAAGTTGAGTTCGAGAACTTTCAGCTACATCTCAAGTTGAGTTCAAGTGAGTTTCGAGACTGGACACTGTCACTGAGTGATGATTGTCAACAATGTCGTCGAGTATTTGAATTTGTGGAAGATTTACTCGACGACATTGTTGACAGTCATCACTCAGAGAAGTGACTTACTCGTAGAAGTACAACTTGAGTTTGAACTCTTGTTCCACCTCTAACCGTCGCATCCTTGAACTCCGCGAACGTATCCGCATAAAGGAAGAGCTCTTCCGGAATTTGGACAATCTGGTGGAGTTTAAGAAGGAGCTGCAGAAAAAGCTGAAGCAGAAGTGTCGAGATGTTGCGTGGTCGCGAGTACGAAACTGGGGAAAGCATCCAGATGTGTTGAAGAAACGCTGCTTTGGAGCATGGGACGACGTTGTGCCGCTTTTGGCAGTGGAAAAAGCAACGATTGAACCACAGCGATTGTACTCTCACTTTTCAGCGATCTAGTCTTTGAAAAATTATGTGTTTAATGATATGACCATGATGTAGATGTTCTTCAACAATTCTCGAGTACTAGAGTACTAATCTTACGCTACTTACCACGACTTCTTCATGTCTACATATCATGATCACTTTTTTTTAGAACGAAGATGACGAGCAGCTGGTCCTCGTACATCACCTGTGTCTTCTTAAACCCAAGGTACGACGAACTCTGGCAGGAGGTGAAGGAAAAATTGGCGGAAGTGGAGCAATTGAAGATTGAAAGGGACGGAGTTGAAGCTGAGCGTGATGAGGCATTGGGCAAGTTGCAAGACGCGATCGACAAAATCACCAACCGGGAGGACGAACATGCAGCCATGGTCGCAGAAGAGACGAGGAAACACAATGAATATCTTGTTATGAAAGTGATCAAGAAGAGAGGTGTACGTGTAGAAGGTGTTAGGTGTAGTGGGTCGTGTTGGTTGGGGTTTGCGGTTCTGTAGTCAGCGAAGACAGTGTTGGTTTAGTATCTACTTATAATATTCTTTTTTTTTCGGAGGGACAGCCATCAAATAAGTAAGCACACGACTGAGTACTTACTTGATTTTGAAGCTTTCGCCATATCTTGTTCAAGTACTTAGGACTCTCCCTCTCTAATCCTTCCCGCGTTGACGCGGACAACGAAGCCCGACTGAACAAGATGAACAAGGAGAAAACAGAAGAAATGACCACAATTCGCGACCAATTAGAGCGCAAGCAGGTAGAGCTGGAACGTCTCCTCAAGGAACTCGAAAGCAGTCAAAGTGGCAATTCGAAGGACCTGATTCGACGTGTGGTGCCCCAGAACAAGGGTGTCCGTTGCATGGGCTGCGCAAAACAAATGCTGTTCCGAGATGCAGTGCCCCTAAAGGGCGAACACGATTTCCCTGATTTCGAACTGTTGAAGGATCGCACCTTGGAATCCATCACGGAGGGCTCGCCACGACCGAAGCAAGCATCTCTTATCCTTGGGCAGGATTCGCCGCTCGCGCGAGCTAGTACGTTTCTTTTATGGCGAGTCTCGATAATAATTCTGGGGTTGATGATTTTTCACTTGTTGTTATCCGAAGCAGCACAACTTACCACAGATGATGATCATGTTTAATATGATATTCGTTCTAGACTTCTGAAACATGTTGAATCATGAAGTTGAAGATCGATCAAGGTCAGATAAGTAGGCTCATCTTCCTGCCATGGCTCTAATCCTCGGACATAACGTTACAGTCTCTACTGGCGTTCGCAGAGACCCAAGATTGTCAAAAGACTGGGCCAAAGGAGAGCACTATGTCCAAGAGCAGCAAGGAGGTAGTCCTAATGGACGAGCCCTGTCGCCTTCTGTGACGAGTCCGCCAATGCCGCCGCGTGCGCGAACTCCGAGTGGCGCCACACGAGACGACATTGTCTACGGCATGAATGACATTTTGACCCGGCCTCGCACAACAGGCAGTGTCCAAGACTCAGATGCTCCTTCAGGGACGACTCGGAGGCTATTTGGTGCTCTAGATCCGTCTGTGGCAGACGACGACCCAATGCAGATCCGTTTGCGCAAAGTGGAGAGCTTTTTGGAAGCACAACGTAGGCGCGAAAGTGATCAAGCGGCGCAAGCGAAGAAACAGTTGCGAAGCAGAAAGCGGGAACCGATTGCTGCAGCAACTTATGGCTCGTTCCCTAATCAACCACCTAGTACTGCATTCCTGGAATCCTCTTAGCAGCACTTGTTGTAGTTTATGTTCAAACATTGAGATCTTCACCCTTCTACTTTACTCTAGTATCTCTGTTCCTTCTCCTCTAACAATGATCATCAGCTACCACCGGAGCAGGCCAAGCAAAGAGCGGAGATTTCGTGGAGCAGATGAGAGGAGACGTAAAAGAATTCAAGGAGATATACTGCCAACGGAAATGGAAGTGAACCTCAATTATTTTTGTCATGGTTTGAGTTAGCTGTAGTGCATAATGAAGATATGGATCGTGTAAATTTAGTAGGTATTCGTATTGAGCTTTTTTTTGTTTCATCGACGTTAATTTTGAATGGAGAGTTAGTGTCAGTGATCGACATCGAGCTACTTTTTATTACGCGAATTTAGTCAAACCATGCTTAAAAATAGAATGAACAACTACTGGTCAGTGGATGGCTAAAGGAGATTGTCGATATCTACTTGACACATGCAAAACAATGTTAACGATATTCGATAAGTTGCAAACAGGAGGTAGTGAAGGTTAAAAAGATGGAAGATGTACTAGAAGATGTACTAGTAGTACTAGCGAGATCTTCAAGTGTTGATGCCAGTAGGATTCTTATGTCTCGTTGGACACGTGCACATTTTATTGAATCCGTCGTTGGAGGTGAAATAAAACGTTGCCAATACGAATGACGATGCTACCTCGTGGATTCTTTTTAAAAGAAATAGAAGAGACAGTCTTGTTGTCTTCTTGTTCGTGAAAGTGAGGATCATGAGCTTTGGACGTTGAGTTCCGATCCTATGTGCGCATGGACATTGGAAGTCGAACTATCATGTTGCTACTATTCAAAAAGTTTACCGTTAGGTAGTTTTCTGTTAGAGTCTAACAGACGGGTACTTTAAATGTAATTTGGTCATTTTTCATTTTCTTTTTGCAGGTGTCCGACAAGTGTAGTCTTCATAATCGAATGCCATGCTGTTTTTTCTTTCATACCAATCAGGGCACCGTATCTAAAGATTCTTGGTGTGTTGACTTCATTCTTATACGAGGACCTGGCAACAGCTTTCTGTTTCTGTGACCTGTGTTTGAATTTTCCATATCCATACGAGTTGTTCGCGTTTGACCATGTTAACTTGGCGTAACCTCCAGTCCACGTCCACGATCAATGAAATGACGCAACTTCCTTGTGCTGCACCTAGTACGTCTTCCAGCAAAAGCATGAGTTATTCTTCTGCTTCCTCTGCTTCTCTGATCACCCAAATTTTGGGTGAGAAAGCGTCACGTGCGATCGCGGAAACCAAGGTCTTCCTCATTGGTGCAGGCGGCATTGGGTGTGAGGTGCTGAAGAATCTGGTTCTAGCGGGTTTTTTGCACATAGATGTTATCGATTTGGACACCATCGACGTGACGAATCTCAACCGACAATTCTTGTTTCGGAAAGATTAAGGCCATGGCGTTTATTCAGTGTCCTCCAACGTGGTCAGTACTCATTATAGGTTTAGGTCTATAACTCTAAGGGTACAAGAAGCAGCTACTGGAACAATAGATGTTGAAACGAATCAACATCGCGATGTTGATTATTACGCAAGAAACGGATTCATAAAGAGCAAAAGAAAGTTTGAAACGGATTCGTAAAGTAGAGCAAAAGTTTCATCTAGTTCTAAGATTAGCATGTGGATAAAAGCAAGGCTGAGGTAGCGGTAGAGCGCGTTAGGCGATTCTTCTTTAAAAGGGGAGCCGGCGCAGAAGAAAAGTTGAAGATTACGCCTCATTGCGGAGATGTTAAGAGCCTGTCGGCAGAGTTTTTCGAACAATTTGACGTTGTCATAAATGCACTTGACAACATCAACGCAAGACATCATGTGAATCGCTTGTGCGTAGGGCTCAGTAAGCCCTTACTGGAGGCGGGAACTACAGGGTATTTTTCACTTTTGCTGGAAAGAACTTCTACCTAGAGTTAGAGTTTCATTGAAGAACCTGAAGATCATCGTGAACATCTGCTACTATGAGGATCATGAGTTTCAGTAGGAACTTTGCACCTGCTCCTGTACTGAAAGTACTACAAAATGATTCCGCTTTGCAATTAGTAGTGACTGGCAGTAGAAGTACCACGATCATGAATAAGAAATTCAACCCCTCCCAGGTACGAAGGTCAGACGACAGTTCATGTTCCTGGCGTCACTGAGTGCTACGAATGTTTGGCGCGACCGAAGCCTGTGAAATACCCCGTGTGTACGATTCGTAAGACACCAGACAAGCCCATTCACTGCATAACCTGGGCAAAAAGCTTGTTCGATGCTCTTTACGGACCTGAGGATGCTGGGAATGTTTTAGCTGATTTTCGTGCGGAGCTGTCGGTTGTGGTAGGTTCGGGGGCTGCTAGTAGTAGTAAAATAAACAGTAATCCTGTAGTTGATGTGTCTGGTGCTGTTGGTGGAGGTAGCAGTAATGTAGCTGCAGGTGGTACTAGTACTAGTAAGGATAGTTCGTGTACTAAGTCAACATCTTCAACTACGCTTTCTGGTGCGTTAGATCTTTGCGACAGGTTGTTCCGAGATGACATCCAGGGACTGTATGACTCAGGGGAGATCGAAAAGACCTGGGATGCAGCAAGGCCACGTCCCCGAAGACTACGGAGAAGCATAGACTTATTGCGGGAATTCGACAAAGGTCTTTACTCTCAAGAAGCGCGAAAAAAGGGACTTGTTGATGTTTCAGATGGTCCTGTTGGAGAAAGAAAAGACACTGATCATGAAGAAGAAACTCAAACAACCACTTGTTTTGATGAGATCGAAGCAAAACAAGAACGATCAAAACCCCATCAGCATTCAGAGGGTGATCTAGCGTGGATGACGCAGGTCATGGAACGAGCGGGTCAAGTCGACTCGTGGACCGAGGATACTCAAGTCGTGTGGACAGCAGGAAAGAGCGTCTATAAACTCGCATCTGCGATTCAAAGAATACGACAGAGGCAGATGGTAACGCTTTTGCGATAATCTAGTAGGTACCTTAAGTCGTGTGACTCTGACTTTCACACACATTTTTCGCTGGTGTAGAACAACAAGTACATACAACTCTTGTAATAAAAAGATACAACATCCAACATGGATCGTATTGATATCGGTACTATAATTTTCGATACATCTTCCCCTTCCTGATCCAACTAGAACTGAGTACCCAAAAATCAAATCTTCAGGACGCATTCGAAAAATCGGGAGCGCCACTTGAAGTAGTTTTTCGCAAAGAAGATGATGCAGCTGTAGACTTCGTGAGTGCGGTCTCGAACTTGCGGAGTCTGAATTATTCGATTCCGCCTCAGACAAAATGGAAAGTAACCTCTATGGCAGGAAACATAGTCCCAGCAATCGCCACTACTAACAGCATCGTTGCTGGCCTGCAAGTGCAGAATTTAGTCCACCTGGTGCTTGCGACGAAGGTGAATGGTAGTTGTGCTTCAGCAGGTTCTAGTGGTACTGGAGGAAGTGCCGCAACAAGAGGTTCTAGCACAAAAGATAGCTGTACCAAAGCAACAACAACTACTGCTAACCAGAGGATCCTAGAAGCCTGTCGTGACTGCTTCTGTATGTATCCGAGCACATTGGCGAGTAGGAAGAAGGGCGACATGATCGTCAAGTCAGGTCGCGCACAGCCACCGAAAAAAGACTGCCTAGTCTGCGCGGGCAATACGCAAGTAACGTTGTACGTATCGAAAAAAAAGCATGAAGAAGCGTCATTAAAAGACTTTCTAGTCGACACAGTCTTACGCGGACACTTTCACTGCCATGAACCCGCCGTCAACGTGAGCCAGCCAGCACTCTTGGACTTATGTTTTTGGTGATTTAGACGTCCTATAATCCTATCTTTCTTCATGTGTTGAAAATGCGAAATCCTATCTATCAAAAAATTGGCTCAACAACATCAACAAGAACAAATTCAATCCGACCTACGTTGTAAAAAGTTGTAACTCTAAAAATGTTCCTTGTTGTAAATAAAAGTAACGTTGCTCCTTGTCAGTCTTTCTCTTTCATCTTCTAATCCATATTTACGACCCTGAGTTTCCAGTTGCGAGTGAGGAAGCAGCAGCTGAGGGCTTCTTTCCCGACAGGAGTCTTGCCGCATGCGGGGCGAAACATGGGTCAATTTAAGGCTCCTTGTTGTTACCCTGATAAATCCATCTTTCCTCCTCTTGTTTGTTTACAGAACATCTTCCAATCCAAATTCATCCTTGGAGATGGCTCTTGTTATTTTCAAGGAGGAAAAGAAAGGCCGCTTCTTCTAGTAACACCATCTCTTGAGGGATGGAACTAGCAATTTTTCAGGATTATGCAGGTGACCAAGATGGATACTCATTGATTCTACTAGTTCTAGTACTTTAGGATGGTTCTTTCTACCAAGGTGATGGTTCTTTCGACGTCAATGCATTGATTCGTCTCTGCAGGATTATGGTGGTCAAGATGGATAAGTACTTACTTACATTGATGAGAAGAAGTGGCTCTCGCTCTTCTTCCTCTTCTAATCACTCTTGTCGATATGCGACGCGAGTCAGGTGTCGGTGCAATTTGATGCTCTGCTGAAAGTGATCGACAAGTGGAACGAGGAGAACTTTCCAGACTTTTTTGCGGTGAATGAAAAACGAGAGGACGTCGAACTGGTGGAGCTTTCTCCAGAAGATGTAGATGAGGAGGCTGCAGATCTAGAAGATGAGGAGGCTGTAAATGTAGAAGTGGCGGACTTGTCTCCAGCGAAGAAGAAAATGCGGAAAGAATGACGAGACATGAAAGACGAGGGCTTGTTTCCCCATGATCCTAATTTTGGCAGCATACAACTGATGAATCGACCCCACCAATCTCTTACATAGGGCCCTTTTTGCGTTCATCAAACTACATGATGTGTTATTCTTGCGCGCTCCTTTAAAGACGGAACATCTCGATGAAGTCGAACTTGATAGTGTCGCATGATCATGGTTCCTAACGCGAAAAAGTCAGTGGAGAAGTAAACGACACGCCCGACATGCTACAAGAACTACAGCATGATGTAGAAGAAGCGAGTAATATGCGGCGGGACCTTGCGACAAAGAAGATGCTGCGGTGTCTACGCTACATCGTGCTGGATAAGAACCAGAGAGGAAACGCTAAGAGTAGAGTAAAGGAGTACAGGAGTTGAGAGTTTAAAATGAGAGCTGAATGAGGATGATGAAGTCCTAGATTTCTTAAACTCAGTCTTCTAGGAAACGTCCTAAACGACCATCAAGAGCAAGAACCATGACGATCGACGCCGACGTCATCCAAGGCGTCGCAGGTCGTCGTAGTACTGGCTTAGCCATTGACGCTTTTGGTCAGCCAGTCGGGACCGACAGAAAAATCACGGAGGCGAGGGTTAAGTTAGGAATGTGAATCCCGCTAAAAAGAAAAACTCATGTTGTAAAGCTAACGGTAGAATCAGATAAACTGAAGAATCTACTGGATACTACAACATACAACTACTACCACTTCCACTATTTGTTACTGTCCTCACTACTTGCCACGGCCACTTATCGATATGTAGAAGACAGAGTAAGTACTTAGGTTCTTGAATCTCCCGACATGTAGCTCTTCTAAGTCAAGCCTGGTTAAAAGAAAAGAACCTTTCGCGATTGTTCAAGACTTTACAGAAGCACAGGTTCGACGATTTTGAGACCCTGCAAGCGCTAGACGATGGGTATCTCCGTGAAATGGGCGTGGTTGCGGGTGATCGCGTCCGCCTCCTTAAAGCTATTCGGGGAGACTTTTATTTTGGAGAAGGACAAGGAGGTGGAGGTTCGCCTTCTCCGCGAGGGCCACGGACCAGGTTTTTAGACCTTGGAGGAGATGAGGACGATTCGCATCTTTATCATGGACTTGGGCATGGAAGTAGCAGAAGAGCAGGGGAACGACGCATGTACAACGATAATGCTGGTCGCTCTCGTTCTTACAACTACGACCACCACGTCGAGGCGGGAACAACAAAAATATCTTCAAGGCCTCCTCCATTCGAACATGATCAACAAAGACGACAAGAACATGGTGGGCGGCAAGGGCATCAAAAGACTGTCCAAATTGTTGGAGCACCGACTTCTTTGGAGGAAGAAGAAGACGAGGAAGTAGGAGCTCCTGTGAAGAAAGATCAAGTTGCACAGCAGGATCACGAGCGCAACGACAATAGCAAGAAAGAGGAAAAGAACAAGGCCATCAGCACTGCTGGAGAACCAAAGCAAGTGGCTGATGAATCGCTCGCGGCCGTAGTAGTGGAAGAACAGGATAAGAGAGATCAGAACAAAGTCTCGACGTCACCCCATGCTTCTCAAAACATCATCAGAGTGAATAATACTATCAACAAAAATACTCCAACAGGAGCAGGAGCTCCGCCACAGCGTTTACTTCCTGGTGGTGCCACCTCATCTCGGCCACAACTGAGACGTAGCCGCAGATACGAGGACTTGGACCAAGTCGATTGGAATATGGGATCTGAAGCAGCTAATCGGCGAAAGGAGTACGCGAAAAAGGTGATTGGAGTGAGTATATTTTATGAACTACTTCATCAACTTCTTGTATTTATCATTATTTAGACAGGACGATCACGATCAGAAGATCTTCGCAAAAACGTCCTGGCATGGGAGACGGGATTGAATTTCCACACACTAAAAGTATCTGAAGAAGACGTTGATGAAATTGAAAACTTTTGCAAATTAATCTCTGATGCAAGCATCATCTAACGTTTCCTGGAGGGTCTATTGATCGCGCTGCGTGCGACAATGTGGTGGGCTCAGTGTTTGGTCTATGTGCCTCTTTTCATAGCGAATTTGTATGGCTTGCAGTGGAGGAAACGCGTCGACGTTTTCACAGCCTTGCGGGGATTGCGTGTGGTGGAAAAACAGCAATGTGGGTATCTGGGTTCCGACGTCTACAGAAGCTCTGTCGCGGAGTGCGAGACGGTTGTTAAGGGAGTGGGTAGATGAGTTTTCAGTTTTGTACTTCTACTTAGCTTCCTTCCGATTTGCAAGATCAGTATCTCCATTTGCTTGAGCAGTGTTTAATGTAGAGTTTTGTGGCATTATTCTGATGTGAAACTGCAATATTTTATACATTGTGAAGGAGGACCTCTCCCTGGTGAATTCAGGCTTTTTGTTTTTGCCGACAGGAGCCAGGTCACTTCTTTGATTTTTTCTTTCATCTATCTTCTTCAGGAGGAGGATGGTTTTGTTCTCTTTTCATTCTAAGATCAAGCAAGGACGGAAGCTGCAGAGAGGTGCGATGTTGTTAGTCTCGCAAGCAGTCGCACTGACATTTAAGGCTAGAACCGCTAATCTATCTCTATTACTTACTACGTACAGAGGACCTGATGAACGGCCCAACGAAGGAATTCTATCAAGGGATTAATGCCTAACTTCTGACGAGGGAGCGCACGCCACGACACGAAATAAAATGCTTGAACAACAATCATAGGCGGAGGATCAGAACAAGCTCATGCTCAAGGAGCTCTAATACGGCGGTCTGGGTCTTTGGTCTGATGATTTTCTCTAGTGTAATGATACTGGCTGACAAGCGAGAAGATGTGACGTTTGAGGCGGTCACCAAAAGCGTTTTTCAGGATGATAGCTCTACTTTCAACTGGTTTGCGGTGACGATTTTGGGTATTCTTGCAGCTTTCAGCGGATGCTATGCATTTTATGATGTTTGAAATGGAAAATAATAAGAAGCTTTTTACTCGGTAGCGTTATACAGATATTGATGATGTAGTTGCAGCAGAGGGTGCTCAAAAATGAATCAAGAACATGTGAAATAAATGATTGTAATTATACAATCTTAGATCTAGCGGAAAACGATAGATACCAACTGATGCTTGATGTGCCCAAAAAAGAAGCACATTCGAGGGTCGTGCTAAGGAGTAAGAGTAAGCTTTTTCTTCATCCTTTCATACATTGCTGTTTATCGCCATGTTCCGCAACGAGTATCGGAGTGGCTTGATCAAAAAAGCCCACGTTGAGGAGCTCAAGACGAAGGTTGCGCGTTTGCAAAAACTCGATATCAAGGTGAAAAATGAATACGACTCTTCGTCAGTCCAGAGAAGCATCAGAGATGGAGTTGAAAATGCTGGAGGCAGCCGAGACCATGGAGAAAAGAAAAACAATGAAGACCACAGCGAGGAGTCTTCATATCATAGAGCAGTGGACGTAGGCAAGCAAGTAGATCCGCAGATCAAGCCGCTGTTCGATCTATCGCTTCCGCTAGACGAGCAGTCTTTAGTTGGCAAGCTAGACGTGAGCGTTCAAAGTTCGACTAAGCTTATGGTCACTTTGATAAATATATCATTTTGGAAGAGAAATTATTGCTACCTCGTCGCAGCTAAGATGAAAGTAGTTGTGGTAGTGTTCTCATCTTATCACAATATCATCGAGAAACGAGGAGAGGACAAATACGCAGTTCTTTCCCTATCCTCGTCTAACTCCCAAAACCTGTGGGAGCAGATTGGACAGGTGGGAGCAGTTGTAAAGTTTTTGAAAGGGGGTGCCTGAGAATTCTGAAACGCGGATTCGGATAATATCCGAGACGTCATACAAAAGCTGCGTGATGACGCAGCTGCTGATTTTTTCCAACTCGAGTTATGCTCAGCTTTTTTTATCCATGACCTTTGTCTTTCTCAGCATCTTTTCGTTGGTACCCTTTATTTCCCCTCGCCCTGTATTCCCATAAAAAAAGTATAACGGTAAAGGTTAAGGTATCTTCAAGATGGGACCACTGAGATCATGAATAGACGCTGACGCTAATAGATTCGGAAATATCCGAGATCGAAGAAACTATGAGTAGCTACTCGGTGGTTAGCAGACGAAGTAGTGGATCTCGATCGTCAGGCCTGCAGATGGCTCGCCTCCTCGTGGCCTCTAGGGGGTTGGACAACAAAACAGAACAGAACAATGACCCGCTTTCTGCATTGTATTTACGGCTCCTGGGTATAATAAATAGTGCGTTTTATTTGCTGTCAATTATATTATAACATAAGGTTTGTTTCTTGTTTTGGCGCTCTTCAAAGCACTAAAATATACCAACCGGTTAGTTTTTACCTCTAAAGGCGTAGCCCTTCAAACAACATATGAGACTCGAAAATAGGACGCTGCTGTAGTTCGTGAATCAAATTCAGGCTCAAGGTTCCTCTTTCTCATCATCCTTCTCTTCCTTATAATCGTCTTCATCTTCTAACCTTCGTGGATTTCGAGAAGGCGAGACTTCGATATGCAGTTGCGTCTGAGGTCAAGTTGATAGGGATATCACCTGACGTGTTAGTGCTGGAAAACTGGGCTTTTGTGATGCGTGCCATCGAGGACCTAGATGTGCAACGATGTCTCAACGACTTTAGACGAGGAAGGGAACAACAGGCGGAAGAGAAGAATCAAGGAGGTGTCGTTGTACTAACGGATACGGGTGAAAAAGATGATCATGTTGATGCCTCAAACACGAAGCATTTGCAACCGTATGAGGGCACAGACGTGATGACTTTGCGAGGTGAACTTTTCGTCGACGAAAATTGCGATTTCGCGAAGCTTCTCGGAGGCGTCCAAAACGGCTTGTTTGGAAAGAAGATTAGGGCTTCTTAGCTTGTTGTAGAGTTTCACCCCGCGGAAACACGATTTACATGAAGTCTTCTAATAGTAGCTCAAGTAAGTTGTTCTCGTATCTATAATACAGCCTTGCTGAACTACTTGATGTAGTCACTTGAAGTTGTTGTAGAGGTTTTTTTTCCTTCTTCACTACCAATCTCTTGCTCTTCTAACTTCGCAACTCTGAAGGCCTATCTATGGACTGTGGTAGCTCTGGTTAAGGCTTTACCGGGTGTAATCGGCATGTCCCTGAAAATGGCGAAGGCTAAAGATGAATCGAGGAAAGAGTATTTTGATATAATTCTTGTAGTACTTCATCTGCTACTATTCTTCATCTTGAGTGTCATCTACTAGCATCTACATGATCTAGGTTTTCTAGCAAGGGCTTGTTTCTAAGGCTAAGACTATCATCAACCAGTCTTCAACATAGGCCGCGCACACGTAGAATCATTTTGTTCCCATCAACCAAGAACCAAAATGAATTAAATATGGCACAAGATGAATACCACACTTAGGTCTTCTCCAGCCAGTCAGTCAATATATGACCGCTCACATATGGTAGGGGCGAACCTGAAGGGTGCAGAGTACAAAAACCTATGGACCACACAGTCAGCGAGTACGAACATGTATGCTGGTGGAACGATGGCCGTCCGGGGACCTGGTTTTAGGGCGCTGGAGTCTAAAAATCTCCGATCTTCAAATGCACCATAATAATCCTCGTGCATAGCCACATCATATAGTACAAGGATACTAGCTCTAGCTAGGCGATCTTGTTCGTAAACCTGCTGCTTTATCTTTCTTTCCTCTTTGGCTAGCCTCTACTTCTAATTCTTGCACAGCAGGTGGCCGTGGCGGAGACCCTGAGATCGTGTTTCAGCATCGTGAGTATTTGCTCGCTGATGTGACGGATTGTGTGAAGTTGGCGGAGCAGTTGCACAAAGAGGTGATTGAGTGGCATGTCGAGAGCGGAGACTGGATGGCATTGTTAAGGTCGTTTTGGTCCTCGCTTTTTACAAATTAAAATTATACCAGAGTAGTTTATAGCACGCATGGTGCATGGAGTGCATGGAGTAGCATGGAGTGCATGGAGCGCAGAGCTTTAAGGGGCGCAAGAAGCTCCCCCTTTAGCTCCATGCTACTCCATGTGATCCATGCACTCCATGCCATGCGAGCCGTGAAACCTTATAAACTGCTCTGTTATACAACTCACTTTGATGCTATTTACCTACAAGAACTTTGCTATGAAGAATCGCATCGCCCTAAGATTAGACTACGAAGATGCGGACGGGAAACGAGAAGTGCGGCTCCTGCCTGCCACCGGAGACGAAAATGAGTTAAGGGGAAGGAAAAAACGTACAGTTAGAAAAAACTCTCTCGTGAACAAAGCACTTACAAATGTTCGCCAGTCTTATGTTGTGGAATAAGATGATAGTATGCGTGTTGCCGGATACATCGATTCTAGGCAATGGGTCGTTCAAGTTGTAGCCAATTTCAGCAGTACAAAACCCAGTTGATAAGCTAGATACCGAAAGAACCAGATTTTTGCGTCAACTGATATTTTCAAGTCAAGTTGACTTCTACACGACTTGACATACTACAAAATAGGCAAGATGTACTTCAAACTGAATGTGATCTCCTTAGGATTGTCGTGGCTATTCTTGTCACACAAGGAGGACGTGGCTTCCGTGAGGAGTGATTTTTGTTTCTTCCTGTTCCTTTATGTAGATGTAGAAGTAATATGTAGACCTATGACTGGTCGTATGGTGTTGATGCTCTTTTTGTAGTTCGCTGTAGTAACGATGATCACATTTTTTATTCCCAGAATTTTGTTGTGTTGAGATGAAGCTTTATTCGGCAAGAACTACTCTATGCTTATCTATCAAAATAAATGCTTATACAACTCTGAACAATATTAATAAAAGTGGTAGAAAAATGCGTTTGGGTTTGGTCTCCGTTTTTTGAAAAATACGACGTTTGCATATAGAGAGTGAGCTGCATGCTCCACCTCCTGTTCCTCTTCACATCTTACAGCAGTCGTAGTTCGTAAAAATCATCCAAGTAATCAGACGGATCAAGATCATAGAAGGAATAGGTTTGAAAGATCAGGATCAGGTGGTATCAAAGTAGAGATCAACGATCAAGCAAGATGATCGAAGAAGTTCCAAGATCGTGGATGATGTGGAAGGTCATCAATGACATTGTTGGAAGGTCTACTCAGTAGAAGACGATGATGCCTTCTGTGGCTGCACATATTCACCCGAGGAGGCAGGTCAAACTGTGGACGGTGAATCAAGTCCTATCCTATCCTATCAACTATACGAGATCTAACTCTTGAACGTCGAGTCTTTCTCTTCGTTCTACCACGTTAAATCCTCTGTACCTCTATTTCTCATCCATATCAGGACCTGCAGGAGCTGAACTAGAAGAACATGAAGCAAGTACTTAATTGTTGTATTTGCTGTATGTACAACGCTTAATAAAAAGTTTTTTTACTGGATTCACTGTCCTCGAGAGATCAACAAGAACATGGTCGCGGTGCAACGTTTCACTCCGGCAAGACCGGTTAAGAAGAGTGGAGCAAAAGAGAAAAGCAGGCCTCAAGCCGAAGATGAGACAAGAAACACAACTACAGCTGTCTCAAGAACAAAGGAGAAAGACGTATCATCAAGCTCGACAACAGGACCTCAAAATTCTGAAGCTAGTACAGCACCAGCAAACAAGCAGAAGACTAAGTCTAAGGTGAGAATCAATCCCCTGTTTGCAGCGGCTTACCGTCGAAAAGAAGAGCCAGAGGTTGTCGTCGCAAATGATGGTGCTACAACTAGTTGTGATGGAGTAGCAGGAGGAGAAGCTACAACAACAGCTACAACTGCAACAAACAATGCAACAAGAACTTCTGCAATCGCTGCAACTACAGTTATCGACCCTGCCTCCTGGCTGGCATCACTTAGCGGTGGAGGAGGTCTAAAAACACAAGAACGAACAAAAGATCTAGAAGTAGGGCAACGAGGACATCAAGTAGATGATGAACGAGGACCAGGAAAACAAGAACGAATTATATCTGCGTCATCTTCTCGGAGTTCTACAGAACCTCTACAGCGACCACCTTGTGATGGTACAACAAGTACAACACGACCACCTACATCAGAACTTGTTGGACGATTTCTTGCGACATTGGATCCTCTGGATCCGATAGAAGGTGAAAATGGGAGTGCTGGGATAAAAAGATTTTCAAAGCCCTTCTGGCGGACAAGCTCGCTTGATGAGGTCTATCAGAGTTGGGAACGGCAGAGGGCCTTTAGAAATCACAATCTCAAAAAGAAGTGCGCCAATGCGAAGCGATTAGCAGCAAAGAAGTCGTCTGGGTTAGCTTACAACAGGTAGGCATAGGGGACAAACACAACGGACATGTTGTCATTCACAGATCGTTAGAGTAGTGTCATGATCTTCTTTCCTGCAACATCCTCCTATTTTTGTACCTATGATACAACCAGACACTGTAAAAATATCCTCGTCTACTACAACGACATTTGAACAATAAACCTCCCTCACCAACCTAATTGTGCTTTGATGTTAGGATGATCCTCGTAGAATCTGGATGATGTTGATCCTCGTCGCGGCATGATGTAGATTCTCATTTTGTGTTCGGTAGACCTCGTTCTTGATGTCGATGAATCCTACTTAAATACTTCTAAGCTCAACAAAGAGAGAACAAGATCAAGATTCCATATCTGTTTACTAGCGTATCGAGATGAAGCGTTAAAAAACTCTGTCACTGAGTCGTGGCCATCTGTCTTCCAGAGAGAGCAGAGAAAGAGAGAGACAGAAAAGTGTGTCTGTGAAGAACAGTATGTCTGTGTGAGCTTACAACTACGGTTCCAGAGATCAGTTGTATGTTTCCAGTAGGGCTTTGCTCCTCCTTCAGTACATTTCTCAGTTGTCCTCTGAGTGCAAGTAGTTAAATAATAGGGATTTGAATTTGAGCTCTTAATATGATTTCGTCAACAACAAGAACAATGCAAGACCTACAGCAAGACCTAAAAAGTTTATCTTTCCATAACACGACAGGTCATTATATACCCCCCCTCACCCCTACACACGTTTCCCCTGGACGATCTCTTAATTTCACAAGCACCAGCACCAAATTTGTTTATAACCTCACTCATGATCATCTTGATGTTATAAGTGTTTGTTTCTTTTTCTTGCAGCTTTCCTTTCTTGTTATCTACTATGATGTTAAGGTAAGCAACTAGAGTAACGCACCTACAAAAATCTATCCACTTTCATCTTTCTCTTTTTTAGAGAAGATGGGTAACCTCTGTCCCTGCTTGAATGACCGGGCAAGCCAAAAGGAAGGCGCCCCGAAGAAGGAGAGGAAGAAGTCCTTTGTGATGAAGCCAAATGCTAGAGGAGGCGGCGATTACGCCGATGGAGTTATGGTTGGAAACTACTAGTTCTGTAATTGTTCTTGTACTTCTATAGTCATCATTTTTTTCTTTTTCATGACCATGATCCAGCATCTGCCAGGAAAGAGAGAGCCAGCATCAGTATCTCTTTCTCTCCGGTTGTAGTTGTTGTATCGTTTTCTTTGTTCCCACTTGTTCCGAGGATTTACTCCTACGCTGCGTAATATTGATATTGAAGTAGAACAATCAAATTTACGTAGAAAGAAAAGTTGTACAGCAAGAACATCAACTACATCAACATCAACATTAATATTAAGTTTTATCTCTTGATGAATAACATTCCACTTTTTCTTCTAACCTACGCGGCGGTGGCGAAGATAGCTACGGTGGAGGCGATAGCGGGATTGATGAAACAACGAATGGAGGTAACGAGTATGAGCAAGATGAAATGACAACGGCAGAAGAGCCTGTGGACGCAGACATTGACATTGACGAGTTCGATCAAGTCAAGTTGGTGGACGTGGTGAGCGGCTCAACAGTCGCTCGTGGGGATCACGAGGTTGCGAAGTGGATAGAAAAGGAACGCACATTGCGGCAGAAGTGGGGAGACGCGACTGTGTTTTTCAACGTTTTCCGCATGGACCCCTATGGGAAATACAACAGTACTTCTACAGGAGCTGCTGGAGCTCCTGAGAAAGAAGTGCCTCTCCTCAGTGTGCAAAAACGGCTGAAACCAGAGAAACCAGACGAAGAAGTGTTGTCTGGTCAATTTCCTGCAGAAGCGGTCGATAAGTTTCTGTTGTCTGCCGTGAAAATTCCTCCAAAAACGACTGTTGCCAAAGTGAAAAAGATTTTCCGGAAGGAAGCCCTGGAGAAGTGTGGTGTGCTACAAGCGGCCAGTGCAGCAGAAAAAGAGGACAAGCCGACACAAGTGTTCAAGGGCTCGCATCTGACCTTTTACGTAGATACGATCATGGAGGACCAGAATTACTTTTGGGAAGATCATGCCATCGTCTTGCCTCTCTTCGTTACGGTGTGGGTACACGACATGCCTTTGGAGGATTTAAAAGCGTGGATGACGAAAAAAGCCAACGATATGACGAGAAAAGCAGAAGGACCACAGGAACAGTAGGGTCGAACTCCAAGGCAACGCGGAAGGATAAGACCAGTATGCGTCTAAGGGGGGTGATGCTCGTGGTCAGACGAACGGACCGTCATACGGAAGGAACCTGAGTAAGCACGAGGGCAAGCTGGTGATTAACCTTACTTTAACGGGCCTCTGTACTGGATCACCTACGGCTTAGAACGAGCCATTATTCATACGGATGAAGGAGCAAACTAAGCAAGAAGTAGAGTTGTCGTAGTAGGCAAGAACATGCTGTCTTTGACACTTAATAGAAGATTGTGCCCTGGTGGCTCTAGTATGAGTAAAAAGATGATGTTCTGGCTCGTCCACGAATATGAACTTTGTTCTTGTTGAGCTAAAAAAATGTGGATGCCGCGCTTTTGTGGTCTAATATCTGTCTTCAGAGACCCCGGATCTCATTCGGTTATCGACTCTATCATGATCTAATGACAAATACGCGACGAGTGTTGAGGGCGAGTGTTGAGGGCGAGTGTAAAATGGGGCGCGAAACAAAAGGGCTAAGGACATGAAAAAATTTGACGGATGAAAAGGAAAAACTTCAACTACTCGTGAATGTCTTGAGGTCCTCTACTCAGTCGAAGATCATCTACAACTATAGTTTCCAATGCTAATACTTCTTGTTCTACCTAGTGAATGTTCAAAAAAATAACACCTATGTGAACGTCATGAGCACAAGAACCCGTTGTGTCCCCCTTGGTCTACCTCTTTCCCCGCCGACTTTATGAAACACTGCGACGCCCTTTGGCAGTCTGCACTGAACTTTGTGCGACGAGATTAGCTGTATCTATGTGTATACTAGCTGAGCCTCCTAATGAAATAATAAGACGCCACTATGCTTGTGTTACAGAGGTGGGCGACATGATCCTGAAGATGTGAACGTGGTTGATCCCCTTTGCACAACTAGTAGTTTACGATATTCATACTACTACCACATAAACCTCTACATGATGAAATACCAAGAATCAAAAGCAATATCACGTTCATGGCGTCGTTCATCTGATTCTGCTAACCACGCACCTGGTTCCATCAGGACCGCGGACCGGTCATGCTTTCCAAGAATTGGTGCGGTCGTCGTGGTCTACATGCATTAAAAGGTTCATTTTGGCGTCCGTAATTATGAACAACGATCGCCGCGCGACCAAGAGCAAGAGTTGTTCCATCAGCGACGACGTCCCCTAGCAACATCATTACTACTTGCGGAAGCCGCTCCTGAACAACATGTTGAAGATGTTGCACTGGAACAATAATATGTACAGCTTTGTTCGGAGGCTTTCTCTCATGTTGCTCCTTGGCAACTTGGAGGGTGTCTTAGGTGGAGCAACCTCTCCGTTCGACCCTGAGTGTTTTCAAGCACGTTGTTTGAATCCAGCAGCATTTAGTAGTCCACTCACACGGGGGTCTTCATCAGGTGCAGTGGCCTTTCCAAGTTCTACTAGTTCGGAACCAAGTACGACTGGTCACTCTGACACTGACTTTCCAGAAGCTTCACATTACAGAGACTGCTTTGATAGCGTGAATTCAGCTGGAAGCGCAGTTAAGGCTTGAGGAAATCCATCTTCCAAGCATCTTTTTCCCGTTTATTTTGAAGAGAAAACGGACACCAAGAAGATGCTCGCCAGGACGATGAATGATCTCTGCAAGAAGTTCTAACGGTGGAGGAAGCTCCTTGATGATAAAGGTAACGGCTGCTTTGAAGGAGAGTTGTTGTCCGGTTATGCGTGAGTTGGGTTTTTGTTTTGTCACTGAATGCCTCATCGGGAATCGGACGACTCAGTATGTGTTACCCTCCATGCGCTATCAAAGTCAAGAGTACGGCATCGGCTTGCTATATGACTCTGCTTCTCCAGTCAGGGATTTGATGCTGCCGAGAGGAACAGGCCACACGACAGGAACACACGACGCAGCGTCATTGTTTGCAAATGTGTCCTCTAGAAGTAAAGCGAGTGGAGCAGAAACGGAACCTCCAGATGGAGGAGGTCAAGAGACTGGCGGTGATCAACAACAAGAGCCGTTTCCTCGTCATCGTCATCGAACTTTAACGACTACAAACAACAATGCAGATAAAGAATATCTTCGCTTCGATCCTTTGGCTACGGAGTGGGCCTGCGGTTTTAACCTTGGAAATCTGAATGAGCACAGTAGAATCGCGTTTTCACTGCAGTTCAACACAGATGCAGATGGTGGCGCAGCTAGCGAAGAGGCTGTTCGAAGTAAGCTGGCTAGCTCGTGGGCGAATGAGCTGCGGAGTGCTTTGATGTCTTTTACGGAAATTATGCTGGACGAGAAGTGGTCTGTTCTTTTGGAGATAATTTTTGCCCACTGCTGGAGCAACTGGGTCCTCGTGGTCTAGTTCCATCCTAGCTAGAAGATAATGATTTAAAAAATTGAGGAAAAATATAATAAAAAAATTATATGAAGAACATAGATGCTGTCATGAACAAGAACAGCCCGTCCACCGCCACCTCTAATAAGAACCAACAACAAAACGCTAACGCATCTCCTCCAGAAAATTCACCTCCAGTTTACGATTCCACGACAGTGAAGTCGTTCGCTGATTTTTTTCCGTCCGATATGCAATTTGGAACGTCCTTGCAGTGGACATTGCGCAGCATAGATTCCACGGATCCTGGCAAAGTAAATTCGTGGGTGATTGATAATTATGACCTGTACATCGTGATCATTATGGTTTTCATTTTCTGTCGTCGTTTGTCCTTTCTTTGGTCTACATGTATGACCTCCACCTTCTTGACCAGCACCATTAATAGAAGTAACACATCAACAAGCGTGTTGCTGAAAAGCAGGAGGTCTTCATCTATTCATCGTCGCCAGCACGTCTTCTAAGTTACCGAAGTGAATTTCACCCGCAACGCTTACGAGCAATGGCACCGTGCTGCGTATCCTCTGGCGAAGAAAATCACCGATTTGCTCAATGCAGCTTGCAAGTCTCCTTCTTCTGATCCAGAACAACAGGATATGAGCTCTTCTTGTCCCCTCTTTTCTGCGATTTCTAGTGCCATTGGCGGAGTTTCAGGAGCAATATCTCTGGTCGTGACTTGGACTTCCAGCACGGCCTCGTCCAGCACCAGCAGCGCTTCAATACGTTTGCATCGCTCTTTGCTCGCCTCAGAAGGCGAACCGTTACCCAGTTGTGAAAGCGACGTGTGCATGAATTCGCTCCCTTCGCCAGAGAAACAACAGGAACGCACTACGCATACAGGCTTCGGACCGTTCCAAAGAGGGTCGGGACCCGCTGACTACCAACCAGGAACACAGTCGTTTGAGAGCTGCTTTGTCACTGCTAGGAAGAACGTTGGAGACCCAAAAAATGTTCAAGGAGTTGTACCAGATGATCCTGAACTGGAAGTTTCCGATTTCTATTCCTGTTGTCAATGGGACGAACAAGCAGATCCTTTTGTAGCGAATGCTTTTTCTACTTCCGGTTCGCGCGGCTCGAAGTTGCGGGAATTTCAGGTGTGCCGTTCAGAAATTTGCGGTCTAGATATGAACCGAGAAGCTGCTAAAAGCAGAATTGTGGACAGAACAGAGTTCATCGCATGGGTAGCGGAGAAGAGTAACGGCACAAGGTGGTATAATTAAGGCAACAAGAAAACAAGAAATCAAGTTGTACGAGCACGAGCTAGCAGATAAGACTCTTCGTCTTCTAATCCCACATGTCTGACGGAAGCGCGTACGATAAACATGCGCGTGCCATAGACCGGGATTGCCACGTAAACGAAACAGAGATCGAAGATGAGGGATATCTGCAGTACTAATATTCTTCTGATTGACATTGAAACTTGATGTCACGAAAAACGCTCACACGTTTTACCTAAGACATACAAGCGGCTCCTGTGTAGCTTTACATAAGCTGGCGTTGTTGTATTTTGCCGCATCAAGTTTCATAACACGACCCCAAACTACAACTCTCGTTCCCACACCACTAACATCCCCACCACCACATCCCTCAGCTTGCAGTTTTCGCTTCTTTTCGTCCGTCGCTGTGCTTCTTCCAATAGAGATTGCAGTATTTTGACGGAGCTGAAGCCTGAAGAGGACCGGGTTCTTCAGGAAGCGGCCATACGTGGTCTCAGAAATGGACTGAAAGTTATGCTTTGGTGGATACTACTACAACTTCGTTCTGGTGTCACTAAAAAGGTTATTAGTATTAAATCTACTGAGAAGTCAAACTCAAAGTCGTTGTTCTTCTCGTTGATATGAACAAATTGAGTGGGTTAGCGATATTTATCGTCTATTCAGCATATTAGAGGGGTCCTCTAGTACGTATCTTCTTCTCTAAAAAGTACTTCCGGCGGCTGCAATTTGGAAATTTGCCTAGTTTAGACGCCTCTATCGACAATGCGGAGATTCAAATCCGAGACACTGTCCTCACATCAACCGAGTGGGTTATGGTACAACAGGGTGACGCTCCAACTGTTATGGTGGGCGAGCAAAGAATAGATTTTTTGAAGAAGGTTGAAAGTACAAAAACTTGTGTAATGAACGGCCCGCTACGTTTGAATGGCTAAAAAAGAGGTTCCATGACATGACATACCTTGTTCTAACTCCAGAGGAGCCGCACCAGCACAAGAAGAAGAGCGTGAGGGTAAGCGTGTGAAATTCACTGTAGGTCTCTGGTTCGACGAATGGTCTACCCTGGAAATGCTTACACGCGCGTACACAACGCATGGAACAGGAGGCATTGACGAGATGAAGTGGGATATGACGTAAGAATTTTCTTCTCCGTACAGATTTTTTTGCATTGATTATTCTTCAAGAATGTGCTCTCGTGTTTCGAAGAGAACCGCTAGGTTGATTACCACATGCTAGTTGCTGCACTGATTTTTTCAAGAAGAAGAATGACAGGAGCCATGAAATCATCAACTAAGCTTGCTCGCTGAACTACATCTTCACTACAACATCAGATGTCAATCATTTGTATCTTCTCCCTCACCTTCATCTTCACTACAGCACTCCCGAACGCAACACGTTTTACCTGAATGCGATGCAAGGTGTTTTCAATGCAGCCAGCACTGGGACGACCGGTGATAAGAACGATCAAGACAACAACGCCGACAGCCATGATGTCATGAATCCAGTACACGAGTTGAATTTTGAATATCATCATCAGGCTCGTCACGAATCAGATCCAAAAAATCAGGGAGCTGGTTCCTTGACGTCTGAATCTGTGCGTCAACGCCGTTTCCTTTACGAGTCAGAATCGGATAAATGCTTGATGCGACATTGTTCTGCGTTTGTTGGAGGTTCAGCTGCTGTATCTGGTACAACTGTACTAGATGACGAGCCTGACATGATGGATCGTTTACGAGATGCTGGCTTTCGGCGGAATCTCTTGAGCTTATTGGAACCACATAATTTTGCTAATGAGAAGACGTTTGGTGGACCAAGTGGAGGCACAACAGGAGGTGAGGGCCAATCTTCAGCAGCCCTAACTGGAAACAAAGACAGCGCTGTCTCGGAATTGAACAAAATTCGTTTTGACCAAACAGGTTGTTTTGAGAAGGACGACTATCAAAACACGATCAGGATAGAGTCGGAGTGCTGTCCCGGATGGCAAGCGCTTGCTTATTGCATCGAACAACATTGTGCGGATTCGTATGAGGTCCAGAAAAGCGGGTATGGAGGATCTGTAGATGGGAAATCGCCTCCCATCTTCGTGGACTGGAGCAATACTGTTCGACCAGCAGTGCAACAACAATGTGGGTTGGACACGACTGTAGCGCATAACAAGATGAAATCTGCTTCTACTCCTACTGCTTTTACTGGTAGTGCAACAACTTCTTCGGGAGAACAACAACATGATCCGCAGGCGCGTGTCTGGCTTGGATTTCGCGAACAATACTATTGGGGCACGGATAACCCGCCATATCCAAGTGGGGATCCAGGTGACTACTTCAGAATCGATTTTCTGAAACTGTACCGAGACGAACTACGATTGGAGCATGGTGTCTCGTTTCCAGACTTGTACATCCGCGAGCTCGATGCTCACGTGCCGAAAGCGCCTGGACGTCGCTGTGATCCGCAGACTGGCTACGGGGTAGCAGAACCGCACGAGGGGGACCAGCAAAGGGGAGACTTGTGTAGACCAGGAGAGGCTGGAACCGGCGAAGCTGATATGAGCGAAGATTTTCGGCGTAGACTAAAGGATCGTGTGGTCGAAGCAAGAGATATTTCTGCACCATCCTCCAAATTAAGGAGACACCAGAAAAGGAGACACCAGATGAAAGCTAGGAGATCTTTGCCGACTGTAACTTTTTCTGCTAAAAGAAAGAACATCAGAAAAGCGCTGGTGTCTTTCGTCCAGCAGTCTCCTGAACAACGAAAGCTGGGAACAGCGACAACGGGCGAAGGTCACCCTGGTGACTATGCCTGTCCGAGTAATTGCGTTGCTGTCGATGAAGCGCCATGGTGCGTCAACGCCTACGACTTCCCATGTCGATTCACAGAACGTACTCTACTTTGCTATTTCGGTCTTGGTACTAGACATAGAGATTATTAAGATAATGCATGATAATACTACATAGATTTGTCTTTCAGAGATGAATGGTTGATTGAACTCGTCGGTCATTTGATCGAAACCGTTCAAAAAATCCTCCTTCAAACCATCACCCTCACGACAGCGCCCATTACCCCAGACGGCGCTGCCACGGGAAAGGGGAAGCCTTACGACGTGCTGTTTGACATCGAGTATGTCCTCGGTCCCTTCGAGGATGATGCTGCTGCAAATCGCACTATTTCCGCATCACGAGTACCCAACTTGGCAACAACTGGCCTGCCTTTGCCAAAAGCGAGAACCATCCAAGGCTGGCGGACGAATTCTATGTGGCAATTTAGTCCCTCTGGTTCGCGATTAGAGGCTGCCTTTCGCCTCAGAGAAGTGGCAGCGTACAAACCGACTCGCTTCGAACAACACTGCGTTCTGAATGCGACGAATTTTGTGGGAACAAGCTTCGCTGAAAATCTACGAGGTGGTGCGAGTACACAGGAGAGTGTGAAAGTTATGGGATGATGGAATCGAAACAACAAACTGAAGTCTGCTGGTTGTAGTTTGTACTTCTTAGCACGTCCTACAGTGTGTGTGTGTGTGATCATCTTCACGACGCGAGAAATATGAGGATTTTTCTACTGCTTCAGTATCAGTCCTGTCTTCTAAGCAAAGCCCCCTTGAATTCTACCATAACGATTGCTGGAGCGAGGTCACCGCTATCGACCAAGAAGATGGCGCTGAAGAAAGAATGCGCTTCGAAGCCAAGTGTTGTCCCGCAGTCACGCATTTTGGTACCTGTCAAGCGGAATTGCCGATGAGCGATCGTTTGGCAGTATTATGGCGATAATCATGGCGGATGTCACATTAGCACTCCTTTATTTCCGTTTGGAACTCGTCAGGAGTTTCATGACCAACTATCTTCACGGTCCCTCCCCATCCTCTAACAACCTGGCAAAAAGAAGCGATCGAACATTCCTGCCACTACAGTCTAGATCACAAGAGACTGAAAGCACGCTTCAAAGGTGGCGATATCCGTGTCCACATAATGGAGCCTTTCTCGGCAGAAGATGCTGCAAATAGCAATACGGATTTTCAAGTGGCAATCCACGAAGCGTTGATCGATACTCTGCGCAGTTCTTCGGAACTCATGGGAGGTCAAATGTGGAATGCCGGAACTGTGGGGAGTGCTTGTGGAAACCCACAACAAGGGAGTGCTGCTGGAGGTGGAGAAGGAGTCAAAGCAGTCAACGTGACCTCTCTCCTCACGTTGAGTCGTCCTTGTCCCAGCTGCATGGTTGAACTTTACCTGAATTACACTCTCGAATCTCTCCACCCAGACGCAACACAAACCTTCCGAACCTTCAACCAACGTTATGCCGGAATCGGCAAGAAAGAATACTCGACTTGGTGGCTGAATGACATGAAAGCGAGGTTAACCGATCATCCGCGAATGGCGGAATATAGAGGGATGGTGGATACGTTACAAGTCCCTGAGGAATATGTGATGCCAGAGGCCAATTCCGCTGGAGGCATGACCGTTGGCCGCTATTGGACAGTGCAAACAGAAATTACTGACCTGCTGTCAACTCCCTCGTCGCGATGTTTCTACGCTCACTGTGAAGGAGTCTTGCGTGATGTGGCGATGCCACGGATGCCTGTGTCGACCTTTGATGCTGGCAGTGCCTGGAGGTACAGAGTATGGGAGAATTGTGTGCATATGCGAGACTCTTGGGATGACCGTGACCCTCAAGGAACACACCGAATGTCCTTTAACTTTCATTACGGCGGTTTGTAGTTCTTCTCTTTCACCTTCACGTGAACGACAACGATTTTCCTCTGTTCTTGTTGACCTCTTCTTCTTCTAAGCTCAGCCTCAGTGTTGTGAATTCGTTTCGCCGATTGTGTCCTGTCTCCGGGAACACTGCCCTCATTACAAGGATGACGACCCGCGATATCGGTTGTTTGCTGAGAGTGGTCGGGAAAGACGAATCGAGTTTCCACCACCTAGACAAGCAGAACATCACCACGAATCGTCGTCATCACAGGAGCAGAACAGCAGATCATTGCAACAAGTTGAGGAGTCATCGTCTCCTTTTAAGGCTGCTCAACATCTTGACTAGATTATTAGGAGTATTTTTAGAGAACGAAGAGGAAGTGGTCAAAGTCGTACGCTACATTGACTAAATACATTTTTTTACAACTACATGAGTGACTCAGTCTGCGTCCATCTTCAGCCCTCTAATCCATCTCCTCTACGTCCTCCATCTGGAACTCTCTAATCCATCTCCACCTCCCGGCGATGCATCTTCCTCTTCCTCTTCCTCTCCCGCGCCTCCATCTGGAACTACAAACATCTTTATCGTACGAATGATCTCGAATCCTTTTTTCTCTGTTCCAGACCACTTAGCACACGTGGAACAGAGCTGTGGGCTCAACCTTGCTTCTGGCATAGCGGAGTCTCGTTTCTGGCTTGCAGGAGAGCAAGTTTTAGAGCTGGATCAACGCGGCTGGATGGTAGGCGCTTTCGGGAATGCGCAGAGGGATCCCTATGCACTGGAACCGAATTCCATTTACCCGATGGGCTTGAACGAAAGTAACCGTACAGGCAGTCTGGCTTCCCGTATACCAGACGCATCGCCGGGAGAGGACGTCGAGAGTGACCGCTTTTACCGCTTTTTCCTACACAGGTGGATGGAACAGACGTTGCAAAATGCAGGAGTGGTTGAGGACTTTGCACCGTCGCCTATTTTGAAAGACAAGATGAACATCCTCTACGAAGATGCAGATATCGCAGCACCAGTGCAGGTGGTGATTCCTTTCCCGTTCGCGGCTGCGCATGGGAATACAACTTCCAAAACAACTGCTGCCGCTGCACCGTTTGAAATTCGCAACACTTCGTTGATGGACGAGTCATGGCTTCACATGTCTAGAGAATACGCTAGGCAAATGTCTCAGAGTTCTGGCAGTCAGGACCAAATGCCCCCAGCGTCTTGGTGGTCTCCATACGAACAGCGCACGGATGTGTACTTCAACCTCTCAATCCCGTTTCGGATTGGTCCATTCGCCTCAGCGCAAGCAGCACAGGAATTTCAAAGTAGTACACTGCTTCAGCGCTTACCGCAATTCGGCTCGTTTGGCTTTGTAGGGAGTAAAAGTGGGACGATTCCCTCTTCGCAAGGACAAGATGAAGGTGTGAATAGTGCCGGTCCTGACAAGAGACGTAGAAGACGATCTTTATCATCATCAACATCTTCGCACACTTCTACGTCTTTCAACAACCTCTTCCGTCTCCACTGGCGCAACGCGTTCATGCTGAATCTGCGCTTCATATCGGAGAAAGCTCCAGAAAGGCTAAGTTGTGGTGCTCGCCATTGCGTTAGCGAACAGTCCGAAGCTGTCTTGGCCTACCATCGGTTCGCGCACATTCCTCTGCAGGACTACCGACAGTGCTTTAGTGGCGACGAACGCGACTTAGCTGCAGGTCGCAGTCAATATGCAGCAACAGCAAACTCAGATCCGAAACTAAGTTTCGACCCTAGCTGTTGTGAGCGGCATCGCATCCCCTACGTGGCTCAGTGCGTCGCACACCGATGTCTGCGGTCTGGAGATAGCGCAGATCATGCTTTTATCGAGCAGAAAGCCATAGAGGTCAGCTGTACTGCGCCACCAGTGAATCCGTTCCAGGACCTAGAAGGGCCAGTGAAAATCGCTCTGACAGCAACGTTTCAGTTAGAAGAAGAAGAGCAAGCTGGATCTTCTGGTCTTACAGAAGACTTCATAAAAACCTTTTTGATGCCTCAAGGACAGGCGGAAACCGCTGCACGGAGGACAGTGTTGGCTACTTTAGAGGAGTATCACCCGGAACTTGTAGTTTTAGATGGTGATTCAGCAACTAGTACTGCTTCAGCCATTTCATCAACAGCACAACGATTCATCTCAGGCGACGCTTCAACACAACTTTTCACTCGATTCGTAGTGGCAGAAGATAAAAATGAAGAATATGATCCATACGCATACAGCAGTCCATCTCCTTCTCCTTCATCAACAACGACGAACAAGGCCCTCAACATAACCCTCTACGCTGAACTCCGAAACTACTGGGGTCCGGGTTATTCGTACCACCTCTCGCCACGTCGCGTACGACCGAGATTCGAAGAGGCATTGCAAAACCATCTGGGGTCAGCGATTCAGTTGTTGTCACAGGGGAAAGTACTTCTTAGTCAACACTCTTCTCCCTCAACAGGTGGAGCCTCTGCTTCAACTTCATCAGGAGAATCTCAATCTGCATCTACTTTCCGCTTTTTCTCCATGCCAGATGGCGATGGCTTGCGACTTCCTGGTCGCTCTGAGAGCTTCATGCAATGTTTCATGCGATCCTGTGACACCACGACGCGCTATCGAGAACTTAGCGCACCTCACGGGTACGATCTGGGTAGTTGCATGAATCCTGACCCTGAGGCTTTCAATACGGAAACTTGTTGTCCGGTGTTTAAGAGACTGGGAGGGTGCGCTTTGAGTCGATGCGCCAGCGTGGACCCTATGCAATTCGAGCAGGTGCTTGCGGCGTCACGGCAGATCTGTAGCTTTTCGGCGAGTTCAGATCCTAAAACGGGATTGGTGACGAAATACGAAATACGGGCACGAGTTCAGATACAATATGACACTAGTAGTAGCACAACTAGCACTTCTTCCAGTTCAGCTGAGGCATCTTCTTCACCATCACCATCTTCTCCGGGAATAATACCCGAAAGTAGTTTACCCGGTGGCCAGAACTGGTGGTGGCGAAAAGCTGAGATGCAGTCCTCTACTAGCTCTTCCCCACCGACTTCTGCACAGGAGCATTCACCATCTCCTCAGGAAATCACAGGAAGGTATCACGACTTCACTGAGTCTCTTGGAAAGCACTTTTTCAGCTATCTGCAGGCAAAAGTTGCAGAGAGGACAAGGGGCATGACTATGACGCAGTCAGATAGTACTAAAAGGACGAGGAGGACAGAGAGTACTAGTAGGAGAAGTAGTGCAGCAGATCCTCAGAACAACAGACTGTTGTCATCAACAACTCCAGGTAGCCTGTTGCCCTCAGATCGTAACGTGACAATACGTCGGGTGCAATTGTACGATAGGCCAGCTAATGTGTTTGCGGTCTCAGGAACATCCTCACAATCATCACCTGAACCAGCTGAGTCGCCAGCACCTGAACCAGCTGAGTCGCCATCACCTGAACCAGCTGAGTCGCCATCACCTGAACAAGCTGAGTCGCCAGCACCTGAACCAGCTGAGTCGCCATCACCTGAACCAGCTGAGTCGCCATCACCTGATCAGGCTGAGTCTCCGTCTCCATCAACAAACACCTATTCCTCTACCCCGGGATCTTCCCAACAGCACCATGTGAATTTGACAGTGTCATTTTCTTTCGGCCTTTTCGATTCGCATGAAAGTGCTAGTGCTTTCCTTTCCGCGACAGAAGGTGGATGGTCGGCTCTGTTTCCAGATTTTCTCAACTCTGGAATCGGAAGACTGAGTACAACCAAAGATGGGAATCTTCCAGAGAATCCCTTTGCGCATCGTGTCAACGGCTTAGAACTATTCGAATTGACACAACAGACAATGCGGGGATTAAGTACTAGTGACATCAATGTCGCTGAAATTTCTGTCATGGCCTCATTAGCAGAGGATGGTGGAGCAGTTGGTGTTAATAATGCTGAAATGACCACAGATGAAAGTCCATCACCTCCTCCAGATAAATCTTCATCGAGTCCGTCACCGTCTAAGCCTCTCAGTGACCTACCTCTTCTTTCATCCTCCACTTCTTCTACGACCACATCTTCTACAACCACGCAAGAACCGCGAGATGCGTTCGAAGTGTGCGGCAAGCTAGAATTTCCCCAATCTTTGCAGTTACTCCACGTTTCTCTCACCGAAGCTGAAGTGGGTTGCAAATCACCGGACTACTTTCCCGATTACCATGTGCTCACCAAGGGCACGAATATGAACGCTGTAGAAGTGCTACTCTGTGATGCTACGACAAGGAGGTGGCACTTATCACCCTCCTCCTCTTCTCCTACCTCTTCTTCAGCCAATGAAGGTGTAGTCTCATCCACCTCTTCTATCTCCCCTTCCACCTCCTCTTCTTCCTCCTCGTCAACTTTCCTCGACCTAGCAGAGATAGGTGGTCGCTGTCGCACAGCAAGACCATGCGGCGCAAGTTCGATGTCTCAGCTTCGCGGATTCGGCACTCCTGTCTGTGCAGGAACCAGCGTCACTGCAGACACCGTAGTGATGCCAGGCAGTGTCTGTACTACAACGTGCGCTCATGACCATACTCCAGTTGTCGTGTCCTCTAATGGGGTTTCTTCTTCGTCTTTGTCCTCGTCCTCCCTCTCTAGTGCCACAACTGCAACAGGATCCTTGATATGCGAAGATGGATATTTTCATCTTGTTCATCAGGATGCCACCAGTAGTGCCAGTATCTCCGCGAATTCCGCTTCATCAGACAGTGGCTCTCGTTTGATCGGATGTACACCTAAACCGGCTTCGTCTGCAGTCACCTCCAGCACAGATTCAAAAGCAGTTCAAAATGGCAGTGGTCCTTCTGCTGATATCGACACGAGTACGACACCTTCCACCGGCACTGCATCACGACCACAGTCCCAGCCCCTATTCGAGAATATCAGTGTCCTAAGCGGAAAATTGACCCTGTTGGTCGCGATGGAAGCGTTCTTTGCAATTCTCCTGCAAGAGTTTGGCGAAACTGCTAGCCCCTCTCCACCTTCATCAGAAGCCGACTACCTTTCTTTCTTCCAGACTCATGTGCAACACTCTCCGCTTTTCCGAGAGATCATTGCTGGTAGTCTCGGTGCAGATGGACCCAGTATGACAGATACGGTCGTCATCCATGAGTCGCATTTTGTTTCGCAGCAAGACTATCACGACTCAATGAGCGACCACTTGCAGACTATGAGCACTCGGAGGGTGCTTTCCTCATCATCTACTTCCAGAGAGCTTTCATCCACATCAACTTCCACGACGAAACAACTCGAGCTAACGTTTGAGTATCGAGCACGGGGTGACGATGCGGGTCAAAGGGTGCTGAATATCAGGAATGATATGATCCAAACATCAGCTACAGTCAAAGCGGAACGTTTTAGGACGTCATTTGATAGTGTCCTTTTTGAGAAAAATAGTAATAGTGGGACTGGATCTGGAACAGGAAGTGGTGCCCAACAAGAAACTGGCAGAACAACTTCCGACATTCTCCTTGATTTCCAAGTCCCCCTGCAGCATGTCCAAGTAAGAAATGCTGTTTTCTCCGTGAGTAACAAGTGGATTCCGCTAGTTTGGTCGCCTTGTACTGCAGGTTGCGGTTCCGGTGTGCATGAACGGCAGCTGGTCTGTCCGGATGTGGTGTTTCAGCTGGGAGACTATTGTCCTCAAACACCTGACATGATGTCGATGAAGACAATGCAGATGTCTTCGACTTCCTCCTCATCCGCTGCTTTGCTCCTGGAAACGGAAACTTGTAAATCCTATTCCGGTTGTGGATTTCAAGAGTGCCCTTTGCGAGCTGAAGACATCTTACCATGTGCGGACCAGGCAGTCGCTTTGCGGTCGAGCGTGTTGGGCATTCTTGCTCTTTTGATCGGATTCAACGTCATTTACTTCTATCGCGGATGCCGCAGACCTAGGAAAGGACGGCAACAGATCACAGATGCAGGGAGGATTGCATGGAAGACGGTGTTGGATGAGAAGACTGGGAAATTGAGAGTCATTTGGGATGTCGCGAATGCGAAGAAGGAACTGGATAACTACACAGCAGAGCAGTCTTCATCTGGAACAAAAGGAAAAGTACTCGACGAAGATGACGATCAAGCAACAGACGCGAAGGTAAAGAAGGTAAAGCCTTTGGATAAGATCGATGAGGATCATGTTGCTGATTTTCGGCAAGAAGCAGACGGGGAGCTAAAGCAAGTTGTCGTGGACGTGGAGGGTCCTCGTCAAGACGAAATTTCTGTGAAAAAAGAGAAGCTTCCGTCACCGACAGAAAAAGTATCGGAAATTTCCACCACTGATTCCAGACTGTTGGATGGTGCAGAACAGCTTCCATTGGAGGGATTTTTACAGTTGTTAAGGGTGGTGTTGACCTAGTCCTCCTCCTCAGTACTATGTGTAGATAAAGTAGTAGACAGCCACATCCTATTATAACATCTCTCCTCAGGTACGACCTGTCCTAGATTTTTGAGTCTTCAGCCGTCACACTCACACAGTAAATAAAGCCAACAAAAAAGCTACAAGACCCAGCACCTTTCCAGCTTGTTTCTTCCCATCTTCCCATATCACAGGGATGTTGCGCTACGAGGGTGCTTTCTTCTGAAGTTCAACGTTTACTACAAGAACAAGAATACCAACAGATGGGTTCTACAACCTGGGTTTACGACTTTTGATATATATTCTAATGGTAGCCAAAATCGATCCTCCTCCACGTGAATACTTCGCCTCTGGTGCTCGGTTGGAGTACTTCAGCCAGCGTTTCTCAGCGTGGATTCCTTGCCAGATGTCAGCATGGAACAGATCGACGAACACCTGCTCGATCATCATCCAAGCCAGACAACAAAAACCGAATATCGACTTTCTACGTTTGATTAAGGCCAAGATTAAGATATTATATATAGAATCCATGTATGTGTGCGTGTGGTCCATCTTCCTTGTTTTCCGATAAGGCCAAGATTTCAAATTAAAATCCATGTAATATTTAATATATAAATCCATCTTGTTCTCCGACATGATCTTGTTTTCGTTTTGGAGGGATGAACAAAAGAACCATCAAGAGACTAGCTGAGATGAATTTGCTCATGGTCGTCTAACTTGAGGCCTCAGCTGCAGCCAGGCGAATTGTGCCAAGTTTTAGTAGAGGTTTCGACACCCTTTCGATCAGCGTCATGGGTGGGACCTTGTCGCGTCGTCAAGGCACTGAACGGGTTTCGAGGATATTTGGTATCGCCGGCTAGAAAAAGACGGAGCTACTCTGAAGAGGAGGATTTTTCTGCTAGTGCTGTACTACTGACTAATAGAGAAGATGAAGATGAACATCGGCATCAACACGTCCTCGATGGTGAGGAGGTACCTGCTAAACGAAAAAGCGGGGTTTCTTTTGCAACAGCACCAGCAGAATTGAAAAGTAAAGTTAAGGCTCGGACTCTTGTTCTTCATTTGCCTCAATCAATGAATGAAATGTTTGGAAAGCTGAAGTAGTTGTGACAAAATGTAATTGGCTTCATGTTTATTCTGCTGAGCAGGAGCTCCTCTAATCAGAACCCCACAGCGACTTTTCCAGCCTCTCCGGATGAAGAGAACACCAGAATAAACCCGGCGAATGAAAAAAACGGTGGAACCTTCCGTGTGGACCTAGGCAGAATCCGCCGTTTGATACGAAAAGGCGATGAAGTGCTCATTCTAGAACAGCAACAGCGCTGGCGTCATGCCAAAGTGCTACGAGGGATGAGAAAAGTAATGCCAGCCACAGAAGAAGAAATTCAAAGCACTCTGAATGCACAGAGTGCTGGCGGTGGCGGTGCCTCTTCGAGTGCTGCGTCGTCTTCTGGAGCTCCGTTTAGTGCAAGAGGACGCTCTGGCTCATTGCCGCTGTATAGAGCAGGCTATCCTGACAGTGATGGAGACGCAACACCTAGAGCGGCTCTGATGGATCGGGGTCGGGCTGGCAGTCTTGATTTTCTGGGTGGCTCTTCGGCAACATCGACAAAGGTGGGAATGGACCACAACATCAAAGGTGGCATCGATCTTACTACCACCACTGGGTTTGACGAACTGAAAAGGATCTTTGGCACGCCGTTGAGGAAAATGACCGGTGGTAGCTCATTACCACCTGATAGCACTGACAGCACCCCTAGGGCAGCTAGTACTGTTGGTGAGAGAACACCTAGGTGGATGAGTTCATCAACAACTGTAGGCGGGATCGGGAATCAAGCAAGTGAAGATAGTCTTCTTGGCCGAGTACCACGAGGAGGTAGCTCTGGGGGAGGTCCGCAGTTTCTTTTGCCATCACAGTACACTGTCCTGTCCTACTTCCCGAAAGTGCAGCACAAGGGAGCAGTTGCAGCAGCTCCTGAAGCGGCAGAATCTACACCAGCCCCTCAACAACAAGGTCCTCAGGTTGTATCGTCGTCTTCGTCATCGAGAAGTCGTTTACCGTCGAAGCAGAGCACAGCTACCTCTACATTGGACTTTTCTTCTGCAGAAGAGCAAGATCATCAGCCAGCAGCACCTCCGCTTTTGGATGGTATGACTATATCTGTGGACTACTTGGACCACGTCGAACAACAAGTGACTGTGAACAGTCAGAATCCTAAACTACACTTACCGACAGACATATGCCTTTCGTCCTGCGTTGTGTTGCCAAGACGAGGTGTGGAGGGGAAGTGAGGAGGATGATGATGAAAGGATTTTTTTATGGTCAATAGTTGTGATAACCATAGTGAAGATCGAACATTTGTGTAGGTGTAAGTAAGTGTGACAACGATAAAAGTTATTCTAACTGTCATAAGAATTGAGGCTGAATGAAATAAGAGTCGCTACCAAATCACCGTGGAAAATTAGTCCACCTGTAGATACATGAAAAGAATGAATACTTCTTCAGACACGTCATTTAGATTTAGATGAATAGGGAAAAGCCACTTTGTTAAGAGGGAAATATGTTATAAGCACCAGCTTCATTAAGGATAAGGTAGTGTGAATAGAAGAAGCCAAGCTTGATGACAGGCTTTTGCACTTGTAAGGATAGACACGCCGTTGGCAGCACCTTGAAGCACGACCACATTAAGATTTTGCAGACATCAGATTATAAGCAGACGACATGGACATAAGCATGGCGGTGCAAGAAAGAGTCTTCATAGGGTAGAAAAAATAACCTGAAGGGTCGTACTTCTCATTCGGCGTCTCAATGTTTGCTGTTCACAAAAAGGCTATTTTGAAAATGAAAGTAACTTCTACAAAAGAAGGTCACGAAAAGCTACACAGACAGGCCTCTTCGTAAGTGCACGCATGAGGAGTCCGCCAAATTATGTCTAAGCGTGACTTCTTTGTGACTTTTGTAGATGTTTTTATGCATTGAACGACAATTATGAAGATGAATCTGGCACTACACTACAAGAAGGACAAGCATCAAAAATGACCACGTAACTACACATACCAAGGGCGCATGAAATTCCCACGATGTAATTCCTCGCGATTTTATTTTTTTTGCGATTTTTTTCCTTTTTTCCACCTTTTTTGTAGTAGCGTGTTCTAAAGTTTGTAAACCTTTATCAATCTTCAAGCATCAAAGAACACAATTATTATGAGCTCCTCCGCCACATCGCCGGGCGATCAGGGCACGAGGTCGAGAACGCTCGACCTCAAGAGGGCTGCGACGCATACACGCTTGCCTAGTGCGGTCTTTCAGAACCTGGATCCGTCCAGGAGGTGGATGCTGGCAACAAGGACCATTATGGGTGACAAAAATACACACCACCACGTCTTACTTAGTTACTTAGTACAGGTACCTTCATCTCCATCAAAATCTCGATTCCTATGATCGATTCATCAACTTGAACTTACAGTCTAAGAATTTGCTTCTTCTTAGTCTAAAAATTTGCTTCTTCTTCTAATACCAACAGCAAAGGTCCCGCCATTTCGAGTGCTACGACCAATAAGGGCGGGCATTGGAACAGCCTTCGCGAAAGGATGGCTTCGCCTCTGAGATCTTGGTGGACTGGTAATGGAGGTGGAGGTGCAGGTTTGATGGACGACATGGGAGGAGGTGGAATTGGCTTTCACCATTCGAGCAGTCCGCAAGACGATGAGCAGCCTGGTGTTATTCACGAGGAAGACGATGAAGATGAAGATCTTCTAGACGACTTGGATGGAAGGCCAGCACGTACACAGCATCATCATCGAAAAGCATCTCAAGAAGAGGATGCCACGGACGATGAAAGGAAATATATTAAGAAAGGATCGATTTCTTCTCCAGCAAAAACGACATCAGACGGAGCCATGGTCCGTACAGCACTTGCAGACGGTCTGAAAACTAGTGCAAACAGTATCAAAACCAGTGCACAATCAATCGGGACAGTCACGGCAGCAGGTGCAAATACCCTGCTACATCTTCCTATCAGTTTACGCGGGGCCAGGTCCTCTCGGAATAAGATTGCGGCAGCAACCGACTTGGCAGTAGGTGATCCAACGAAGGCAGCATATCTTCTAGGCTCAAAAGGTCGAAAACACCATGACATTTGCACACTGCTAGAAGGCGAATATAATCCGGATATCGGTGCGGGTGGTGGAGGTGGCAAGAGCAGAAGGAGGTCTTCTCAGAAAAATCCCAAGAATAGCTCTGCCTCTACTAAGGATGAAAAAAGCCAACCAAAAAATAACCAACAAGCGCGAGTTTCGCAACGTCAAGATGCGCAATCTCACTCTCACCTTCTAGGAGTAGATGCTGGAGAGGACGCCTTAGATTTTGAAGCTGAGATAGCAAATCATGTTGACTTGCGTCTACAAAAATATGGAAGAACCGGAAGTGCGATCGAAGTCGATAATTCTAGACCTCCTTCCGCTCGCCCTTCTTCTACTGGGGGCACGCGGCCTAGCTCGTCAATGTCAGCAACTAGAAGAAAAAACGGCATTCTGGTTCTCCAACAAACATCAAATGTCGGAAGCAGCGGTTCTACACGAGCTGCAACCAAGAACGCTGCAAATAATAACACCCGCCGTGCCACGACTCTACTCCGAGTCGACCGCTCCTCTATGTGGGGCGGAACATCGAACTTCTTCAACCCATACAAGAAAAAACGATATCTTCAGCAGGATGATTTATTCCCTACAAGTCCGTCCTCAGCTGGTGGACTGGGAGACGCAGAGTCATCAGAAGACGAATTTCCTCCAAAACCTTCTAGGACCAGTTCTACTAGAAGCAAAAATTTAGAGAGAATGACTTCAGAAATACAGGAACAAGATGGAATGAAGAAAAATAGTACTAGTTCCAGTAGAGCTAGAGAAGAAACTTCTACCAAGCCCACATCAAAGTCCTCTCGTTATTCTCAATGTCGACAGCAGAGCAGTAAGACCTCCTCGAATAAGCGAAGCAACAGCAAAACCACACCTACCGCTGCTGAAAAACAGTTTTCACGCAAATTCGGAAATCGTCATGGGACCGTGATTTTAGCAGGTAGTAACGGCGTCATGGTAGAGACCGAGCACAGTGGCAACTGCAGCACGGTGCACGAACTAGCAAAGCGTGTGAACGCCAAAAGACCTCGCCGAAGCGGACTCGTATCGAACCTCTACGATGCAGCACACGCAGATCGTCTCTTGATCCGTAACGAATGCGAAAGTTTCATCACGAATATCGTTTGTTCAAGGGTTTTCGATGCGTTCATTGGACTCCTGCTCTTGCTGAACGCTTTCGTGATGGGTTACGAACATCAAAAATTTCCTCAGCATCATGTTGCTGGCACAGCATCTGACTCGGACAATGACGACACAGCGTTTCGTGTCCTAGATATGATCTTTCTAGGTCTCTTCACTATGGAGCTGGTGATGCGGTATGTGGCAGTGGGGAAGCAGATGAAGCACTTTACGAAATGGATGTGGTTTGACGTGGCGATTGTGATCATAGGGTTCTTAACCGAAGTGTTAGTGCCGTTGATGGAAGAGTTTAACGAAAAGAACAGCGAATACGTGTCGATGGCCAAAGCGTTGCGGTGCTTCAGGGTACGACTACAACTCCTTACCTACTCGAGATTGATGTTCTTCATTGGAACAAGAAGTTGCTTGCTCCTGTTCCGTGAGGACCTCCTGACTCAACATCAACAAAGTTGTAAGTACTTCTACTCAACAAACAGATAATCCGCATGTTTTCAATGATCGAGCACTTATGGACAGTGGCGCTGACGTTCCAGTTTGCGGTGCAAAGCCTATTTTGGACCGTCATATTCCTTGTCATAGTCGTCTTTATTTTCGCGATGTTCGTGGTTGCGTTGGTTAAACAACCCCCACCAGAATACTTCGACGGGTTACTACATGATGCGGATCCGATATTCTTAAGGCTTCCTCCTGTAATCTTCGACGAAGCTTCTCCCAAACCTGACGTTCCAGGAATCGACGTAATGAATCCATCTTCAGAAGCACCTGGCTTCACGAAAACGCTTATTTCTTTCAAAGGGTGTGTTGATCTACTTCGTTCTAAGAGGATGATCTCTTCTAAGATACGAGCGAGAGTTTTATCGAACACTTCCAGCTATGTTGGCATTGTTCGAAATCATGACATTGGATAATTGGGTAGAGACTACGAAAGCAATAGTGGAAGCGACGGAGAAACCGGTACTTGCTTTGTTTTAGCTTTTGTTTATGCTGCTGTAGGGGCTGTGTTTCATCATCTCCTGTATGATGTTGAATGTAGTTTGCGTTAATATGCACTTGACAAGTAGTTGTTGAGAGCTAGTTGTAGATGTAGAGGTGAAATTTCGATTCGGCCAGCACAAGAATGAAGAATAACGTCTCCTCTTCTTGTTACTCCTCTTCACTTTCCATCAGGTAATCATGACTTGCTTCTTCTGTCTGTTCCTCTCCATCCTGGCCTTGCTGGTTATGAACATGATCACGGCTGTGGTTTTCACCTCTGCCTCACAAAGGGCAGTCGAAGAACAGAACCCTTTTGTCTACAAAATGGTCATGCACAAAGCTCGATTTGATGCGATCTTTGATGCTTTCGAGGAAAACAGGGTTGGAGCAGTGTTGGAACAGCACCAATTTTGGGGAGTGATCACGTCGGCGCCAGAAATATTTCAGCAAGCATTGGGGTACTTGGGGATACTGTGCGAATCAGATGCTTTGAGCTTGCTCTTTCCGTTGTTGGACATAGCAAATGATGGATGTATAAGAAAAATGGATTTATGGCTTGGACAACAGCTATTGTTGTGATTTTCCCACTGACGATCGTCACCCGCGTGTCCGCTACAAATGGTTTTCAATTTATAGAGTTTGAATTAATTAGATGATATGGAAACGTTCAAGATGAATGGTTCTGGTATTTGGTAACCTGAATTTGATCCTAAGGGAAAACAAGAAGAGAACCCTTAGGATCAAATTCAGGTTACCAAATACCAGAACCATACACAAGAGTAATTGACATTTGTTGGTGAGGTTTTTAATAACGATTGATTAATCCACTTTCATCTATCCTATCTCCATTAGATGAGATAGATTTTCGAACTCGTCGTCCTCGTCTCTCCTTATCTCCCCTCATCTCTTCCTTTTCTTGCTTTTGAAGATCGTCATCATCATCGTCATCATCTTCTCTAACTCATTTCATCCGCGTCCTCGTTGTGATCGAGGCCTTGAGCGAGGATCCAGTGGCCGTTGCTCTGGTTCAAGCTGGCGAGAACTTAGCCAGTAAGAAATTCTTCTTAGCACGGGCTTTGTTGCAACAAGACCCTGGCTTGCGACTCCGGTGGGACGAAGCACAACTACAGGGCACACTTCAACAGGCTCTACAACAGAGTGGTCTACAGTTAAGGTCAACATTTAGTGTCGTCCATCTTTCTCGGCATCTCGGTACCCTTTTCCCTTGTATTTTTGTTCCTATGAAATGATACAAGTGTAGTAAAAAAGGGGTCAAGATGAGGGGGCCGAGATGCAAAAATCTAGCAGACTCTAACACAGGGTAGTGCTGGTGGAGGAGGAGGAAGAGGAAGTGGTAACTCGTTCTTTCAATATGGGAGTGAGGTTATCAACGTCAACGAAGCCAATAAGAGGACCTTCTCAGCTAAAAGATCATCGACATCCAACCTTGGTGGTGCACTGAGTGCTAGGTCCACGTCTAGTGCGCGCGTGCATCCTCTTTCACCGAAAAGCATGTGGGAGGTCGAAGGAAGTGAGAACAACCCTGCCTTAGTTGCGAGGGAGGAGAGGGAAATCAAGAAGAAAGTCGTGAATGTTAAAAATTGCCTTGAAGATGAAGAAAGTAGAGCAGTGGTTGAGCAAATAAAGATTCTAGCCACTGATGTTGTCAGGAACAACGAAAATGAGACAGATCGAGCAGAAGTTGATACAGAAACACTAGAAGCACAGCAGTACGAGCAGACGAAACAAGCAGAAGTAGCCGTGATCTTAGCCACGAAGAAAGAAATACTTCCAGAGTTCATCACAACAGAGGAGTATAAAGACGAAACTACTCCTGTATGCGAGGTGAAGGACCAACAAGAACATCAAGTACCTTCATCTTCTTCGTAGATGAAACTACTTGTCTCATTCATCTTTAATACAACTACGAGTGCCACAGCACTCCCGTTATCCGCTGAATCCTCGGCATCTCTTAGAAGCAAAATAGAAATACCGTTTAGGAGAAAGACTCAGGAGAAATAGAACAAGCACAAGCCTTTATGTTTATATGTTTAGGAGAAAGACTCAGGAGAAATAGAACAAGCCTTGATAAGACAAGAAATGTCTAGAAAAAGTCCAAGTATACGAGGGGGACGCACGAAAAATAACGATTTTCCTCAGAGTATGACAACCACAGAAAAATGCACAGACCTTTCCAAGAATACTATAATTAATACACGTGTTTTACGATGAAGATGATATGACCAGATTCCGCTCATCCATAATTGTGAACCTCAAATTTTGATTTTCTGGAGCACGTCAAACACGAAGATAAGTAGATAGATCGTCTCTTTTTAAAGCTTCTAGCAGCTAGAGCATCCTTCCAAATTTTGCCTTCGTCTTTATTCATCAGAGTTTTGCAGCCAGGCTGGGCCAGCTAAGCAAGTAGAATTCCGCGAGATAGTGTTTCATAGAACAACAAGAACAAAGTAGTAAATGTTACAATTCTGGTATATTATTTCGTAGCAGCATGAATGGCCATGAAGTTGAACATGTTGTTGATATGTAAAAATGCACAGTAGTCACTACAGTCACTCGACGAACGCTGTCACACGACGAAAGAAACGGTCTTTCATTGGACAAAGAAAAATGTGTACAGAACAGAAACAGATGGTAGGGTAAAGAAAAAGCCCGCATATCAAGTCGCACCTCGTGTGAGACTGCTTCTGCTGCACCGCTGCCTGGTGTACTAACAGTTGTAACTGTTGAAAGATACAAGATCCAATACGCATCACCAGACCGGGTCCTTTTTCAGCAAACCCACTTGCCTAACCAAAAGATTTTTTTTTGTTGTTGCCTACTTCAACTACTTGTCTACAAGTCCACAAAACATTTAGTCACGTGGCTTGATTCGGGGCCGTGGCCCGGACTTACGGACTCAAAGAGAAGACAGGGGCGTGGCCTGCCTTGTAGAAAAACTAGCGCGGGTTAGCGTATGCAAATCAATTGCAGAGAATTCTGCTACTTGAGTAGAATGAAGTTAAAGATGAAATGATGGTCACGGCCAGTCCTTCTGAAGCTACAACTGGAGGCACGTGAACACAAAAAGTCATGCGGTCGTCCTCGTCCATCACAAAAATGCTTTTCCAACATAACCACATCCTTACCTGGTTCCGCCTTGTTTGCCTACTTCTACCAAGCGTTGTGGACGAGGTTAAAGGTCTAGAACGTCGTGTTGTAGATTCGTCAACTGAGTTTGTTCCGAAGTGTCCTGCGGGTTATTACGCCGTTCATGACAAAGAATTTGATACCTGGTATCACGGGATAAGTGCGACGCCTCAAACTTTTCCGGTGGCAGCTAGTAGGAAAACAACTGCGGGCTCGGGTACGTCTGCGACTACGAATAGTAGGGAAAATGCAGTTCATGTTCCGGCTGCTCCCCAGAGTGCTGCTGGCACAAGAACTGCACCTACCTCACTTGCACACGCACGAGGAAACACCTCCAGCAGCAATGTCGGACATAGACCGACATCGACAGGGCAGCCACCAACTCTACCAACATGGCAAGGCTTCCCCACCACAGATGAGCGCTGGAATCCCTTGGTTGGAGGAGAAGGGAAAGCAAGCGGCGCATGGCCTATATCGGCGGACGCGATGCGTTTTCGCCGACTTGGAGGTACAGCTGTGCTTCTGCTGGAGGACATCTATGAGCGAGATGGTAGTGCTAGGGCAGTCGAAGTCTCGACAGGAAGGGTATTGCCTAAAGGAGTCTATGTGTGTACAGTGGCGAGCCAATGGTTAGGAGGATTAGTTGGGAAGGTGACCTATCAACTCCAACGTGTTGGGCCAGTTTCGAGGATAGTCACGCCGACGAGCAGCAAGACGAGTCCTCTAGCTAGTAGTAGCAAGACACCTCCCGCTCCCGCAGTAGTAAGTGCTGGAGGTAGCTCCAATAGCAATACTACTCCTGCTGGTCAAGGACAACAAGGACTAGTATCCTCGACGAGTAACATCAGTCCTGACCGCCCTCATATTCAACTTGACACGTCTTTGTGGACACAGATCCTGGATGAAGTTCGAACTGAATTGATCAGCGAGGGATTTCATCCTGGGAGATCTCATAGGCTTCAACCTCCAGGATCTGGTTCGGCGGCTCAAGAAGATGCTGCTGGTCTCAGGGAACTTTCATGGGAATGGGTTCCATATTCTAGAAGCTGCGCGAACACCAAAACTTGCGGTACTAGAAATGAAGGTCAAGAGGAAATTTCTAGTAGAAAGCATGATTCTACAGCTACGACGCTGGCACCTTCTACAAAAACAAATGGTACAAGAACATCTTCAACTGGTGAACAACAAGGAACGGAACTACCTGGTCCATGTGGTCGTACAAATTTTTATACGACATTCCAGCAACGTGAAATAGCTTTCTGGAAACCGGTAATGAAGGGTCGACTCGAATCTCTTATACGTCGAAACTGGAAGCAATATGTCGACCATAGAGAACAACTACACAAGCAAGAAGAAAATCGTCAACACATTTTGGCTTCCGCGAACGCGCCGTCTAATCCTCGTATGAATCCTCTAGGCGGTACAAGAGCACCAGCGGACGCGACGTCTAATCCTCGTATGAATCCTCTAGAAGCTGGTACAGTAGTTGGTCCTCCTCCCTCTATGCCTTCGCGTTCTCGAAGTTTTCTTCGTTCTCTGCATCGAGCTCCGAAATACGCTACTGAAGAAGAGGTTATGACTGGTCCCCTAGGCTTGAATTTCGTTAGCAGAGCAACAACGTCGTTCTTCTTGAACGGAGCGGAACTAACTTGGAAACTGCAGACGGGTGTGTATAGGAGGTGGGATCCGAGTAGTACTAGTTGTACTTCACGATCGGTACAACAAGGCGAGGACAATAGTTGCACGAGCGTAGACGTGGATGTCGATCCGGATGAGCATGAGAGCAGTTTTTCTGCGGAAACCAGAGACGGTCGGTTGTTGCAAAACAGTCTCAAAGAACTGGACTTGCAAAGAGGCGGCCGACGGCCTTCGATTGGGGTCGATAAGGAGATACGAAAAATACGAAAATTGAGCAAGACACTGAAGCAAAGATCCAAGAATCGCAGCACTAAGCCAGGAGCTGGAGGTGCAGATCTTAATAAGGGTAGGTTAATGGTGTTCTTGTTAGCGTTCGTTTTGCCTTTCTGAAGAGGGAACAAAGGCATAACGAACGGGGTAAAGGAACACCAAAAGCCTACCTCTAAAGAGGATCAAGTCAAAACAGTCAAGCTTCCACAGAAAGCGAAGTTTCGAATCCGTACGGCTCTATCCGGGTCTGGAAAATTGATGAAAGACGTGACGCGCGACTTGCTGGACAGTTTGGCTTCAGTCGCATTGCCAGCGAGCGGAGAGGACGAGGGATCATACGCCGGACGAGACGCGTGGTCTTCAAACATGCATACAACTTCAACAGTAGGAGAAGCATCACTTACACTTCTGGACGAAGAACATGACGTCCCGACATGTTATAGTACGTTTGGCGCCATCAAATCTTTGTCCTCGGAGATGGAAATAAAGAAATCTAGTTCTACTGAAAACCTTTGCTCTGGAACTACAACTAGTACTGCATCTGGGAATGGAACACTTCTCACTGTTGCCGAGTACACAAAAAATTTCACAAGAAAAACAAGCAGTAGCAGAACCTTTATAGATGATTGTCATGTTGACGAAAGCGACTCCTGTTTGACGTACCAAGACAAGAAGAATGAAGAAATGATCGTTCAACTACAAAGAGAACAAAGAAACGCTGCCAACAAAATCCGTGCTGACGAAGAAGTCTACCGTAAGACTGCTGAATTCTTCTTCTGGAGACCACTTGCTACTCGTGGGCATCTGTTGGAGAGAATGAAGTTAATGGTGATGCAAGACGAGGATAAAGACGAAGGCGCGAAAGACGACAGCTCCGATCACATGTTCGGAGATGGGAGTACACCGGAAATCAGTTCCTCCTGTGGTCAACAATCATCTCTTGGGGGCTTCTCTAGTAGCGGAGAGGACGAGAACAAAATAGATGTGCGACACCAGACAACTAGTGCAGCTGAGATGAAACAGAAAGAGATGAAGGCAGCAGCTCCTGGCAATCTGAATCTTGAAGTAGACAGCAACAACGACCTTCAACAGTCCACAACAACTGCCTGTAGTTCGTCCCCAGCCATCACCCCTTCCGCCAGAAAACAGCATCTTCACATCAAGCACCAGGAGGAACAACTATGTGGAGAGCTGTTTGGGACATCGGATTTTGAGCGGGAAAATGAAAACCCGGATGATTTGGAGTTGAGTCATCGACTCGCCGCAGTCAAGCGTGGAATTGTTGACCCTCTCTTCCATTCGTCGCTGTCTTCATTCTGCTCGGGAATTCCTGCGTCGGATATGCGGCTATTGCATCACTTTAGTCATAGAGAGGAGGTGAAGCAACGTAATCATGTTGCAGGTGCTCTGAACCACAACAACATGGGCAACATGGCATCAAGTGACAGTAGTACTAGCATTACGACTTCCCCTAATCCATCTCCGGAAGCATCGTAGCGACGTTTTCAAGGGGAAAACAGTCTCGTGATGGACTTGCTGGAGATGGATTCGGGTGAGCTCTAAAAATAACAGCTGTCGCGTTGCTCCAGGTAGTTCACCTCAAATGGATGTTTTGTCCCTGGCAGAACTTTGCGAGACGAGACGAGGAACAAAAAAGAGCGCTCAAACTACTAGGACAACTCCACTAGTATCTTCTGCACATAATCCACAACAAGACAGACGAAGTCCAACGCTAGAGGAATGGAAACATTTGCGACAACATGAAGGAGAAAATGACGTCGATAATTATAGTGAGCTACTTCTACAACAAGTAGACAGGAGAGGTAGTACGACTACTTCTACACCCACCTCCCATGATCTTCCTCATCTCCAGCCAATAAAGTGGCGCGCTTATGTCATGCCTTGGTCCTGGAGTTTGAGTGGGAACATGCTGTGCAAATCTTGGGTACCTGACGAGATGGCTCTCATATTAGTACCGCTGGAACAAAAGCCAGACTCCCAATATGCCTATGAGCAGCAACATGAGGAACAGATGGTTTTGATATTTCGACGCGAGGTGGAAGCCCCCGAAGGACAAGGAGAGTCGTCTGGTCTCAGTGTGGGTGCCGGACGTCAAATCCATGAAGCGACGATAACAAGCGGACGAGTACAATCATCTCATTCTGGCACTAGCACTGCGCCAGCACAATCCAGCATCCCCAAGAACATGAACGGTTGGTTTACTGGCAAAACTAGTCGAACAAGTTTCGAAGACCACCACAACAACTACATACAACAAGAGACAAGCGCGACAGGTACTAGAACAAGCTTTCTCGCTGGTAGTCGTGGTGGATATGGATCTACGTCAACTTGTCGTGACCCTCTAGCAGATAGTTCGGAAAGTTTAGTGGCACAAGCCAACCGGGTGCGAGAAACAGGCGCTCCTGCGCCACCAGCTCAGCAACTAAGCGTAGCTCAATACTTTTCGTTCAAGCGACAGATGATAGTCGCCGACCTGAGAGTGGAAGCCCTGAACTGGAAGCAAGCGGTGCTGGCCAAGAAACACGCGAAGATTTTGAGGGACATGCACTTGAGAAGGCAAAGCATCAGGGATATGCGCATTTGTCGGCAGTCGCTTAGAATGGGTACAGCAGCTGTGTCAGAAGATCTTGGTGGATCATCTGGATCTACGACGGCACGAACAAGTCAACCTGTTGAAGACCAAGAGGGAGAGGAAAAAGAAAATGAAGGAACAGGTGCTGGACGAACATCAACTTTAACTGCCGGCACTAGTGGAGATGCAGGCGCAACGCCGGAAAGTGTAAAAGAGAAAATTATAGGTGAAGGAGAAGAAGGATCGCCAGACCCCATGGAGGGCGGCGACTGGTCGATGGAGATGCAGTTGATGTCAGCACGACCTTCGGCGTTTTTTACTCCTCCTTGTATGTCTGGTATGGGCAGCAAAGGTAAACAAGAGGAAAGTGCTGGAGCAGTTGAGAAGGAACGCCGTCTACGACGTCAAACTATCACGTCGTCGACAACGGATCTGCATCTACTCCAGCACAAAAGAAGTTCATCTTCGCTCAGTGCCCGCCGACCACCACGCAGAAAAACAAGCACAACGACCGCTAGTACACCGTCAACGAGGACATTGTTCACAGGAGAAATGAGCGACAACATTTTTGGCTCTTCTGAGGATTATGAGAATCTCCAGTCTTCCAGTGGTCATGCAGGAGTACGAAGTAGAGATCAGCATTTTTATCTTCTCCCTGGTGTCGATGAAGAATACGACGAATCAGCAGAGCTTACAGCCAGTATTGCTGAGCAAATGGCACAGTTGAAGGAGAGCGAGAGACGACGCGATTTGTTGAGCAAGAAATTACTCGATTGTAAGTTTGCTAGCAGCCTCAAAAAACACGAAGCGGAAGATTTACGAGCCGAATACGTAGAAAAACTGGAGAAGGAACAGGCAGCGCGTGAAGCACAGAGAAGAGCGGAGATCGAACAAGAACGGTTAGCGCAGGAAACTGAACTACGACGTCAGTGGGACCGACTTTTCCTAGTAGCTGCTGTTTTTGCAGTATTTTTCTTTTTGGCAGTAATGCTCACATGGATGTGCGTTTGTGCGCGTGCGTGTAGGGGAGCGAAGGACGAGGACGGTGACGAAAATCACATAGTTATGGAAGATATCGATCATGTGATCGGAAGTGTCTCACAGATTTGCTGTGTCGTGATATGGAAAAGTCCATATCGGGATAACCGTAATTGTCAATCACTACGACCCGTCCCCTTCTAATCTACGCAGACGACCGCGGAGCTCAACATCGAGCACATCCGAATCTTCAACATCTGATGGGGAGCAGTCATCCGAGTTTGACTTAGCTCAGATGTCCTCGGAAGAACTGCAGCGACTGACTAATGCTACTTATGAGGCTCTGCAAGCGAAAAGAGGAGTTCCTGCGACTCCTACAGAGGTTGACGTAGATGTTGAGGGCACCCCTTTTTTGGGAAAATCAGAACAGGTTGATGTAGACGGCAACAATTTGGGAGCAGTAGTTGGAACAAGAAATGAGGAAGAAGAAATCGGTGCACAACAGGGCAGCTCGTCCTCCACCATGGTCCTAACTGATGAATGAACAGAACCACGTTTACGATTGTAGTTGTAGAGACACAAGAACTAGTACTTAGACCATTTTCATTTTCCATCCGCTAACTAGGAACATTGAATACACCACGCATCGATTTGTTTACCGCCTTACCGGACACAGTCTATTAGATTTGAAAGTCTTGATTCATTCTTTCTAGCCACATCTGTTGATTGCGCAAAACATAAAGACATACATCTACAGCTCCGTGCAAAATATAGAAACGATATTTCTGGTGGTGTAACGCTCCAAGAAACAGAACATCATGAATTATGGTTTTTGTTTTACTTACTACAATTAGAATGAATCAATTAGATTTTTTCAAAGCCCTGCTAGTGCTACTAGAAGGCATCATAATTTTCTTCGTTTTTTCGAACTCCGATGTTTTCGTTGCGTAATCAAGTACTTACTTGAATACAATGGTTGCTTACAACCTCCATGAAACTCAAATAACTACCGTCGATGCTGATACGATCAATGTTGCTTGCCCATGCATGAGCATTTGTCTTTGTGCCAACACTCTTCTGCGAAAATCCATGTTGAACATGGGACCTGACGACAAATAATTTTGACGTTCTTTTTGTCACTTCTCAGCTTCATAGATGACTGCGGAAGCGAATAAATCACATGAGCAGAGGACGAGCTAGTCGGCGATACAGTCTTCTGCTGCTTCTTTCGCTACCTCCCAGGCGATCGATCTATTGCATCCGCTGACATCGTCAAGAAGTTGAAACCTAAAAAGGGACCAGCGGATGAAGCAACAAAGGGTCGTGTGCAAAAAAATGTTCAAAACTGAAAGGACCATTCAAAGATGAAGTAGCATGTCGATCTGCTCAGTCGTCCAAAATTGAAGGCGGGCTTCTTCTGGTGTCCAAAATTGTAGGAGAACAAGAGTAGGTGAAGTACAAAAAGGTGATGTAGTACCACGATCATGGCTAAAAAAAAGTGATTTCGAAGAAACACAGAGATGTTGGAAATTCCTACGGTACCTTCATCCGACGCCATCGGGAGTTCCGATGACGCTCTCGCCGCAGAACAGAAACCGCATCCTACACTCCTGGAAACAACCGGTGATGGAGGCACGACAAGACGACATTGGAAAGTGCTGTCAGAGTCTCCGCGACACGCTGAGACATCGAAGGCAAAACATTCTGCAGATTCGAAGCTTGGAGCCAGCAGCGGTAGTGTCGTGCAGCTGCCACCTATTGCAGGAGTAGAACGTACTTCACGCAACGGCAACCTCCTGCAGCAAGATCTTCGAGATGAGGAGTCTATCGAAGGATCGCCCTTCCGGAATAGAGGAGGCACGTCTCTCCACTTACCAACAAGTCCATCACGACTCGGATTGCCGATGGAGAAAGGCTCATTGTCACCTCGTGTGGCTGAACACTGTTTATCGCCTAGTGCAAGTAGTGCTGGTGCTGGCGGTGGAGGGTTCGTCAATACTAATTCCTTGAGTAGTGCAACAGCTGCAACATCACCAACAACGATAGATGGAGGAACAAGTGGCATGTGTCTGAAGATCCACACGACAGAAGATGTTGAGGAAGAAACTGAACGACATCAAGATCAAGATGTAGTTGATCACTACGACGATTTGCCGCATCCTTTTGGCGTCGGTGGTGAAAAAGCCGAAGTTGATAAAAGCCACCTGCGTAGTCGTGTTAAAAACATCCCGCAGCCCGACGCGGATGTCCAAGGCCAGCATGTCGACGAATTTGACGACGATTTCGACGACGACAAGCGAGACACCGATAAAGGCTTCACCCCTCGTCCTTGGCTAGACGACCACAAGGATCACAAAAACCTCCCCGAAAAGACCTCTTCACCCCGCGTTGTCCGGAAAGACGTTGTCACCGTGATTGATTCAAGACGTGGTAGTGCTTCGACAGCATCATCGGCAAGTCTAGAAGAAATACCGGACGCTTTCGATCCCGAGAGCATGCATGATCATGGAGCTAGAAATAAGATTTATGCGCAAGAACATTATAGATATATAACTTACTTATTAATTCAAGTTCTTCAGCATGATCTTGATCTGCCATAGAACGAGGTTACGAAAATGAAACGCTCAGCTCATCTTTCTTCTTCTCTCCCTCGCCACCTTCTCTAAGACACGATGCTTCTATGCACAGCACCTCAGTGTACTGTGCACACGTCTGCAAACGCACAAAAAGCCAGAGAACCTTTGCTTTCGTCGACTGGTGCTAGCAATATTACGTCATCTGTCGCTTCTACTCCGAAGGGAGCTGAAAGCAAGGCCATGTTTTATGGCATTTTATCAAATGCAAATATATCATCTTCCACCTCGTCTTCAAAAAGTCTTCAAAAACTTATTGATAGGTCGGTGGGTTCTACATGATAATCAATAGGAGCAACTACAATCTACAAGCTTCCACCTCAAGTTCTGCACCTCGTCTTCTAAATCTAACACAACAACCCCAGCAAAGGAGGTCACCACCACCACTCGTCCAGTACTAAGAGTGCGCATGTTAAGGCTCAGCTTTCAGTGGTCACCATTGAGATTGGAGTCACTGAGATCGAAGAGGCGACCCCTTCTCGAGAGAACCAACATGGGAAATAAACGAAGGGACGAAAGGGGAGAGCTTTGAAGGGGGTCCCTCCCGTTCAGAGTCATGATGACCATTGAAGGCTGAGCTTTAAGCATGATGGAGGACGGATCGGTCTTCATTCTGTTCTTTCCAACAAAACGAGGAAGGAACCCAGTGTCGCGAGTCAGAGCAGAGCGTTGACACGAATCGATGAGAATGAAGAGCAGCCGTCCGCTACAAAAAAGACATCAACAGCTAGTGGTCCCACATCAGACAATGCTGTGCGTCGTGGTTGGGGTTTTCGTCTTCGGTCCTTGGTCCCAGGTGGCTTGAGGCGGTTGTGGATCTTCGAAGATGTCGATGAAGATTCTGAGAGAAGGGAAATATTTTATGACTGCTGTTTAAGTTTAAATTTCACTAGAAGTAAAAATGCCACCCAATGATATTTCTGAACAAGCTCTTGCTCTTCCTCTAACCCCGACGACAACAAGGGGAGCTTGCTAAGGAAAACCAGATTCGGAAGGTTGCGAAAGCAGTGAACAAACTCCGCGCACAACAAGAGGGAATCACACTATTCAAGATGGAGCACAACCTGCCAGAAACTCTGAATATCACAAAGTTGGGAGAACCGGTATTTAGTATTAAGAGTATACGAAGAGCATGGGATGTAGTAGTTAATCGTCTAGTCTTGGTTCCGTGCCTCCACCGATCATGATGTGGCTTGTCATAGTCTCTTTTTGTTACAGAAGTTCTCTCCTTCCTAGTACTGTACTGTACACTCTTCAATGGCACTTCTACAAGAACTCCTGCTCGAGGAAGTGAAGATGTAGGAATTGAAACTTCTCGCCTCTCAAAACAACAGCAATCCCTTCTCGACTCCGTTTCCCTAAACGAGGAAATCGAAGTGTGCGAAATCTTTCCTTTCCCGGACTGCATGGAGGTGAGCTTTTTGTTGTATCAGGGCCAAACCCTTGGACGTAAAAATGGCAAAGAGAAGAAATATCAGTCAGCCGATTTTCATCTCTTTTCCCTGCGTACCGTCGGCACTGTGGTCCCGTCGCTCGCCATCTCAGCAGCTGGGCATCAGTTGGTTTTTCGCTTTTTGGTTTTGGATGATCACGGCAATATGGCAACCGTGGACCAGATTGTCTACGTACCTCCGTCGAACCGGTGTCGGAAGATCTCGTTGATCGTGTATGGGGAGAAAAGGAACGTTTGCAGAGGTGGTGGTGGGGGAGGGTTTACTCCAGGTTTGCAGCGGAGCAGGTTGGAGGGTAGAGGACGACACGATACAGACCATCATGGTGGAGATGAGGACCAAAAGCAACATCAATTAAGGCTGTATCTAATACTTACATCTTTGGACGCATCCTTGAAGCGTATGGAAGAGTATCCTAAGGGAATACTCCCCCATATGTTTCAAGGATGCACTTGAAAGATGAATTACGGACAGCTCTAAATCAAGAGCCACAAGCTAGCTCGAGTGGTGCACGAGGTAGATCGGGAACAGCTACTGGCACATCAATAGGCGGACCAGGTCCTCGTCATTGCAGCAAAAATGCTGGAGAAGGTGGCGGATTAGCGTCAGCCACAACCTTATTGGAAGAGGACCCTAGTTCATCTATTTCTAACCTCCTAGCAGCGCCAGAGCGTCCTGTGGCACGTCCTGGATCGTCACAGGGACGTTTCGCGGGGGATGTGGCACCTGGAGGTGTAGGCGGTTTTCGACCCGTGTCTGCACCAAAAATTTTATGGATGGGAGGACCTACGATTCTTCACTTGTAGATGCTCAAACTAAGTACGACTTCTAAGTACATGATAATAAGTCTCATCTTCTGCCCGCTTTCATATTCTGGCTCGACGTTGTTGAGTTCTACATCAACACACCAACTACCAGCGAAAATGAGCGGTAATTATAGTCGTCCGACATCATCCACGACGCCGAACAGACCTGTAAGTAGCAGCAATCGAACAAATGGTGGAGGGCATTTTTCCAGTAGAGGAGCTGGGCCAAATGACACTAGTACTGGTGGTGGAGGCAGCTTCTTTTTCTCCCGTGAGAAATGGACTGCTCGCGTCCTCGTTAACGACAAGAGAGTCGCAACTTTAGACCTCGGCAGTGGCATTGTCTGGTTGCAGAATGTCCAAGGCATAGATCGAGCAGCAGCATCTGTGATGGTCGGCGACACGCAGTCATCCGCAGGTTGGGTCCTCAAAAATGCCATGTTTAGGCATTTCGAAACAGGACGTGAAGAAGACCAGTGCGAAGAAGACGAATCAGAAGACGAGAGTGACAAAGACGATAGTAGTAATGCTATGTTGCAAGGAGAAGGAAACGGAGTAGAAAGTAGGTTGAAGGAGCCATCACGATATCACGGAGGTGCAGTAGATGGAACGGAAGAACAACGAGGTACTTACAAAAAAGATAATGAGGTCGTACAACTTTGTGGGTAGACGTAGAAGTACCGTACAACCTGGCAATACTTCTTCGAGGTCTGCGACACTTTCCTAGAACGTCACAACTACTCTCCCATAACAGATATCCGTCTTGGTGGTAGACGATCGATTCTCCAGGCTTTCGGGCGACCTTTTCAAGGACAAATGAGACTCTTCCGCGTTTTGACTGATTTCGGAGCAAACTGGCGTGAGAAGATCTACTCAGCGACCATTGCCAGGCCGAGCATCGTACTATCTACTATACTGTGTAGTTTCCCTCGATGTTATACAGATATGTTTATTTCATATGAAAGATGAATCAAAACTTCTACAAGTACAAGCTAGTTTCTCTGGCTTTATTTTCCTTAGACCCTGTTTTGTTTGATGATCTCCTTCTCCACTTTCCATCTCTCTTCAAGATATCAAAGTAGAGCCACAGGTTGAGCGTGATGTCGATGGCATGTACGTCGTCAACGGCACAAAACTAGAGGTTATGTTGAACGCCAGAGCCCGTCATGAATATGAACGTCATCGTGTTTCCTACAGTCGGTATTCTGAGGTCGAGGACCCAGAAGCACGAACACAGCAGATCCTAGCAGGCAGACCTGGAACCGAAATAGCAGAGAAAAGTGATTTCCTCAGATACTTTCGGCTTTTTTAACAGTGCAAGGGCAAGCATCATTAGGATTAGCGAAAGTCGTTGTACACTTCTTTAATAAAGAATCTTTATAAAGAATGGGATTTTATTCTTACGGTTGCAGATAAACCGGGGATAAAAAAGGTAAAGTCTGGAAAAAGTACACTAGCTTTGAAAACATGATAAAAATAGTGTAGTAGTTGTAAGTTGCCAACGAATTTGTTGTTGTAAGTATTCTCAGTCTAGCTTATGCGATCGAACGCGAACCTTCCTACTTCTCATAATCCCTCATACGTTCGCGGGTAAGGAACTTCAGTGCTCGACCTAGTCTTGTCGTAGCAGTAGCTAACTGTTTCAACATAATAAAGTTTTGGATCATCATGATCGATCATCATCATGATGTAGTGCGATTTCATTTACCAGATCTGTACTTTTACGATTAGATAGTTGTTAAAAGATACATCAACATCATGCGGAGCAGCACGCACAGGGAGCAAGACGGCCAAGACCGTAACAGACACAGGCAGCTGCGGCAAGGACCTCCTGCGAGGCGTAACGTGCTCGCGGGAAGACGAGCGGCGATACTATGCCTTCAGGCTGGGATGTTTGGCGAGCGGAGTCACCGGGGAGGACGTTGGCTGCCCGTTTTGCCCTGGCCTTGCGGCAAGCACGCAGCACCTACTAGAGTGCCCTGCGCTCCAGGCTCTAGTAGAGGCCCACGGAGTTCCGGCGAATGTTGGGGTGGCTGCGTCGAACCCGAAGCGGCTAATCCCATACCTTCGCGACTTAGCGACCAGCTTCGGCGGTGCGTTCTTGCGAGCGCAGCCGCCACACCTCCAGTGAAGACAAGGGGAAACGAGTAGCGGCTGCTGTGGTAAACCCATCGCTGCCCGCTACGATAGGACGGGGGCCGAGATAGGTGGTGGCGAACAAAGAACGAGCAGGGAGGAGACAAGAAAGGAAGCACGCGAAGACAAAAAAGAACGAAGACAAAACGAGAACGCGAAGAACAGTGCACGCAGGCCGCAAGAACGTCAACCAAACCCGGACGCGCCTCGCCGCCAGGTGCTACCTACGCGCAGTCGCCGCCGCCTGCAGCACGCCGCGCCTGGCATGCCACAAAAGCCGCAGCTGGCGGGGACTGTGGCGACCTGACATGAAACCATAGTCGATCGCAATGACGACCATAGCACTACACACACAGAGCACAAAGAAATCCGGCGGGATCGTACGCGTCGCCCGGAGCGCATCAAAACAAACAAACAAATACATCAACATCATAGCTTTTTGAAAATGAATCGACATAATCTCAATCAATGAATGTTGATCTCTTCCATGAATTCTCAAGGTCAACAACAGGAACACACGATTGCCGGTTTTTTGCCACAGGATTAAGGTCGAATAATTGAAAATGAATGATGCAGCCATCTCTCTGTTTGGAATTGGACAGTAGTAGGGGAGCAGCAAGTTTTGCGAGCATTTCATCTAAGTCTGACCAACTAACACTATAATTCCGACTATCTATGCATATGCCATATGATGATCGATATTTTTAGTCTTTTTTGGACATGATGTCGTATGTTTTTCTTCAGGCGCCTAGTGATAGTGCTGCACATGTTGTAGAAGATATCAGTAACGGAAGCTTCACCGTTATCGAAGTACATGCATAGATTTAGCACATGATTTGGTTTTTGATCAGCCTCACGTTCGACAGTTGTTAGTGGTAAAATATCATTGCACAGATACAGAAGAAGAAAAATGTTACACCGAAGCTCGGTCAAGATTATTATCCAAAAACAAGCATTGTACAGCTAAAACATCTTCGTTGTAGGTCGCACACGTTGTGCTGTTGATCATGTCATCAACGATCAGTGTTAACAACGAGAGTCCGCATACCACCGAGAAGGATGAGCGTGTGGATTAGAGCGTGTGAGTGCGAGTGAGCAAGGTGCGTTGCAGTGATCCCCATGAGACCAAGATCATCTTCCTCAGGCGAATGAACAGGTGGTCGAGACAGCAGATGTAGAACTAGTAGCATCAGATGACCTTGTTCTGAGAGATGACGTGGAGTCGCCTGGCATAGGATGAGAAGGATGGCTCTGGTTCGCAGTTGCTTCTTACTTGCTTCGGAACGGGACCTTGGGGACGAGACCAGACGGAGACAGAAGCGGAGATGAACAGAGACGAAAAACAATACGCAAGACCAAGACGGCGGCCTAGTCATTGCAGCAAAGAATCGTAGCACTGGAGAGCGGAAGAGTGGCGACGACATAGAGGAAGATACTGGAAGGACTGGGTAGTAACGGAGCAAGAGCCGAGGCCGACCATCAAGATGTTCTTCCGGTTTCTTTTCGCAAACTACCAGATGCCGATGGTGTCATCTTCCTCAAGCCGTTGCTGGCATTCGGCACTACGCCATTGGATGCTCCTGCTGAGTTGCTATTGCTTCCAGCTTCTACCTTATTTCGCCTCACTTGGTGCAGCAAAAGGAGCACGAAGTAGAGGTTCACGAAGCAGAACACCCTCTCCGCACCAAATCATTCTAGACACAGAATTTGACTGTGACCCTATTGTTTCACCAGAGATGCCCACTAGACGACAACAGGGGTTTGCGCATTTAGCAGAGAAGTTTGCTACAGAGGTCGAAACATTGCGGGTGAAGAAGCAAGCAGGAAAATGGCTCTACGAGAACATAAACTTCGTGGCTGCGGACGTTGACACGGTTTTAGAGCAACAGATGTGCAAATCAGCAGTATTGACGGCGCTAGTGATGAAAGCACTGTTAGAACTGCTACAGGGAGGGCTGTTGCAAGGCCAAATGCCTCAGGACGAAACACCATTGCTGATGCTAGACGCGATGCTTAGCAATAACTTGATTTATGCTCGAAAAATACATTTTCAGTCATGAAGTTGTTTCCTCGAGAAGCAGAACTGCTTTATTGAAAATACTCATATTCGTATCCCTTCTTCGTTACATAAGCCGTCTTCTTTTTCCGTCCTCTAATACCTCCAATGGGTGAAAAACCCTGCAAGTGGTATTAAAGCGAACGCTCCTGCCAACGTGCCTGAAGGAATGACGCATTTGCTCCTCTCCAGTTCCTTTCCGATCTATCGACTGTTGCATTTGCTGATGATGCTTTTCTTAAGGCTCAATAGCATTCACTTCTTGACTGCATTTCTCACAATGATAGGGAAAAATGTAGCCAAGAAGTGAATTGCTTTGAGCTCTAAGTTTCCCTGAAACAGAGTCCACTCGTATGGGCCATTGCCGCATGCATCATGATGAGAGTATTCCTCTTGAAAAACGAGTCGATTGGCCCATGTTCAAGAAACAACTCGAAAATGCTACTAAGCAAGTGGAACTACCAATTATGACTTTTTACTCATCTAGTATTCATCTTGAGAAGCATCATCTTGATCTTGGAACGAAGGAAAAAGCATGACTACTTCTACCAAGATGCTCCTCTTCAGGATGAATATCGGAGGTAAGGTCTAAACCAAGTCTGGAACCTGGGATCACATTAACTGCAGCATGGAACAAGCGATGGGACGATTTGTACCTGCAAGAAGTGATGATGACTGCTGCAGACTCTGGAGACGTGATCTTTCAGAATTGGAGGACTGACCAATACAAAGCGGGCTGTCATTTAGCCGTTATCGGAGCCTATGTCTTGCACAGTTTTTGGTATGCGAGGAGTGACCGCCAAGCGTGGCTCCAGCGTTTCTTCACGGCTGTCACTAGTGTACATGCAGTCCATGCGCCAATTGCAGACTCGGTGAAGAGTGATTGGCCAGTCTACGTCCTGTGGGACATGCTGTTTCGATTACGACGAGAACAATCCGATTTCCCACCCAGAGGAGATATAGAGTTGGAATACGACTATGCTGAGTCTCCTGCTGCTGCTCTTGCTACTGGTGGTGCAGAATCTCAATCTTCAGATAGAAGTGGAAAGGTGCAAATATTAGAAGAAGATGGAGGATCCGAAGCAGAAGAAGAGCCAGACGCTAGTCGAAGGCCCTCCATAGTGGATCGTGAAGCATTAGACAGACTTTTAGCGACGTGGCAACGAGAGAAGCGACGGGGCGCGGGGGCTGCAAGATCTTCTGTGTCGTCTGCCACCGCAACTTCTACATCTTCAAACAGTAAAGATGATCATCTTCAGGCTCAACAGGATCATGTCGTTTTCGTAACGCAGGCTTATGGATGGATGCTGAATCACATGCGTCCGGTTGTGGATCGTTTCCGGACCGAGTTTGGTCTGAACTTGGTCATTTTGGCAGGTCCTCCCGAGACAGAGGGAGATCCGTCTGGAAGTGAAGAAGATAATAATAAAGCTTCAGCAACAAGTAGGGACTTGCTGAAGGAGGAAGAGGCTTTGGCAAGTGAGGCAGATAATGGGTATGGTGTTTCTGACGAGTCTGCAGCTTCGTCTGTCAAAAGCAAGATAAGCAGCAAAAAAAGGAGAAGTAGACGGAAAGTCGAAGAAATAACAGGTAGTGATCACACGGTCGTTTCTCCCTGCACATCAGCGGAGGAGGAAGAATGGTGCTTGCCGACGTTCCCCTCATTACTCGCTAAATATGACGCACTAACGCACTTCGCGGAGATTCGTGTGCCAGTTTGTTGGGTCGATCTTGACATCGCGTGGTTTCAATCGCCTTTGAAACTCTTTGATGAAGAACAGGACTTCATTTTCGGAAGCAAAGACCAATACGGGATCGGCGTTTCACCTGCAATGTTGTGTGTACCAAAGGTGCAGGGAGAGGAAAGTGGAATGTTGCTTCTGCAAGAGGAAAGGCATGACCCTACAGCAGCTAGCACCGTCCCTTCATCTGAACAGCATCAAGACAGCGATGGCCTCTACGTTCCAGATTCACTTGTTCAAGACGGAAACAAGGACTACACCAGTCAATCTGCTCAACCCCTGGTCCTCGACATTCTCTATCAAGTACGCGACACACTTCTACTCAACCCTTTTGGACATGACTTAGCCATGTGGGATTTGATTGTTGGCAGAGTGGGTGCAGATGACGTAGGAGGCTGGGATTATCAGGGGAGGAGTCACCAGGCCAATCCGGATAATCGAACTCTCAGCTACTGGGATGAGAATATTCTGCCTTTGCCTGTGCGTTATGAAGAATATCAACAGTGTTGTTGAAATAGCAGCTACTCTTATATATATTCATTTTTTTTCTACATTCGATTGTTATTTACTCGGTTTTTTTTCTTGCTCAGGACCACGTACTCCCATTACGACTGTTACTAGCCAAATTTAAACAAGGAAGATGTCACTCAACTTCGTGAAGATTGCCTTCTTTCATATCCTCGGCGTAAAGTACAAGGTCATCGGTGCTGACCTCCTCGCAAGCGGGGACGGTTTTCCAGTGTCGCAACCCTTGACCGAGCGAAACAATAGGTGGCAGGTAGTTCCGAGGATAGAAGACCATGATGAAGTGAATGCGAAGTGGATAGAAGATGTGCGGGACTATGCTGCGGCAGCGAGTCGTCCTTCTGTGGCAACAAGGACAAAAGGATTCGGCAAAATTCCAGAGGTGGATGTTGAAAAGCTGATCAAGACGAGTCGCAGTTCTTCATCTTTCCCGCCACCATCGCTGATAGGATTCCACTTTTATGGGGCAATCGAACGATCTGAGGAACTTTTTGCGGTCTTTTACCATGAACCCGAACGTTGGGATGGAGAGCGCGTACTTCAACAATATGTGAAATTCCCGAAGTTCGATCATATGGCACTGCCAGGAGGTATTGTAGTGGAAAAGCGGACTAGGGATGCATTGGGGAATTATCAGTACCTACTAACTGGTGGACCAGGACGAGATGAGGAAGTAGGAGGAGCAGGAAGCGGAGGAAGAACGCGCGGAAGTCCTAGTCCTGAAATAGATGATGAAACTCAAAGCGAAGAGGAGGATGAGTTAGTGGTTCTTGACGAATTACAAAAGTCAGCAGCAGAAAAGTCTGAGAGGACCGCAGCGAAACGCGCAAGATGGGCACGGAATCGCAGACAAGATGGTAGTAGAGAAAAAGAACATCTTCAGCAGCAGCAGCAGCTTACTTCTTCGTCGGGTAATTACGTAAACGCTCTATCCTCATCCTCAGCAAGCGCTCCTTCTAGGTCGTCTAGCTACATACCAACGCGTTGGGTCCATATCTCCTACGCTGATGGGTGCTGTCAGAAAGCTATCAAGAAAAATCTACAGTCCGCCGAAGAATATTTTGACGAGCAGCGAGCATACGACAAGACCGCGTTTGCACCAGAGTTTATGGGTTAGTGAGTATCCGCATTGCGACAAATGAAAGAAGATATTAAGACTTACATTAGTACAGCCTTGGCCGCCTTGGATGAGAAGACCTCCAGGGCAGATGGACGAACACGCGGCGCCTAAAATAAACGGATCCTAATATAAACGTGGCCACTATAGTTCTTCTTTAGACATTTGGGCTACTTGATTCTTTTGTTTTTTTGTTTCCTAGATAGGTGTGCTCCACCGATATACTTACATTAGTACAGATGAAATAAGATTGCAAATATGTGATGTTGATGAAGATTCGCTAATGGCACAACTGGATTATAAAAAGGTAGGTCGCTCCCAAGCACATGATGTAATTGGAGACGACGACTTAAAACAAGTAGTAGAAGCGTCGCGTTTTGCTCTAATCCTTGGGCGGAACGAAATGCAGAAATCCTGGCTGTGCCGCGCGGTGGAGGTCTGTGGATCTGGAAGCCCTACGTTGTCTTGAAAACGCTGGAAGACCCTTCTGTCCCATGGGACTCGGCTCTGGTATATGGATTGACTTTATATGAGAATTGTAGGTGCAATTGGTTTGGTGTCGTGGTTCGTCGGTGTTCTATTCGTATCGGGCTTCGCCTCCTTGTGGGGAAAGCGGGCAGTGAGGGTTCTCTGCCTGGACAATTGGCACCATACGGCCGCAGCGTTTGGGATCAAGGGCGGGGAGCTCACCGCGCCACGGCATATGTCGCCAAGCGCGCCCATGTGTGCGAATTACTCCCGATTGCACAGCGCTTTGCGCTCCCTCTACAGGTCTGCCGCGGCCGCCGTGAGGAATTTTAAGATTTTCAAGCTTATTACGTGCGAGCTAATCGCTGAATTTTTGAAGTTCGTCGCTTTCTTTCAGTACCAAAAACACAAAAATCCCATCCCAGTCGTAGGCTGTTACTCCAGCCTTTTTCAAATTTGGGCCAAAAGCTGGAGAGCGTCCCCGGGCGGGTTGGCTTCTTAACTTACGGCGGTAACGTCGTGAGGAATCTAGGGCATGCCTTACCCTTGTCGGGGAGCGGTCACGTAGGCGCTGCGGCTGTGGCGGCGGACTTCTTTGGGGTGAACGCGGAGAAGGTGGCGGCCAACCCCAAAGGCGGCAGCCGGTACCTGGGTGCTTTTGGACCCCCCTGCTGCGCTATCCAGCGCCTCGATGCTGAGGAAGCTCGCGACGATAGGAGCTCGGGGAGCGCGCTCCTCGGTCTCTCTTTCTGGTTTAATTACTCCCGGAAGCCTGCGCAACATCGCTGGGCCCTCGTGGAGCAAGGAACAGGCCACGCGTGAGGGATTCTGGCGGGGTGCCGCGAACTGCTAGAAGGGTACGGCGGTGAGGATGAGGCATTGTGTGTCTGTTTGCCTCTTGTCTTCTCTGATGGGGCAACGATTGACGCAGGCGGAGTTCAGAGCTGATTTGGCGAGGGTGGCGGGATAGCTGCTTTAGCCCATTCGTGTCACCAGCAGACGCTGCATCTCCTCGAAGGGGATGGCGCTGAGAGTGGCCGCATCTCCCTGGTGTCTGGTCTTCGACGGCATTCCATTACTTAAACTGCCACCACGCTCAACATGACCGAAGCGCGCCACTTCCGCCACTAGGGATTATAATTGATTTTGGCCTATCTTGTATCCGTGCGAAGCACGGCGGCCAACTATCTACAAACAGTGGCGGCGCCTCTCTACAAGATCAGAAGCGCTGCGCCTTGAAGGGGGTCGCCCTCAGTGGGTACTGAGCTCAACAAACTGGCGGGCGAGGTGTGTTCTGTTTGTCGCTTTGTGGTGCTCAAAAAGCTCGCAGGGATGTGGGGGGAAACACTAACCGCCGCAGGCGTTGGGCTAGGTTACTCGCACCGGGCTGGGAGCTGCCACCGGGAGCGGGCTTGCCGCGGGTCGAGTGTGTTACACTTTGTCTCTCATGGTTGGGCCTTCTGCTTCTCTCGGACAGGAGCCATCGGCGGGGTTTGAGTGCCTACTCGCTTCCAACTGCGTGCCGCGCTGTTCTTGTTGGAGATCATTCAGTAGGCAATACTGTGTCGAGGCTGGAAAAGGAACGAAGGCGCGCCGCGTCCCCATTCTCGGCAACTGATGGCTGAGAGTGGGGGGGCTTGGTCTGGTTTGAATTATGAACCCCACCAGGCGGCTGTCGCGGCGGGTGAATTTTGTTCGCGTAATCATTTGGGGCGTGAGAGGTTTCTCTCCGTTGCTGCTGGTTATTTCGTCTTGCTTTTTCTCTAGGCTGAACGATATGAGCGGCAGGCGTGTGAAGTGGTCTAGTATCGCGCTTGCACTCTCGTGGGAGGTGTTCAGGGTCGTGGCTTATCCGCTAGGCGACTGAGCTGGCTGCTGTTGATGCAGCGCATGCTGGTGCTGGCCGTGTGTGGCTCTCGTCCATCATGCATCTTGACAAGGGCGGGCGCCTACTTAGCGGCGCGCATGTTGTTGGGTGTGTGTTTCGCGACGTTGTTGGAAGGAAGGGCTGGCCTGGCAGTTTAAGTGGTGCGGCCGATCCTAATAGGGCGGCAGACTTGCCCATGAGTTCGTTGTAGCGCGGTGGCGTTTTCGCGGCGTTGGCGCCCAGCTGTAGGGGTATGGTGCGGCCCCAGGTGTAACTTTTCCTCTGTGTATCTATCTTCTGGGCTGCTGCGTGGCTTGACTCTGGTACCATTCGGTGGGAATAGTGCCAGCTTTGCCCTTTCGGGGATGCAGCGCGCAGCTGCACACAGACACCCACACCGAAGGGCACTCGCCTGGGCTGGCGGGTTGGCATAATGCAAGCACGGCGGCAGCAGGGTAGAGCTAGGCGCGCAAGCTGCCGGGGGCGCTTGTCAGTGCTTGGTCGTCGTAGTTCTTTCGGTAAAGTTGCGCGCCAACCTCGGCGACAACTGGCCGCACGCGCTTGCTTAAGTGGCTCGCTGGTGGCGCCCGCTGCGTGTGGAGATGTTCTCTTTCTTTCTTTCTTTCTTTCTTTCTTTCTTTCTTTCTTTGTAAGCGCTGACGCTTAAACGAAGAAGAATGGACCGACCACGAAGGAGACGAAGCAGGTGCAGGGACGTCGCTCTTGTTAGCTTGCTTGCGGGTTTGGGTGATTGTATATCGTCCCAAAAGACAAAAGCAAAGCATTTGTATTCGGTTAGATTAACAGAGATGGATATAAAATCTCTCCTCGCCCCAGGTATACCTCGATGCTGGCAACCATTTTACTGGTGATCCGCGCGATTTCGTGCAAAGAGTTCTGACCGACACTGATGTAGCCGTTTTGCAGCTCAAATGTTGTTTTGAGGCTGACTGGAGTAAGAGGGAAACGCTGATCGCGCTTCATGGTGATCATCATGCTATTGCCGAACGACCACAAATTTATGCGTTGGTTGTATTCGGAATCTTCGTCGTCACCGTAATGGCGTAGAAGATGTACTACTTCTACAAGGTTGAAAAGCATTTGGTGTGTTGGTGTACCTACAGCTACTCAAGAACTAACCCTGATCAACCAGACAACGTCCTACCCCTCTCAACCCCTCCTTCTTCTAACTCATGGGTGCTTACTTCCTGGCTTTCCGGAAAACACCTTTGACTCTGAGATTCGTCCGGGACTGGCTATCCAAGATGAGCGATCCGGTTGTGAGTCGCATAGAAACGGTGTCGCAGCATCAGATAAAAAACTACGCAGGCTTCCAGAAGCACATGGCTGATCAAAGTGCTTTGAGTGTGCTTTTCAAGCAGTACGGCTTCAAGCACATGTCGCTGAAGGATGTCCATAAATTCATAGCTTTGAAACGGTGGAGGGAGTAATACTCAATGTTGCTCAAAAAGCGTGCGCAGTTCTTGTTTAATCTTGATTGCGACTATACAATTGTTCAGTTCTTTGAAAAAAAGCCAGTTTTTTTTAACAGTTCGGTGGCGGGTGCTCATTCACTCTCACAGGGGAAAGTCATGTTTGTCACGGTGATACAGCTACAGGTTGAAAGACATGTATCTATGTATAATGATCATAGTCGTGCTTGTTGTTGATGTTTCTTCAGAGAATAGAGCAAAGACAGCTAGTAAGTGTTAGTGGTAATGACAACGATTTGACCGGGTACTAGTCCTTCTAGAAGAAGAAGGGGAACAAAGTAAAGCAGGTGACGAAGCCACAACTCATTTGGAAAAGAAGCACCTGATGTGTTCAATTACTTCCTTGCGTTCTCATCTCTGCGAGCAGCTCCTGCGTGCTGCGAAAAAGAACGTTGTACTATATGATGTTAGGTCAGGTTCAGGTGGTCATGTTGTTTGTAGTAGAAGCATGATGAGCAGTTCTGCGTTTGATGAGAAGCTCTAGTCAGATCAGCCGAAAGGAACAAGCGTGGTGCAACGCCTGGCACATGGTCTCGCTCGATCATCATGTATTTCCAAATCTGATCTAGGAGCCATAGGATTCGAGACAGTCTCATCTTCAGGTTTCTTACAACATCTTCATCCATCCTGCTTTTCGCGCATCAAATTGTTCTTCAATTCGAAAGTAGATCTAGATTTTTGGTTTTGATCTCTGTCTTCCACAAAACCCAGTAGTTCAGAAACGAAATTCCAAAAAACAAGTCATGCAGCAAGGTGGTTACTACAATACCAATACTGGAGGAGGCTCCTCCTTTGCCCCTCCAACCCAGGCTAACCAAGCTATGTACGGCTTCGGATGGTTCAACGGTGGAGGCTCTTCATCCAGAACTAATGTTAAGGCTACCGCTCATGCTCAAGCATCGATCCATCCCCTTCCTCAGCATTATAGATCCTTGGAGGTTCCTTGTTTTCTACTTGAAAAAGGCGCCCAGACTGCGCTCAGCAGCAATGTTTCCCAACTACGCGGTAGTAGGAGCAGCTCTAATACTGGTTACAATACCTACGGTGGTGCGCCCAATCCCTATTTGATTCCTGCTGGAAACGTGCGTGAGATTGTAGAAGAAGATCCCGCGAAGGTGCACGTGCGTAAGGTAGAGGGCGAGCAATTGAGACTGCTGGACGCTCTTTTTCGCCGTCACGATGAACTGAGCGCACGCAGTCATAAATGGAATTTTGTGAATTTAAGACAAGAATCATGCAAAAATTTTAGCTGGTGCTTCTGCGAAGAATCAAACTCACGCGATACCTTTCACTCTCTAACCTCCGTCCTCGTCTACGCTGGAGTGATTGCGAATGTCGCGATCTTGTATGCCAAATCGAACTGGATTCCGGACGACATCAAGGCTCAACTCGGCGAACACAGTAGCCGTGAAACGACTACAACGCTTTTTTTGATACTCGGATGTATCATGTTGTTTTTGGTATGGCTTTGACATCTGTTGCTTTGATGTAATGGAGGACGACCTCGTTGTAATTATTGTATGGCTTTGACATCTGTTGCTTTGATGTAATGGAGGGCGACTTCAAGCATTCGCACCAGCACATCTAATCTTCTGGGTCCTCTTTTCCATCGTCGCCAAAGGAGCGGCGCCGACCTTTCAATCGGCCTTAGCGGAGGAGCTGAAGGGAGAGGCAGCGGCTAAAATCGCCAGCATTTCCGACTTGCAAGAATTGATTGATCCGACGCCTTGGGTCTACACCAGTCGGCTGCTAAATCAGATTGGGTTGTGGACCACGGTGGGCTTTCTCTTTTTCCAGACGTTCTTTATCTTTTTCACGATGACGAACTCGGTGTTCCATCATAATGGCGAGTCCTTACGTCGATTTGCAGGCCTTGGAACCTCTACTGCGTTGCCGCATAATACGGGGTCTGCCAGCACTCGCCCGACCGGTTTAAAACTCGGTAAGTTAAGGCTGGGGGGGTTGACGTTTCAGTGTTTTTCTCTCAGGAGGAGTTAGAATCCACGACTTCATCTTCTTCTCTAATCGAAGAGGATCTGGCTCTCTTCTTCTCTAAGAGATCTTCTCTTCTTCTCTAATTAAAGATGATTTGGTTCTGGATTTCATATCCGTCGGACTCGTCTTGGTGGCTACGGTTGCGGCGGTCGTGATGATCGCCACCTTTCAATGTCGTGATCAGGAAGAACAGAGCAAAACGGGAGTGATGGAAGACGTTATGATTCATGGTTCATCCTCTTGCTCTAGTTGTAAGTAGAAAAGGCTACTCGCAGCTCTTGTTGTAGACCACGTTGTAGACAGCCACTGCCTCCACACTCGTCATTATGTTCCTCTGTTAGCACCTTTTTAGTAATATACATAGGTCACGAGCACGAGCTTGATTTCTTTTACACATACATACTTAAACAAGGCTGCTATGTTGTATGAATCTCCTCACCTTAGGCACTTTCTTCTAATTTTCCGACCCACCAATTGCAAAATAGTAACCAGAAGCAGCAACTTAGTGTGATGGACCAGATGAAGTACGAAGCGATCTTGAAGGAGAAGCAGAATGCCCATACGGGAGCAGACAACTGCGCAGGTGCTTCAGTGTCTGCGTGGACTTTCATCGCAATCGTTTTGACGCTTTTTGGCATCACGCTGTACAACTTGTACAAGCATGAGATGAGCATCCACTTCTTTTTTCCGATCGCTTGTGGATTTTTCGCGCTGTTCTGCATGCTCTCGGCGGTATTAGATATATAGATGTACAGACGTAGTCTCTAGGAGGCATCTTTTTGCCGGAAGTGGTTGCAAAAAATGGACGGAGCTACGCGCGCAACTGGAGGGACTCGAGCGCGGGGTCTTTCATATCGCGCAAGATGTTTATAGGAGGCGGGGCCGCCTCATGTCGTGCAAGAACTGGCTGAAGCCGGTGAAGCTCTTGAGGAGCTGGAAGGCATTGGCGCGGCAATTGCCACGCCTAAGGAGCTCGCCGCCCTCGGCTGCTTCGGTATCAGCTCCATTGCCGGAGATGAGCGAGGCCTATGCGTCGGCTTGGCTGCTTGCTATGTCTCTGCAGGTGTACAGTGTCCCGGACGCGACTACAACGAAGAAGAAGGCAGTAGGCCGGGCAGAGTGGCCACCGGTAGGGTGGGCGAATTGCTTGCCATGACAGGCCACAAAAGTGAGGACGTCGCCGAGCTCCGCGCCTGTTGTGAGGCTAGGGACTCTCCGGGCTGTACACGCCAGCAGTACTGCGACAAGTGTAAAAGTAAGAGCGTGCCCAAGCTACACAGGGGCAACTGCAAAGCTGTCGAAAGAGAAGGCGCGGGGCGCACGGCCAGGCAACACATAGGCAAAGGCGTCGAAGGAGTGCGCGCAACCGGCTCGGCCGCGAGTGATATGGTGAGTGCCCGCAGACTGGCTGAATTTCTTACGAAGTCCGTACCGCTGGCGCTGTCGCTAGTCGTGTCCCGGGTGCGACAATCAACGACGAAGGAAGTAGGCTGAGCAGAGTGGCCACCGGTAAGCGGATTGCTGGCCATAACAGGCCGGGAAAGGAAGGACGTCGCCAAGCTCCGCGCTTGTTGTGAGGCTAGGGGCTGCCTGGGTTTTACGCGCCAGCAGTACCACGACAAGCGTAAAAGCTTGCCCAAGCTACACAGAAGCAACAGCAAAGCCGTCGAAGACTTTGGGGGCAGGCATGGCAGGCCAGACTGCCAGCGGCTTGGGAATCAATCGGCCGCGGGTGCCCGGATCAGAGCAGGCGAAGAGCATGCGGCCCAAAAAGGCAACCGGATCAATTTCCCAGCTCCTTCAGTATGCGGCGCTGAAACCTGAGCCGAAGACACCGCGGGAACTTTGCAGACGTGGAGGGGTCAGCCTGGGTGCGAGATGATGCGACTTCTTCGTCGTTTTCTACTGCCGCCCAGCGACGTCGGGCGCTTGCATGTTGAAGCCGATAGGGGTAGGGCCGTGAGTAGTTCGCTTCCGGCTGCAGCTCTGGCGCTGCGAACTTAGCTGCATGATACCCGAAGAGGGGGCTCCTGCATCTGCCAAAAAGCTGCCCGCGAAGGTCGCCACCTCTTGGCGCCAACTAAGTCTCTTTCGCACCACAGTGAGACCTGAAGGGGCTTGGTTTGATGCGGGAGCGAGTTGGCTTTGAGTCAGCTGTGAAGTCGGATTGCTAGCGCAAACCGAAGACCCAGAAAAAGAGTGAGGGGGTTGGGCTGGCTGGGTTCTGGTCGAGATTCATGCCTTTGAGGGTATTCTTTGCGAGTTTCTGCATGATTTGAAAGGACAAAAGCACAGAGAAAGAAGAGGCACAACCTTGAAGGACCAGAACAATCTGCGCCGATTTCTCCACCTTTGAAGCTTTGGGGGCCTTGTAGTGCCACAGATGGCGAGAGAAGTCAAGCCCATGCGGGCAGTTTCAAAACTCTTGGGCGTCCTCTGCGCCGTTCGTTCTTTCTTCTTGCGTGTTCATGGGGCAACACGCATGAGGCCGATCAGCTCAGGAGAGGGAGAACCATCGAGAACGGGATGAACGGAGTCGGCGCGCCGCCCTTCCGTCTGGTACAGTCTCCACAGCCGCGCAACCCAAGAGCACTAGAGCCAGAGGCGTTCGCGCGACGCGTGGGCTCGGGCGTCGGGCATGGTGAGAAGAGAAGCCAGTCGCCGGGACGGTGGGCGGCACTGGAGACGACGGCGCCGCAACATCAGGGGGAGGGGAGCGCGATGGGATCACTCGCAACGGGAGGGGGAGGGTACGCGCGCACCCTCCTCCGCGTGGTGCTGGGCAAGCCGCTACTGCTGCAGCTTCGGGCCCCGGGGCGGCGACCTCTTCGACGGGAGTGCCGTAGGCGTGTTGTATTCAGTTTTCTCTTTCTATGGTGTGCGCGGGGTCTGCGGAAGTTTCAAACGCACAGGGCAAGACGTTTGCTGCGGCAGCATCGAGCCCGCAAGTTCTTTGTCAGCCGTGGCCCGTTAGCTTTTGCGCCAATGGAACAAGTAAGTTCGGGCGGATAGCTTGCGGCCATCCTTAAACAAAACGGCTGGCCTGGTAGTCTTTTTCTTCGAAAGGGCGGGCCTTGTAGAGGGAATGACGCGAGGGAGTGCGCCGCGATGCGTTTTATGAAGAGCATTCGCATGCGGTGCGCACCTCAGGCCACAGCCCCGAGGTGGAACCCTCGGGCCAAGAAGGTGATGATCGTAAGCCATTCTTCACAAGACTAACACACAAGGAGCCCAGCGCCGCCGGCTCGGGTGGCTCGGCTCCCCGTCCCAAGGTAGCCGCCGCAGCTTCTCCCTCTGGGAAGGAACGGGAGCCACGACAGGCGCTTGTCTCTTTAATCTTTCGTCAGTTATTTGAATTTGCTTCGTACGCGTTTTTTATTTTTTCTCACCATCATCCATGTTCAGCGGTACAACTAGCAGTTCTTGGGCGTTTGTTAGGGCTTTCCAAAGTCCTTGCTTGCCTCTTCTACTGGCTCGCTTGTTTCGCTCAAGAGCAATCTACTGCAGGGGCCAGAGTGGCCAGCTCTTGTCTGGTCGCCATCCCCATCTAGTTTTGAAGCTTGTTGGTTGTGGTTCTCAGTGACAGTGAGATCACAGCGAATGTCTCTTTTTGCCATCATTACAACTCAGATTTCGAACCATGTTTCATCGGATGATGCATGTGCAGCAGAGAGTAAAACTGCCATGGGAGCTCAGCGACGCCGCTCCGCAGTCCTTTTCATGGTGCTTGCGCTCCTTCTACTTTATTACATGGGATTTTTTGTTTTATGGCCGCCACTACCAGTGATCTGCATTTGATTTTGCACGTGCGTCCTTCCTTGTGATTGTGTAGCTAGTTGAATGCCTTTTTAGAAGTCATATCCTTCGTCTTGCGCTTTTTATTCCAGCTCGCTGGTGCAGGTTTCTCTGACATGTTGTAAAATACTCTTCATCTTGACGTCTTCATCAATCCAATCCAACCCAAAAGTTGGTATGAGAAAGATGAATCGTTCTAATCTTCATTTGTTTCAACCTGTATTGCAACATTGTGGAAAAGTACCAAGATTGGTGGGCGAACAACAACAACTGGCGCAATATTAGTTAAGAAGCGGCAATCGATAGTATCTCTTATAAAGTTCCATCATGATTAGCATATCTCTCTCTCTTTTTGACATTCGTAGTCGTTTCTCTTGCCTGAAGAAGAAGTAAAAATGGTTGAGATTCTCGGAGGTCTAGGAATACCAATTCTAGATCGTTCTCCTGCTGCTGATGCATACCATAAAAATGCGAAAAATCTCTTTTTACTTGTACCAGGAGAAACCCTAAGCCCTAAGTAATGATGATAGTCCTTTAACTCTCGGAAGAGCCTCGCTTTATCCTGACCCGTTCTTTTGCGTTCGTGTTCCAGTATTTGATGGTTTTGGCCTTGCATGCCATGGGCGTCGGCGTCGAGGGCCTTGCTATGAACACGCAAATGCACTTAATCGATTGCTGCCGTCAAGTAAGCCAGATGTTGCTGGTGGCGAAAGTTATGCGAAAGATCATGTTCATGCCTCTCTGTATTTATACTATAAGAACAATTATAAGTATGAAATAGAATTAAAATAGAAAATGAACATCTTCTGCAGCAATGGTTGAGTCTGTTGACATTATGATGAAGAAATGTGTTAGATTTACGAATCAAGGTTTCATCAATCGCGATCGTTCTCCATCTCACCTCCTTGTGATTCAACGAGCAGCCTTCCTTGTGATTCAACGAGCAGCCTTCCTTGTGATTCAACTTACCTTCCTTGTGATTCAACTGACCTTCCTTGTCGTGATTCAATTAGCTTACTACACAAGAACCAAGTCTCCTCTACTAGCTACTGCTAACAAATTCGAGAAACAAGAAAAGCGGCAGGGTGGTGGCTCACCTAGCTACCCTCCTTCGGCTGGTCAAATGGGCCAAAGCAACGGTGCAACAATCATCATCCAGCAACAACCTCAGCCGAACATGCGCAACACTGGGTATGGAGCGACATACAGTTGAGTACAAAAGGGTTAGGAGGAAGAGTCGAGAAGGAGGAAGATGAGGAACAAGTACTCGAAAACTGAAAATAACCAAGTTAGTGACTGAAATAAGGCGGGAGGTAGCTCTAGCCGGCTACTCTTTGTTTGTTCTTCAGTATCTCAGTTATTCTGATCAGTTATACTTGCTTATTTCCTTTTCAGTTTATCGAATAGTAGACAACTCAGGAAGCCCGTGCCAGGACAATGAGTTGTATGGGGCTGTTCAGGAACCACATGGTCAGGAGCTGGTAGTTGTGCCAGATCATCAAGGTGGTGGAGATGCTGGCGTAAAAATGACGAAGATGAACATGGAGATGAAGGTTCAAGAATGGTTCTGGAGACTATAGTGATGCTCAGGCCTTCTGAAGTTCAAACAATTACAATTAGATTACAACGAGGAGCCTAGAAAGTTTCGTTACACATAAGGATAAGTAGAAAGACTCGATCATGATTGAAAAATACGAATGCAGCCTCTGTTTGTAGCTTCAGGCTAAGTTGTCACTGAGATGATAACAAGCTTCCATTTTGGGAATAAAGGTGTTGGATTAAATTTTGAGCAGGGCGTATTTAGAAGATGAAGTACTACACTAGTTTGATAAAAAAGTATTCTGCGTTCTTGTAGCGACCCATTTGCTTGCACTACAAGTTCTTCTAGCATGATTCCTTGTTGACACACTTATTTTTTTCGACACATCTACTAAAAGGGCATGAAACCAAGCCGTCCGAACGAATCAGGAACCCTAAGCCTTCTAAAGGGGCATGAAGCCAAGCCGTACGAACGAAAGAGGAACCCTTCTAAGCCTTCTACTTAACTCGGATAGAGAAAGTCTTCTAAGAGAGACAGAGGGCTGTATTCGGGTGCTTCGAGAATACCAGGAGCGTGAAGAGTGTGAGTTGACGCTCATTGTTTTATTTGGTTAGATTTTTATAGAAGATCCGCCGAATTTATCAACAAGAAGTAGAAGAAGCCAGAAGAGTCGCACCAGCAGCTCCTTTTCTGCTTTTTCTGAATGAAACGAGGTGGAAAATGAACATCATCAACTGGTCCTCGTCCTAACGATGGAGCCTCCTTGCTAGAACAAGGCTCCGTGATGGCGATTCCCTGATCAGAGCTCTTCGAGAGCAGGATCTGTGAAGCCACGGTGGACGTCGTGGAGAAAAGAAGATGGCTTGTCGACGTGACATTAACGCGATCAAGCGGCGCTCGCGAGGTGTGGTGCGAAGTAGATGGTCATCCCGGTCCGGATGTGGTTCTTCTTGGTCTGCCATAATACTATTGGTCATCCTACTTCAGGGTGGCCTCGAAACCTTGGCCGCGGACGATGCTCCTGCAAGGGCGACCTCTGCTACGTCCTCCCAAAGCGACATTGCCGACGAAAGACCGCCATCCGTGGAGAATCCATTTGAGAAGATCAGTTCAAAATGGAAGGATATCTTACCAATCGACCGCGCATGCCTCAGCTTAATAGACTGGTGGGTCAGTCAACCACTTTTCTTATGGCTATTTAGTTCGGTGGGTCTCGGGAGATCGATGTAGATTACATCCAAAGAAAAGTAGAACTACAACTACCCTTTGCGCCTTCTTCGGATGCTCTTACTCCGGAATATAAGGGGGAAGTCTCTGTCTATGGCTTGCGCTTTTCAATCCCCGTCTCAACATCTAATATCCTCCTATCTCGACAAGCCGCAGACGTATCCGAATTTCGACGCCTTTCCAATGCAATGGGCTACCTACGACAATATTCAGAAGCGCTCCCAGCGTTACGAGCGCATGACCCGCAACCGTAAGGATTTAAGAAAACATGGAGGCGGACAATTGTTGACCGAGGAATACGATGATGGTACTAGGCAGGGGTTCGCGGTGGATGGGGAGTATATGATTTTGTTATGGCAGGGATAGTGCAGAGGCACTTTTGTTTCGTGCCTCCTCATAGTTCAGTCTTGTGGATAGTTGCAAAATTGAACTTGGCGAATATGTGTTCATTTTCAAATGAATTTTAGAAAAATCAAATAAAAGCAAAATTTTAGGTTTTGTCTGATGAAAGTCAGTGATTTCGATTTGGGTGAATTCCTGTTCACCAGGAATTGAATTTGAATGAAAGTTGATAAAATCAACATTTTATGGATTCATGGCAAAAACTTCAAATTTTAAATTTCGAGATTGAGTTTTGATAGTAAATTGAATCCAAAAGAAGCCCAATACAGTAGGAGGCTATCACTTTTTGGTCTAATCTCACCAACATACGAGCACATCTTTGTCGACGATGTGAAGGTATCGGACGACGGTCGTATCTTGCGTGTCGATGGCGAGAAAGCTCCTTATCAGTCCTCTGCACCATTATGATTGGTAGTCATAATTTCCATTTCTTTGTACTTCAGTATAAGTAGGTTTTTTTATTGTTCTTCATGTGGCAGAAGAAGACCGTCGAATGTAAGTACTCCATCAGATTAAGCCTTCTTCTTTGTAGTAGTTTTTGATGTCCGTCCCCGCGCCACTACGCTTTCCACTTTCATAGCAAACAACCACGTCCTCCTCCGGCAGCTTTGGCGGGCAATCCGATCCGTCTTCCCTCGATAATATGCGCAAGAACATAGGCAGGCCAGTTTGGGTTGTGCAGACTCACAAGCCTGTACATCAAGACTTCTGCTTTCGAGTTTTGAAGAATTTGTTGGATTTGTTGGCCCACTTTAGCGACCCTCAGGCACTTGGCTGGCAGATTCAAGTACATCGGGATATGCAAGGAGAGCTCATCAATTTTCAAGACGTGAATGACATTGTTTTATGGCAAGAGTGATCGATAAAGCTAAGAAGTCCTCGATGGATACAGAAAAAGCCTTCATCAAAGGAGAAAGCCTTGATATTGTTTAGTCTCCCAGATAGTACATGTAAGACTATGTGAGACTCATGCTATGCTGGAAAGCCTTGAAAGATCTACCTCGTCTGTAGAAGAAGTTTTCGGTCGACTCTGAGTCGCGTCAGCTCCACCCTTCTACTGTACAAGCGGAAATAGTTATATCAACTTTTTAAGAGGCGTAAATACTGCATACGTAGCAGACAGAGATCGCCCTCTTCATGCTTTCGTCGAGTCCAAGACGATCTGACGAAGCTGACGATGCTCACTGCTGTCCGTTTTGACGAGGTACAAGGCATCCAGCCTCAAATCCTCAAACCTGTCTTCGCAACCCTTGCGCATGTGGCACGAGTTCGTCGAAACATCAAATTTCAGCGCTGCGTTGCCTCTTTACGTGCAGAAGACCAAGAAGGAGGAGGCGCTGTGGAAGATGTTGTACTAGACGGAGACGAAGAAGGTCTATCAACACTGATCGTGGAGGATAACGACTTGGACTCATCTCCCAAAGTAGAAACAAACTCATCGTTACAGACTTTGGAAACAGGGCACAACGAAAGTGCAACGGGCGTCGTAGAAATGAAGAGGAGTCTTGGCACGATTCGGGATGTCGACGCTTACGAAAAATTTCTTTTGTTATGTCATGATCTTCTACGAGCTGAAGTCTTTTCTTCACGAAAGAGGATTTCTTGCCTTTTACTGATCTAATATCACAAACAAAAGACCGTTGGCGAACCGAGAAGGAGAAAGGGGTGCTGTCCCTAGGCGGTGAAATCGGTGAAAATGCCGACACGGTTTTGTTGCGGAGTGGGCGACGGATCAAAAGGTCCGAACAAACTGCTTACTCGAGACTTTTCGGCGGGAAATCGGAGAGAACGAAAAGCAAGAGGATAAATCCGAAAACTGGAAAGCTTTGGACAAAGCCTGAAGCTATTAGGCGGCTACTCGCAGCAGCATTACAGGGTGCGGCAAGGCATGGAGTGTTGGATCAACATTAAGAAGAACATTGTTAGTACTACCGATTGAAACAGAAACTGGTGTTACAACTCCTGACTCAGATTATACATAGTAGATGATGGCTGAGTGACTGAATCCATTAAGGTGTTAATACAACACCTTGATGGATACAGTCAGATGACGTAACGGCTACAAGAACACTGTAGCCGTTACGTCAGTTCCAATCCCTTCTAACTGCACGACGCATCACCTTTCCGTCGCACCTTTGGACGTGGCTTGCGTCGTCGAGGACTGGAATTCCTCTTCAGGAGAAACGAGCATTTTGACGAGAAAAGGGAAAATCCGGAAGAGTTCATGCTACTAGCGAAAGGCGACACGCACTACAACGCATTCAGGAGTATCCAGTGGAGCTATCTAGAATTCGCGACGCAGGATCTAGTAGAGGAGACCTATGAGAATTGTCATGCACAGACGAGGACGAAACTCCACGTTAGTGAAGAGGAACTTTTTTCGACGCCAGTCGTGAAAACAACTACTCGTACATCTAGTAGTCAAGAAGAAGAAGCTTTTAAAAAGGAGGACTCAGACGCAGACCACTCTAGTACTGCGGAGAAGTCTATGCTCCCAATGGCTGAAGTGTATGCTGATACGTGTTGCCACCTACTAGAACGAGCTGAGGGAGATATGCTCGCGGATGCTTGGGGCGCATACGTAGAGTCAAGAAGGATGAATCGCGGACTGGTCCATAGATTCTATCGAGAACCGCACAAACGGTGGTTGTCGTCTCCGCCAAAGTTAAGGGTTTCCGAATTACATCCCTCACTACCATCCTTGGCTCCTTTTCAAGGGCGAAATAGGTCAAGGATGTTCTGAAGAATGCAATTCGGCAACCTCTAACAAAGGCCGCTTTCTACAACCCTGTTCCTGGTCTTGGCAAGCATCTAGGACCTATTCCCGTGGTGTATCAGCCGAAAAGCCCAAGCTCGCCGTTGTTGAACCACACGGCTGGCATGCACAACCTGCTGGGGTCACGAGTGGACATGGTGTTGATGCACCACTTGGAATCAGGAACAGAAGATTTAGCTGGTGGCATTACACTGCTAAAGAACGAGCTACAATTGAATTACGCGGATGATATCCGCTTGGTGGAATCGAACTACCGGAAAATGGTGCGATCAGCAGAGGGCGGTCGTGGAGGTTTGACGAACAAAGAAGAGGACCATATTAGAAATTACTACAAGACCATCCTCGAACTGGAAGCTCTAGACGTCCCGCCAAGTCCGATACCTACCCTACACCGATGGCTAGAGAGCCCTCTCTTTGCTATGTTGGAACGACATGCCTTGCCTAGAAAACTGAAAGACATACCTGTCTCGCACCACGAAGTGCAGAACTACCTCTACACTCATGGAGCCAAGCCACCACGAGTTGTGCCGTTCTTCTACTATGTTGGTGCGGAATACGGATATAATAGTAGTAACTTCTTGTGGAAATAAATGTTGATCCTGGATCACTCCTGTTGTTGTAAAAACTTGCTGAAAAGCTGCATGTTGCTAGACCAGCAACATTTTATCGGTACTAGAAGATGATGAAGATGTTCATCTAGATGGAAATTTCTATTCATCTTCAGCCGCCTCTTCTAATCATTCGTCCTCCCAACCCGCGATCTGATCGCCGATTCTGTCCGCCGCATGCACGCTCTCGACTGTCCAATAGCAAAAATCATGGAGGAACACAGGGCTCAAACCGACCTTTTCCTGGAAGTAGGTGGCTTCTTTGGCGATTGCATAGTAGGAGCGACCATCAGCGGATGGGCACGATACGGTGTAATTGAGTTAGACGGTAGTGTACCAGCGATTAAGGTATTGAACAAAACCATAGACAGCCTGTTCTTGAAGACGCGGACGCATGTCCCGGCGTTTCCGTCCAACGACTATGTTTTTGCGCATGACGTATCGCATGAAACGGTGAGAACTCTGAGAGAGGAAGACTACGAGAACTCGACAACTACGAGAAGACCTAGTGCGGATGAAGATGCAGGTGAACAACATGAAGCGACATCTACTTCAACTTCTCCATCTTCAGAGTCAACATCAATCTCTTCAGGAGCGCCAACACCAACTACAACCTCCATGTTGACCAAGCCTCCTTTCGCGGCAGAATTGAATGCCTTGACTAGTGGTAAGTTTTTGATCCGTGCAGCAGCCATGTTTGTCTCCGATCGATCGGGTTGGTTCAGGCCAGCTGCAAGAAGAAAACTAGTGTCTTCAGGCCGTAACGTAGCAGAGGAATTTGCTCAGGGTGCAAATAGCTTCTCAGGCTTGACTTCGTGGCAGCCTTGTCAAGGGGAAGAGTATCAGGATGAGATGGATCGGATTTTAGGAGGATCTAAGGACACCGCAGCACCCGCAGCAGGAATAAACACCAAAGCTCAAGTTCTTCTCCCATCTCGACGAAGCTGCGTACTCTTCGAAACCGTGGACGGCTTTCTGGACAAGATCATCTATCCGAACTTCTTCAGGCTACACCAAGGCCGATTTCCGGTGAGCGAAGAGGAGTTTGGGGTACGCAGTAGAGGGCAAGAAGTAGGAGGCGTCGCGTCTACTCCTCTGAGTGGTCCAGCAACACCCAGATACGCCGAAGACTTCCTCCAACAAGGCATTCTACGTGTCGGCGTCCGCATCAAGGTGAGCGGCACAGAGCACGATGTCATTCGTGGGATGAAGGAGACCTTGAAAAACGTGTATTGGCTACATGTGGCCATCATGCCTGAGTGCTTTTGCGAAGCGGAGATCATGCGAATCATGACGGGACAAGAGGATAAGAACCAGATGAAGGAAGTAGATCCTGATGATGCTCATAATAAGCATGTTGTTCAACATGATCCTGCTTTGTATAACTTTGAAGTCGTTTCAAGGATTCAAAACAACTTCAAGGAAGTGCTGATTTTGTTTAGGAAAAGAAAACGTGGGACTGCGCCCTAGTAGTCGGCAGTATCTTATTTTCGTGGACTAGAATACAACATCAAAGTTCTTGTTCTACTATCATTCATCGTTTTTTCTCTTTCAGTTTAATTTCTACTCCGTCTTCTTAATCTAATCATCAAACAAGGTCAAAAAAATTGTCATAATATGATGTGGTCAGCGACCAAATGAAGTTATCCTCTCGATTATGGTGTTGATGTGAATATTTCAGCCAGTCATTGGTACTGCGCACTTGCTTTGTTGTCTAAAGCATCGAGGCAGAGGCAGTTCTTCTTTCTACGAAAGGAGGATATTATTGCAGCAGCATCGCTACCTCCACTAGGTGGATCCCCTTAAGGTCAAAAGAGTACCACATATTTTTGAAGCGCAGCAAAATCGGTTGATCTGATCACGATGAGAAAATGGTAGCACTGTAATGAGATCAGACACAAATATCGATGAAGTAGAGATCGATGAAACTAGAGATCAGACAGCAGACCAAATGAGATCTATACAACAGTATACTAAGCAACGCGGATGTTGTTCCCACACGGTACTATTCCTACAATATATCACCAGGATCAGCAGGAGGGCACGGTTCAACGTAGTTATCAAGTAAGGTATATCTCACACTCTTAATCAACATAATTGCAATTGGCAATGGCATCTCAATTTTCTCCACATGCTAGACATTGTTATCCCAATTTTCTCCACATGCTAGACATTGGTAAGATGACCCGTATCAACATCAACATGTGCTTATTCCCATATTTTTGATTTTGTACAATATTGACGAATCAACATGATGTCTTCAACTAGTAGAGACACAAGTCAAGGACCCCCTCCCACAACAGGGAGCGGCCCACGACAACAGGATACTGGAATCATGGAGCAGCAACATCGTCCCAGAGGGGGAGGCCCCGTTTCAGGGCCGCCTTCTGATGGGAGAAGTTCAAGTCGCAATTCTGTCTTCGGCCAAGAGGTAGCGGATCCAGCGTCTTCGCCATCAATATCATCATCGTCGAGAGCGACATCGGATGCAGCAAGTAGAGGTAACGCAGAAGCCTATAACCATGTTCGTGTTGATCGCCAAGCACAAGCACATCGACATCATTCTCGTGACAAAATGAGGACGAACGATTTGCCCTGGCTTCAACATCAGCAGCCATCCTCGTCCTATGGCCATGGAGGTCAAATGATGCAACAACAGCGACAAGGACAAAAAAGTGGTCGAAGTTATGTGTTGCCTCCACCCCCGCCGCCTCGTGTGCTACAACTCAGTCACAGACGTGACCATAGTACCAGTAGCACTACTATGCGCCTCCATCAAGAGCACGTAGCAAGCGCCAGTAGGACTCCATCAACGTCTAGCGGCAAAGGACACGGTGAGAAATCGTCAAAAGGGGAAGGTCGACGAGGACATCATCAGGGTGGAATGTCCTCGAGCTCTACTTTGATGAATATGCATGGATCCTCTTCCAAAGGACGTGGTAGTCGTAGCTTCTCATTCACGACGACAGGCAGAACGACGGTCAGCGTCAGCAGAGGGCCGACAACTCCGCTCCAACCTGCTGCTTCTGGAGGTAACGGCTTCTCAACAAGGCGGTCGTCGGCAGGTGCTGCTCTTGGAGCTTCAACTTCTACGTCAAGCACACGGCCACCTGCAGCCACGTTTCAACAAAAAAATGGACAACATCATCATCAACAGCATCAACATAGAAGTGCTCCTTCCGGAGGAGGTGTCAGCACGTCTCCTACTTCTACTCCTATGGTTGGCACCAGGTTTTCGTTTTCTTCATGGCGACGGTCATCCTCAGTGCCACAAGAAGATGCACGGAGAGGACCTTCAAATAACCCAATTGACAACTCTGGTGACAAGGGCAGGAGGAGCAGCAGCAGTAGCACCAGTGGGGCAACATTGTCCTTGGCGACAGCTCTCAACATTGAGGACAGACAGCAGGAGGGAACATCCGGAAGCACGAGGATTGGATCCACCGCTGATTGGAGGGGGCAATCTGGAAACCAGGAGAAGCATACTGGTGCCGGAGCTTCTTCGATGCAGGAGCCGAAAAGAAGAAGTAGTCTTTTTAGTCCTACAAGTGCTGGCAAAGTGATCAGCACTAGAAAAGGCTCCTTATGCACAGTAGAAAAAAAAACAGCAGTTTCAACTGAAGATGCACCTCTGTTAGCGATGTCTCTTGGACCTTCTCCCGCAAGTGGTTCGCCTGCAGGAATGGACGATAGCAGGAGCGCTGCTGCTGTCCCGGTCGTAGCTGGTTCAGCAACCCTAGTAGTTGGAATAGAAGACAAGGACGAGCAAAGCAACTCTGCTATCTCAACAGGAAGAAGTGGAAGTCGAGAGCAGGAGATGGAGCTAGAGCAGAATGTCACATTCCGAGGAGACACTGCTGTGGCAACAGCTGCCGAGAACCCTCTTAGTCAAGCCACTCCGGCGGTTGCTCGCCACCAGCATGTTCCACCTCCGACAGGATTGCTACATACAACTACTCCATCTGCTTCAATTTCCAGTACAAGAACTGTACAACCATCTTCAAGAGCAACCATTACTGCAGGACGAGGGACTCCTACTCCTTGTTCCTCCATCACGCCACTTCCTCCAGCAGTACCTCCAGTCTGTCCAAGCGGTCCACAGATAGTTGGATTAGTGAGTGGTGGGAAGGATTCTCTCTTTAGCTTGCAGATAGCAAGCGAACTCGGTTTCAAGGTCGTGGGAGTCTGCAACTTGTGGGCTGCTGACGAGCTGGACAGTTTCATGTACCAGTCCGTGTGTACTACTGTAGTACAGCAAATCGCGAGAGCGATGGACGTGAAGCTGATTCGCAAACGCATCACGGGCAAACCCTTACAGCAAGATTTGTACTATGATCATGCTGCGACGACGACGACGAATTCCAAAAATGCTTCAAAAAATTCGAGTTCGAGTAGATCGAATGAAACGATGAAGACTCGCGCCAGCATTGGTGGATCGAGAAGCAATACCCACGAGGAAGATGAAAACGTCACGTCGAAAACAAGTGGAGGCGATAGCGACACCACGGCTCGGCTAGAACGGAGTTCTTCGAGTATTTCAGTTACATCTGCACGTTGTAGGAGGTCCTCTTCAAGCTCGTGCTCGTCTTCAGGGTTAGAAGGTGACCTGGAGGCTCAGGGCACACCATCCACGCGAGCAGACGACGAAGATCGTCTCGATGACCTAGACAATGTTGCACTTGAACGTGCGATCTACAAGCGAAAGATCAGTTTGATGGCTGAATTTGCTGATCCCTTTCCGGAGTTGCCGGACGATGAAGAAGATGAAGCCGCGACCGCGACGTTAGAAGCCAGTTGTACTAGAAGTACTGCAACACCGCGAACGAGTCAACATGCTGCTTTTGCGACCACGCCTTCCCTACTTCCTGATCAGGAAGTAGAACGTCCTTCTACCACTATCTCTCAGCGCAGAGCAGGGACGCCTTTGCCTAGTAGGCCATGCAGTGAGCAAGGGGATCATTCGGAGCTTTCTAGCCTGGACGACTTGAATGACATGCTTAGCTCTCCTCCTGAAGATCATGTGCTTCTATCTTCATCTGCAGGAGCTCCTGTGATCTCAACTCCTCGTCCGAAGAAGATGATGGATGAAAGAGCAGCAGAACCAGAACAGCACATGTGGTCTGCCGCAATCACGACCACAACCTCTGTAGGAAGAAGTCGAAGAGGACGCAGTTCCTCCATTATCTTGGAGGATAACGAAAGTTTCGAAACGAGTCGTCTTGGTGCACCAAGTAGATCAACTTCAAGAGCTGCGTTTTTGGGCGATGAAGGTGGACCCCAGAAGACCACTACATTGAAGAGGGAGGACTGCTCTAGTACTTCTGCTATCCGAACCACGGTAGGCGAGTCCTCGTCGTCGTGGACTACAAAAGTAGGAAAAAAACCTTCTGGTTCATCTGAAAATACGCCTCCAAAACAAGAAAGTCCTGCTATAGTACTAATGCCGAAAGTAGCATCTTCTTCCTCTTCCACCACGACTTCAACCTGCTCTAGAAGGGATGCAACACCACGTGACTCACGGAGCAAGGATGGCAGAGCTGCGGCTTCTTCGAAAACAAAAAGTACAACTTCATCAAATCGTCCATCAACTCCTACCCCCGAGCACGACGAGACCGAGGATCTTTACCTCCTGCTGCGCGAAGCGAAGAATGTCTTCCCAGAGCTGCACGGGGTCTGTGTCGGCGCTATTTTTTCCGATTACCAGCGTTTACGCGTCGAATCCGTCTGTTCGCGTCTCGGTCTCGTGTGCTACGCTTACCTATGGCGCGTGCCGCAACCTTTGGTCCTTCGTGCGATGAAAGAGGATCCACAATTTGATGCTATTTTGGTAAAAGTCTGCTCTATGGGCTTGGATCAGAGGCATCTGGGAAGGACTCTGCGAGACCTTGAGCCTACTTTTTTCGAGTACCAGAAGAAGTTTCATTTCCACGTGTGTGGGGAAGGTGGCGAATACGAAACTCTGTGCCTTCGGTCGAAACTGTATGTGCACAACAAGGAGCGTGAAAAAGCGTATTGGCAAAATAAACGCGGTCTGCTAGGTACTAGTGGTGCTGCAACAACAAGTGCTGCAACTTCTTGTAGTACCACGTTGCGAGTACGTAGTACCTCGTCTAAAATGAATACAAGTGCGGCCGCAAGAACGGAGCCTCATCTTCCACGACGTACACTTTCTTCATCCTCAGCGTCCTCCTTCGGTGGAGGGACAGAGGGGCAGGAAATTGCTTCACTCTCTTCCATCGTGGATAAGCATTTCAGCTCGGTGTCTCATGGCGCTGGCGTCTTTTATCTGCATCCACGTGGAGAGGGAGGTGAAGAACAGGAGCCGGGGTCCTCGTTGAAGCGAAGAACGTCGTCAATTAGGACGAGCTCTAATAGAGCCCGAACCTCAGGATCAAAGCGTGGAATGAGCAAAGGACCTTTAGATGACTTTTTGCTTCGTGCGGGGATCTCCGCAAGAGCAGAAATGGAGGAGGCAGCTGTACAAGAAAGTGGAGATGAGGAGGACAATGAAGAAGCGGAAAAATGTCAACTACGATGTCAAGGCAGCTCCTCATCTGACAATCCCGATGGAGATGACAACACCATTATCACCTCCGATTTCACAACACGTGATCACTATCGAAAATTCTTGAGCGCGAACTTCGAGTTTCAACAATACTCTGAGCTGTTGCGTCGTGCACAGAAACAACGTGGGTCTGAAATCATTGCTGAGACGAAGAACAAAGAAGCTCTCGTCTATGAACGTACCTATAGTACAACTTACAGTACGATGAAAGGGAATACGGGACCGGGAGGAGAGGATAGTCCGAAGCCACGCATAAGACTTCTGAGACGCCATACAAGAACATCATCGTTATTGAGTACTAGGGCGTCTTCTCATGGTGCAATCCAGTCTGAGTCACACCTCGAACAAATCATGAAGAGGTCTCCATCGTGTACTTCATCTGCGACAACTGGTACAAACAAGTCCTCGACCACTTCTTCCGTGGCACCACCTAAGGTGGAGTTTTTCTGGGATCCTGTGTGGACAACAGGTCCACCGTCAACTACAGGACAAAGGACGCCTTTGTGGTTTTTCGCTCAGGACCTCGACATTGACGCACTGATTCCTGCCAGGATTCATAAGCAAGAGGTCGCGCCACTTCCAGGAGCCGAGGAGGATAAAGCTCAATGGCTTCGGGAGAAGCATCGACGTGGTTCTTTTGAGAACGCTGCGATGCAGGCTGAGTTGGTTTTCAATTTCGCGAGGGAGCTGTTACTCAATCACGGGTTAGAGGAAAGTGTGCTTTTCGTCGATTTGCAATTGGCTGACGTTGCTGCCGATTTTGGAGAGGTGAATAAGCTGTATAGCTCCGTGCTGTTTCCGAACAAGATACGACCGCCGAGTCGTTGCTGCTATCAAACCTCGTTGCCGCCAGGAGTGAAACTGCGTGTGCGCATGATAGGCACAGGAGCGGCGGGAGCTGAGGAGGAGGAGCAAGAGATGAATATAGATGATGAAGAGCTCCTACTAGACCTAGGAGACGAGGACGGACGAGATACGGAGAACATTCTTCTAGATGTTGACAAGAAGCAAGAACCGAATCGCGCTCGCGAAGGAGGAGCCAGCAAGGAGGAAGAAGAGCCTTGCTCTACTTCTGAAGATCATTTGGATGAGTTTTTCCTTGATGACGAACAAGATGTTGAAATCGCGAAAGGGAAAGCTCCTAAGGAGCTGGACAGAAAGAAGAAAATAGATGTTGCTACAGAAGTCGCAACAACCCACGTTCAATCTGTGTCCGGTTGGGCAATGGCCTGCATTGGACCTTACGCGCAGGCTGTACGACGTCACCACGACGGACTGTTTCTCTCTGCAGGTGTCCTGGGTCTCATACCTCACGCAATGATTCTTCCTAGTGCTGGAGGAAGGAAAGAGGATATGATCCTGGACCTTGAGAGTACCAGCTGCAGTAGAACCAGAACAAGTGGCACTTCTACACCGGGAAGCAACGCAAATAGACCACCTCCAACGACTTCATCTATTACGACCGCAACATCTTGTTCAACTAGTACGAGAGAACAAGTGGAAGACGAGTTACTGGAGAGAGGACAACTCCTGGGTTCGGGCGACGTGGAAGATCACGACGTTCTGAAGTGTGGTAGACCAAAACGTGATACCATTTACGACAGTGAAGGCGATTGGTTGCGTGGATTGAAGGACGACACAGGAGACACTACACAAATTATACAAGTGGTGGAGGACCAAGAACTTCAACAACTTCACGTTCACGACGATGAAAATCCTGCACGACTTGCTTCGTCTGTAGTTGTAGTTCCACCCGTTCTTCCTGCCCCTCCAGTACCACAATGGCGACTTGAGCTACCGTTTGCGATGTACTCGCTTTTTCAGATCATGAAAGTGAATGATATCAAGACCGTGAATTTGGTAAATGTACTAGTAGCTGCCTCGACTAGTAGCTCGTCTGAGAGCAGTAGAAGTACCACGGCTACCACGGAAAAATCACTCGACAACCAATTTCCTGACATAGAGTTCACAATCGCGCAGTTCTTCGGCTCCTATTTGAGGAAGGAAAAGATGGACATCATCCTTGAAAAGAAGAAAGCAGAAAATGATCAAATTGGTGGAAATATTACAGCTGAACAAGATACTGAAGAAGAAGAAGATGTTCTTCTTGATAAACGGGGTGACTTGAAATTCCATTCGCAGGAAGAAATCGTTTCAGAAGAAGTAAACGGAGGATCTTTCAGTGAAGGGGAGCTGTTAAGGTACCGAGTGCTATTGCCTACGGTGATCGTTCAACAAGTAGACGCACTTCCGAAAAACGCGGCGATCGAGATAAACATCATTCGCAGTGGGAGGGAACTACCCGCAGGATCATCAGGAAGCGCCCAAGATGAAGAACAAGAACATCTAGATGAACGTACATTATCTTCATCTACCTCTAGACATTGCAGCAGCATGCGTCTCGTCCAAAGAAGCAGTAGCTCTACTAGGACATTTTCTTCTAGTAGTTCTAGTAGCGACGACCATTTATTTCATCCTGTCGACGAGGAGGACGAGGACTACGGCTACGCAACCGCATTTGAGGAGGAGGATACATTGAGGAGTATACCAGAAAGTGCGCTTCTACTAGCAGACAACATGTCTTCAATGTCCTCTCGTGGGGCATCTCCATTTGGGGATGAAGTAGAGGAGGAAGAACATCATGCAGGAATGCTTCATCCTTCAACAACTTGTTTTACCAAAGGAGCAGACGCTTTCAAGTTTAACCCAGAAGACGCTTGCTTTCCAATCTATCATAAGATGATTACACCTGCTTCAACATCTTCAACAACTTCACCCAATTATATTATCAGTGGAAAAAACAAGCAGGGCGATCCACCTGGGGATCATCTTCATCGAGCTGGGGAAATATTGTTCGGACGTCGACGCATGCTCACCTTCCCACTAGGGCCGTCTTCGTTGCCTGGTGGGGGCACGATATCCGTCTATTCCTGGCAAGCAGCACCCGATATCCGACTTCACTTCCTCACTGTGAAACTAAACACTGAAGAGCCTCAAGCAACAAGTAGTGGGAAGAATCTTCCAGCTGTTGGGCAAGAGGGACATCCAGAAGGACACGGACATCCACAAGGACACCCACGTCGAGGACTGAAGGATTTATTTAAGGCTTCCCCTGATCCATCCCTGTAGTTAGACATCCCTGAAACATATTATTGTGCGCCCCAATACAACGGAGATACTGACGCATGATATGCTTGAGGGATTTCCACAGGGATGAATAGGGGAGAGCTCTAATTTATCCTCGCTGTTCGCCGATAGTACTGGTTCGGCTTTACAGGTGAGCTACATCCGAGGATGTTCAGGGCCATTGATTGACGTTTTACTGGAGGATATGCGTCATAAGACCAGCACTAACATCTCCTCTGGTGGAAGTTGTCGTGGTAGTGGTGGCAGTGGTGCTACTTCTTCTCCTTCATCACCAGATCCAGATTCTTCTTCGAGATTAGCAACTACTTCTGCACCTCCCACGACGACGACTTCGCATGAGTCATCTTCGATGAATGGACAGGGAGAAGAAAAATCTTCATCCGGCACTGCGCCGGAATGTACAACTTCTTCTGCCTCTATTACCGCGTTTAGTAGAAGGACCTCGCCAGTTGATGAGGAGTTACAATTGCGGCGATTTCTTTTGGGAAATCGAAATCCTTGGAAAGCTCGTGGAACAACAACAACCTCTCAATCTCAACATCACCCAATTTCGTTCTTGCCAGCGAAGTTTCTGGGTCTACTCCAAAATGGTGAGGTCACTTTCTGTCGTGTGGTAGAGTGGGTGTTTCTGCAGTGAGTTGTTCTTTGTAGTAAGGTTAAGGAACAAAGGTCAAAGGAGACGGCCATAAAAATTAGAGACATGATTGGAAAGCATAACCCAGTTGTAGACCCCTACAAACATTGACATGTGGTGTGCTTAGATTGTTAAGTTTTCTCAGTATTACTCGCTCCGTCCTCTGGAGGAAGGTAGATCGATTTCCATTTCCTTGAGCACTTTACCCTGTGCAAGAAACATCAGTGAAGCTCAGTGAGTACGTGGTGCCGTTGATACATCCGCAGAGATCATGGTCGTGCGTCCTCGCTCCAGGAAAGTCACTGTGTGTTCATCTACTTACGCGATCCGTATGAATCGTTGTCCCATCACCAGCAACCTATCAGTCGAGAACGAAATGGTCCTTCTCCACTGCTCTGACATTGTGGTCTGGATCCACCATGATCTGGTTCGTGTCACACTTTTCGCATGTGTAGTACAGAGTCACAGTTCTAATTCTGTTGAAAAAAAAAACACGATCTTGTTGGTATCTATCTCTGAATTGAAAATCTCACCTCTTCATGGAATTGGAAATTCCTAAATTCTTACCACTGCCAATAATCCAAATTATGTCTACAGATGGGCTCGATACGAGTCAAAGTTGGACAACTATGCATGAATTCTTAGTGATTAATTTGTTCAGTCACATTGTGAGTGATAATGGACTCTCAGGAAATGAATTCGATTAAAATGCAATAAAATCAAAAATTTTGGTTTTCGTGGATATTTGAAGTGAAATTTTCGAAATTCAATTTTTTCAAAGATTGAAATTAATTCAAGAAAAAGAAACTTTACTCTAAATTCTTACTTTTGTCCTGTGAAATTCTCCAAATTCAAAACCGACAGGACATGTGTAATTGATTTGCTCAATTTCCATTGTCTTCCTCTTACTCTAGAATCTGTGAATTGTTAGTCACTGAGCAGTCAACCTTCATTCTACCAGCTTCCGTTAGTTACAGAGCATAGTCTATTTTCATTCTTTCATCTTTCTTCATTTGTAACCTTAAACCCCCCAGAACCTGCCCAACATGGCGATGACAAACAAGAAGCTGCAGAAGATGATGACTCTGCCCATCAACCAGATCTTCACTCACCTCAGAAACAAGGATAAGGTCCAGATCTGGCTTTTCGAGCAGACCGACCTGCGATTGGAAGGCAAGATCGTTGGTAAGACTGAGCTTTATTAGAGTTTAGAGTAGTTTCTAGAACTTTGAATTCTTAGAACTTGTTGTTTAGAGCAGTATGTACTTTTTAGTCTACCAACAAGTTCAAGTAGTTCTTTTACACCGCTCTATTCTTGATCATCCGCCTTTGATATCATTCCACTACAGGCTTCGACGAATACATGAACATCGTTCTTGACGAAGCAGAGGAGTTTTACGTCAAGAAAAACACGAGAAGAAGTGTCGGCAAGATCATTTTGAAGGGAGACACGATCACCCTGATCATGAATACGGGAGCTTCGTCGGGGGCATGAGCTTCTTGATGAAATGGGAAGAAGATGTTGGCATCCTCGGAAGTGAGTAAGATTTGAAGGTGGCACCTTACGTCATGCTAAGGAAGAAAACTGCTCGTAAGGTGGACGATTAGAACGTTATAATAATCATGGCGATTGCAGCTTCTATTGCATCATATCCTCCACCTCAAATAACAAGTTTTTTATGTTTCACCCCGCGCAACAGCAACACAAACCTGAAGATTTCGCAATTTATGTATGTAATTTAAAAGTGGTTGAAAATGATCTACCCAAGAAGAATAAAGTGATCCTCCTCCATATCAAGAAGAATAAAGGTCTCCTGCATGCAACGATATTGAGTGGACCTCAACTCCACGACTACTTTGATGTGGCACAACATCAGCTGCTAGTAGATATGCGGACTCAACAATATTTCTAAAAGTTGAAAAACATCCTGTTCATCTTGACGCGGCGACCATTGTACTTACCTCGTCCAAGAAAAGGAGCTCGGCTGAACGAGCAGGTCGTGCGTCCCGAGGACCCTGGTGCTGGTTGCCCCTAGTGTTGTTCACATGGAAAAATGAAAGAGAATGCACGACCTAATGAAAGAATTCATTCTTCGCTTGTTCTATGTGAATACCACAAAGATTAAGATGAATGATCTACATCTACTATTTCTCTAGGACGAGGATGCAACCAGCAACGTCAATGCTCCTTTCTAGCGATCCACCGACTGGTCAGTTCGCATTATCCGTACACGCATGTCGGTGACAAAAGAACACGAACAACAATCTTCGAAGATGAAGTAATTGTTCTGAATCATGTCATCCTATCACGAAGAACGTGAAAAATGAGAAAGTCAATCATCCTCGTGCTGTTTCTGTGAAGAATTTTGAGTTCATCACTTTTCTACGAACGTCTAGGAGTACACGAACCAAGTGTACTGCGTCGATAGTACTTACAAGTGTTCTAATGGACGATCATGAATGATCTTTGAAGAAATGGCTTTTTTCCCTATGGAGGAACAGGATACGCTTAGTTCTTCGTCAGCCTGCTTTCGTTACTGCTGCTTATTACGCGTGTAGTTTTAGAGATTATAGCTTAAGTACTTGGCAAGCAAAATGCAGTCGTGGGGTAGCAGTGGTGGCTGGCGCGGTGGCAACCAAAGGCAGGGTCCGTATGGTAACTACCAGTATGGCAACTCCAGTGGCAGTACGTCTTCGGGATACGTTATGACACACGCATTATTTATAGTGTTCCGTGTCCGTTCCTTCGTGCATGATTTTTTCACACAAGAATAAGAAAGTAAGTGGAAAGATAAAGATTAAGAAATGAAACAACTTCAAGCTACCACCGTACTAGTTGTTGACACGCAAGATGATTGTGGGACGTCGAGCAGCGGGTCACTCTTCAACCAGCAATACGTTTATTTTCATTTTGATCATGTAACACTTCTCACATTCCCAAGAAGCACCTTATTTAATACTCATCTACTAGACAGTCATCTTCTTCCTACAACCCAGCACACTCTAATTCATGTGCTGGAGGAGGTGTGGGCGTGAATCTTCAGGCTGCTCAATTCACAACACTGCCATGGCCACGAAAGGTAGAGTCGTTCGTTGCGCGGTTCATGCAACTTGTTATTGATGCTAGACAGGAAGATTAAGGCTCAATTAAGTAGTTCATTAATGTAGTGTGAGATATTAAGTACCTACTTTGGAAAGCAGAAGCTGATAGTTCTGAGTTCTAGGCTCAGACCGTTTTTTGTTTGCGGTAAGAAGAATATCAGCACTTTGGTCTTCCTCGGTCCATCTCATCATTAATGTGATAATTGTCTAATTCATTGATTTCCAAGCAAGGGTCTACTTAGTCTTGCTTTACTGTTAGTTTGCTAAAACTTAACTACAAAGCCTACATGAACATGTTGTCTACAGTGATGAATTGTTTTGAGCAGCTCTAAGAAGAACTGGCGCAAGCCTTGACAATACGAGGAGAGGATTGGAGCATCAAGCAGGAGCTGGCGAAAGCCCTAAAACAGCAGTCCCCAACAGCGATAGAAAATGCTGTCATAGCATACTTTAATATTAAGGCGAAGGTGATGATCTAGTTCTAGATAAGATGATCTAGATGTTTGTGATTGTGTCAAGAATAAGAATATTGATGACATGATGAAGTAGTAGAACGGCGTAGCAGAACATCTACATTATGAACGTTGCTGTTTCAAGAAAGTACTAGCTGTGATAAGTTGATGACGATGAATTATCATCTGCTTCTGGTGTCTTCTACTATTCATCAATTTTTACATACAAGAACTACTTCTAGTTCTAGATTGTTCTTCTTCTTGTTCTTGCGAAAAAAGAAGTATACTAGATGCTCACTGACTTTACTGACTAAAGCACTAAGTAGTAAAGCAACCGGGGGCTAGTTTTCACCTCTAAAATAAGTCTAAGTTTATCCCCTGCAACAATATACCACTAGGTACTCACTGAAACAACTTCCACCTCTAATATCCGTGGAGGAGCCGCAACGTCGTTTTTTACGGAGACCGGACCCCTGGCTCGGCATTTCGAAGAACCGACGAAAATAAAACGAAACTTTGTGCAATTTTTGTCGTCTTACCTGATTATGCTTAAGCTCTACTGCGAAGGGATTATGTGGGGACTCACGCCGAAAGCAAAACCAATCATGACGGAAAGTTTAGGTTCTTATAATTTGGTGTGTTCTTATATTATTTTCGTTGCTTTTTTATTAACTACAATATTGTGAATGATAATGATTGTTCTAATAAAATTCTTCGTGTCCTCTTCTACGTCATCCACTGCTATTCCCATTCAAAAAGAGTATAGTCCACCTATATTATCAGAGTACCTCCAGACGTGCCTCAAAGAGTGGTCTACGATATATTGTGCGACTAGAGCAGAGTATGAGACGCATGTGTGGATGGTGCCATCGTATCAATATCTACTGTCGTTTTCACGCGAACAAGCTGTGAACATAGACGCACATTTCAACACCGCGGATAACGAAAACGTCAATAAATTGGTACTACTTGATTTTTCAAGAAGTAACTACTTGTTATTGTTGTTGTGTTAACATCAACACGTGAATTATCGGTACACTAAGTATTAAGTACTTATTTTTCAGATTTTTTTTTCGTATCAGAATGGAAAAGGAAAAGCCACCAATCGCTTATAGTTGTATCCGTCTCGTACTTGAATCTGATCTGCATAACCCACAGCACGACAAGAACTTTCAACTTCTACTTTAAAAGACAAATATGAAATCTTTTCTTTTTCAACTTTCACTCGACTTAAGGTGGAAACACTGCGTAAAGTATTCGCAGAGATGGTTCGAGAGCGGCAAAAGCGTGCTGGGTTTCTGGCCACAACTACGGAGCTCGTCCGATGTTGTCTCTCGATGTTTCAGATTACTCTAGTGGAAAATGTTCTAAAGAATGTACAGCAAGCGGCCGCAGCAGGAGGCGCAGGAGTTCCAGGTGGTGGAGGCGCCTTTGGCGGTAATCGAAAAGGCCTTCCAGGTTTTCCAACAGTGGGAGTTCCACCGAGTGTCTCAGTCACGTTAGCCTACTACTGGGGAGTTGTTCTGGTATTTTTACACGTCGTGGTACGTTACAGTACGTAGTTTTAGTTATGTGCAAGATGAATAATAAGCTGCAGAACGACAAGTGTTGAGCTTTATTAAAGTTATAGGAAACACCTTTTGTTAGGCACATTCATTTATTCATTCATTCATTCATAAAGCTGACTTCGCGTGAGCGGGCATACTCAATGAGGCATGACGAGTAGTGACACGGTTAGGTCCGCCAGGCTCGGGCTACCGCGCATCGCCACTTGATTGATTGATACTTGCAGAGTCAACACAGAGGACATCAACATGATATTATTACTAAGTAATCAAGGGGAACAACGCTCTATACTAGTAATAATGTCCACCACGACTTCCACGAGCAGCACGACATATTACACCAGGTTCAATCAGCCAAGTATTCCGAAGCGGAAGGGAAAATAGCTTGGGGCTACTCGCAGCTGGTGAAGAGCGGCTCGGGATCGTTCTTTGGGGGAGGATCTTCCTCTTCCGGCAATGGGGAACAACATCTGAAACACCGCAGACAGATGCTTTTTTTTTTGATACCACTGCGCATTCGCCAGGGAGAATTACCGAAGCGGGAGTTGTTGAAGATGTACGATCTGGAGTCCACTTATGGCAAGATTGTGGAAGCTATACGAAGTGGAGACTTGGTTGCCTACGAGCAAGCGGCGAAGGAACAGACACTCATATTTGTCAAACTTGGTACGATCTGTACTATTCCTTGTCGTCATCTTAGATGAAATAAATAATATGAGAAGTACCTAGGAGAAAGATATGATCGGCAGCCGAGTACATTTACTTGGTTCTTCAGAGCATTGCAGCAACACACATCAGAGTCATACATGACAGGAGCATCTTCATCAATCAATCAATCAATCAATCGAACGTCTCTCCTTTTTACCACAGGCATTGTCAATTTGATGTCGCAAGTGAAGCACATAGTGACTCGCCAGTTTTTGCGGAAAATCGTGGAGAATTATATCGCCGAGCTCGACGCCACAACTTCTGAGAGGGCTAAATCTGTCAAGCTATCCTTGGGTGTGGTTGCGAAGTTAAGAAAAATGGATGCTTAGTGTTCTTTGTGTTATAGTGTAGGCCTACTTCTGTAGTTGTATAACTAGTACGAGTTACTACACGTTCCAACAAGACGGAGAACCACAACAGCTAAATATCAACAGGATACGATGACGATAGTTCTCTGATGAAGTTTCTCGTCTAGTACTGTTTTCTGTTGTACAACATTCCATCTACGTACTTCTCAACCTCAGTAGTTCACTAACACCAACTATTTAATCTAAAAGCAATTTTACTACTACGTGTACAAGTACATCAAACAACCCATCTTCTTTTTTTTGTCCTAGACCCAACTCGTCTAATTTCAGCCTTTATGTCCTTAGCACCACACTTTTCGGCAACGGATGTGGAAGATGCCATCGCGCAGCAAATCGCATATGGTGGGATCAAGGGGTACCTCTCCGTCCATCATGGTAAACTCGTCGTGCCACGGACGGCGGCGTTTCCGTCTATCCCCGATTTTTCAGATGCTTTGGAGCAGAATAATAATTAATTCATCTTCTGAAGCAGCTGTTTATTTTCAGCTTCAGGTAGCAGAACAAGCATGGTCGTGTGCTGGAGGCTTGCTTGAGCTTTGTTGATGGAGCTCACACCAGTAATAAGGAAAATTTATGCTCTCGCTCCGTCTTCTATTGTTCTTGAGACAGTATTCCCTCATAGCCACAGTAGGTGTTGTACAACGGTCGTGCAGGAGGTACTATCCTTCTTGTTGCTTCCCGAGGCCTCTGCTCTTAATGCCCCACCGAGTGACTACAGCAACTACCGTATTTCGCTTCCATAAACGAGCAAATCTTCCAAATTCTCAACGCTTGTCCTTGGTGTCCTAGAAGTTGCCGTGTGCTCTTGAAGGTTACAATATTCTCCGATGAAGATCTGACACACCGAGGATGAAGTTCTGATGCAGATGAAGCACAAGTTCTACTGATGCAGAAGAAGCACTGTACTTGTTTTTATCTATTCGAAAACTCAAAATAACCGAGTTACTGACTGAAATAAGGGAGGCGCTAGCTTATAGCGTCAAGGCTACCTTTCCTTCTCATCAGTATCGCGGCTATATATTCTGATCAGTTACTCGCTTATTTCAGTTTTTCGAGTAGGAGGATCATCTCTCTGGCTTCCTCCTAGGATCATCTCTCCTCAAGAAAAGAGTGTGGATCCTCATTACCCTCCCACGGTCGTCGGTGTCGTAACCACATAGTGAGGAAATCCATCTACAACTTGTTACTTGAACGAGGCAACGAGCGCAGTAAATTAAGTAATAAGAAGACACGAGGACACGACAGCAGACGAGATAATTGATGAATTCATAGTTCCTCGGAAATTGAGTTTCTTGAGACATGTAATATGTTGAAACAAGAGTGACGTGAACTTGTAGTCGTCCAATCTTCTGTCTTAGCAGTCGTTCTACTATTCGGTTCGGTTAAAGGTCTCTTGTCACCTTTCTTCAAAGGTTGAACTCCGAATACATCGGACATCGATACACATTCGTGACCATGACCTTGACATGTTGCTGCCACCTCCAACTCTCACTCCCACATCCGCCACCTCGCTTTATCTTCCCAGTTTAGAACTTCATCAAGTAGAAGACGAAGAGTGATCCATTACGGCATCTTCGCAATCATCTTTCTTCACAATCTTCACCAAAAACGATGATAGGAGTTCACCCCAAGATTTTCATTTTCCCGTTTCTTGGAAGAAGGCAACATGATCATCGTTTTTACAGGACCTCTGACTGTTGTTGTATTTTTCCATTCATCTTCAGAATCGAGATGGTAATAAAAAAGTATGAATGACACATCAACGTGTATGCATATGCTTGTTCAATCACGATCACTCACACTCTCCATCACAACAAAAATAATACAACTAGTCGTGCTGAAAGTCGTCACACGACCAGGTTTCTTCTTCACTGTGGAGCACCAGTTGAATTGAAGCACCAGTGACGAGCAGTCGCCGTGTGCTGGGAATGGATGCATTTGGATTTGCATCCCGCCAATCTCAACAGTGCTGTTCGTCCTCACAGAAGCCATCTACTGGAACCAGAAAGCAGGAAGAAAAACGCCTAGCGACCATGTCGTGGCACCCGAGTGTAGAAGGTGGAGCTGTTGACCTCCACCAAGGTCGCCGTGACCTGCAGATGGAGGTGCACTCAACTTGTGCTCTACTTGGGAACTACCAGCAGCAACTACAAGTTCCTTCGGATACAACGATGGCGTCGTCGTCTCCTTGCTTTCAGGATCGGCCTGCTCAGGCTCTTGGAATGCAGGTTGAGTACCTTCAGCAGCAAGAACACGACCACGCTCAAAGTCGTGTAGATGAACTACAACAGGGAAGAACTACGGGCGGAAAAATAGGAATACATCAACTGGTAAGAATAAGTGGACATCAGGCGCAACACCATGATTTTCACGGAGTACAACAAGAACAACTTTTACCTAGTACTAGAGGATTATATACAGATTTTTGTCCTCAGGCTCCGTCAGCACTAGGACCACAGGAGAGCGATCAAGATCAACTACACCTCCTACGGGAAGCTGCACCGCCACGACTAGTAAGACAAGATCATGATATTGCGCTGAAGAAACCTCACCAGCTGCACATGGAGCCAAAAGGTGCCCCTCTTCTACGACAAGATGATACTTCTAAACTGAAACACGACCAGGCGTCGTACTGGTCTTCAGGGCGTTCTTCAAGGCCAGGGTGGTGCTCCTCTGAGGCTTTCTGCGATAGCATATTTTCAAGGACAAAGAAGATCTTCATGCTTGCGGATGGTCGTAGTAATATTGGAGAACAAGATGAAGATCTTCTTCATATTTGTTCTGGAGCAGCTGCACGACCAGCAGGAGAACCACGACCACGCAACATCGTGCCCAGATGGCTTATAGTAGCGGGTGTCTTGGTCAGTAGTTCTTTATTGGTAATGGAACTGTCGCGCTCCTCTTCGGCCAGCACAACGTATAACTCCCCCAACGATGAGCTCGTTGGTGTTGAAGATCCAACTACAGTCCGAGTCCTTAGGAATGAGAAAGCGTCTTCTTCTTCAAAGAGTAAGAGAAGAGATGAACAAGATCAACTACATCAAAAGGACACCAGGACCAGAGGACGACTTTTACATGAACTACAGCAGCAGCCGCAACATGATGATGAAGAGTCTACGACTAACGATTGGTGGTCCTCGTCTTCGAGAACTACTCCTGTTTACATTCGTGGTGCGGCTCGTTCGCGGCATCGTCACACGAAGATGTTGTCGCCCAACAAAGAACAACAGCAGGGTTCGAGAACAACTCAGGCGTCAAGAACAACTTCTACATCCTCCACAATATCATCGACGGGCACTAGAAAGAGTCAGCGACGTCTTCGTGGGCGTGGTCAACGTGATGATCCGTCTGAAAAAGCGCCTCCACCTAAGAGTCGTGCAAAAAGACTCGAAAAACGATCTGCTGGAGGAAGTGGTCTTTTCCAATCTTCTAGTAGATCTGGAACAGTTTCTCCGTCCAAATTACGTGGTTCAAGGGCAACATCGAAGGAGGAAAAAGCATCTTCGAAGAGTGTTGCCTCTACCTCTACTACGACCTCTCGTGTTCTTTCTCGTCATAGTACTACGACAACCGTTCTTGCAGTTGTGCGCACGACCACGACAACTGTGACCTCGCTGCAGTATTATCGCGAAGAAATAGAGGTAGAAGACGTGGTAGCACATCAGTCAACAACAAGAACATCTTCTAGATCTGCTACCAGAACTCTCATGGATCAACAACATAGCAGTGGACCACGTCGTGGAAGAAGCACATCAACATCCAGATCAAGAAGCATCAATGTAACTACCTTCATGGAACAACGCGGCAGCGACGACGAGACCAATGAGGATGCTCCTTGGTGTAACTGCTATGAGTTGTGGTACTTATCTTCTCACGTCGCTTAACACGATCATTATATAATTCTAAAACTCGTCTTGATGTGGAGCTTGTTTTCCTAATTTTCTATTGCGGTCTCCAGCACCTCTTCTTAGATGAAGCTCTAATGTATCGGTGGAGAGGGAGACGATGAAGAAGGAGAAGGCCAAATCATCTACTTGTCTACAAATTATGGCCTTGTTTAATCCATCTTTTAGCCCATCTTGTGTGGCCCGTGTAGTTCCTGTAGAAGAAACATAGGAGAGCAAGCATGTGAGGGAACAAGAAAAGATGGATTGTCGTGGGTTCTAAGGTAAGGGGAAGGGGGCTGGTCGTAGAAAGGGGAAAGGGGGGGCTGGTAACGGAAAGGGAATAAAGCTACTGGGAAATAAGGGTGCTGAGTCGGACGAGGATGAAACAACTAAAGGCGTTTGTGACTGCGCTTGTTGATAAGGCATGTGCTTACTTTCTTTGTCAACTACTCAACATTTTTTTTGAAATTTAGAAGTTTAAGAACTACTTCTAGTAATCTGAGCTAACTCTGAATACTAGTAATATAAAAACTCAGAATTATACATAGAAATAGAAATACTGACTTCCTGGAATCTAGTAATCTAAGAACTCTAACTAGAAATAGTACTGACTTTGAGGAGTCCTCGTCGGGATATCTTATTACGTCTAGTAATCTAACCACGTTCATCTTTCTCTTTATACTAGTCTTTCTCTTTTGAATTTGATGTGCTTCTAGTCCTTAGCGGGAAGATAATATTTTTTATAGAAGCTGCCACCACGAATGCTTGTAAAAATGTCTAATATATTTATCAATAGTTTTTATACCATAGAACGAGAAGCTACCTCGGATTCTTGTAATGTCTAATATGTTGATAGTTTTTAGCGAAGCCACCACCTCTCTTCCTTGTAGAAGTAAGTGCTTCTTCTAATGTTTTAAGGAGGAGGAAGAGGAGGATATCATATTACTCCACAACAAGAAGAAGGACAAGAAAATTTCGAAGCGTCGTTGGGATACGCTCACAGCAAAGCAAAAGGCGAAAGCCAAGGAAGAAGGGGCTCTTATACTATGGCGTGAACGAAGTAACTGAACGAGATTTGCATACCTTTTCTAACAATTAAAACAAAAGCTAAGCCATCGACATCGTGTGAGTGTTCAGAACTCTACTTGTACTAGACTTCGCCGGTCAATGGCTCTCCCTCCACTAGAATCCTCCATCTCCTTCAAGCATTTTCTTCGTCGGGACGCGTCTCGTTCGCTCCTCTTCCGCCAGATCGCGGCACTTGGCGGAGGAGGCCGCTACGCCGAGGTTTTTGAGATGTTTCAAAGTTTGCCAGCTTTTGAATGTGGTGCAGTTTTTTGGATTGGAAGCCTTGGGCGCAAAGCTTTGCGCTTAGGTCTTTGGGGTGGAGACTTCTGGCGAAGTTGAAGCTTTTGGCTTGCAGCTTGAAGCCCGTGGCTGCTTTCAGTACCTCTAGGCGTAAAGCTTCGGGCTTGGCGCTTTGATTTTGAAGCCTTCGGCTTGGGTTGGCAGGCTGAAGCGCTTGGCCCGAAGTGTTGGGTTTGAAGGGTTGGGTCCGAATTGTTGGGCTTGAGATTTTTTTTTCGATTTCTTGAAGTTTTGCGTAGACTGAAAGTCTTGGATTTGAGACTCTGGATGTGAGGCCTTGGGCTTCAATCGTTTGGCCTGGGGGCTTGGCTTTGAAGTTTTGGACTTGAAGTCTTGGACCCACTTTTTATTTTGTGCTTGAAGTTATAATGAGGCCCGCCACAGTAAAACAATTTTCGTCACAGCGAGAAAAATCCTCGCCACCGTAAAAAAAAACTTCTGTCACAGTATGATGCAAAAAAAGACTTTCGTCACAGTAAAAAATTGTGGCCACAGTAAAGACGAGCAGACCCCCCAGAGCAGAAACGAGCTCTGTCACAGGAGAAAGCAAACTCTTGCCACAGGACCCGGCACAGCTTCCACAACTCAAGCACAACTTCCGCGGCTTAGGAGTAAGAAAGCTCAGCCTTTTCGTAGATGTCTGGACTTGGTCAATTGAATCGCCTGCGGCCGCGATTGGCTACACATCACGGGCAGCGTGCTGGCTGGAGTGGCGGCCGCGGGTGAGTCATGACATGCCACGCCTTGGATTTTATTAGAGTGAGTCTTGGATTTGAAGTCTCTGGCTTGAGACTTTATATTTTTCTTTAGCTGTTGGGCTTCAAGCGTTAGGCCTGAAATTTATTTTGGGGTTGAAGTCTTGGGCTCGAGGTTTTCGATTTGAAGTTTTTGGCCTAGGGTCTTCTGGGGTTTGAGGTCTTAGGCCTGGGCTTTTGGCTTTGAGTTTTTCAATTTAAAAAGTTTGAAACTTAGATACTGAGCACTAGCTTGGCGCGTCCGATAACATCCCTCCCACTAGGATCCCCCTCCTCCCCAAAGTAAGAAACTAAGCACGGCAAAGATGTAATTGATAGGCGCTCTTCAAATTTCGAAAATTTTCCACGTTTTATCTTCGTTTGGGGATTGAATCTCGTGCGTTTGAAGTGCTAAGACCCCAAAGCTTTGGACTTTGGGCCCTTTCTCTGAGATTCAAAGCCTTAGACTTGCATTTTTCAAATTTCGAAAATTTTCCACATTTTTTCGCCGTTTTGGGGTTGAATTCTGTGCGTTTGAAGTGCTAAAGTCCCAAAGTTTTTGACTTTAAGCCCTTTGCTTCCCTGAGATTCAATCGCTTGGCTTCGCGTTTTTCAAATTTCGAAAATTTTCCACGTTTTTTGCGTAGTTTTGGGATTGGCTTCTGCGATTATGAACTGCCAAGATCCCCAAATTTTCGATTTTAAGGCCTTCCCCTCAGATTCATTTTCTTGCGTTCGCGTTTTTCAAATTTCGAAAAATTTTTTGCCTTTTTTCGTCGCTTTGGGATTGAATTCTGCGAGTACGAAGGGGCAATATCCCAAAATTTTTGATTTTAAGCGCTTTCCTTGGGATTTAAATGCATAAACTCACGAATTCACATAAGTTCGCAAATTCCTAAATTCATAAATTCATAAACTCCTAAATAGATAAGTTCCCAAATTCAGAAATTCGGAAATTCGGAAATTGTTGGAACTCCCGAACACGTCCAAGCGCACTATGAGGCTCTTGAGAGCAAACGAAATGCCTAGCGTTGCAATGTAACAGAAAGACGACCAGAACGGACGCGCCGAATGATCACTGACTGTCTAAGGCCCTGAAATGGTATCGACATGGGTTCAATGTCATTGGGATATCATGAAGGGCCATAGTGCAGTTAAAGATCTGGGGGATCTTGCTGCTCATTCATGTTGAAACTCATTGAGTTCACCTGATGACCACACGAGGAACCAACAAGATTTCAAGACAAGGAACGGCGTTGATCATGATCAAGGTGACGAGTGAGAGTAGTCATTTGGCATTGGGATCAGGTTCATTCATTGGACCTTCTTGAGCCAGTAATGACCACTGACCAACATAAATTCATAAATCTATAAATTTATAGATTTATGAATTTATAAATTCCTAAGTGGATAATTAAACTCATAAATTCCTAAATAGATAAATTCAGAAATTAAGAAATTCACAAACTCGGAAGTTCATAAGTTCGCAAGTTCATAAGTTTGGGGCTTGGAAGTGGGAGAGTGAGAGTTCGTAAGTTCATGGGTTTGGGGTTTGGAAGTGGGAGAGTGAGAGCTTGGCGGGGTTGTTGTAGAATTTTTTTTTAGCTATTTAATGCTCCCCGGGCCCGGGTGCCCCGGGAGACGTTAAGGAAGGGAAAGGGATACTTTAGGGACGTGGGCGGGGGTGAATGGTTTCACAAGGTGAAACGGGCGCCCGGAGGGCGCGCACTCCCCTCCGCGCTGCGGCAAAGGGGAGCGGGGGCGCGCAGGCTTTAAATACAAGAGGAAGGTGGCAGCACTCCCACCGATTCCCCTTGAAAATGTGGCAGCATGAAAGGCCTTCAGTGTTTACTTGAGAGGCGTCTTAGGGGTCCTTTAGTGTTTACATTAAAGGCGAGGGGCCCTCTAGTGTTTACATTGCAGGCGCCTTAAGGGTCCTCTGGTGTTCACATTAAAGGGGAAGGGAGTCCTTTAGCATTCACACTAGTGGCGTCTTAGGGGTCCTCTAGTGTTCACATTAAAGGCGAAGAGTGTTCGGGGGTTTTTCGTAGTATATAAATAGCCGCTGTTGTGGCTGTCGCTCGTTGCTTTTGTTGCTGTTTGCTGCTGTTTGTTGCTGATGTTTTTCTGCTGCTGTTTTGTTGCTGCTGTTTTGTCGTTGTTGCTTTGTTGCTGCTGCTTTGTTGTTGCTGCTGTTGTTTTGTTGCTGTCGTTGTTGCTGCTGTTGCTCTTGTTGTTGTTGTTGTTGCTGCTGTTGTTGTTGTCCTTGCTGTCTTTGTTGTTTTTGCTGTTGCTGTTGTTCTTGCTGCTGTTCTTGCTGCTGTTCTTGCTGTTGTTCTTGCTGTTGTTCTTGCTGCTGTTCTTGCTGCTGTTCTTGCTGTTGTTCTTGCTGTTGTTCTTGCTGTTGTTCTTGCTGTTGTTCTTGCTGTTGTTCTTGCTGTTGTTCTTGCTGTTGTTCTTGCTGTTGTTGATGTTCTTGCTCTTCCTCAAGGCCACCTGCTGCCCACATGAAAGGCCTCCAGTGTTTACTTTAAAGGCGTCTGGTCTTGCGGGTCCTTTACTGTTTACATTAAGGGCGCCTTAGGGGTCCTTTAGTGTTTACATTAAAGGCGCCTTAAGGGTCCCTTAGTGTTCACACTAAAGGGGAGGGGAGTCCTTTAGCATTCACATTAAAGGCGTCTTAGGGGTCCTTTAGTGTTCACATTAAAGGCGAAGAGCGTTCGGGGATTTTTAGTAGTATTTAAGTAGAGTATTTCGTCTGATAATGTTGAAGGCTTTGCTACTTTTAGCAAAGTTTTTAATCGATTTCATCGCTTAGAATTCAATCGCGTAAGTTCGTAGGCCCACGGGTTTGCTGTGTGAGTGTTTTCGGGTCAGGTGTTTTGGGTTCAAGTGTTTTAGGCTCGGGCGTGTGTGGTCGAGAGATCGGGGCAACCGTTGTTGATTTTTGATCTATTAGCATTTAATGTTATAAGGGTGGAGGTTTTAAGTTATAAGGTATGGCTTCTCGCCCTTCTGCTCGGTTTCTTTTTATCGGAGCAAGGAAGTTGAAGTCTTAATTTAGTACAGCGCAGGGGCCCGCTGTTCTGAATTATGAGGGCCCCTCCATGAGATGACGAAAACTCAGTATGGCGATGGCCTAGCTGTGTGGCCCTATCGTCTGATCTTGCGCGCGATTGCGCGCGGGGTTTTCTA